ACGACTTTTGTGAGCTGACAAAGGCATCTCCTCCAAGCTAACCTGTTCAAGGGCCCCTGGACAAGCTAAAGAAGAATGGCAACCGCATGCGCATCTTGTCAGTCTACGACCTCCCTGCCAAGGAGGCGCTCGACGCCATGCGCCAGCTTCGCAAGCACTACCAAGGGATGCGCAACAAGCCTGTCGAGGACGACACGGTCTTCCGGCGCGTGTACGAGATGATTGGCGGACGTACCAGTTACCTCTCGCGCGTTGCGAGAGCCAACGATATGATTAGTGGGTCTTTGAGGAAGACTCGATCTGCGTGGTGGCTGACACCTTGTTCACAGAGGAGGCCAAGTTGATGGTGGAGATTGAGAAGGCGTGGATGCTTTCCAAGTGCGTTTTTCGTCAAGGGTATTCGGTTTGTTTAATTAAACACGCTAACCGTGCGAACAGGATCGGTCTCATCCCCGAGATGGACGACGACGTAATGTGAGTGTTTTGATCGTGTGGCCCGCGGCACGGGCTGTACGCGACTAAATAGAGAACAACGGACGGAACTGACGCACCAGGGACGAGCAAAAGTGAGAATCAGAGGGCCGCGGATACGGCTCGGATGCGTGCGAGAGGGCAGCGCGTGGGACCGCGGATGTGACGGTGAAACGTGACCTGCTAACGCGCAATTGTATAGGTGGGCGAGCTGTTCGTGGTTACTGTTGCGCCATCTGGCGCAGGAGGCGCCACCTCTCACTCCACCAATTGAGGCGGAGGATGTCGTCGAGGAAAAGACCAACGAGGATGGTACAACGCGCATCCACCTTCTGGGTGGCCCGCTTCAAGACCTTGTCACCAAGCAGCCAGAAGAGGCCAAGGCCAAGGACCATGACGAGGAAGACGAGAAGCCAGCCTCGGGTCCCGATGTGCCTGTGGCGGACGATTCTGGGTCACCGAAGACGCACTTCCTGGATCTGACGGCCGACTGCGAGCTTCCCAAGGTTTCTTACGACGACGCCCGCCGGCTCATGACGCGCACGGATTTCTTTGACGGCTTGGACCATGCGAATGTGAGTGGGTTTGAGAGTGATTCTTTTCTCGCAGAAGCCAGATTGGCTCTGCCGTGACACACCCGGGAGAGGACACAAGGACGCGCGATCCGTGTCCTCCATAATATGTTCCTGGTCAGGATGGGAAAGTGACGGTGACGTTTTTGTTAATGAACGTGGAAGCTTTTTTGGACCCATGTTCTTCATTCAGGCTGACACTGACGGATTCAGATCATCACCATTGACGTAAGTCCCTGTTCCAACACTCCAAAGGCCAAAATACGACGCGTCGAGCAGGCATATGCCGCCGCACCCCCCTGCCCGCGACCGCCTTGATGTTTGGTGTGACACCAAACGCATGCCACGCAACGCGCGTGTGTATGTCTCGGCTAGGCGTTTATGGCCTTAGCGTGCACGCTCTCTGGATCTCTGGGGGCGGCTGTGGTTTGACGCCAGAGCCGGCGGACATGAGGCGGCAACACAAATGAGATGCGTGAACTGACTGTTCGTGCGCCCCCTTATTCTATACACACGCACACACACACACACACAGGTCAAGCACGATGTGCGCCCGGACAGCGTGGTGATTCTGCGCGCGGCGCAGCAGGTTGTGGCCGAAGAGGGCTTTGACGACATGCTGGACCAGACACGCGACCGTGTGGACGAGATCGAAGGTGAGTGAGACCAAAAGACTACTTGTATACTTGTGTGCGCGTGCATGCGGGGGGGGGGGGGGGACGGGGAGGAGGCCGCTCTGGACGCGTTTGTCGCGCCAACAACGGCTGCTGGGGTGAGAATTGTGTGTGTGGTGTGTGTTGGGTCGCTCTGCTGCTGGCACTGCGCCTGGCGGGGCACTTTGTGGCGTCTGTTGGCGCAGGCACAGGCCAACATTGGATAATGTTCCAGATGAGGACCCTTCCGTGAATGCGCCCCCCATGAGCCTGCGCTCGGCCGCCTCTGCCCATCACCCTTTATTCCCAACCCTGGGTGCCGCCCATTCTGTTTCTTGTTGTTCGCGCGCGCGCTCGTTTTGCTAATTTTGCAGGTCTTCACCGCCAGGTCGAGTGGTGCGTCAAGGAGCCTGTACGCATGTTTGCCCAGCGTGGTGGGGACGGCCGGTTTGTTGTGGACATGGTTGGCCTGGGCAGTGCGTTTGTGCCGGCCGAGGCGGAGGACGACGACGAGGGGGGTGCCAGCGGCAGCAGCAGCAGCAGTGGGAATGGGTCTGCAGGAACGACAGGGGCCGTCGGGCCCCAGGGGACAAATGGGGGCCGCCTGGTATAGCAAGCGCCGGTACATAGGCTGGGCCACATTGGTACATTGGCCACATAGGACAATGCATACAACTTGCAACTGGGAAAACCCATATGATGGCATATGGCAGAGCAAACGGGGCAGGCTGCCCAGGGCGCGAGCCAGGAGAGAGGCCGGGGGGAGGTTTGCTGCTGGCTGTATCGGGCAATTGAATGATCTGTGGCCTGTGGGCACTCGACGCCAATACGCGAACTTCAGGGTGCAGTCACGCGCGCGTCGCTCTGGCCAGCGCGGCCAGCGCGCCAGCAAAAAAGGGAGACCAGAGCCTCATTGCCTGCATGTCCTGTAAAAAGGGGGAGGCCCGAGCACAACACGGGGACAGGGGCTGTACATTGCGCGCGCGCTCGCCCGCTGCCCAGCTGCCCGGGGGGCTGCCGTGGAAGAGAAGAGAGAGAGAGACCGTGGGGGGAGGCAGTTCTTTTGCAATTCCCTCCCGCCCAGAGCCATAGCCAGCCAGCCAGCCAGCCAGGTGCACACACGCCGTCCCTCCTTCCACCATCTCTCCTCCGTCTTGTCATTCCTCCTCGTCACTCTCTCTCACTCTCTCTCACTCTCTATCTCTATCTAGTCCTTCTCTCTCTCTCCCCCCTTTCCTGCTCCCTCTCCCCTACCTTCATTAGCCACAGCACATCCACACACGCACACATCCACACACACATCCACATCGCATCCAACTACTGTCTCTCTCTCTCTCTCTTTCTCTTCTCTCTCTATCCTCTGTCTTTCCTCTCTCTCCTTTCCCCCCTTCTATTCCCCCATCACGTCCTAAATGTCCACCGCTCCCTCCCCGAGGCGACACAACGACGAAAACTCCATCCCCCAGACACACCGCGACGCGCTCGTCCCTCTTGCAGCGCCCTCGCCCTCGCCGCGTCCTCGCCAGCCACTCGCACCCTTTGAACACCCGCCCAACCTGTTCAGCGCGCGCTACCCGGCCACGCCTGCTCACGGCGGCGGCCAGCAGCGTCCATCGTCGGCTGCGTGCGCGTCCGCACCCGCTGTGGGAGGAGCGGACGCGACACCCGTCCGCCCAGTCGCCGTAAAGGTCGACCCCGACGCTCGTGAGCTGCCGCTGCCAAAGGGGCTCACTTTCGCGGCCCCGCCTCCCCCAGCGTCGGCCCTCCTCCCGCTCCCGACCCCGCCGCACTCGCGCTCCTCTGTCCAGCACATCCACCCATCGCCGCTCCACGCGCACAGTCACCACGGAATGCACCATGGTCACCATGGCATGCCGCACCACCTCGGTGGCACTCCCCGTGGTATGATGATGGCTCACTCGCCCATGCACCACCACTCGACACCGGCTTCGGTTCGCACCATGGCCATGTCGTACTCGTCCCCTTCGACCATGTCCCACATGCCATCCACACCTGCCCCCGATCTCCACGCGTCACCATACCCTCCAGGCCCAATTGACCTTCACGAGCTGCTGGCACCCGCTCGCTTCCCCGGTCCCCTTCCCCACGCATACCTGCATCAGGGTGAGATGCCAGCCAGCACCACTGGCGACGACGCTGCCAACGACGACGCTGCGTCAACCCCCAGCGCTCGCCGCACTCTTGTGTCTTGCAACCCCTGGGACTACCGCCCAGAAGACCACGGCAAGAACAAGCCCCGCCGTCGCTTTTCGCCTGGCGAGCTGGACATGCTTGAGATTCTCTGGGGCATTTCGCACAACCCTCACAAGTGGCAACGCCAAAAGCTCGCTCGTTGGTTTGGATGGTGAGTCTGAACCCCGCCACCGCTCCTACCCCTGGCACATTGTCACTTACACACATCACAGCACCACCCGTCACCTTACTGTCTGGTTCCAGAACCGTCGTCAGGACCTTAAAAAGGCCGAGACGCTCGTCCAGATGGCAGAGAACAACCCCGACACGGCGTCGCGTGCGCTCGCTGCTGTCCAGCGCGCCAACCGCGGCGACCAGACCAAGTACTCCCCCGAGCAGGCACAGGTCATCATGGACATTGTGAGCGACCGTCTCCTCCCCGACATGTGGTTCTCGCAGCAGCCGTCAGGCTCGTCGCCCACCCCAGGCCACAAGGGCACTCCTTCTCCTCCCACCAACGGCCTCCCGCTTCCCGACCGTCGCAGCATCCCCTTCACCCCAGCGCCGCTCGCGATCGCTCCCAAGCCCCAGTACTCCCAGCATCACTCGGCCTCTGCTGGTGGCGGCCACCTGTTTGCTCTCAAGCCTATCCGTCGCGGCTTCTCGCTCGATGACGTGTGCGCCGACCGCGAGCAGAGCATGACCCACCGTCCCATGTCTCGTCCCCGCCCGCGCGTGGAAAACCTCGAGCAGATGCACAGGAACGACCCCCGCTACCGCGAGGCTCTCCTCCAGATGCTCCCCAGCGAGTTGTCGTCGGACGCGATTGAGCCCCCAGAGGATGTTGACGACGACGATTCGGTTGTTGGCGAGGACTCGCCTACTCGCAAGCGCGCCCGTTACGAGCGTCAGTCCCGCCCCACCCTCCCGCCCATTGGTCTTGGTCGCCCCACCCACGCTGGACACCGCCCGCGCTCCAGCTTTGGCCGCGCCTCGAGCTCTGACGTTCTTGCGTGCTCGTCTCGCGCACGCTACCTTGCCCACAATGGCCTCGGACCCCAGTCGAACACCACCACCACCACAAACAACAACGGCGCGTTCCCCTCGCGTGCTGTGACCGACCCCGTTCCCTCGCGCAGCGTCTCGGCCGGTCCGGGACCAATGCTTCCCCGTGCTCCGGAGCACGGTGCTCGCAGCGTATCGGGTGTCCCCGTTGAGCGTAAGCGCAAGCTGTCGCGCCAGGGTTCGTGGTCGCACCTGCCGACTCTGACCCACCGCGACTCGTTTGACCGCTCGCGTTCAATGGAGCCTCCAATTGAGGAGCGTTCCTCGCCGGTGCCTGACCAGACGCGTTCACCAACCCCGACCGACGCCGACTCGATCTCGCCCAAGACTGCTCCTGGCTCTGAGGATGCCTCGTCGACCAAGAGCAAGCAGGACGACGTCGACATCAAGCCCCGTCTCCCCCTCCCCGAGGGCCGCAGCATCTACTCGTTCTCCACCGAGCTCGAGCCCGAGATCAAGCGCGGTACCCAAGAGATGGATGAGAACGTGCTCACCGGCGCGCACGCGCTCATGGAGCTGTTCCGCGGCCGTTGAACACAAAAAACCAACAGTCCTGACCGCTTCCAAACTCTTTCACGACCCACGACCACTACCAAACCCAAACCCAAACACCACCACCTAGAATGTGAAACACCCAATACCACCTGTACGAGCAAGCAAAGAAGAAAAGGGCAAAGGGCGTCTTTTAGTTTTCCAATGTTTCCGGCTTTCCCATACATTCCCCACCGCACCACCACCTCGAACAACTCGAGAGTAGATTCCCCAGCAACGGCAAAGAAAGGTAGCAAGCAAGCAAGCAAGCAGCAGCAGTATTTGTACAGACCGGCGCTACGCGTCGTCCGATTTTGGTCCGCGCGTCCATAGAGATACCTTGAACAGAGATGCAACCAGTTGAGCAACAACATGAATACTGGAGTGTCGTGCAGGGAGATTTCAGATCAGTACGGGCTCGGCAAGGAGATCTGCTCTAGAGAAACACACTATGAAAGACGAGATCGAAAAGCTGGAGACGATACTTGGTTGTGTGAAACACACTATGAAAAACGAGATCGGCAACCCGGGGACGATACTTGGTTATGCGCCGAGCCGCGAAACACACTATGAAAAACGAGATCAGCAATCCGGAGACGCTACTTGGTTATGCGCCGAGCCGCGAAACACATAGAGATGGAACGATGCTCGTTGTCGTTCCCGACACTTGGTTTCCGCCAAGCGGCCCTTTCTCGAGAAACACACTACGTGACCCAGGCATCCGACAACGAGCGTGGCTGCCGCGATACTTGGTTTCCGCCGTGCGGCCAAACGCACTATTCACAACGAGCTCGAATTCAGAGAAGTTAATACTTGGTTTCGCTTCTTCCAGGAGGCGTGTGACGACTCCAATCGTCGCCATCACGCAAGTGCGCAAGTGCGCAAGTGCATGCCTCTGCCACCAGATGTACTTACACTCTCATGCCACCAGCACACCCAATCCTAGGTGCTCGTTTGCCCTGCACTAAACAATGCCGTCATGAAGCGTGAAGCAATGGCTGAATGCACAGGAACGAGACATGCTATCGGACGCGTTGAGCGCGTGTCATGTCGAGTCGGGTTCCGTGACCTGCGCCCATGTCATGTCTGGCTGGGTACATACATTGACCAAAAGGCCCGCCCCGTGGCCCGTGGCCCCGTGCGCCGCTCCCTTTCCGCACAATGAATGGCACGCACATGAAAGCGAACACGAACAAGAGAGTCTACAGTAATTACAGTAACCTCGTCAGGCCGGATCAGGCCAGAGGCCTCTGGCCTCTGGCCAGGGGTGAAAGCTGTTTGGGGTAAGTTTGGTTGACTGCGAGGCCTCATGGCTTCAAGGCCTCTCCCTCCCGGGATCCGGGGTCGAGGCTGACGCGTGGACGTGGCGCGGCATTCGTTGACGACGCCGACGCGCCGCGCGCCGCGTGCTGGCCGCTGCAGCCGGGTTCCGCGAGGGCAGTGACGGCGAGGAACCCGTGGTGCCCTGTTTTTCATCTGCGTGTTCCCTTTGGCCTTTGGCCTTGTTTCCTGCAATCCCCGGATGAACGGAGGGCCTCAGGCCAGACATGGGCCCTAAAGGGCGACAGGCAGACGATAGGTTGGGGGGATGCGCAGTTCTTGTGATGTCTGTCCTTCAATAAAAGGGTGCCGTACTCGCTCGCAGCACCGTAGTGACGTGGTTAATGAGTTTGGGCAGTGCTCTATATGACCCGTGAAGGGGTTTTTGTTAAGGAGGTTTTGAGGACACAAGACACCAAAAGGCCCACGGGCCACGGGATCCGCCGGAAACGAGTTTTGCCTCATTGTTTTCGGAGCCCCAGCGTCGTCATGCCAATGCACCCCCCTCCCACGTCTCATCTCAGTGTTGCACATTCCCATGTCGCCGTCCCGGGCAGCAGCACGCATCGCGACAGTCACAGCAGCATCTTCAACGACAGGTACGAGAGCAGCGGTCATATCAGCTCGCCATTACGCTACCATTGGCGCACGTCCAAGCAGTCCCAGTTCCCGATCCACTGCGATCCGATCTCACCTCCACTTGGCATTCCCACCTGGTGTTCCCTCCAACCACTTGCGCGCAATGTCGACGTCTACCACGGATCATGAGCACATGCTCGCCCTTGTACGCCGTATGATCCCGCCTCTCTCGCCCAAGCTCCACAAGGGACAGGCCGGTAAGTCGGACCGAGCAGTCTGGTACTGTACGTGTCAAACTCCTTGGAGCGACAATGGTGACATGTCCCCCCGGCCGTCGTACACTTCGTCTCCTACGGCACTAGTTCATGTGCTTGTGGGACGCGTCGTTTCGCATTCGCCCGTTTCACCTCTTTGCGTCGCTCCCGGGAGACGAACGGCGGCTCGAGGTTGCATCCACCACATGCCTCCACCGCCTTAGTGCCATGTTCTCCTCCCTCGCGACAGCACAGTGCGATCGCACGCACGCGGAAAGTGGCAGTCTTCCAAAGCTATGACTTTGCTTCACCGCTCCAACGGCTCCAGTCGCTGAAAGACACCAAGCTGACGCATAACCTCCATTCTGTAACCTCCCTCAACTCAACCTTGCTTCTTGGCCCCTGCTTTCCCCATCCCATGGGTTCCAACTCATTATGTCTTCCTACGACGCCTGTACCTGTCTGGACTCGGTGGACCTGACATGGACTGGATCATGGCACAAACCATATTCCAACGGACAACGAACGCGTCGCATGATACCAATTCTGGCCTTGACCACCTACTTGTATCTCGGCTGTGTGAACGCGTGCGGTGCTGTGCTGAACGGCGGTCGCGACCTCGATACCACGTTTGATCGCGGCATAAACGGACTGCAACGTTTGTGCACCACGTTTGACTACACCGCACATCGCAACTCGCGCCCATCCGCAAACATGAACGCTCAACTGCAGGACGCGTCGGCGTGCTGGGCGGATCAGGCGACTACTCTGGCGCGCCCTTCTTCTCCGCCATGGGTGCCATGCGGTTCGGCGCCGACCTCGCTCACGTCATGTGTGAGCCTGGAGCTGGTGCCGTGATCAAGACCTAGTAGGTGTTCTTGCAGTGGGAGTCGCTCTTTCAGCTATGTGATCATACAAAGAGTCAATGGAAGCTGACGGCCAGTGCCCCCGACCTCATCGTTCACGGCGTCCTCGACTCGTCCCTCGGCCTGGCGCAGGCCAAGGAGCAGCTCAAATCCATCATGTCCCGTCTGCACGTGCTGGTAATTGGACCAGGTCTTGGACGCGACGAGTTCATGCAGTCATGTGCGCGCGAGGCCCTGATCATGGCGAAAGAGATGGACATTGGCGTCGTCGTCGATGCCGATGGTCTGTGGCTGCTCAACTCTGAGCCCGAGCTCGTCAAGGGATGGCAAGGTGTCCCGAGAGTCATCCTCACACCCAACGTCATGGAGTTTAAGAGGTTGTGCGATGCCAACGTGAGTGACTGACCTGCCCAAAGGGACAGGAAAGCTGACCGATACACAGGGCGTGGAGGCCTCCGAGACTCTGCGATGTGCCGCACTCGCTCGCGCGCTGGGCAACGTCACAATCCTGGAAAAGGGTGCCGAGGACATTGTCTCGGACGGCAAGCCGCTGCCTTCTGCGTTTTCCACATCCACAGGATCCACAGACACATTGGTGGATAGCGTCCAGGGCGGCCTCAAGCGTGTCGGTGGCCAGGGCGACATTCTCTCGGGCACCGTCGGCACCCTCCTGGCCTGGGGACGCGAGTGGGCTCGCGGCAGCTATGCCCATGTCGGCAGTCCCGCCGACCCAGAGCTCGCTCCACATGTAGCGCTTCTCGCGGCGTATGGGGCCAGTGCGTTTGCGCGCACCGTCTCAAAGCGCGGTTTCGAGCTCAAGGGCAGGAGTATGGTCACACACGACCTGGTGGATCTCGTTGGGCCTGTGTACGCCGACATGTTCGGCGGGGAGGTCAAGGGCAAGTTGTAAGAATGCGAAAAGGATATCAAGGGAGAGGGAAATACATGCATCGGAGCCATCATTCATCCACTAGTACATCTCCAGACTCTGGGATAATGGTCAGCTTAGTTTACAGAACATGGAAGCTACTCACCATTCCATCGTTGATCTCGTAGTCTTGCAGCGCGATGTGGTCCTTGAACGCAGTGTACCTGGATGTCAGCGTGATGTTGCACAGTATGGTACTCACCATTTCTTGAGAACAATCTTGCGGTAGTCGGTACCCGTCTGCGCGCCGATCAACTTCTTCAGGTCGCCAACAGTGTCCGTTGGGAGGCACTTGACGGTGACTGATTCGTCAGCCAAGGGTTGCACCACAGTGCTGATTTTGTAGCTGAACTCACCTTTCCTTCCCATACGGTCGTTGGCAGTGACCTCGATGAAACGCCCCGGACGCACCGTTGGCGGTGGGACTTGCTGGACGCTTGAAGCGCCGCCAGAGCTTCCGCTGCCAGCAGCGGCTGCTCGGCGGTCGGGGTGGATGGCGTCACGGTCGCGCCTGTCGCGGTCATCGCGATCCCGGCGGTCCCGGTCATCGCGGCGGTACGAGTCGCGCGAGTCCCGCGCGCCGCGGTCTCGGTCGTCGCGACGATAATCCCTATCGCGGTCGCCGCCACGGCCGGAATCGTCCCTGTCTGCACGCTCCCTCCGCTCCTTGCGCTGGTCGAGACGGTCGAGGGGATCGTGGCTGCGCTTGAACGAGCCGACGGCGCTGTTCGCAGCTGGGGCAACAACGTTGCCCATCGTGTTACGCACGCCCTGCTCGCGACTGCCACCAAAGCGCTTGGGCACCTCTCCGCGCTCGCGACGCTGAGCGCGTTCCTTGGCCGACTCTTCCTCGCCCACATCACCGATAGTCGTGCCCCGCGATGGGCCGCTGCTGTACCCGCCTCCGCCGCTGCCCTTTTTGTAGAAGCTCAGCTCCTTGGCGCGCTTCTGCGACCATGGCTTCGCTGCAGGCGGGGAACGGGAGCGGTCGCGTTCAGACCTGTCGCGGCGGGGAGAGACGGAGCGCCTCCTTTCGCGGTCTGGGGAGGGCGAGCGCGGCATGGTTATGAGACAGAGAGAGATGTTTTGTAGTGTTGTGGGTGGCAAGAAGAAGTCGAAGTGGGAGTGTAAATGGCTGTGACGGGAGCAAATACACGTGGTTGAATAGGGCCCCGCAAATACGGCGCGTCGCGAACGCATGCAGCAGGAGAGCGAGAGTCCGCTCATCTTGCACTCAACAGCCGTCTGGTCTCTTTCACAACACACATACACACTCTCTACAATGGAGGGCATGAACGTACATGCTGGTCAGTCCAAGACGGCCTCCAGAGCGGCAGCCTCTCGTCCCTCGTCGCAGGCTTCATCGAGCCATACCCCTGCCACCACCCAAGGAACTCCGTCCAAACGTGCTCGTTCCGAGTCCGAGGCCGCGGACGAGGACAGCGATGACGCCCCGCCCCAGGAGCTCGAGGAAGTAAGCTGAACAATTACGAGGTACAGTCTAAGCTTATACCTCAGCACTATGTCACCATGCGTACCGACGTTGTTGGAATCCAGCACTATGCGGGTCTCGTTGGCGCAGGCGAGTTTGTTGTTCTCCGCCGGCAGCCGAACAACCCGTACGACGCCAATGCCGTGCAGGTGGGTACAAGGTTCCTGTACTGCTGTCTAACCTACAGGTCATCAACGCGGCTGGTACACAAGTTGGCCACATCCCTCGCGCCGTCGCTGGCCGTCTCGCTCCCCTCATGGACGCCAACCTGCTGACCGTCGAGGGCCGCATGATCGGCCAGAATGTCGACCGCAAAATGCGCTACAAGCTTCCCATGTGAGTTGTATATTTCCAATGGCATCAGCCATCTAACATTACATCAGTGACATTTCCATCTTTGCCCGCGCTTCCTATCGCCCTCACCTCGCGCCTGAGCTCGCGTGGGCTATGCCTGCCGCAGGTTTCGCTCAGGCTGTGCGCCAGCGGGACCACCAGCAGCAGGGTGGCACTGGTGTCCAGTCTGGCACCTCTGGCCGCGCTCCAGCTCCTGTTGTTGACGAGAGGATGCAGCAGATCCTTGACGGGTTTAAGAAGGTCAACGAGGACGAGAAGGCTGCCGATGGCGTCATGGTGGGTACTGCGTGCTTGAAGGCAACTGACGTATTCAGGCCGCTCTGACTTCTGATCTGGACGTTACCAAACTGCCCCTCCACCCATCGCCGCCGTCAATCGCGTCTGGCGACCTTCACACCGATCTGCTCCCACACCAGTCCCAGGCTCTGCAGTGGATGGTCTCGCACGAGAATCCCAAACTGCCTTCGAAGATTGGCGACGACGCTGTCCAGTTCTGGACGCGCCAGAAGGGATCACGCGGTCAGAGCGATTACTGGCTGAATGTGGCTACCAAGACGCCGCAAGACGACACGCCTGTTCTTGGCCGTGGCGGTATCATGGCGGATGGAATGGGCCTGGGTGAGCTTGTCCTTGTAGTTTTGGGCTGACGTTGCAGGTAAGACCCTTACGACACTGTCTCTGGTCCTCGCCACGCAGAAGGAAAAAGTAGGACAGGACGTTTGTGGCGCGACTCTGATCGGTGGGTTGCGAGTCCTCGGCATCATGAGCTCACTTCTCCAGTTTGCCCCCTGTCTGTCATCTCCAACTGGGAGAAGCAAATTCAGGACCACATCGTACCGGGCAAAGTCAGCTCGTACACGTACCACGGCGCGGGCAAGGGTGTCACGTCCACCACGCTGTCCCAGTATGACGTGAGCCCATGGACATGTCCTGTAGCTGACAGCAGATCATCGTGACCACGTACCAGACTTTAGCCTCTGACTGGGCCGGGTCTTTTGGCAATTCAAAGGGCAAGAAGACCAAGAAGACTACCGGGCCTCTCATGGAGGTCAAATGGAAGCGCGTTGTTGCCGACGAGGGACATGTTATGAAGAATCCAAAGGCCAAAAGTGGGTGGCCATGATTGGCAACGAATTCTAACCCACCAGTGAGCCAAGCCTTTGTCTCACTCCAGGCCGAGCGCCGCTGGGTCCTCACCGGCACCCCCATCGTCAACGCCCCCAACGACCTCGGCTCGCTCCTCACCTGTATCCAAGTCTGCGCTCCGCTCGACCAGCCCGAGCTCTTCCGCAGGCTCGTCATTCGCGGGCTTAAGAATGGCTCTGCTGAAGCTGGACGCCTCCTTCAGGCTATCGTCGGTCAAGCGCTTCTGCGTCGTACAAAGGACACCAAAGATAAAGATGGTAACAAACTCATCGGCCTGCCGCCTATCGAGTACTACCAGTGTCCCATCAAGCTCGATGCCGACACGCGTGTCTTTTACAACGAGGTTATGGCCGAGTCGGCGCGCAGGTTCCAGGACAGCTTGCGTTCCGGCGAGGTGGGTGCCAAGGCGCTATACGGTCGCTGACCCGCACTGCAGAGTAGTGTCAACATCCTGTCCATGTTGACCAGAAGTGAGTCTTATGGTTATTACTCCAGACCTAACTCTCAGTGCGCCAACTGTGTCTGTCTGCCGACATGGTTCCCGCGTCCTACCTCGACGAGATCAGGGGCAACGCTGTTACTACCAAGGGACCTGCTGTACCCATCAACTCGCTTTCAGACGAAGAGCGCGACAAGCTTATTGAGAAACTGCGACAAGCTATGGCTGACCAGGAAGAATGCTCCGTGAGGGTCGTCAACTGAGTTATGGCTGACCCGCCCAGGTGTGCTATGATATTCTGGACGATCCCCGCATTACCGACTGTGGTCATCCATGTGGGTGGTTTTCTGGTAACCTGGAGCTGACCCACACAGTCTGTTTCGCCTGCATCACCGAGGTTATCCGCCGCCAGGCCCAGTGTCCCATGGACCGCCACCCCATCTCACCTGGCTCACTCCTCGAGCTGCCTCCTGACGTGGCCGAGGACGACGCCGACAAGTACCTCGCCCCGCCTGTCCGATCAGCAAAGATTTCCGAGCTGGTGCACTACCTCCAGGCCTTTGACAAGGACGACAAGACCCTCGTCTTTTCCCAATTCACCACGTTCCTCGACCGCGTCGCTGCCGTCCTCCAGGAGGAAGGCATCCAGTTTTGCCGTTTTGACGGCAGCATGAGTGCCAAAAAAGTGAGTCTGCATCCTTCAGGTTTGTCTGACCCACGCTACAGCGCCAAGCGGTCATCGCCCAGTTCCAGACGCCCGTCACGGAAGCGAACCGCGCGGGCAACCCTGTCGTCATGCTCATCTCGCTCAAGTCTGGCGCAGTGGGTCTGAACCTGACGGCCGCAAGCAATGTGTTCTTGGTGAGCTGGAAAACCCCATCTCCCAGCTAACGTTACCAGTGTGACCCATGGTGGCAGAGCGCCATTGAGGCGCAGGCCGTCGACCGCGTGCACCGCGTAAGGTGACACAAAAGGTTCCTCTGCTAACGAGGTAACAGATGGGCCAGCGCAAGAAGGTCCGCGTCTTCCAGCTGATCGCAGAGGACACGATCGAGGCCAAGGTGCTCGAAATTCGTGCGTCTGGTTCCAAATTGCCTCTATTGCCCTGCTAACCAGCCCCTACAGAGAAACGCAAAGACGCCCTCGTCGCCAAGGTAAGCTAGCGTTTGTGTTCAGTGTCAATCTAACATCCCAGGCGTTTGAGCACTCTGGCACGCGTGAGACCAAGGCGGCCAAGAAGCAGGCGCGGTTCGAGGAGCTCAAGGAGATTTTCGGCCTCGAGTGAGCGTCAACTGTGTAGTTTATAGTAATCATGCCCGGCCCCCACTTATGTATCATATCACGGCCGCATCTGGGGCTGGTGCTCGTCACACATCTCATCTCATCTCATCTACACACACACATGCACATGCTACAATTGTATAAACACATGGATCCGGACACATGGGTATGTCGTGGGGGGACACCTAAATGGCGTGAGTCTCAATGCCGACGACCTTGACTCCACGCTTGCGCGGCACGCGGTCCGTGAGCTGGTTGCAGCCTGCCCGTTAGTACGACAACACAGTGACGGGGGGACGATTCCAGCACCCACCCCAAACGCGGACGGTCTTGATAGCGTCACACCCGTCGAGGACGTCCTTGACGGTGAAGTCGGTCACGTTGCGACACCAACCCAGGTCAAGGAACTGCAGGCGCTTGCACCCAGCCAGGAGGGAGACGGCGTCGGCCGACACGGTGCGCCAGCCCAGAATGGACAGGTACTCGAGCGTCTGGCCGCTGTGGGACACGATGGCGTCGAGCGCGGCGCTGGACAGGTCGTGGCCCTTTTCAAAGTCGAGGTGCTTGAATCCGGGCCGCTTGACGGCTTCCAGACCCTTGAAGAAGGCGGCCACGCCGTCGTCTGAGAGATCGTTGTGGCGGAGGCACAAGGACGAGAGGCGCTTGCAGTGTTTGCCAATGGACGCGAGCGACGCGTCGGTCAGTTCCCTGTTGTCGCTCAAGTCGAGCGAGGTCAGGTGGCCGCCGATTTTGGCCAGGAGCTCCTCAACAGCCTCGTCCGAGACGGGCGTGCCGTCGCCGTCCTCCACGACAAGCTTGTCTCCGGGACACGTGATGGCGAGGGACTCGAGCTTGGAGAGCTTGCTCAGTGGCGCGAGGAAATCCGAGTTGAGCTGGCCCACTTCCGACAGCTGCAGGCACTTGAGGTTCTTGCACTTCTTCACCAGCAGCTCGATCGTCTCGAGGTCGATGCGGGGCGACTGGGTGATGCGCAGTGACTCGAGGTGGGTACCGCGTGCGTTGATAAAGTCGACCCAGCCCTCTTTGCGGATGAGGAAGGGGCCGTTGAGCTCGAGGTTCTTGAGGTGCTTGAGCGACTTGCCCCACGCCTTGAGTGTGTCGGTGGAGATCTGGCCACACATCTGGAGGTTGAGAGAGACGAGGTTGGGGCACAGGTTGGCTAGAGCAAGGTAGGATTCGTGGACGAGGTCTGTGAATGGGTCAGATAGTCAACAACAACCACCACCCACTGGTGCAGTCATAAATGGCCAGGTCCTGGCGGTCGGTCGAGTAGAACAGCTTTGCATTCTCGGGCGTGAGGACGCGGTTCTTGCAGATGATCTGGCACACTTGGTCGAGGTTGAAGGCGCCAATGTCGCCCAGCGACTCGACGTCGTCAATGTGTTCGCCGATGAGCTTGATGCAAATGTCTCCGAGCGGGATGGCGCCCTTGGTCTCTTCATAGTGGACAATCTTGCCGCGTTCAGCCTTCTTGGGAACGGGCTTTTTGGTCGCAGAGGCCTTTTTGGGCTTGGCGAACGCGTCCACGCCCAGCTTGGGACAGCACTGCACACACAGCCACGTGCGCGAGCGCAAAGGGTGTTCCTTGGTGTACGCGGTCTGGGCAAGGAGTTAGCTGGCTGGCTTACCCATGTTGTCAGCTACCCACCACCGTGAACGTCTTGCCGCATTCGCCACAGGCCATAAACTCGCCAACAGCCTTGAGTGCAGAGGCACGCACACGCGCACCGGGCGCGAGACCGTTACTCGCAGGCGTGGCGCTGCCGCTGGCGGTAGCTGCGCTCGGCGAGTCGGCATCCAGGTCGTCTGAATCGACACTGGCGACGCGCGCACGTTTGGCTGGACGGCGCGGCGCCTCGTCCAGGTCGTCCGAGTCGATGTCCTCATCCTGCTGCTCTGGTTCTTCAGGGATGGGCGTCGTGCCGGGACCCGAGGACGAGCCGGCCTGCGGGGTGCTGTCGTCTTGACGGGGGGCATACGGGTTGCTGTTCAGTGCCGAGGGCTCGACACCGAGGCTCTGAAGTATGAGCTACGAGGTGAGAGGGTTATCCAACTCACAGCCAGAAAGTTTGTAAGCGCCGACGCGGGTCCTCTGACGGAGCCGTCGCCGTTACGTCTGCGGGACATGGTGAATGAAGAGGTGTGTGTTGAAGGGAGGAAGGATAGTTGGGTGATGCCAACATTAGGGCACCAGGGTTGAGTCAACCGGGCCACCCGTGGGAATGTACGATCACGTGGTCTTTGTTGTTGTTTTGACTGGTAGCGTTGCACAGCACCACTTCTTCCTGGCAAAGTTACACCCACCGCCAGCGAACCCAGCCGCACCGCGCCGAAGCTATGAATATGCATGATCAGAACAATTCAAGTGCACACAACTATGGTCATGATCGTCCTTGACAGGACGGTTCGTGTAGGCGTGGGAACGTATATTAGGGGAGAGCAGGGGGAGAAGATGCAGGGAGAGAGCGTGGGGGGTTTGAGTGTTCATAAATGTCCAGAGGGGTGCACGACTGAGTCGTTGTGCGTATGTGTTGTGGAACCGGTCCGCTTGTATGTGGACATGTGTGTGTGTGTGTGTGTGTGTGTGTGTGTGTGTGTGTGTGTGTGTGTGTGTGTGTGGTGCGAGAGAGTGCGTTTTGTGGTTGGTTGTTGGTGCGGAATCGTTATTTGGCCTAATCCAAGAAGCAGGAAAGACTTGGTCCGCCGCGGTGGTCTAGTGGTTTGTTGGTCTAGTCTACCCAGAACTTTGCAAGAGCTCCAGTGATATGCTTGACGTTCTTGTCGCTCTTCTTCTTGGACAGGGTGCCGTCACCGTCAGTCGAGACCTTGGAGCTCGCCTCAGAGGCGAGACCCGAAGACGCCGAGCCCGATCCCGAGCCGCCCGAGCCTTGCGAGGCGTGTGCAAGCGAGGACAGGCCGCTGGGGCCGAGCGCGGTGCCGCTGTTGGAACGCGAGCCAACGAGGCTGGCAGAGTCCTTGCTCTGGCCACTGCTCGAGCCCTGGCTTCGGATGGTCGGGGGACGACGATCTTCGTGGAAGGAGACTGAGCGCGAGTTGGCCAAGCCGCCGTTACCGTTGCCATTTGTGAGGCCGCCGTTGGAGAACACCTGCGAGTGACGAAGGCTGCTGGGCGGCACAGACCCACTGCCACGTCCCTGGACCCGAGGCTGCTCCATCAAGGTCGGCGAGTTGCCTTCCTTTTGACGGGCGCGACTGCCGCGAGAATCACTTCCCGACGACGAGTACTCGGCGTCGTCCCAGTACACTGTCTGTGAGCGCGGCATGCCTCCTGCTGCTGCTGCTCCTCCACGCCCAGGTTGACGAGGTGCTGCGTTGGCGTTTGTAAACTCGGTGCTCACGGCCATCGTGGCTGGGCGGGCGCGCCCGGACGCTAACTCGCCGGTGGCCTGGCGAGAGAGGGGGGCAGGAAAGGACGGCGGTTCGAAATCGTTGGTGCTAATGGGTGGCAACGACGTGCGGTTAAGCGACGGGCTAGAGTTCATGCGGCCCGTGGCACCGAGGGGCGGGGGCATGGGCAGGTTTCCGTAGGGCGAGTAAGGGGCGGCAGGAGCATACTGAGGAATAGGAGGCGGTGCAAAGTACTCGGGCTGAACAAACTGAGGCTGCATGAACAGCTGGTCCGGGAGTCGAGTGTCGCGCATGAGGAGCTTCTGGAAGGCCAGAACAGTGTAAAACGCCTCGTTACCCGCGTTGCCCAGTGGGGCATGGGGGGCGACGGGAATCTGGAGGTGGTGCAGGAGCTGTCGCAACGACTGGAGGGGCTGGCGACGGTCGCCAACGCCTGGAACGCCCTGGCGTTGCGCCTGCTGAAGCAGTGCGAACTCGAGCTGGAGGACATCAAGCTGAAGAACGTTCATCGCCAGCTGCGTCGAGGACGGCAGCGGGATGGGCTGCGGCTCGCCAATGGTGAGGAGAACGAGCGTGTTGGAACCCCCGTCGACATCGTGGGAAGCCAGCGCGCCGAGCGATGCACTGGATTTGTTAGCTTCATTGGAACGCAAGTGTCCTTTGCGGGCGGCGACTCACTCGACGATGCGTTCCACACTCTTTTCAGACACAAACTGGCTGCGGCCAAAGCCGAATGCTCGAGGAAAGTTGGGGCGCTCCACATTCGTGCGCTACACAGAGTTAGCCTTATGTTTCCTTTTCCTTTTTCCTGTTTCCTTTTCTGCTGCGCACCTTGTCAACCCATTCTTCAATGACGTAGTGCGCCTTGCGGTAGTTCTTGTCTGGCACAGGTGGCCAAACGTCCTGGGCATGTTGTCAGTCACACTGCGCACGCTATCGTGGGGGGAGGGGGCGTTTTGGGAGTGCGTATGCGAACGGAACTCACCACTGCGCGCAGGTTGGCACATCGCAAGGCAGCGAGTCCGACCTCGAGCATGAGGCCCTTGCCACCTTGACCTGGCTTGGCCATGACCGTGCGACCATGGCCGGGCACGAAGCCTTGAGGAGGTCCACCCTTCTCCCACCAAGTGGTCTTGATGGCCGTCCAGGTGTAGCCCTGACCGTTAGTACGGACGCCGGCCGATGCCGCGTATCCGTCTGCCTCGGGAGAACCAGCGTGGAAGAGTGCGCCGATCACCCCAGGCTCGCCGGCACGGACTCGCGCACGCAGGTGGTTGAGTTCGGCGGGCGCAAGAGACCCGGACAGCTTCTTGTACTGGTTGAGGTCGGTGAGAGTGACAAGACGGTTGAGTGTGCGACTACGTGACGGCGCGGGCTCGATAGGAAGCAGGGAAGGAGGCTCCTTGTCGAGTGTCTCACCAAAGCTACAACATGTCAGCAAAAGGGTTTACGCGGGTGCGCAAGACGATGCGGTGTGTGTCCCAACTCCCCAACGTACCGAGTCTTGATCATGCGTGCAAAGAGGGCAATTTGTTCGCGTCGGGCTGCGATGTGGCCACGTCCTGTGATGACGTCGACAACCACTAGGTGACGGTCAGCACACCTGGCTCGTTGAAATTGATTCTCCCGCTTCACTGCGACGTACCCATGGCTTCCCAGCCAAAGCCGAGAAAGTCGTTGAATGAGCGAAAGTAGCCACCCCACGACGCATCCCACCAGTCGATGTTCTGGCTGTCAAAGTCGCCTCTGTGTGGGTGTCAGTAACAGGCGCGCATTGGGGGAGAGGCTACGCACAGGTAGGCGGCATAGATGGAGTGCAGGTCGACGTCAAAGTCGGCCGGGACACCGTAGCGTTGTGCGTCGGCCATGGCGGAGGGAGGTTTGGATGGGGGTTGAGAAGGAGAGGGAGGGGATGCGGCGGCGTTGAAAGAGCGAGGGTGTTGGGCCCTGGGGCGAACGAGACGGACTAGAACGAGTGGGGGAGAGAAGATGAAAGGAAGGCGAACGTCTCGACGGGGGGCGACGGCGCTTGCACGGTCCACGCGGTCGGGAGTGAGCGGTGGGTATGCCCGTGCGGAGGATGAGAGGTGGGGGGGGGGGAGGGGGAAGGGGAGGGGGAAGGGGGGGAGGGGGAGTTGGGGTTGGTGGTCGATGATATGTAATGTGTTGTGGGTGTGGGTGGTGTGTGGGTGGTGGTTGCAGCTTTGCGCGCGTGGGCTGGCGGACGACGGCGCGACGGCGTTGTTGTGTGTGTGTGTGTGAGCGACACCAGAGAGACTGACTCTGCCTAGCCACGGCTGTTGGGCGGAGAGGGCGGAGCTGGCGCGGAGGATTCAAAGGAACGTGCCGCAACGGGGGGCGGCGGGCGGCTGGGGGGCTGTGCGTTTGGCTGGAGGCTAAGACGGTTGGGGATGCGAGATGCGAGATGGGCAGACTGGTGGCCGTGACGAGCGAACGAGAGACAGATGCGACAGATGCGACGGCGGTGACGATGTGTGAGTGTGAGAGACAGAGACAGAGACAGAATGCGCATGCCAGAGAGCCCCGGGGGGTGCGACGACGGCGTGTTACATGTCTCTCTCTGCTGTGGCCGTCGGTCGGTACATGGACGAGAGGGGTTGGCAGAGGGTTCCAGGGACAAAGCACCGAGACTAGTCTGACATTTCCCGGCGGCCGCCGCCGGGCAGCTCTGGGCTGTAGGCTGTGAGCTGTGGGCAAACATCCACGCGTGGACGCGTTTTTAAGCTTTCACCCATGCACCCACACACACACCGTACACACGTACACACAGTACACAGTCCCATAGTCGACGCACGTCTCGCTCGTTGTACCGTTGTGAGAGACCATGTGAGAGACGCTCGCAGCAAGCGGCGGCTAGTGGCTGGACTTGGGGAACTACTGTAATTCTGTAACATGCCACTCTCTCGACACATACCACTCCCACCCATTTCATCCCCCGTGTCCAAGCTCCTCTCACCCACCGTCTCTCACCTCTCAGATCGCCCGTCGCAACGGCGGGACCATGCTGGACTGCATCCGTCCGTGGCAGGCAGGTCCACCTTTTTGGTTCACCGGTGAGTCACATTTTGGGCCCGTCCACAAGAGATGGGACCCGAGAGATTGATTTAGGTTGCTGCAAGCTGCATGCCCACGCACCTACGTACTGTACGGTCTGGGATGCCTACCCGATCAGGACGACACAGATCCCGTGGTCCCAGAAGGGGCAGCGGGCCAACATTGCGCATGACAGAGCAAAACACAGGTACCGAACAGCTCGAGCAGCCTCAAGCCTCCTTGCACTCCGACGTCGCCCCCCACGGTCAAACCACTCTCTGTGCATGCACACCTGCTGCGCGCAGCAGCACGGGACAGAGCAGCAGAGACTAGAAATGGGCAATGGGCACGCGATGGAAACCAGGGCCCCCCCGTTTCAGGCAGGTGGGTACGCTGCAACGCGCTACCTCATGCCACTGTCATTTGCCATCATGCCATCGACAAACTGAAACGTGGCGGGCCGCAGAGTGACAACGGTGTTTCTGACAAGAGAGGCACATTGGGACATGGGTACATGGGTCAAACCTGGGAAACCTGGGTTCACTCCTAGCCTCCTTCTGGCCTCATCCTGACTCAATGTGTGTATAAGACCATCGCAGTTCCCGGGAGGTGGGGAAGGGCACATGAAGAGGGATGGGTGCTCCAGACTTGCCCCCAGAAGAGGGGGTGGAAGGGAGGCGGCGGTGACGTCCAGCGGGCCCATCTCAGGAACACTGCTGGATCCTTGGTCGTCCACTCCTCGTGTCCCTCTTCGCAACTTGACTCTCCCGCTCTCTCCCATGTCGTGCACACTTTCCCTCTGTGGCAAGAGACAATGCTTGCCAAGGGGGGGCCTGGCGGTGTCAAGCGGTCCCGGCCTTCAGGTCGTCTCTCTCCTCCAGTCACGGATAGACATCAGAGCCGACCCAGGGAAGGCCGTATGTCCTGGCCGTCTCATTCTGGCGTACCCTTTGCCCATTTTTTTGAATACAGGCATTTGCATGGAGGCAAAAAGGTATTAAAGTGGCCAAGAGTGCCAGAGTGCCAGAGTGTGGTTCAAGTGGCAAAAGCACACGCGACCCGCTCTTGGCACCGGGGCACCCGTAATTGATGGTTTCGGCGACGACGCAGACCCATGAACTGGATCACTGGAAGCCTCAAGCCACGCAAGAAGAATGGCGCCGCGGACGTCATCGCTTGGAATGAGGTGTGGCCGGTGGCCGGGGTGGCGGGGTCGGGTCGTCGCCCGTCGCTGTCCTTTGTCTCCTCTGTGCGCTGCGTGTGTATACAGCGGCACACGCCGGTACGCGCCGGCCAACAGCGAAATCTGGCAATTGGGTAGTACCTGGGTAAGCAGGCTCACATCATCATCATCATCGACCCGTCAGGCCCACACCACCGCCGACTTGCCGTTTGACGCTACTGTTGGCGTGTGCGTCCCGTCCATTGAACCCAGCCATCAACTACTGAATTCTAAACAAGGCTGCTGCGCTGCTGGTACAATTGCAGATCCCCAACACGTTTCCCTGCCGCAATGGTACAATGGTACAATGGCCAAAGAGAGACGCTCCATGCTCAATTGACGATGCCATGCCTGCCTCTGCTTTCGATGACGGGACACCTCACCAATGTAATGTCGACCAGAGCCAACGGCGAGCAACAGCGAGCAAGACGACTTGTGGTGTGACGATTCCCTTCGCCTCTCACTGGATCACAGGTGTGCCTATCCCCTTCGCCTGCCATTCGCCTGATCACCACATTGCCGAACTGGACGCGCAAGGTGGAGGGATCATGTTGGAAAGCAGCTGTACGGTACAAAACTCGACTGCCCGCCACGCTCGCTCCCCTCGTTCTCTCGCTTGGAGGCCGCAAAAGCTGGAAATAGAGCTCAAAACTCGGTATCCAAGCTCTTTCTTTAGCCAACCGACGCATCGACGGCGGACACCACACGCTTTTGCACCCAGGCGTACAGGCGTTATCGTCCCTCCACCTGTTGCTGGCGTTGTTAGCCGAAAGGAAAATGACCAACATGACTGCAGCTGTGGAGTCCCCGGCGTCGCTTTGCTCCGCGAGCGCGGGGGCCATTGCTCTCGAGCTCGCGAGTCGAGTAAGAACGCGCGGTTGTGTCATGCGCATCGTATCGCATCGCGTAGATTGCGACGGGCAGCACCAGCACGGCTAACACCTGGGCTCTGGGGACAACGTATAAAGAGGAGACGCGGTGGGTGCGGGACTGTTATGGCTGTTTCCCTCGTCGCTTACGCGCCAGTAACCACTACCACGCACCAGCAGAACGTCATCACCAGCAATGTCCAAGGTCTATGACGTGACGCACGGTATGTCCTTGGTTCTGGTGTTGTGGTGTTGGGTTGCGACCGTGCTGGGTGCTGATGTGAGACAGAGAACAAGATCATCCGCGAGCCCCAGAAGGCGCGGTATGGCGCCGACTCGATCCGGGCCAGTGAGTGCGGCGTGTGTGGGTCGACGAGGCAGCGGGTGGTGTTGGTGCTAGTGGTGGGCAGCAGACCACATCGTCCTTCCCATCCACATATACGACACCTACCCGGCTCCATGTCTACCGGGGATCACCATCTCAGACGGACACTGACAAACACCCCCGCAGTTCTGGACGAAGCACACTTTGTCAATGTCTCCTTTGTCGACGAGGACGGGCTACCAGTAAGCACACCTCCCCTACCTCTCCCCAAGCTCACCCCTCTCCCCAGCAATGCCTGCCCATGGTGCACGCCATCGAGCAAGACGCCGAGGGCGAACTGACAGTCTACCTGCACGGGTACCACAAGGGCCGGCTCATGCGCCTGCTGCCGCCCGAGTCGCGCGTGTGCATCACCGCCACGCTGCTGGACGGCCTCGCGCTCGCGCTGTCGGCGTTCCACTCGTCGATCAACCACCGCTCGGCCGTCCTCCACGGCGAAGTAGCCGACTGGGACGAGACGACGCCCGACGCCGCCGCGGCCAAGTGGGACGCCGCGAAACAGATTGTAAACCACGTCATGCCGGGCCGATGGGACAACTGCCGCCAGCCCAACAAGGGCGAAATGGCCACGACGGGGTTTCTCAAGGTGAAAATCCTGTCGGCGAGCGCCAAAGTGCGCACGGGCGAGCCGGGCGAGGAGAAGCGCGACGTCGAGGATGACGAGCTGACCGGCCGCGTGTGGGCCGGCATCGTGCCCACCAAGATCAGCTACGGGACGCCAGAGCCCAGCGCGTTCAACAGGGCGCCCGTGGGGGCTTACATGGACGAGTACATGGCCAAGGGTGGCGTGCCGGGTGGGTGAGCCCTGTAGTGTTGGTGTTGGTGTTGGTGTGATGGCTCCGGGTTTAGCGACGGTACATGGTATTGCTACATAATGGATTGTGTAAAGATGCGGGCGCGAGGAGGGTTTGTCTTGGTGCTACGGCACTGCGGTCTGCGGGCTTGGGGTGCAGCACAACTCTCTCTCTCTCTCTCTCTTCTAGCGTGTATGACAGTCTACGGTTACGTGTGTACTTTGAGTAAAGACTCGAGACACGAGTCTATGAGTGCGACGGGGCCGTGGTCGGCGGAACGCGACGGACGGTGGATACGAAGGGACGGCGAGCAACGTGTGGGCTGGGATGAGGGTGGTGGATGGAATCGTGTATCGTGCGCGTGTCTAGTTGACCTGTGGGGTCATGTCGACCGTGACAAAGTTGAGGTTGTCTTTGCATGTCAGTTACTTGCTGAGACGACGCGCACACCCGCCACGCCAATCGCTGCGCGCGATGATGATCATCGCGCGACCCTTCCCGCCACTCTGCCACACTACGCTTTACCAACCCGACACGGGTTTGTCAACGTTCTCTCACTGCGCCCTTCTAGACCTCTGAACCTTCTCGGTCTTCTCCAGGCCACGCCCCGGAAGCTGGGCCGGCCCGGCAGCTTCCATGTTCGTGGGACGCTCTACTCACACGCAATGTAGTCCTCTAGCCACTCGAGCTCGGGTTTGTCGGTACCGACATAACGCCTGTGGTGTGAGACAACGCGGGGAGGAGGTGTCGCGACCGTTACGTACCAGCACACTGTTGTGTTAGCTCACGGGTCAGAGTTGAAACACTCACTGTCTTCGATACGCTGGCCGTTGGGCTGTGGTTGTCAGCTCGGATAAAAAGCGCACAGCTGCCATACGAGATAGAAGTCGTAGTACTGCCGCCGTCAGCAACACCCTCTGAGGTCCACACGCGCCGCCAACCGGCCGTACTTGCCTTCATGTCTCTGTTCCATGTTAGCCAAGTGGTCCTGACACGGCTGCCGCTGTGCAACTGCAACTTTACAACACTACTCACTCGATAACGCCGCCCTGGCCATTTCGAGACGCGAGGAACAGGTGCATCGTGTCGTTGCGCCGGCCGACGTCGGGGAACCACCATGCTGCAGAGTTGGTTTAGCGCCAGCTCGCCAGCTCCACTGTTACACTCACTGCCGTTCATCCAGATGCACTCTCTGTGCATTGACGAGTGGAGGAGGTACTGGCTACACAGGGACCGCAGTCAGCCTCGTCTCGCTCTCTTGTCCGAATTTCTGACCCGCCGTCAACCCCAAGATCGCGCAAGTGCCTCTCGGAGCCTCGTGCCAGAAGGCTTCAAAACGAGATCTGTGGCCTTTTGGCCTGCCTGTGGCAAGTGGCCTGTGGCGTTTGGCACAGTGTGCACACCGTATGGCGCGTGGATCTCTACAACCGCCATCCCACAGCACGCCGTACGACATGCGTTGGGTGCCCACCCGCAGCATGCAGTTGCCTGGCTCGCAACGTGGTGGATAGGATACAAAACAGGGCAGACGTACTGGTAGTAAATGTCCCAGCGCTCATCGGCGTGTGCGAGGTGAGCCATGTCTGCCGCTCGAGAGACGTAGGGAGGGGTTGGTGAAGGTGAGGGAGAGGGGGAGGGGGATGGGGTGTTGTAGTATGAAAAGTAACTGGTCTAAGTGAGCGGGGGTTGGGTTGTGGTACGAGATTGTGGCGATGGACTAGAGATGGGATGAGATGGGAAAAGGGTGGAGAGTCCAACGAGGCTCGAGTTAGATGAGACGGAGTAAGAGTGCGATGGGGAGATAGCCGGTGAGGTTGGCCGGAGAGGTGGGGCTGGTCGTGAGAGTTGTGATACACATGTCGTGTGCGTCGCGCGGGGTCGGAAGCGGGCCTGCGCTGTACGTAGGGGGCGCGGTTCGAGCGATGAAGAAGCATGTCCGGCGAGGGACGGGGCGGCGACGGCGAAGGGATCTCATATGGGCGCGACAGAAGAAGGCTGGCGGACGCGTCGGGAGGGCGTTGAGGCAAAAGAACATATCGGACCTGCGGAACACTTACTCTGATCCCGACATCATTTCTAGTGCTGTTCTGGCGCTTGCGCCTTATAGCAGCGTGGACGCCGCAGGTATGTGGCCAGGCTCGGCCAGAGAGAACACAAGTGTATACCGGCGGCGGCGTGCAAGGCCGCCACCAGCGGGCACGTCCTCTGGTGCCGGGTCGCTTGGGAGTGGCGAAGACGAAGGAACTGGCTGGACTGGACTTCGACCAGATGTGGCGCAGGTAGCTGTTGCGTGGTGGGCGTTGGAGGGCGAGTAGTCGCGACAGGATGGCGCACACGAAGAACACTTGACCTGCGACAGGCAAGATGTAATCAGGAGAAGGAACGACACGAGATAGAAGTGGTATGTCACCTCGGCAAGAGAAAACGATGCAACGACCCCACCGCTTATGAACCAGGAGTGGAAGGTCTGTGAACAGTCTCGTACCGTACAGCCTCGCGGCCGTGCGTTCGGCGGCGGCAGCAGCGGCCTGGAGTGGGCCGAGAGGAGGGGCCAGATCTGCCCGTCACTACCAAGGCCCCGGGTACAGCAAAGACAATAGCGTCGACAGGTGGTGGTGCACCGGCGTTGGTACTGTGAGCGTGGGTGTGCGAGTAGAGAAACGACAGGGGTGCGCGCGGGGGGTCGTCGTCGGGCGCACGTCGAGGGTTGCTTCTGTACATCAATGGGCGCTGGAATGGGTGACCACCGAGGTGGAAAAGAAGCATTCATCCATAGGGGGGCGTCATGGGATCATGGGCGCCGAGAGCGACAGCGCACAAGAGGAAAAGGGCGGTGATCGCATAGCAAGAGGAGGTATCACCGCGAAGCAACGTAGAGAGGATCGAGCTCAAGGTTGGAGCGCCGACCGTCAACTCGTAGCCTGTAGGAGGGAGAACAAGGCAGCAGATGGCACATGTTGGTCAGACACATGGGGCAATTTTGAGGATGAGCGCGTCGCGACAGCCATGTTGTGGTGGTTCCGCCCCCTCGTCTGTTGAGCGCTGCTGAGGCTTTCACGTCCGTCGCATCGTTGCTTCTGAAGATCAGTCGGGCTGGTGGGTCGCAACATCGGGTTGCCGCGACACAAGTATCAGGATCAGAGGTGAGAGTGCGAGCGAGAAATCCACGTGTGCCACCTGTCGTAGGGAACGCTCACGGATTTGAAAGGTGATCATGTTGGGCAAGAGGCGTGAAGGGTGAGAAGTGCGACACAAAGCCCCACTGACGTCAAAACCGAGGCTGCGAGACGGGCTTTCGGGGCATCAGCGTGGCAGCGATTAAGTATCGTGGCGACGTCAACTTGAGCATTGTGCCGAAGCGGCCGCAACGTGATTGGTATGTTGATGCCGTGGAGGTGGCTCTCGTCTCGAGTCTCGGTTCGCGTAAATCACTTGGATCAACCCCAGTGGCACAAAAAGCTACATGACCGTCCAAAAAAAAAGCTGTTCGTAAGCGAGAGGGTGCAGCGGCCGGACAGCTCGAGACAAGCCCATCGGCCGGCCTCTGCTTTCCTCTCTCTCACGCCTTGCGCACAACCATCACACCCGACCTGTCGCCCATTGCCGACGAGCGCCGTTTTGGGGCGTGGCAAGAAATCAACGTCGGGGTAGCGTCCAAGTAGTCTGGGTGAGAGACACTTGAAAAACTGTGTGATGGGTGCTGTTGGTCAATGTATGCTACGCTATACGCCCCACGGTGCTGCAATCTTGAGCACGGGGGGCACCTTGAGCGAGCGGGCGATGAGGAGAACGAGGAAATGAGAGCGAAAGCAAAGGGGTGTGTCAACAACGCCAACGCAGTAAAGCGGGATCAAATAGCCACGTGGATGCCATGCCAGCCAGCCAGCCAGCTGCGACGCCCTGAATTCGCCACTAGATGACGGTGGTACAGTGTCAGAATCATCTCCGTGTTCCTTCTCTCAACCGTCCACTTCTGCCACCTCTGTCGCCTCTGCAGAGCGATGTCCTACACCCGCGCGGCCCCGACGCGCACACAGACACAGACACGCACAGGTGATCAAGACGTAGACGTAAAATGCACTGTGAGCTCTTCTCTCGCCCCCGACTGTGACCCCATGGTCGTCCACTCGCGTCTCTCGTTTGCTAACATTGTCTAGGGCCATAGCCGCAAGGCAACACGCCTCCAAGCCGGCCCACACACCAAGAATCCCGGTCGCTGGTTCTACACGTGCCCCCTTGGCCGGGACGACCCCCAGCGCTGCAAGTTCTTCAAGTGGGAGGATGAGGTGCCCGGCGCTGTAGCTTCTCCAGTCAAGGGACGCACCCTAGGCGGTGGACAGGTCCTCGGCAGCAGTGCAGGGGGCAGTGGCCAGACACTTGCCCAATCGCCCTCCAAACCCACTCCTACCGCTGCTGAAGGCGCTCAGCACCGCACACCCAAGAAACCCCGCATCTCCCCATGGTTCACCCCTACCAAACCCGATCCCGCGGCTCCTGCTGCGGCCTCTACGAAACCATCCGACTCGGGTTCGTCCGCCGACCCCGTCGACGTCTTCTCTGACGGCTCAGAGGATATTGACTGGGGAAGCCTGGACACGCCTGCGCTCGAGCGCGATGCAACGGAACACACTGCACACCGCGACCGCACGCGCGAGAGGGAGAACCACCCCGCGCCCGTGGCTGTTCCGGCCAAGTCGACGCCGGCAGGACGGCTGGCGGACCGCCTCGCTGCGGCCGCCGCTGGCAAGCGCAAGCGGGAGGAGGAGGACCAGGCGGCAGCTGGAAGTGGCCAGGAGGGAGGACCAAGTGGTGTTGTTGACACTGTGGGCGATCAGACTCCTACTCGGCCACGCTCGGTGAGTCGATGTCTACGTGTTGCTCAACTGACGCACAGGCAAACCCGTTCTTAGAAGACACGCCCACGGCCACGACCGCCGTTCCCAGGACTCCCGGCACTGCTTCCACCACCATGTCTGCTGTCGTGCCCCCAACGCCTGCCGACGGAACATCGAGGCCAACAGCACACCCGGCGCTCGGGCCTGTCAACTTGGCGCTCGAGGGACTGGGCGAGCACCTCGCCCGCCAGGACCGCCTCGTGCGCGCTGCCGAGGCGATGAAGAAGAGCATGCGCGTCACGATTCGGAACCTCCAGGACCGCATCAGGGAGCTCGAGAACGAGGTGGAGCAGCTGAAGAAGGGCAAAGACCCATAAGAGAGAAGAGAGGAGGAGCGCACTCGTGTGTAGTAGTCTGTTTGTAGCCAACCCGCACCCACATGTAAACTGTCCATATACATCCTCAGCAAAGTACAAATGAACTCACATATCTACCTAATGCCCCTCCACTCGAGCACCTCGAGCATGCCAGCCACCTGCTGCACGCCCATGACGAGCGAATACTGATCCTTGACGGCCTCGATCGAGGGCGTGTATCCCGGCGGGTCGAGGAGGGCAAGCAGGTCGTCGCGGGTACTAGGTGCCGAGGACAGCTCGCTCTCAGTGTCCGAGTTGTCGTCGTCGTCTTGCTCGTCCTTGGCCTTGACCTTGCCTTCAAAAGTCGAGGTGCGGCGGGAGACTGGCCGCGAATCCAAAGCGGTACCGTTGACCGCTGGCGTACCGTTGGCCTTGACGCCGTTTGCTTTGCCCTTTGGTGTCTTTGGCACTCCGTTAACGTCGCCATTGCCCGCCGCCGCCGCCTTTTCCATGTCCTTCACCTGCTTGCGGTTCATATACGCGAGCCAGAGACCGAGCTGGCGTGTGTCGTCGGCAGTGTTGAAATACATCCACCGCTCGACCTGCCATGGCAGACCGTCGGGGCTGTCCTGGCCCTCAATGGAGGGACCCCAGACCATGACACCCTTTGTCCAGCCGGAAGGGCGGTAGCGTTCTTCATGGATGAGGCGCGGCGTGAGGGCATAGTATACACGGCCGTCCGAATCGGTTCCCAGCGGCGCAAAGCGCATCACCTTGCGTTGCTGGACAGTGTTGACGATGATGTAGGCCTCGCGCATGCGCATGTTGTGCTGGTGTTGTGCGTCGTCAAACTTGACCTTGTTGGCCTTTGTCTGTTCGGCAGTCTTGCAGCGGACGCGCGCGGCCATGAGACTCTTCTTCTCTGCCTCCCAGCGCGCGTTTTCTTCCTTGTTGAACTGAACGTTCTTGCGCAGCTCGTCGCCGTACGCGTTGAACACTGCTGGGTCCATGTGCTGTCGCACAGCCTCGAGGTGGATCACAAAGTCGATCAGCGCCATGAGCATGCGGATAACCTCGCTAGGCTGGGGGATACGGCTGGCGCCGCGGCGCGAAGGACCAGAGTCGATCGCCCACGAAGGTGTAGGCTCGTCGACGCCAAGTTCCAAGAGGGCACGCACAGCGCGGGAGTTGCGCTCGCGTGTCGTGTCGACAGCCGGGGGCATCTCCAAGTCGAGCCAGTCGGCAACCTCACGGAAGATTTGCGCAAAACGGCCCAAGTCGGCGTATGCGGACCGCAGCTCCTCGCGCTTTTCCTCGACAGACTCGATGACAGTGAAGTCAATACCGTGACTGGCTCCGCCGTCCGCAATGATGAGATCAAGCAGTGCACCAGCCAGTGTGCGGACACTGGCTTCGGTCAGAGCCTGGTCAAAGTTGTCCAGAGGTCCGAGGGCGCGGTCGGGCAGGTTGAGAAGGACGCGGAAACGATTCATGAACTCGCGGACCTGGGGAGGAGAGTCAGTCCGTGTCGACACACAAACACTGCCACACTCACATAGAGTCGTTGCTCGACCTCGTCGCAGTTCATACGCGTGTCCACGGGGTTGAAGAAGGGAGGCGCCACGGGAGGCTCCACCCATTCGGCGATAGCCTTAGCCTTTGCCTTTGCCTTGTCTTCCTTCTCTTTCTCCTTGGCCTTTGCGTCCTTGGCCTTTGTCTTTGTGTCCTTTGCGGTGGCCGCCTTGGTCTTTGCGTCCTTGCCGGTCGCCGCGGCCTTGCCCTTTCCCTTTGCATCCTTTGCAGAAGGCTTGGCCTTGCCCTTGCCCGTCTTTGCGTCCTTGCTCGCTGCTGCAGCCTTGGGTGTGGCCTTCTTCGTCGCAGCAGCGCCCTTCTTTGGTGTCACCTTGGGCTTTGGTGGGCGTCAAGGTCGCTCAACTCGCTCTCGTCGTCGTCGGCGCCTCGGCTCTTGCCGTTGGGCAGGGTCCCCGCGTCGGTCTGCTGCACAATCTCAAGAGGCGTACAGCCCGCCTGTATCGCAAGCTTGACGATATCTCCAAGAGGCCCGAGTCCTTTCTTCTTGCGACCTAACACACACACGCACGTCAGTCACCACCCCTTCCATACGCACACATCCAGGTCCATCACAGCGCCACACTCACAAGTCGAGTTTTGGCACTCGTCCTCACAGCACGGGCAGGAAAACACGTATTCCTTGTCGGCATCGTGCTTTTCCAGCTCTGCGGCAGAGACGTTCTGCCCGCGTGCCCGGATCGCATCGGGGTCAATCTCGTAGCGCTTCTCGAGGTCGCGCTCGCACCACGCCAAGTTGCACGCGCGCGCCGGCGTCGCCTTGGTGTACTTGCGCAAGCGGGTGCACCGGATCACACCTGGGGGACGGACAGTCAGCAAGGCGTCCAACGGTCTCGTGGATGGGCACATACCTTCAGGCTCGCATTTGGTTCGACACCTGTACCACTTGGTCAGTCACCTTCCCTGTTCCCTTGGGCTATGCTATCCATCCGCAACCCACTGATGACAGTATGTGCCCTTCTCGGGCTTCTCCTCCGTAGCAGGCGCCTCGGCCTGGTCCTTCTTGCTCTTCTTGGCCTTGGGTGTTGAGATGTTGTTTGCCGCTGCTTCAGATTTGCGCTTGGTTGCAGCTTTGGTGGTGGTCGGAGTGGGGCCCTTTGAGGCGGGTGGGGGAGGTGTGAGGGATGGCGACCGTGACAGCGGAGATGGGGAGGACTGGGCAGTCGTGCCATTCGTCAGAGCCGGGAGCTCGCTCGCGGCGCTGTGCGACGTGGCGGTCATGGGGGAGGACGAGGTCATGGAATGGGGGAATGGAGAAACGACAATGTGGAGCAAACGCGACGCGTCTCGAAGTGCATATCTGGCCTAGGTTACGGGAGTAGATTTGTTGACGCCTGATCGACTGTGGCGCCGGACCTCCAGCCCGTGCCCAGGTGACGCAACGTCTAGTCATCCATCGAGCTGCGAGTGGTATACACACAATGCATGGTAGTATAGGTACATGGTCATTACTGTTGGCTGCGCTTGAGCCAGTCCAACACACTCCCACTCGACTGCGTCTTGCCCCCACGACGCTTCTTCTTGCCACCACGGTCGCCGACGTCCGTGCCGACACTGCCCGCGGGCCTTTTCTTGGGTGGTGACAAGCTAACCCCGAACTCGTCGCCGAACGCATCGTGGTTGAGGCACAGGTCAATGTGCTCGTTGAGCTCAACGTTGGACGTCCCAGCGTCAAGAGTGCGACTGCAGATGGGACAGACAGGACCTGCGACCATGCTTGGGCTTGGGTCCAGCTCGACACTGGGGCTGCGCTCGTCGCTGCCACCTGGCTTGCGCTTGAGGAGCTCGACGTCATCGTCGTCATCGTCCAACTGGGTGACATCGATAGCCTCAGTGGTGGAGCTAGAGGCAGCAGGGGTAGCAGAGGTGGAGCCAAAGAACTGCGGGTGAGTTGTAGACCAACGACGGGCTGCCAGCTCACCTGTTTGATTCCCTTTTCTGGAACGGTGAGGTCTTTGAGGGTGGACATGCGAATGCCTAGCAGGCGAATGCGCACAGGAAACTCTTTACGCATAAGTTCGAGGGCAATCTGAAGCGTCAGTCCAGTGCTACTACGACACTGAGCTCACGGGAAGAATGTCATCCTTGGAGTTGATAAACTTGGTGACCGAGTGCGCGCGGGACTTGCCTACTGGGTTAGCCCAGGCTACCAACCGCTCAGACCCACTTTCAAACGTGTGCAGCTTGAACTTGACTGTCACGGTACGTCCAGAGTACTTTAAGCGCTCGAGGTCACCCTCAAGCTCTTCGGCGATGCTCTCCAGCTCTCCAAGAATCTCGTCGTTGTTGCTCTTCTCGCGAAAGGTTCTGGCGAATTAGATACACGGCTCTATGCAAGCAACCCACCTCTCCACCCCAACGCTCTTGCGGTTCTCGCGCTTTCCAGGCTCGACAGTGTTGTCGGCAATGCCAAGGTACGCTTTGCTTGCCGGGTCAGCCCGTTGCAGCAGGACGGCAAACCTACCAGAGCCCGCGGAACGTGAACCAGTGGTCCATGAGAAGGAGCTCGGCACGGCGAGTGTAAATGTCTCCACACACCTGCACGGTGGGTGAGCTTCAGTAAACGCCAGACTACCGTCTGAACCTACCTCGACGCCCAACCCCTCGAGGCATCGCTCAGTGACGCGGCCGAATCCTGGAATCTTCCTGACTGGCAACTCGCGCATAAAGGCTGTGATAGCGTCGCGACTGAAATCGAGCTCGAACACGCCATTGGGCTTGTTCTTGTCTGAACAGATCTGACGGGTTAGGTTGCGTCCGTGCACACCTGACGCACCTTCGCAAGCATGCGGTTGGGAGCAATGCCCGCAGAGATGGTGAGACCCGTGTTGGCCTCGACTTCCGCACGGAGATGCTCGACGACCTCCATGGCTGTCAGGTTGTGCGATGACATATACGGTGTGATACTGGATAGTCAGCTACGTCACGGACAAATCATAGCAAGCTCACTTGAGGTATCCTTCGTCCAAGCCTGCCATTGCGAGGTTTTCATCGTACTGCCCGTTAGCTTACGTGGAGGCGATCTCCAGCTAACCTGTTGAAGGACGTCTCGGACCTTCTTAGATGCAGCGCCGTATAGGTCAAAGTGGAGATCAGTGCTGGCAATGTCAGCTTGCACCGTGCAGGAACCCACTCAGCTCACATGATGATATGTGGGCAGAGTTTGCGCGCAACAAAGCCAGCCATGCCCGACCGACAACCATATTTGCGCGCTTCGTACTGTTGAATTAATAAGTGCCACGTCCCCAACAGCCTTCCCAGCAATGACTCACAGAAGCCGTACACAGCACGCCGCCACCCACACCAAACGCCTTGCCCTTGAGCGTTGGATCACGCTGGATTTCTACGGCGGCGTACTGAATGTTCAGCACAGGGGCATGCACACAGGAATATACTCACAAACATGTCCATGTCGACGTGAACGATGGTCTGTGACAAGTCACGCTTGGCTTCGACTTCAACGAGCTAGACGCTTAGCGAGTGGCTGAAGTCCGACTGATTGCCAAGGTACACTCACGATCTTGTCGGCGTCGGCCTCAAGCTTAAGGATGTCGGATGCGGCAAGAAGAGAGTCGCGCTGACGCTGTTAGCTAACTATGTAATGTATGGAAGAGAGCTTACCTTGGCCTGGAACCACTCGATCTTCTCGTTGAGCTCGGCATCCTTGCGCTGCTGGTGCTTGAAGAACCTGTTGGGTCAGCGCGGACGGGTTACTGTACATGCTTTACCCACTTAGAGTCCTTGGAAGCTTCTGCAATTCGACGGTTGATCTCTGCCATCGTCAGATCCAAACCCGTGCATTGAACACACCAGACTGGTCAAGGGCGAGGCCTACAAGAGTCAGCTTTACACTTGTTCGGTGTCAAGTTGTACGCACCAGCTTTGCCAACGCTTGCACCGGCGAGAGAGCGCTCAAAGTCGCGCTGTCGCTTCTCCACCGCACAACGCTCCTCCTCCGTCATCGCATCGGCCTTGGGATTGGCGGCCATCTGGCCGTTCGGTACATGGAAATGTTGGTGGTAGTAGGTTGCAATGTTCAGCCTTGTGACGACATTGCTTTTGAAACAACACAAGAGGTCCAGTCACTTCTCATATCACGTGACCCAGCATTCTCACGGTCGACCGACTGACCCCGTCCATCCAATCCCAACTGCTCTTTTTGCAACTATTCCTGCAACTCGTCTCTCATGACGTTCTCGCACACTTCATATAATCCGTTCCAGACTGTGCATTGACCGGAGGGTTGGGGTGGTGGTTAGACCTATTTGCCTCTATTTACCGCGCAGCTTTTTCTCCCTTTTTAAAGGCCAAGTTCGTCGCTGAGGCGGTCAGTAAATGCTGCTAAACAGTCAACATTAATGTCAAAACTCACGCGTAGGGAAGGACGTGGGTGTTGCCAACGGCAACGACTGTTGGCTTAGCCGAGAAGAGGGTCGACGCGGCCTTGGTGACGGCGGCGGCCGAGAGGGCGTCGAACGAAGCGACGTCGAGGGTGGCGTTGCCAAAGACGGCAGGGGTGACGGCGGCGACGAGCGAGTCGGCAGTCTCAAGCTTGGTAGCCTCGGCGAACTTGGCCTTGGCGACGGCGCGCTTGAGCTCGTCGTCCTTGACACCAGCGGCAGCGCCCTTGATGGCGGCAGCGACCTCAGTAGCCAGCGAGCGGACGGCCTCGGCGGTGGGGGCCGAGACGACGACGCCGAAGAGCGAAGCGTCGGTGTAGCCAGTAAGGAACGAGCGGACCGAAGCGCCGGGGATCTTGGCAGCGGCCTGGGCAAGGGGCGAGGTGCCGGGAGCCCACTTGAGCGACGACTCGCCGCCGAGGAGGTGGGGAAGGACCGAGAGCTCGGGGGTAGCGGCACCAGCGGCACCGTAGGCGATCACCAGAGTGGGCTGAGCGGTAGGGTTGGCGTGCGAGTCAAAGGCAATGCGAGCCTCACCACCGAAGTACTGCGAGGCGGGGGTAGCAAGCGACGAAGCACCGGCACCCTCACCACCGAAGGTCGACTCGACGGCGGCGGCAAGAGCCTCGGTCGAGATACCCTGGCCAATGACAGCAATGTTCGACTTTGCGAACGCGGCCTTGGCGTACTGCTTAACGGCGTCAAGAGTCACGGGCGAGGTAGGCTCAGCGTAGATAGAGTTGCCGAGACCACGGCGGAAAGCGACCTGGTGGGCAGTGTCGATGGCGGCAGCGACGGGGTCGGCGGCAGCGGCAAGAGCCTCACCCTGGACGGTGGGGAGGACCAGCTCCGAGTACTCGTGGGCAAGGAACTGGGTCGACGAGAGGACCGAGGCAAGGAGGGGGAGGAAGTGAGCCCTGGGCGAGGAGTCAATGTGGCGCTCTTCAAGATTCACTGCTTCGAACGGCCAATACTCACTCGTCACCACGGAGGAACTCGGCGGTCAGGAAGATGTGCTCGCGCGAGACGGCAGTCGAGAGGACACCACCGTAGAGCTCAGTCTCACGGACGGTGCGGAGGGGCGAGCCAGCGGCAGTCGACTGTGAGGGTCAGCTCAATGGTCCCGTAAAGAGCAAATGCGATCTCGGCACGACGGAGTGAAGTTGCGATGGAGGGAGCTGTTGGGCAACACAAATGACGTTGTAGCTGGCACAAACAACGGTGTTTTGGGCCTGCCAATGCAATGGCCAGCGTGCACTCGACCCATGGCAAGGCCGCTGCTGCCAGAGCCAATTGCGCACATTCGCAACGCTCTCCCGCGTGCGCGCAAGTTGCCAACTCCAACGTTTCCACGAGCTCCGCAAATGTCCGGAGAGCTTGTTTCGAGCTCTTTGCAAGCTCGGTGTTCTGCTGCCGACGGCCGCGATGGACGCACCTTGAACGCAAAGTTCTTGAGGACGTTGGCGACACCGGGGGTGGTCTCGTAACGCGAGCCGGCGCGGATAGCGACGGTGACCGAAGTGGTCGAGGGACGCGAGCCGTTTTCAATGCCCACGACCTTGACGCCAGCGGCCTCGGCGACGTTGGCGGCAGTAGCGTACGACCTGCGGAGGGCCGGGACGGCGCGGGGGAGGCGGAGGAGAGACATGGGGGGTGGGGAGAGGGGAGTGGAGTGAGAGAGGTGTGAGCTGAGCGTTTGGAATGAGCAGCTTGGCCGCACGACGGAACGACGAGGGACACCCAACCACCAGTGCAGCGCCGTCCCCCCGCGCGCCCGCCCAGCCTGCAACCGCTGCACAGTGGTTGGCTCGACACAGAGCCGGGCAGACACGGACAGCCGGCGTTATCGTCCAACGCAGTGATAACCCCGTCGCGTGGCACTGGCGGTGGCTCATGGGGTGTTTGCTGGAGGCTTGTTTACGCTTTGCTCTTCTGCATACACACCCTCCATGCATACTCTCGGCATGCACGCGTACAAGGCCCAAGGCGTGTCCTGTCTCCATTCACTGCAAGGACAAACTCTGTCGGTACCGTTCTGGACCGCCCCCGCCCTGCACACCCACATGGACGGATCACACACTCACTCAACTGAAACATCATGTCGCCTGTGCTTCTTTCACGGTCCTCCCCTTGCACCTTGCTTGCTTCAAGCACATCAGCCCGTTAGCAGCAACCTCCAGACCACTTGCCTCCCCCTGCATGCCACATCTCCCACGTTCAGCGCTCAAACCCTTTGCTCTTGCGAGCTCTCCAAGACAATACACATGCGCACATTCATATAGGTCCCCGGCGATCAAATGACCCGGCAAACAATCACTATCAGAAGGCCAGACACGGACGAGGCGCCTGTTCTGCGGCTTCGCACCGGCGAGGTCACAGGTCCCCACTGATGGCGCGACCCAGTCCTCTCGACGACAACTCGGGATGACCTCTACTTTGCCCCTATCCATCCACATTCACCCTCACATATCACAATGACCCGCTCAATGACGTGCACCATTGATGGCTGCTCCGCAGAGGCTCTCGACAACGGGTTACGGGTGGCGTGTGGTCGACGCCTGTGTGAGGCCCACTCGACAACAGAATGGCACCCATGTCTTCACCGTTCTGTGAGCTTATGCCGTCGCTCGTGCAGCTCTTCACACTGACACGGCAAAAGCCAGACAAGCTCGTAGGCAAGACTTGTAGCGACCACCATCAGGTGCGCCTCTCCGCCAACTCTATAGCAGCAGCGCTGACCCTCTGAAGCTCTTTGGGCTGATAGCTCGTATCGGCGAGTCACCTATCGCCACCGCCGCTCTTCGACTTCGCCCCTCGGCCCAGTCATGCTCCATCCGTCTGCCCATGCTTTCGGGGTTCAAGACCGACTATCTCGACGAACTGAGGGACACTATGGGGGGATGCAACCTGCACATCCCCGTTGAGTTTGATGACGGCGTTACCTGGTACGCTCGTGTCCGCCTCCAGCACGGCCTCTGCTCGCGCGACGAGATGCGCCTCGTCATGCACAGCGAATACACGACGATGAAGATGATGAAGGAGATTGCGCCAAAGTACGTCCCCGACGTGTGGATGCCGGAACAACCAGGTGAGTGCAAGGTAGTGATGGCAACTATAAAATGCTGACTGATGGCAAAGACGCCATCGAGTACTTTTTCGTGGAGCGCGTCGACAACGCGTCGTGCCCAAAGATTGTTCTCTCTGGGACAGGGCGTCAGACAACCAAGGCGATCCACGACATTGCCGACTACCTCCTCCAAGTGGCCAAGCGACCATTCCCAGCCATTGGCAGCCTGTACCCGCGTCAAGGCGAGGGTGCGCAAGAAGGTGTCCCCGTGTCGGACACTTCTGTACTCGCGTTCTCAGTCGACATCTGGAGCACCGGCCTTATCCGATTCGGGCCCTTTGCCACCAGTGGCGACGCCTACTCGACCCGGATCAGCTGCTATATCCAGCTTTTGGAGACGAGCACCGAACCAATGCCAGACCGCGTCTTCACCTACCTCATCTCCCTGGAGATGTTGGCGTTGATCGCCCAATGCCCCGAAATGGCCCAAAGCGGTCCTTCGTACCTCAAACATTGCGACGACCACCTAGGCAACCTCTTGCTACGGAACGACGGGTCCCTGGCGGCGCTGATTGACTGGGAGTACGCCTCAACTGCCCCGCTAGACGAGGCGTTTGTTGCTCCGTGGTGTCTCCTCGACTGGCCACGCTTCAAGGCAGGAAACAACCACCTCAGCCTCGGCGAGAAACAGCTGCACGACATCTTCCTCGAGCACGGTCGCGCCGAGCTCGCGAACGCCGTCACGGCTGGACGCAAGTACCACCGTCTGCGGCAAATCATCGAGTTTGAGCCCGATGGCATCACTCTCGAGACTCTGTGGGCGCTGCGCACTGCCTTTCTCGGCGAAGAAGGTGCTGGGCCACGGCCCGAGGACGTGAACGAGTGGCTCCAGCTCGCCATGGAGCGGTACGGCAACGACCCGGGCCTGGACCGCGTCTTTGATATTATCGTCACGAGCGCATGGTCAGTGGCAAAGGACACTGAGGCGGCCGCCCAGTCTGCCCAGCTCGTGGCAGGCGAACTTCAATGTGCCATGGTCGCCAACTCGCAGTGTCCCAGCGGACCATGGCCGCCGTGGGCCATCGACCATCCCGTCGGGTTCGGCGTCCGTGTGCGCCTCTTCAACGCCGTCAAAGTGCCGCGCCTACGCACAGTCGTCACCGCCGCCCGTGCCGCGGCTGACAATGCCCGCGTCCACGCCGCCAAAGCAGCGGGATACAGCGCCGAGGCCCGCGGCGCGTACGACGCACTCCAGGCGGCCATGCTGAGCGTGCACGAGTTGGGGTTCAGTGGTGAAATCCTCAAGGGCAAGTATGTCGACAGGTCGCTCAGCTACGACCCTGTGATTGCCAGCGTGCGCTGGACAGCCCTCGTCAATGTCCTGGGCGACGCTGCGAATGCGACCGAGGCGGCGGCCCAAAAGGCAGAAGAAGCGTTGGGGAGGTGTGAGGCGGCGGTGTTTGAGGCAGAGACAGCGCTGCTGGAGCGAGAGGGTGCATGATAGTGGGACTTTTTCTATGTAACAGGCAATGTACATACCAATTGTGAAGAGCGCAGGTGCGGAGGACGGCTACCAATGTTGAAATGAGGTGGATGTGAGCCAAGTTGCGCGCAAATCAACTGGGATTGCACATGTCCCTCGGCAACTCATGCACACGTTTCACTGTGCAGAGAGTACACCCGTGAATGGAAAGCAGTCGCTATGTAGCCCATTATTGGTGACTTTGTGATACACCGACGAGCGATGTGGCCGTGGCGAGAGCGTCGCAGCCTAGTCCGAGGGCACTGAAAGCGAGGAGGACGCTGAGAGCCACGTGTGGAGCGCCTCAGGAAGGAGGCTCGCCCCACCCTTCTCCAACAAGTCTCGTGCCCGTCACCCCTCCCGAGTCCAACGCCGAGAGCGGAGAGGGTGGCAACAGCGACGAACACCTTCCTTGGAGCACCGAGGTTGTGAGCGCAACCCTTTGCAGACCTTGCACTGAAGCTGACAACAAGGGACTAGAGAAGGTCAAGGCTGGCATCTCCGAGTTCAGGGAGCTCAAGACCCGTACCATAAAGTGCTCGATGATCTTCGCGAGAAGGAGAAGAAGGACGAGCAGATGGAGAAGGATGTTGCCGACCTCGTCAAGCGCTTCCAGTCGGAGGACTAGAGTCATGGCAAGGATATCAGGATATGAAAATCCTCGTGAACCATGAATGGCCCCCATTTTGTACACTTCATGTCACAGAGATCCTTCCACAGTCTGCTGTCCGCTCGCAAGCAAAGTGCATTCACTGTTCACAACTGATCTTCATCCACGACCTCGTACTCCCGCCACATACGAAAATGTTTTACGTAATCGGTCTTTGTACAACCACACATCCCATGTGGCGCCGATCCCATCATCCTCCCTCGCTCCAACAACAACCTACTGGACGGCCCTCGACTGAGCCGCGGCGTGCATGGTCTCCTCGGCCTCGGTGACGGTCTTGGACCACCTCCACGCGGGGATCTTCCTCTCGTAAAGCTCGTCGATCTCGGCAGCAGAGCGGCTAAAAGGTGTCAGCGGCAGGACTTTCGTGCGGATGTGTTGCGAGGAAGGGAGCGGTGTGGTTCCTCTCCTAGGTTCCTCCCCATGTCCACTTCCTCCCTCGCTGGCTGTCACGCAATAAGACTTACCCCTTGGTCTCCGGGAGGTAGAGCCACATGAGAATACAGATGGGGAACGAGAAGGCGCCGAAGACGAAGCCGGTCTTGAGCGACATGGCCAAGAGCATGGGAGGGGTGGCGTAGCTGAAGGCATAAGCATCCTTCTTCAGGTTGTCACGAGTGTTCTATACGCTTATGGAACACTTACCAGGTGGCAATACCGAAAATACTGTTAACCAGGAAGCAGACGGGCTGTAATTAGGAGTCAGAAGGGTTCATATGGCAGGTTCGGATCGGACGTACACCAGTCTTGACTGAGGAGGGTCAGCGGGCCGTTCAGAAGCGATAGAAGCCGTAGACATCACTCACTCCTCAGCTGCGCGTTGGGGATCTCCGCCGAATACAGATAATAACTCATTCCAACGACCTGGAAGGCCATCGTCCACTAGACAGTGAGCAGAAGAAGGTGTCGGTGACTTACGAGACAGCAAATAACCAACTGATCGGCGTCAGTGAAAATGCCCGATAAATCGCCGATCTCTCCATTAAGACTCACAAGAGCTGTACCAGCCGCGGCGTTGCCGCTGGTGGCGCCGGTCCACCAGAGGCCGCCAACGGTGAACAGGATCAAGACACAGAATGTCTGGCAAACGTTGATGATCCAGCGGCGACCGATTGCGTCTGAGGCAATGGACCAAGCAATGACGGCGATCAGGTTGCAGCAACTGGGATGGCGATCAGGAACACTCCAACGATCCGATGACCACTGTGTTGGCACTCACGAGAGAATAACACTGCCGAGGAAGGGGTCCTGGAGACCGGCGAGGGAGAAGAAGTCTGTAATCAGCAGCTGGAAGGGTTTTGCCACTTACAGGTAGAGTAGGTGCTGATGATGGCCAGTCCCGCAAGTTGCTGAGCCGCAGAGAGAAGCATGACGATGAGGGTGCGTTTCTGCGCCTGTCAGATAATGCCTACCAACCCGGGGATACTCACCAAGTTAAGGCCCTTGAAGATGTCGACGAACTTGGGTGCGTTGTTAAGCCTCTCCTTCTCGTGCTCAAGGGTCCTCGCAATGATTCCGTACTCCTCCTCAAAGTCGAAGCCCTCAACGTTACCGTAGAGGCGGTGGAGAGACTTCATGGCCGCCTCCTTGTTGCCGCGCTTGGCGTGGTACCAGGGAGACTCGGGGATAAACGCCCAACAGGCAAGCATCAGAACGATGGGGCCCCAAAGGATACGCATAGCCAGGAGGTAGTTGTCAGGGTGGTTTGTGTTGAGACGCTGCATCATGACTGAGACAATGATGCCACCAATGTTAGACCTGTAGAACGTCAGCTCCGCTTCTCGAGAACACTCGGGACGTACCAGACAGCCTGGAAGGTCACTATCACGGTCAGCATTGTTCTTCTTCTCGGAGTTTATTAACGAACCCATGCCACCACGGATGCGGTTCGGGACAATCTCCATGATGTAGACCTGGCAAGTGATTCTGAGCCGTCAGCGGTGTGCTTGAGGACGTGACGCGGGGATGATCGGCAAAGTGCCACATTCGGATCGCCCCGTCATCAAACGTGCGGATAACTCACTGAAGCACACCGATACCAGCTCCGTTGCAAAGCTTAGCAATTGCCTGAACGTCAGTCCATATCCAGAACAATGAAGCGGTCGCCACAATGGCGGCAAACCGGCAGAGCGATGATACTCACCCAAACGGGTGGCGACTTGGCGGTGTTAAGCAGCGTGCAACCCTACTACGTCAGTTGCGTCTACCACAATTGTGTCCGGAAGGCCACATACCACGATGAGCCAGAGCCAAGCGATGTAGAATGAGAATTTGCGGCCAAACCTGTCGGCGACCCAGCCAATGTGGGTGAATGTGACCATCTGACCAATGTTCTGCAGTTGTGAGTTATTCCGTCCGTCTCTTGTCTATTCCGTTGGATAAGATGACATACGAGGAAGGCACTCCAGGTGGAAACTGAGCAACAAGGTCAGCCCCGTGTCTCGAAACGGTTGCACAAATAACGCACCCCAGGTGGGGTTGAGAGCCCTAACACCACCGCCACCGCCGTCTCCGAACTGCTTAATGAAGCCTGCATTCGCGATGACACTGCCACCCGCACCAAGCTGTATGGGGTTAGTAGTTGAAAAATGCTGTGGGAGGCCAAGTGGACCTTACCTCAAATCCCTCCATCATGTATCCAGTGTACACGCAAAGCGAGTAGAAAACCGCCCTGCGGAAGACCCACACCGTGCGAGGGATGGACAGCTCGTCGAAACGAGACTTGACAAGACCATCGGACGCAGAGTGGTCGACCTTGGCAAGCTCGACATGGGTAGCCTCGTGCTTCTCCGCCTCGTGCTCGAGGGTCGTCATTGTGTGTTGTAGTGTTGTTGTGGGCGTGGTGGCAGGTTGGTTATCAGCGGTTTGGATCAAGGCTGGAGCCGAAAACAAGTGTGATGGGATTGACAGGGTCTTTTGACAGTTCTTCGGACCTCTTTATGACCAACTGGTCCTGCGGGAGCTGTCGTACGGGAACAGGGAGCTCGGTACATGTCGAACACAAAACACCGAGGCGTGCCCACCATCTCGCCACTGATAACCCTCGGCACAACTGTGGACGGAGTGCGCAGTGCCGGCACTCCACGGGGCCGCGCATGGGGCCCGCGCAACCCCCTGACCCCCAGGGTGGCGTTCGCTCGGCAGGCTTGTCACCAGACTTTGTTGGAGCGGTTTAATGATATCCCTCTAGCCTCCCACGTAATCCCCGGGACATGTGGGTCGGCCCAAGTAGCCGGCCCACACCAGATTGCAGCGAACGGCAGTTAAACCTGGCTGGCCTTGAAAAGCAATGGCAGGTAATGTGCCGGAGGAACGGCCGGAAATGGTGGCTGGGCGCTGCTACTACAACCCACTGCTATGATTGCCAGAAACGTTCCTCTGTTTCCGTGCCCGCCTCGGATCCTCGGATGTCTAGAGTTGCTCTATCCCACTCCCAACACCCAACACGTTCCAGATCTTGTGCTATGAAGAGGTCACGAGATCACCAGATGGCACTGCGTTTGTTCCTGTTCTCGGCGAATCATTATCCCAACTCGCTCGGCAAAAGGACCGAAGTCTTGACCTTGCTCTTGCTGCCAAGGCTGCCAAGTTAGGGTGCAAGGCCCACATCCAACTGGGCCCATGGGCCCATATGCTCTGCGTTCGTGTTTATTAGATGCCAATTGAATACCGTTTGGGAACTGAACTCGGGAGAGGTGCTTGTCCGAATGCAGGCGGACAAGTCCGGTGGCCGGTGATCCTTATTCCGGGTGTGTCTCTTTTCCGAACTTACTCCACAAGAACATGACGTACAGGATGGAACCTCGGACATGACGGACTTCCACAACAGTGCCCAACAATCGGCCATCTAGTGCGGACATTGTTACCAGTTGAGTCGGTACAACGCTGCACCGATGGTACTGGCGAGGCGCGTTCTTGGGGAAATCCTGGTTATTTCGGTCCTGCGCTCGGTTTGAGGTCCGGCAACGATCGGCGACCACAGCGATCAATTGCATCCTCAGTCATGAGACAGCCTTAGGCGTAGCATCATCCCGTGCTTGCAGTGCGCCAGTCCTAGCTCATGGAAGCGTTATTGCCGCTCAAGTCGCTTATCGTGAGCTGCCGCTTCAATATCACGGCCACATTGTACCGCTGTGCCGGTCTACATAGCCACTACTGCGTGTTGATGGTCGTTGTGTACCTCACAGAAGAGGACCACCCAAAGAATGTCCGGCGCAGTTTGTGCCACCTCGGTGTCAAGATATCCCTTGACGGGTTGATGTGGTAGCGAAGAAGTCTCAGACAGGCCCCGTTTGAGGCAATACACCCCCATTCAGGCCGTGAGCTTGCAGGCAACCCATGATCGACCAGCAAATGCCCACTAATTTCCATCGCCAGCCGTCTAGCCAGGATACAGGACAACTCCTTTGATTGTTTCTCAATAGAAGGATCACGCTATCGTGCTCGGTGGTACCAAACCAGTTACTTCATAATAGGCAGGCGTGTCTTGCTCGCCTGATGGCACGCGGGGCAGGAATAGCAACATCAAGTTCTCGGGTAGAAAAACACCTCCAGAGGACGAACCTGGTCAATTCTGCTCTCCGATGGAGGTCATGCCCCACAGAACCCAGCTAGGTATAGGACAGCTCTAGAACTCCGGGACATGGACTGGAACAAGTTATCGTCTCTCAAGAGCGACCCCGCCACGCCTGAGTCGATATTCGTTAGACAGTTAACACCACATATATAGCTGATTCCATGTGTAACCCTCGTCCACATGGTAATGTGCACCTTGTAAGATCACCTGAGTGAACTGGCGCGACTGGAAGCCTTTGCTTCGCGGATGCCTCCAACAATGGCGATACAGTCTGCTTCTATTCATGTGCTAAACGGGTACGCAGGTGTTGCAGATTCGCTGTCCTGCCTTCAGATGACATCTACCTACGAACGCCGGTCGTGGAACGCCACAACCTACATTCGCCTGCTAGAGTCGCCTACCCATGGCGAGCTTGTGGATGCAACATACGCAGGCGGCAAGTACACATGTGGACAGGTACATACATACATGTAGAGCTCTGCTGTTGTGAGGTAGTGCGCAACGGACGCAGTCACGTTTGTGTTCGTTGTATTATCAGCTTCGCTTGCATGTGATCGAATTCTTCTGACCGCCCAACGACCTGCAGTGGCTTGTCGCATGCAGTGTGTAGTGGTAAGCAGCGCCACCAGGCCAATTAAACCCCCCAATGGTCGGTGTATCGCTGTCCCGCGGGTGGGCATCCTGTGCACCGTGCGGCGCGTTCTGTGTCGTATAGTTCCGGGGAAAACGCGGATTGGTATTCCGGCTCGCATCAGCGAAGCTTCCCTCCTTCCTCGACCAAGGGTGGCTCGGCGACGAGTTACGCCTTGGCACCATTGCTTGCTGGGTGTAGCCTGGATGGACGTTCCGTGGGAAGCAAGTACGTACCATCGCAAGCCCAAGGCTCAAGATTGTGCCGGTGGCCGTGCCACTCGGAAGTGGACACGACACACTCCCCAAGGGTGCACACACACTGGCCAGAGCACAACCCCCACCTCACCCATCCACGAAGGCTATCCATTACATTACCTTTGTAAAATACTATCGTTTATATCTATGTATTATACAGCTCCCATGTATCCGAAACCAGCGGCCACACGGACGAAACCCTTAGTAACAACCATTCCTACTTGCCCTCGTCTCTTTGAGAGCCTGCTCGGCAACTCCGGCACCGGCCTCGGCCCGTGAGGTGGCGACCTCAGCCTTGGCAGCTGCCACCTCGATGTCCCTCCACACCTTGGTCCACCGCGCGAGCTCCTTTGCCACAGCCATCTTGACAGTGGCACAGCCCTCGCCGTTGGCCGCTACCCCCTTCTCCTCCACGACCTCTGCCACAACGGCGAGCTCACACGCCGCCCCAGCCAGTGTGGAGAGCGCACGCTTTCCCGCGGTGAGAATGTCGAGCGCCCAGCGTGCCTCCGTCCCATACACCATGGCTGCCTTGGCGGCAGACTTGCCAGACAGCATGGCGGTTGCAGCGACGTTTGTGGCCGCCTCGAGCCGTGCCGCGTGGGCGGCCCGCTCGCCTCGCGCCTCAAAGTCGTTGGGGTCCACCAGCGGCATTGTCGTGACCTTGTCCAGCGCGGCCTTGAGCTCCTTTGCTGCTGTCTGTGCCGCGTCGGCCGCATCTTGAGCCTCGATTGCGGCTGCTGTAGCATTGTCCTCAATCTGGGACAGCAAGCGCTGCAGCCCTGGGTTGTGGGCATGTGCCGGCAGCACGCGCTCGGCCCACACGCCGAGACTTGCTGCTCGAGGCGGCGCGGCGTCGCCGAGGAACGCCGCGCGCATCCCGTTGAGCGAATCAAGCGAAACACGCTGGGCGTCGAAAAAGTATCGTAAGCGCTGGTACTTGCGTCCTCCGCGTATTGCTGCGGCCAAGTCGGCCCGGCCTTGGGATTCCAAGCGTTCAGCCAGCTGGACCTCGCCGCTGGTGAGTTTGTTGGAGCCGCCGATGAAGGCAGTCCAGTCTACCAGGGCGAAAGGACCGGCGAAGGCCTCCTCGAGCGGAGCGACGTGGGCGCTGATGTCAGTTCAGAGGTTCGCGTCTCCTTTCCCAACTCACCACTCCCAGTCGGTGAACGGTGCCACTCGATGTGCCCGTTGCAGGAACGGGCCAACGTAGTCGTCTTGCCCCTTGATAAACGTGGGACCCTCTCGCCGCATCTCCTCGCACCCTGCCACCAACGAGCGCGCCTCGAGACCCGCAAGGTAGGCCAGGAGACGGTCCTGCCGTTGGCCCTTTGCGGCCTCGATGCATGCGAGCCAGCTGTCGATTCGGGCCATGTACGCGTCTCGGCTTGTGGTAAAGGGTCCCAAGGTCGCGGTGCCCCACGGCCAGACCTCGACCTTGGGCCCCACGATGGCACATGGCGAGGGTCCTTGCTGCTCCTCCTCTTCCTGTGATGATAATGGGCTTATCGGTGGGGGCGAGTGGAGGCCTCCGATTCCCGTGAATTCAAGTGTCGCCACTTTGACGAGGTAGTCTGCGTACTCGCGGATAGTCTTCTTATCTCTGCTGTGGACCTTGACCTCCAATAGGCGGACGTCGTCGGTGCTCTCCACAAAGAAGAAGCTCAGCCCGTCTGGCAATCGTCAACCTCTCTCCGGATGTACCCTGCGGCCTGCGGGCCCCTTGCGGTTCTGCGGGCCAAACTCACCCGTCTGCTCTTCTGGCATGTACGCCTTGGGCACGGACTCTGGGGCTACGCGTCGCAGTGCGGAGATGGCCTCGTAGTCGCTCCTCATCATGGCCCGGCTCTCAGCCTGGTCGCAGTCGTAGAGGTTGAGGCGGACACGTGCGAGCCAGCGTACCCCGTCGTCGAAGAGCAAGGGTACATGGATGTTGCAGCCTCCAAGGGCGAGGTCATGGCGGTACTCCTCCTTGACGGTGGCGACTGATGGGACGGCGACGTTGCACCCGCGTGCGGTGGGACGACATTTGAGCGCTGCAACAGAGATGGGGGCCTCGCCGATACGTGCAATGAGGTCGTACAGCTGGTGGTTAGCTAAGTGTGCCAAGTGCAGAGCTCACCCTCTGATGATGTTTGCATGTCTTGCCGATCAGTTGGTCCCACTGGAAAACAACAATCAGTCTCTCTCTCTCGCGTGTCGTGCGCAAACCCTGTTCACCACCCCTGTGTGCTCACCGGGAGAAACAGGCATGGATGCCACTTGGGGGTAGCGTGTTGCAAGCACAGTGCCCTGCCGCACACCACGGACGGTCCTGCGATGAGTGCGATGCCCCTGCACTGGTCAATAGCGCACTGCCGTGGAGTAATCGCCATTGAATGGGGGGTGGAGGGAAAAGGGGATGACGGTGTGTTCAGAGAGTTCAGAGTGGAGGGAACAGAGAGTGATGGAATGGTGCTCGCTGGGTGTGTCTCATGAGAGATGCGGCTGCGCAACGGCCCGACGAGAGAGAGCCCATTTGCCTCGGCGCGACAGAGCGGCCATCGCCCGCCCGCCCCCCATTAGGCCATTCTGCTCGCATATCAGACGCCAAAACCCCCCCCAGCCCAGGCGCTGCCGAGCACGCACGTCTGTGACTGCTGCATGCATCGCACCTCGGGGGATGTCTGGGGACGTTTTCCTGGCTTCGACGCGTGTGCCTCGCGAATGGCGACAGACGCCACCGCCGCCGTGCCGCCGTGTGCCGCCGCCATCAGGCAGCACGGGCGGGGTGCGGGGGGCCTGGCAGGCAGGTGATAGGGGCTTGCTCGGTGGTGGCGCGCGAAGGCTTGAGGTCGTTTCGTGCATCTTCTCCACCCCTGGAAGAGAGCCACACCCCGGTCTGATTCGTGCGTGCGTGCGTGTCGGAAGTACAGTCTCGCCGCCGGACCCGATACCCCCGCTCTCGTCTGCACTGGTTGTAGGACAAAACGTGTCCCCCAAGGTGCACAGAGTACACAGGTGCAGCACCCAAAATGCGGCACGCTGAAACGCAGCAGCAGCATGCACTGCAGTGATCCATGCACCGCTGTTTGCTCCCACATTCTCGCTTAGCAGCACTGACCGGTGCTTACGTGGGAATCCCAAGGGTGCGAGGTGAGTGCCAAGAGGGACATTGGGTGTGTGGCATTGCAGAAAAAATGTGGAAAAATAGCCCAAAATTCCGTTTCGTCGGATCCCGCCATAACCCCAGTCTGCATCGACACGCACAGCCCACGGCCGGCTCACAGTAGGCAGAGCAAGGTATTTGAACACAGGAAGGCCGTCCAGTCTGGAGGTATTGCACACGCGTCGAGATCGGCTGATCCACTGCCTTGGTCTAGACGTCTGCATGCCTGCTCACTGCCTTAGTCTAGACGTCTACTCGTGCACACGTCTCCTGCGGCACGCCAGAAAGAGGAAGATCCAGTTCCGAGATCGCATTGCCACGCCTCGAGTCGGCAGTGCACCACCCTCAAACTGGATCTGGGTGGGCAGCAAGCACCTATAGTCCCACTCTCGCTCCAAGTTTTTGTCTCGATGAGGGCGCCGTCAACTCTCTTGCACAGTTGGGGAGGCGCAGAGAACGCATTCTCTTGCGGTGTTGTGGCTGCAGTGCTAGCTGTGCGACGGTCGCCAATACACAAGACACCATGCCGACTAGCTGTGCGACGGCAGCAAGCCGGAAAGTTCATGTTCCATGTTCACTGCCAGCACCAATGATCATCTCCAAGATCTTGTCTATATAACAGGCTGCCCACGCCCCGCCCCCTCCATCAATCCACTTCTCTCCACCAACTGCTCTCTCCCGCGCCACTTCCACCTCAAAGCTTTTATCCCTCACCCACCCCAACCTCTCCAAACAATGCGCTTCGCCTCCCTCATGTCCATCCTCGCCCTCCTCGCCTCGGCCTCGCCCGCTGTCGCTGATACCAAGGTCGTCACCGTCACGGTCTACGTACCCACCGGCGGCGGCGAGCCCGTCACCTACCTGCCTGCCGAGACGGCTGCTGCTGTGAGTTGACCTTTCCGTTTCCCCGCTTAAGCCCCTTCCCTGCCCCGTACTCAAAGCTGACCTCCTCCAGACCAACAACGACAAGGCCACCCAGGCTGCAGACACGCTCAAGGCCACTCAGGCAGTGGACAAGCCCACTGCTGCCGCCACGCACGCTGAGACCCCCAAGCAGACGGACGCGACCAAGGCTGCCGCCACTGACAAGGCTTCTGCCACTGCCGAACACTCTGCCGAGTCTGAGACGGCCGCAAAGCCCACCAAGGAGGCCACGGACTCTCACGCGCCGACGACCAAGGCCGACCAGACCTCCAAGGCCGGCAGCACCAAGGCCGACACGAACACGGGCACGGGCACGGGCACCATCACCAAGCCGACGGGCAGCGCGACCAAGTCTGTCCAGGTCAAGGTCACGCACGCGTGGGTGACGGCGACGGTCTCGGGCGTGCTCACGTCGGCGTACAAGGCGTCGACGTACACCATTGCCCGGACGTCGGGCACCGCCGCCACCGTCCTCGCCGCCGCGGCAAACAGCACGCTCGCGCCCTCGGCACCCGTCACGAGCGGCCTCGCCAATGCGACGTCGGCGTCGGCGGCGCTCTCGAGCGCCCTCGCCACCGAGGCAAGCATCAGCTCGGACCTCGCCAGCGCCACGTCGGCAGTCGCGTCCGCCTCGGCAGAGGCTACCCAGGCTGCTGCTTCGGCCGCCGAAGAGCTCGCGCCCATTGCCAACTCGGCCTGGATCGGCGTCGGCGTCGCGGGCCTCGTGGCGCTCGGCGCCGCGTTCTAGACGAACAGCAGCGAGTAACTCAGCGGCGGCGCGGACTCTGAATAGCCAGTGCATGTATAATCGGCACGTACACGTGCTGGATCTCTCTCGTGTCTATATCTAATAGTATCTACATGCGAACTAGTATAGTTGTTGACAGTGGCAGGAGTGTTTTGTCTGCCGGTGACTGTTGTTTGCAAAGAATGCTGATTCTCGGCACGGTGCAAAAAGTGCCACACTCGGATCTGTGCACCCACCCATCCGCCGCCGCTGTACCGGTTCCAAAAATGGCTACATAGCGGCTCTCCAGCGCTCATACGGATTCTAACTCGTTCCCTCTGTGCAGATATCGTGTGCGTCTGCACCTGCGTCCTGCCGTGTTTGCGTGTGCATGCCTTGTCGCGTCTTGTGTGTATCGGCTCGTGTATGGTGGTGGCGTCGTGTCGTGTGTTGTCTATCTCTTGCGAGCGTGTGTGCTTGTCCTCGTCCTCCGCGCGAGTGTATGCTCCCTCCCGTGTCCCCGCTCCCCTACTCCTTGCGGACCCACCAGAATCCCCATGGCGAGTACAGGCCTCTGGCGCGTGCGCCGCCCGCGCCGTGTCCGTCCAGCTCGGCATGGACCTCACCCTCCAGCACGCTGAACGTGTCATGGGTGTACTCGCCGCCCTCGACAATGGTGATTCTCGAGGCGGCGACAAGAGCGCGCGTACACTCGGTCTCGTTCTGAGCCTCGCCTGGGTGGGTTAGCAAGTGGGGTCCCAAACAACGCGTAACCCACTGTTGTCGTTGCCCGGGGCCAGAGGGTGGTAGTGGAAGTGCGGGGGGTGGGTCATGGTGAATCCGGCGGCGGCGGCGAGCTGCTCCATGCGGTTAAACACGTTCATGCTGGTTAGGTGTGAGCGAGCCATCGGAAGGGCAGTTGACACCTAGTTGACACTTACTCGACGCCTCGTTGACTGAGGCCGTGGCGGAACGCAAGCGACCACTGGACGAGCGCGGGGCCGAGCTGTTCGGGCGTGTATTCTTGCCATGCCGAGTAGCACAGGAGGTTGGGTTCGTGGATGAGCAGGATACCGCCAGGACGGAGAACGCGGTACGCCTGCGCCAGCATGCCAGCATAGTCGGGTATCTGACGGGGTTAGCTATATGGCACGCTGTTTATAGCCCACCGCATAAATCATCTGGCGGATGTGGACGACGTCAAACGACCCGGCAGCCAGCACGCCCATTCCGCGGGGCACATTGACTTGCATGAATGTGACGTTACGCGGCGCATTGCTGAGAGGACGTTGGTCAGCGACTAAGACGACCGCCAAGAGGGAGGAGATAATGCAGACGACGTACACGTGCTGCTGCTCGAGAAAGTCAATCCCCACGCAGTCGACGCGTGGAAACTGTACCGCCACCTCGGTAAGCCTGGCATAATAAGCACACGTGCGGAGGGTATGGAGATTGGCCACAAGATGAGTTCTCACCACATTCCCTATCATCAGCTCTGGTTCCACAAGGCAAGAGCAACTCACCGAGCCACATCCAACATCCAGGAGGCGAGGCCAGCGCTGGGGGTTATCCAAGAGTACGTCCACCGGACCAAACGTCAGACCCGCAGAGCGAATGGCCTGTGGTTGGTTAGCAACAATACCGATGAGGATACCAACCTGGTGGACCCTGTCGAGCCGCTATGCATGTCAGACTTGGAATCGCCCCGGAGACATGGCGCAGAGTGCTCACAGTAACCTCGTCCTGGTCGACGGGGAAGCGATACGTCCAGAGCTGGTTGCTGCTGATCGGCCGTCAGGTTTCCGAACTGCAAACACAAACGTTTTTAAAACCCACTATGGTCGTCCCCAGAGGACTGAAAAGACGCCAGTGCCAGGTTGGTTGACTGGTGAGGGTGGACGGACGAGGTCGAGCGAGTCTGCGTCCGAGGCGGCGTCGCCGTCCGCCACTTGGCCGTCCTTGCCCTCTGCACTCATGCTGCGTGGCGCGAGAGGTCGAGGAAACAGGTGGTGGTGATGCTGGCGTGGTGGTGGTGGGTTGTGCTGAGGCAAACGTTTACATTGTTGGGGCTTGGCTGTGACGTCTTGTTTTTACCTTGGGGAGCTTCTGGGCTGCACGCCGCCCGTCAGTCCTTGCTCGACGAGCTATGTTTGCAGTGCGGCGCCTCGTGCTCAAAAAAAAAAATCGATCAAGGGGATCCGGGTGTGTACGATTGTCTGATGAGGCCTCGAGGATCAGCAACGAGCAACGAGCGACAGAGGCGTAGGCGTAGGCGTTGACCAAGCGGGAGCGCCATGCGAGTAGCGCGTTGGAAGAGAGCAGGAGGCCTATGAGGCTAGTCCAGCGTAACTCCTACTGCTGTTTCCAGCAAAAAGCGATCACCAGCTGGGCATCCAAGATCTGCAACGAGCAGACGCCGGTGACACCGAGCGTGCAGAGGCGCGTGCAGCGCAGAGATTGTCGTGCGTGCGTGCGCGCGGCGCGTGCGTGTATATCCGCCAACACGGCCAACAAACTCACCCGTAGGCACCGACTGTGGCTTCTGGACCTTGGGTTGAGGATGCGAGAGAATGCGATAGAGACGACAAAGGTTGCGATGGTGGGTGTTGTGTGTGCGTAGGTGTTATGTGTGTGTTGTCCTACTGAACACACTGGATGCGGTGCGCCAGGAGGCTTGAACGGGAGGTATGTAGAGTAGGCCGTTCCGGGGAGGGAGGAGGGAGAAGCGAGGGGCCAAAAGGGAACACACCCCAACGGGCCAACGGGGTATCCAAGCGATCAAGCGAGCTACGGCTTTGCGGATCAGCAACCCGAGAGACTCCCGCGCGTCATGCAGCATGCTTGCTAGCAAGCATGCATGCACCGCCGCGTCCTCACCTCTTCCTCGAGGACCACAGGGGGGGTGGGGGTGGGGGGACACGCGACAATGCCGGGGACACGCGACAATGCCGACAGAGAGAGAGAATGAGAGAGACGGATGGGACAGAATAAAGTCAAATGGGATAGCAGAGGTGACAGATAGAGACTGCGCTAGTGGAGAGAGACAGCCAGCGCACCGGCAACAACGGTATGGGTGGCGTGCAAAAGAAAGAAACTGCGGCGACACACCAGGTACATCCCATCCACCCCCCCGCACGATCGTCCACCCAAGAGCCCAGTCCAGAGCCCACGAGTGCAGTCCAACATGCCGGTGGCTGTGGAGGCTGCGGGCGAATGTCAAGCCGAGACACCACCACACCACCACCCATTGACCGAGAGAGACGCACCAACACGGTGGTGGTAGATCTCCTGATGTCGCCGTCGCTGGCGCTGGGTCCGAGCAACGCGAGCGACATTGTTTCGGGCCCCGCCGGCGGACGTGTGCTGTTCACCCACCACCACGTGTATGCAGCAGCTGGCGCACAGGACGAAGGACGGTGGTGACGTTTGTGGGGCTGTCAATCGCGCTCATGCCCTTCCTGCAACGATGTGCGATCGCTCGATTGCGTCGAAGAGTGAGCGCCAGAAGCTGTTGATCGTTGCTCAGGCGCACGCAAGGACGACGACAAGAAGCACACCCCCGTTGCCAAGTGCGGGGGACTAAGGCTAGCTCATGCTAGTGCGCTAGTTTGGATCCAACGCCTGTGTTATGGTGTCTTGGAGAGAGAGAGGGAGGGGGGGAGAGAGAGAGATTGTGGAGACAGTCGACGACCACCGTGAGAGCAGCAGAAAGAGCAGATAACAGAGGCCCTTTGTTCCCATGGACCATGGCAAGGGACACGGAACCCAACAACAAGGGCGTCCCTGCAACTCGCACGACCATTCACCCGTCTACCACGTCCACCACAGGCCACAACCCGTGTGTGTGATATGTAAGAGCCGAGACAGCTGTGAGAGGTTTGCTGTGAGAGAGGAATGGCGCTTGGTATATGGGGGGGGATGGGTGTGGCCGGTGGAGGGGGAAATGCGCAGTACCGCAGTCCACAAGCGCGGTGTGACGTCTCATCCCCCCGCGCGCGCGACCGCCCTTGCTCTCGGACCCCCATACAAAACCCCCTCCCCTTGCCAGGGCCCCCCACCTGCCCACCCAACCCTCGCCGCCGCCACCCGAGCGACCCAGACCCCGCCGCTTGGAAATCCAGACCCCGTGTGGCCACTGGCCATTGTCGTCGAGGCTGTCGCTCGTGCTGCGACAATACTTCACAACAACACCACATCGTCCAAAAACATCGCCTGCCCAGATGCCCCACGCATACCTGGACCCACGGCGACACCTCCTCGTCGTAGGCGTGCTCGCGTTCGTCGTCATCGTCCTCTTGTCGGCCGCGTTGAGCCCTACTTCTGGCTCAGGCTCCGGCTCATTCCAGTTCCCTGGGTTACTGCCCTCCAGCTGGTCCAGCAACCATGCAGCAGACAAGGCCGCACCCCAAGGCCGTCCCGACCTTCTTCGACATGTCCACAACGAATGCGCAAAGCCAGACGAGTTTGAGGAGCGGTTCGGACGTGCCAACATTCGCATGTCGCGCGCGTACGAAGGTGAGCTTTGGTGTTGTGGGCTAGATCGTTTGACGTCCGAGCTGACGACCGACCAGGCTCGTTTGGCCGCATGGAGCGGTTTGTGAACAAGGTCCTCGCTGGGGAGCCCGTCAAGATTGGTATCGTTGGAGGAAGCGGTAAGGTCATGCATGGAACCTCTTGCAGCTGAGCTGACCTTTTACAGTGACCAAGGGCCACGGTATCTGGGAGTCGGAGCAGTACTGGGTGCTGTTGGGCAGCTGGCTCGAGTCCTTCTTTGGTCGGTCCGACATTGTGCGCGTCAACGGCGCCATCCCGGCCTCTGGATCCGACTACTTTTCCTACTGCTTCTCGCTCCATGTCCCCGCCGACGCCGACCTCGTCTTCATCGAGCTGGGTATCAACGACGAAGGTCTGCCCGAACACACCGACAACATGGAGAACCTCATCCGTGGCCTGTCCGCAATGGAAAACGCACCCGCCGTCGTCCTCCTCGACATTATTGGCATGGGAAGCGGCCAGATGGCCGGCTCGGGAGGCAGGATGCACCTGCCCGTCGCACAATACTTTGACGTTCCCGTCGTCAGCCAACGCTTGCCACTTGCAAAGCACTTTGCTCGCTTCCCCGAGGTCGTGCCTCTGTACTTTGTCCCCAAGTGAGTTGCAAAGTCTCAGCAAAGTCTCAGGGATACTCAGCTGACAATCAACAGCTACTGGCAAGACCCGGACCTCCGTCACATCAACGCGCGCGGCCACAAGGACATGGCCGGCCTCATCTCCAGCCTGTTCCGCGACGTGACGTGCGACATGGTCAACAACCCCAAGCCCAACCGGCTGTACACGTCGGACCCGGCCCCCGTCCTCGAGTCTCTGCCTGGAAGGAACTACGACGCCGAGACGCGCGACGTGCTGGGCTCGGACGCCGTCGACGAGATCCACAGGCTCCAGGCCGGCTGGCCCACGGAGATGCAGTCGTTCCTCCACGTCCCCAGGCGCAAGAACGACGAGGACAAGGACCCCGACCCGATGCTGTACCCCGGTGTGTGGATGAACCCCGCCGAGTTTGGCATGCTCCCACGCCTGCGGTCCCTCGAAGGCTGGGACTACAACCTCGAGCACCGCTCGCCCGAGTTCCGCCCACACTGCCTCAGCACACGCGCCACAGAGCCCAAGTTCAACCTCACGCCCATCGCGTCCGAGGGCTGGGAGTGGTGGGTCCACCCGGACTACAAGGACAAGCCGTACCTCCTCGCCCGCGACCCGGGAGCAAAGGTCACGTTTGAGATTGACACCGCCATGGGTCTCATCCGCATCTACTCGTTGCGGTCGGCCACGTTTGGCTTTGGCAAAGTGCTCTGCTGGGTCGGCGACGACAGGGAGCACGGCGTCACAGTCGATGGATACTGGGACAACAAGGACCTGTGAGTGACCGCTGAGAATGAGAGAGAGAAAGGGGACTTGGGATTACGCTGACGGACCACAAGCAACATTGGCCGCTTCTCAACCATTGGAGAGTGGCTCGAGCCAGGAAAGCACACAGTCACGTGCGAGCTCCTGAAGGAGACCAGTGACCCCGAGGGACGCACCGAGTTCCGTCTGATCTCGCTCATGAGGTAAGTCGTTTGGCTTTTGGCTGTGAATGTGGGCTGACGGGTGTGTATAGCCGGTAAAGAACGTTGTTGGGCCACGTCCACGCTGCACTGTTGTTATCTTTGCCACCCCGCACATGTTGGGCAGGCACCACCTACTATAGACAATCAAACATTAGCATAGAGAGAGAGAGCATGAACGAGTCTGTCGAGCCCTAGACCAAGTGGTGGGCAGTGTGCACTGGTCGCCTGCGCCGTGTCGGTGAATGTTGGCCGAACACACCGATCCGCCGAACAAGAGGCCACCAGGAAAGGGGGCGACATGTGACGGCGTTCGGCCCGGCCGATGGCGCCGCCGCCATTGTCGGGCATCTAGTAGACGGTCCCTCTTGGAACTCTTTCCCTCCATCACCCCAACCCCCATCGCCATGCGAGCCCACCTCGTCGGCCTCGTCCACGCCGTGCTCCTCTCGGGCGCGGCATCGGAGCTCGCAGGCCACGGAGCGGGCTCCACATCCCTGGACGGCAGCTACACCACAAGCCTAGCACCAAGCCCATCTGCAGTAGCGTCATCGCACACCTCCGCCAGCGCCGAGTCGCACATCTCGCTCTCGCGACAAGCCCACACGGCGGGTCCCCCCTCCCAGCCACGAGCGGACATTACGGTCCTTGATCCGTGGTCTCTATTCCGCGCAAAGTGCAGGCTATGGCCGGAAGGCGACAGCTCGACGTCGCTCTCGTCGTCAACATCAACCTTGGACGGGACAATCCCCAACGCAACGGCCCACACCAACGCAACAACCCTCCCAGCACCAGACCGCCTCAACGCGACCGACGGTTTACCAGACGGTATCCTCCCCGACGACCTGCCCGACGGCCTGGAGAGTTTTGAAGAGTGGAAGCGGCGACACGAGGCCGAGGAGGTCAGCAACGCGCCGGCACCGCTCGAGGCTGAGCCCTACCCTTTGCCAGTGGGCGAGAACCGGAGCGACGGCGCCGAGCCGCGCGCCGCGTCTGGCGCGTCAAGCTCCCCCCAAGCCAGCACGGACACTGTGAACACGACGGCGGGGAACAGCGACTCGCCGCCCGCTGGCGGCGCGCCAGAGCCGCCCAAAAAGCCCAAGGGACACCGGTACAACTATGCGTCGCCAGACTGCTCTGCGCGTGTGCTCGCGTCGTCGCCGCAGACGCAGCACGCGTCCAGCCTGTTGCACAAGTCCCGCGACCGATACATGCTCACGCCTTGCCGCGCCGACGAGCACTATGTGGTGGTGGAGCTGTGCGACGAGATCCGCGTGGAAGCCGTCGAGCTGGCCGTGTGGGAGTTCTTCTCGGGCGTCGTGCGCGGCGTGCAGGTCAAGGTCGCCGACGACGCCACGGGTCCGTGGACCCAAGTGGGCGATTTCGTCGGCAAGAACGTCCGCAGCGTGCAGGTGAGCTGGGAAGACTGGGAAAGTGTCCCACACTGAGCTGACCAAACGAACCCAGATCTTCGACCTGCCCGAGCCCACGTCGTTCCACCGCTTCCTCCGCCTCGACTTTTCGTCCCACTACGGAACGGAATACTACTGCCCCGTCTCCCAGCTTAAAGTATACGGCATGAACCAGATGGAGGCGTTCAAGATGGAGCAGCGGCGGTTCGCCGAGGCGTCTGGTGCCAAGGACCGCGAGCGCGAGCGGGAGCGGGAGCGGGAGAAGGACCGCGAAGAGGAACGCCAGCAAGAACTGCAGCGCGAGGCGGCTGTGGCTGCGCACGAGAAGGATCGCAGGGAGCGCGAAGACGACGAGCAGCGGGAGCGGGAGCTGTGCGAGCTGGAAAAGCTCGTGCAGGAGCAGGCGATGCGGTCGAGGGATGAGATCGCCCTCGAACCCATTATTGAATGTCCTGCGCCGCCGCCTCCTGCACAGTCGGCATCGACGCGCCAGGCCAGTAACAATGCCAGCGACGAGGCGACGACCGACACGGCCGAGCTCCCGACCGACCTGCCCAACACCGGCGAGAACGACATTGGGCCCGCGATCCCCACCGGCAACGCGAACGGCTCGGCGTCGTCGCCGTACGCCTACGGCTCGGGATCTCCCCCGCCTGCCAGCGCATCATACACGCGCTCCACAGCTCCGCGTGCCGAGTCGTCCGAGTCCATCTACGCGTTCATCATCCGCCGCCTGACCGCACTGGAGGGCAACTCGACGCTCGTCGCGCGGTACATTGACGAACAGGCCAAGGCGATCCGGACGGCCCTGTCTCGCGCCGAGTCGCGCTGGGAGGCCTCGCGCGCCGCCGCGGCTCAAGACGACGTGCGTCGATGGGAGTCGGAGCGTATGCACCAGGAAGACCGGCTCGGACGCGTGCTCACCCAGATGGAGGCGATGCGGCACTCGATGGAGTCGGAACGCCGCCTGGTGGAAGCCCAGCTGCGCCTGCTGGCCGACGAGCTGTGGTTTGAGCGGAGGCGGAACCTCGCCCAGCTCGTCGTGCTGGTCGTTATCATCGCGCTCGGTGTACTGTCCCGCGGCCAGACGATCGACGCACTCCTCCGCCCACTGGCCGTATCGGATACGCGGCGCCGCGCCACTGCGCGCGAGCGGGCCTACAACAGCAAGCACCAAAAGCGTCTCTCTACCGGCCCGCTCGCCGGTCTCGTCATTGACGTCCCACCTCCCTTGTCGCCCGACTCGAGCCGCATATCGACCCCCACCGTCGCGCTCCCGCGCGACCTCGACTCGCCCCGGTCCCCGACCCACGGCCACCGCGTCACCATTGTCGGCGCCAAACCGCCCCGCAGGCCACTGACGCCGCTCTCGCACGCCCACGCCCACGCCCACGCACGACGACGTACACCCGCCTCGCGGTCGTTCAGCGCCGCCGACCCGAGCGTCCTCTCCCTCCCCGGCGAGCTAGACGACGAGCTCACGCCGTCCCGCCGGCCGCCCAGCTCCCTCCCGCGCCGCCGCCTCGCGCGTTCGAGCCACCTACACCCCATCCGCCGGCGCGGCGGCGACGAGAGCTCCGAGGCCGAGAGCCGCGACCGGCCCATGGCCGGACCGTCCCTCCTCCCGGGCCTTGGATTCACGCCGCCAGCCGCCATGGCCCGCGCGCTGCCCGCGTCGCCGTCGCCGCGCGTAGTCGCGGCCCTGCGCGACGGCCGGCTAGCGGTGCCCGACGACGACAGCCAGTGGACCGAGGACGGCAGCGCCGACGGCATGAGCGTCGACTCTGTCGACTCGGCGGGCGACACCGAGGGCGACGGCAGCGCGAGCGAGGTCGACGACAGCGTGCAGCAGCGCCGCGCCGGCGGCATGTCCATGCCCATGCCCGTGCCCGTGCCCGTGCCCATGCGCGCCAGGGGCGTGGACTTGAATGCGAGCACGAGCACAATCACGGAGAGTACCTTCTCGACGACGCCGACGGCCGCCATGGTCGGCAGTGCGCATGTGCGGTTCGTGCGTGAACGCGAACGTGAGCACGGGCGCGACGACAGCCTCGACGTCAAGCCGGTAGTGGCGGTCAAGGTGGATACCGGGGACCGCTTGCGCAACGACGGCGACGACGGCGACGGCGACCTTCCCGCGCCGCCGTACGCGGCTACCGGCGGCAACCACGGCGCCAGCTCGAGTCCCGCAAAGAAGAGCCCTGGAGGCAACAACGGATACCCCAACTAGGCATTTTAGATACCCAGCACACACACAAACAAACCCACACATACCCCTCCCTACCTGCATATTTTTCTTTTCCTTGATCATCTCTCTCTCTCTCTCTCCAGTTGTCCACGCCACTTGTTCTTCCTTCCATGCGCACAAATGCATACATAATCTAAAACATTGGGGGTCGTATCTAGAACCCCCGGGTCTCTCGAGGAGGATTGAGGAGGGGTAGCGGATTATTTTACGTTGGCTGTAATCGTTTTCTTCGTCTCGTGGGGGTGGGTCGTTTCCTTGTACGTTCTCGTCTATTGCTCCTCGTGTACTGTTGTACTCACTCACTCACTCCCTTCGCTTCGCGGCCACCGGCTACATTACATCCCCAACGCGGCGTACATCTCACTGTCGTCGTTGGCGACCTTCATGGCAATGTAGCGGTACACGGCCGTCGACAGGGCGGCGAGCAGGAAGACTGCGTCGAACAGGCGTCCAAACACGTGGAAATCGGGCAGGGAGCGCAGGAGCGAGTCGTCGGTCGCGAGCGCCTCGGCTGTCTGCTGCGCGACTTCTTTGGCCACCTCGGCGGCAGTCTCGACGGCGCTCTCGGTCGCCCCGAGGCCCGCCGCGGTGGCCGTGGCGGTTGCCAGCGCAGCGGCTGCAGTGGCGTTGAGCGCGTCGACGACCGTGTCGACGGCGTCGGCCGGGGCCGGGGGCAGCGACGTGCGCAGCTGGACGAGCAGCGAGATGACATACGTCGCAAACAGCTGGCCGAGGGTGAGGAGGAGGAAGCCCGCGCCGACCGTCTTGGACGTGAGCCGGAGCACGCGCGTGAGCCACCGCATGACCATGGCCAGCGAGCTGAGAATGAGCGCGCCCGTGAGCAGGAGCGAGATGCCGCGCGCAGTCGTGGGGATGTCGTCCTTGAACCCAAAGGGTAAAGGGAGGTGCGCGAGGCCCAGCGCGAGGATGAACGAGATCCAGTCGCCGTTGACGTTGCCCTTGCCGTGCGCCTTTTGGTCGTTGGCGTCCGCGTGCGGGATGCTCGAGGTGGACAGCGGCGCGACAAACAGGGACACGAGGCACTGAGACGTTAGCTTAGCTGACCCTGCGAAGAAAAAGCTTACCATGAGAAGACGTGCGGCACAGTAAATGGCGAAAATGTACCCGAGGACAACGTACATTGTGCCACGGGCCGTGTTGCGGAATCCTTGACGTTTCTGGCGGGTCAGTGGAGTTCATGGACCTAGCACCCACCCTGCGAAGCTTGACCGTGGCCAAGGTACGCGCGATATCTGCCTCCATTTGCTGGAGACCTTGGAGTTCGGCACCGAGAGCTGCTGCTTCTGCTGGGTTAGTGGGGAATAGGCACCACCCACCTACCTTGATCGGCCTTGCTGCCAAACACGCGCGTCATCCACCCGCCGCCAGGCGTGGACCCGTCAGCGTTACCAGCGGCGACGCGGTTCAGTTCGTCGCGCTTGGCCACCAGGTCGTGGCGGACGCGATACAGCGACCGCTCGGCCTGCAAGACATCGGCGTCCGTGACGGGCCGCTGGCCCGTGCCGGCCGCTTCCTCGAGATAGTCCCACGCAGTGCGTACGGCACCGATGCCCGACAACGAGGCCATGATCAGCACGCCTGTGACGACGACACGGCCAAGACTCGGCGCGAGCCAGCCGCCGCGCTCCCATCCCTCGGGGCCCGATTCCCAGTGCTCGATCGTGCCGCCGATGCCCTCGTTGTCGTCGACGACTTGGGCAGCGGCCGAGCTGGCCACGGCGGTGATGTACGGTGGGATCCGGGTGAAGAGGAAGATGTAGAGCGAAAAGGGGATGAGGGAGATGAGGACACGGGAGACGAGTGGCAGCGAGGAGCCGCGAGACACGACCGTGGACGGTGTGGCGTTATCTGCTGGGTTAGCCTCAGGCATCACTTCTTTCACCCACCTCTCGAGGACCGGTATGTGAACAAGAGGCACTGCACGAGCGGGACCACGATAAGGATAAGACCCAGAAGCACGTGCAGCGACACGGAGAAGTTGACCGCACGGCCACGCGAGTGGAGCACGCCGAGAGCGTGGAACACCACAAGGGTGAGGAGGTTCATGCTCTCTGCAAAGCAGACGGCAAACAGGATACGGCTGACGCGACTGAGACCGCGTGCAGCACGTTTCGCCCTGCGCACACTGCCTCCAGCAGAAGACGCACCACCTCGAGGGTGTGCGAGTTCGAGAACCTGCCTCGGACGGCTACTCGCTTCGCGAAGTTTGGCTCCCAGCAGGGACATTTCAATGGGCGGCGCGGCACCGGGCGTCGGTGACCGCGACCTCGGCGGCGAGAGCGCCACGACGTGGACGTGCGGCGACGAGGGCCCAGAGTCGGGCAGCATGCGGCTGCCAGGTGAGGGAGGGTACGACGAGTCGTCGCCCGTGTCGTCAATGTCGTGGTCCGTGTCGTTGACGGGCGAGAGGAGGAGCTCTTCCTGGTCGTCGCCGTCGATGGGAGGGAGCGACGACGAGCTGGGCCCAGGGCCCGCGACGCCGACGCCTAGACCCGACATGGCCGAGACGTTGGACGCACTCCGCTGGCCGCGCGTGCTGAACCCGCCTGCACTGCGACCCGAGGCAATGGACGCAATGGACACGCGCGAGTTGGCGCGGTCACGCCCGCCGCCGCTCGAGCTCGCACTCTGCTGTGCCGCCGGCTGCGGGAGGCCCAGTTCGGGCTTGGACAGGTCGCGTAATGCCGGCGACAAGTGTGCGAGGAGGTAGCGGCGTGCGAGGAGAAAGTAGACACCTCGCAGGGCCAGGAGGAAGAGCGTGTCGAGGACGATAGGGGGCGGTTTTGCCGCCCCCAAGCTGGGTATGGTCGTGCTGGAGGGCATTGTTGGTGGGTGGTTGGAACATTGAGATACGTTGGTCAATTCGCGCCTTGAAATGCGCGCGACGCAGTCGGCAAAAGGCACGGATTGGGGGGATTCTACGCGTGGAAAGTGCGGGGCCCACAATGGACATCGATGAGGGGTGTCGGTGGATTGCCCCAATGGACTCTGCTGGCCAAGCTGGCATGTGGATTGTGATGCTCTTGGGGGCTTTACTTGCTCTTGAGGAGGTCCATGTGGTGTCTTTAAGCCTGACTGGGCAGGCGCTGTGAACGGTGACCTGTAGGCGGTCAACGCCAAGTTGACGTGATGGACTTTGGCAGTGGACAGCTGTTCCCATGCCAGACCCCCTCGTGTCAATTGCCCCACCAGAAGAGGCTCTCGTTGTGTAGCCCTGCCACAAGAACTTGACCTCAGTGGTTCTGTACCACTGTGTTGAACGGAGACGTGAACAGTATCATGTTCCAAGCCGCCCACACTGTTATTTCGATTACTTATTGTACGAGTGCCACTTTTCTGCCCCCTTGTATTCATCTTCTGCAGCTGGTCCGTTGTTCTCAACAAGAAACAGTGCATCTCAGGTGGCCGGTGGATGGGCAAGACAGAGCTCCTGGAGCTAGCTGGGAGTTTGATGCTGGCGACATTGCCTGTTTTCCCTAGCACCCTCAAGTCCATACAAAGCTGACGGGGAGCCACCTAAGCACTGTACTCTGCAACACCAGAGGGGCACATCATGTCCTCCTGGCTGTCCATTGCCTCGAGCTGACATTCTTCTCTGCTGCGTCACGGTGCTGATGGCTTCTTAGGACAACCATGGTGCATATGGAATCGACTATTGCCGAGCTTCCCTTAACCGCCGGCCGCCGGAGACACCGCGACGTGGATGCGCGCACGCCCATCTGTGATACACGTCCCGTACATTCGCATCTTCGGGGATGCTTCTTATGATGAGACAGACCGCGTTCCGCGACAGCAGCACGACACGGTAACCAGAGATCCAGAGTGGGTCAACACGCCGCATGAATGTCAAGGACGTGGGGTTGGGTGTGGCTTTCGTTTCGTGAGTGTTTCAGGCACCAGACAAAATGCCAACAAAAGGCTACGCGGGTGGATGGTTACGGCGCCTCTCGCTCGGGCCGGGCCTGTCCGGCGTCGTCGTCATGCTCCACCAGAATGTCCTCTCACATCATCGCGATGCGTGTAGACAAACGTGCAGGTCAGTCGTGTGTGATCAAGGGCCAAGTGGCCGCACCACCGTCGTAGAGCCCCGCTTTCGGAGGGCGGCTGTGTAGCTGGTAGCCCGGCGGAGGAAGGTTTGTTTTTATCGACACCGCGTGAAATTCTGGTTCAGCCAGCGCTCGTTGGTCAGTCCGCTCTTGGCAGGTCAGACGACAGCATGCAACAGTGGAGGAGCATGGCTTGCTCAAGAGACAGGCGCCTGGGAGCAAGGAAGCAACAGCGGCGCACGGGTGGTGGAGGAGGGGTAACACCTTTCCCCTCGCGACAGCGCGCATCCGTTCCCCCGCGAACCTGTGGTTCCTTGTCAAGCCGCCAGCGGTTCACGGCCTCCGGCCGTGCAAGATGACGCGAGGCCCAGCAGTGAGCTGCCGAGAATCTCCAGCAACAAGACCGTGACGTGTCCGTGCCCCGGGGCAGTGCGTGCCGGGGATGTGGTATCCGAATGAATGAGAGTGTGCATGTAACAAGTGGTTTCCAAGTGCGGGGTATGGCTTTTGTCGATGACGTTCTGCTTTGTTGTCAGCGGCGAGGTCCAGCGTCCAGAGAGCCTTATACAGTACGCACAATGCAAAATGCGAAGAGGGCTAGCGAGTACAACTGTGGTCGACGAGTGTTGTCGTTTTGAGATCCGAGGCTTCCGAGAGAGAGAGAGAGTGAGGGAAAGAGTTGGAGAGGGCGGCATCTCCGTCTACTCCTCCATGAACCGCCTACGTCCGCGCTCGTTCATCATGGCAATGACATCTGGCGAGGCGGCGGGGTTTGGTACTGTGGAGACGGCGGCCGACGTGGAGAAGCGGGGGAAGGCCGAGTCTGGACGCTCCTTTGCTGGACAGGGGAAGGCGACAATGGCGACGGCGCCGAGGAAGGTGACGGAGAAGAGGGTGGTGAGGACTGAGCGGTGGCGTGCGCGGAAATGCGTGAGAAGGAGAGGTGCCATGTTTGTAGAGAGGTATGTGTGTGGACGATGCTCGAATGTGGCCTGTTCGAGGACGTCGTCGTTGGGTGTGTGGTGGTTGGAGGCAGATGTGGGATGCGAGGACCCGTTTAGGTGTGCCGGGGTTGGAAAGATGCTCTGGCCATTGGCTCAATGGCTCCTGGCTGTGTGGCTCTGGACGGAAGCATTCGGAGGAACGGAGAGAGCGGCATGTCCGTCTACACCCGCTCTGCCTGCCGCCACGTGAGCGGGATTATAAAAAGTATACAAGATCATGGCCCCTCACCCGGCGGTTTTCGGACGACGATTTCCGTGTGTAGATGCGAGCGTTTTCTATGCGCTTCGGCGGCGGCGGCGAGATTGCTCCTCGTTGCCCCCCCTCAAGGCCCGGCCGGGCAACCCGTCCAGGCCGTCCAGCCGTCTCAGGCGCTCAGCACACCGTCGTCGCCAGCGGAACCAAAAAATGAACCACTGGCCCATTTTCGCCTACTTACTCCCCACGCTCGGCTCTCTCTGTGCTCTCTCTTCTCCTCATCCTTTTCTCCCCCTCCTAATCTCTCTCTCCCCCCAAACAAAAGCGGTACACCATGTACGGTATCACTCGCTCCCTCCGTGCCACCCCCGCCTCGGCCCTCCGCGCCGCTACCGTGAGCATCAACCCCCACCCCCTTTCTTCGACATCGACGATGGCGACGGCGAAAAGAAAAGGGAAAAACATGGGCAAACGGCGTCCTTGGACTTTTTCTTTTTCTCCGCCCACGTCGTCGCCGTCGCCGCCCAACGTTTTACTGGCACTCCTTGTGTTCCCAGTGCTAACATTCTTCGTAGCGCACCACCTCCCCCTTCGTTGGCTCGAAGCGCTACAACTCGAAGGTCTCGGGCCCCGTGATCGGTATCGACCTGGGTACCACCAACTCGTGTGTCTCCATCTTCGAGGCCGGCCAGGCCAAGGTCATTGAGAACTCGGAGGGTGCCCGTACCACCCCTTCGTTTGTTGCCTTCACCAAGGGTTAGTCTTTTTTTTGTGTTTACTGTTGTTTAATAGCAACAGTGGTTTTTTTGTTCTTTGTAACTGACATTTTTTACCAGATGGCGAGCGTCTTGTTGGCCAGCCCGCTAGGCGACAGGCCGTTGTCAACGCCGAGAACACCATCTTTGCGTCGAAGCGTCTCATCGGTCGCAAGTTCTCGGACGCCGAGGTCCAGAAGGACATTGGCCAGGTCCCTTACAAGATCATTGCCCACACCAACGGTGACGCTTGGGTTGAGGCCCGTGGTGAGAAGTACTCGCCCTCGCAGATCGGTTCGTTCGTCGTCTCCAAGATGAAGGACACCGCCTCGCACTACCTCGGCAAGACCGTCAAGCAGGCCGTCATCACCGTCCCCGCCTACTTCAACGACTCGCAGCGTCAGGCTACCAAGGACGCCGGTACCATTGCTGGCCTTGACGTCCTCCGTGTCATCAACGAGCCCACCGCTGCCGCCCTTGCCTACGGTCTTGACAAGAACGACTCGGCCGTCATTGCCGTCTACGACCTTGGTGGTGGTACCTTCGATGTCTCGATCCTCGAGATGCAGAAGGGTGTCTTCGAGGTCAAGTCGACCAACGGTGACACTCACCTTGGTGGTGAGGACTTCGACATTGCCCTTGTCAACTACATTCTTGCCGAGTTCAAGAAGACCGAGGGTATGGACGTTTCGGGTGACCGCATGGCCATCCAGCGTATCCGTGAGGCCGCCGAGCGCGCCAAGATTGAGCTCTCGTCGACTGCCGCCACCGACATCTCGCTCCCTTACATCACCGCCACCGCCGAGGGCCCCAAGCACATCAACCTCAACCTTACCCGTGCCAAGTTTGAGTCGATTGTCGCTCCCCTCATCAACCGCACCATCGAGCCCTGCCAGAAGGCTCTCCGTGACGCCGGCATCAAGCCCTCGGAGCTCAACGACGTCATCCTTGTTGGTGGTATGTCGCGTATGCCCAAGGTCATTGAGACCGTCAAGTCGCTCTTCGGCCGTGAGCCCTCGAAGGGTGTCAACCCCGACGAGGCCGTCGCCATGGGTGCCGCTATCCAGGCCGGTGTCCTTGCCGGTAACGTTACCGACATTCTCCTCCTCGACGTCACCCCCCTCTCGCTCGGTATTGAGACCCTCGGCGGTGTCTTCACCCGTCTGATCAACCGTAACACCACCATCCCCACCAAGAAGTCGCAGACCTTCTCGACCGCCGCCGACGGCCAGACCGCCATCGAGGTCAAGATCTACCAGGGTGAGCGTGAGCTCGTTCGCGACAACAAGCTCCTCGGCAACTTCCAGCTCTCGGGCTTCCCCCCCGCGCCCAAGGGTGTCCCCCAGATCCAGATCACCTTCGACATTGACGCCGACGGAATCGTCAACGTCTCGGCTGTCGACAAGGCCACCAACCGCGAGCAGTCGATGACCATTGCCTCGTCGTCGGGTCTTTCGGACAACGAGATCGAGAACATGGTTGCCGACGCTGAGCGTTACGCCGAGGAGGACAAGGCCCGCCGTGCCGTCATTGAGGAGGCCAACAAGGGCGAGTCGTTCGTCACCGACACTGAGAAGTCGATGGGCGAGTTTGAGGCTCAGCTCGACGCTGCCGAGCGTGAGAAGGTCAAGAAGCTCCTCGGCGAGCTCCGCGAGATCTCCGCCAAGGGTGCCGCCGGTGACGCCACCGTCAAGGCCGAGGACATCAAGGCCGCCATCGACGCCGCTCAGCAGGCTTCGCTCGGCCTCTTCCAGAAGGTCTACGAGCAGCGCTCCAAGGACCAGAACGCCGAGCAGACCTCCGAGCCCAAGTCGGAGGAGAAGAAGGACTAAGCAACTAGCCCGAGTAAACATCTCGTTTTAGCTGTGCCCCTTTTTGTTCGACCACCCTCGATCTACGCATATTAGTAGCATATACCCCCACCCTCACCAACTCTTCCCCCCCTCTCCCATCACCACTGCATGACTGGCATCTCCCCCAGGCATTAGACCTGTTCCACACCCCGTACTTCCTCCTCCCCCTCCCCCTCCCCGTCCTCTGGCGCTCTCCCAGGGGGAGCGCGAGGCACTTGTATCCCGGTGATGAACGCACACTGCTCAGAAGGCTAGCGCCAGCACAACAGTGCAAGTTGCCCAGAACAAAGACACACACATGTTGCACCTTTTTGCGTCTATTGCCTGAACTCTGACTGCTATCCTTCCTGCACACGTTTCCTCGCTGATAATATCACCATAACATTGGCATAGCGCATGATACAAACTACGATGTGACCACAATATTTCCACCCACCGCCCTCCGGGGGTACAAGACAACAATCCTCCTTCCCCTACATGCCCACCGCAGCCGGCTCACTGCGCGATCATCCCCCTCAGCTCCTCCATCGCGGCGCGCAGGAGGACTGGGGTCCCCTCGTCCGCCGGCGCCGCATGCGCCGCATGCGCCCCATGTGCACGCCCATGCGCCGCGTCCGAGTCGTCCACGAGGGCACGCATCTTGCCGTGCGCGATCGCCGTTACGCTCGACAGCTCCTTGATGGCGCCCAGCAGACCCTGCTGTTTACTCGTCCAGGTCGTGCCGGGGAGATGGGCCTCGACGAGCGCGCGCACGCTTGTGCCTGTGCTTGTGCTTGTGCTCACATTTGCGTCGACGACGAGGAGCTTGGTGATGAGGAACGCGACGTAGCCGTGCAAGTACGCTGCAAAGCTGTCGTCGAGGCGGGTGGCTAGGTCGTGGGTGTACACTTGTGCCAAGACGGTAGCGAGCGCCTGCGGGTCCGGTGTGGTGCATTTACAAGCGAGCGCGCAAGAGCGCTTGCCACAGAGCGGGACAGCTGTAGAGCTTCGTCAGCGTTCCGCCATAGTTTCGCCACAGTTTCGCCATTTGTGTTCGTGACACAAAACGATTGCCACTCACGAGTCGTCGCAATCGTCACGGCCGCTTCGGAACTTGCCAAAGTCATCGTGCCGAGCATGGCCAGCACAAGGGCAAGTACTTCGTCTGTGCTCGTCAGAGCGGCAGGACCAGTGGTGCCCGCATGAACAGCAATGTCGCCTCCAGCGACGGTCGCGCCGTCACCGTCCGTGCCGTCGTCAGCGACCGAGCCAGCGTCGTCGTAGTCAGTCGGGCGGCGGAGGGAGGCAGAGAGCTCTTGGCGCGTCACGAGGCTGCGTGCCAGCGCGGTCATTGCGCCCGGCTGCTCAGCCAAGGTTGGAAGCAGAGTCTTGAGTTTTGGAGACGGGGCCAGTGGAGTGAGCAGTTGGAGGGCCAGAACGACGTTTTGGGCCGCTGGTGGGTCAGCATTGGTCCGTGGAGGCAATACCCACCTTGTAATTTCAGGTCATCGTCATCGTCCAGAGTCGCTGCAGACATGGCGACCAAGACATCCACAACATCCTGGACGTGTTCTTGGTCTGTGTCCATCATTCGCTCTCGTTCTTCCGGGGAATACATCACGATCGAGCCGAGAACCTCGAGACATTGCTGCAGGTGCACCATGTCCACTGCGGCCTCCTTTGGCGCGAGGTCCAACCCCTTTGCGTACAGCTCGAGGCGCTCGCGGAGTGGGTGGATCTCAGTGGTGAGAGATTCGAGCGCCGCGTGGCTCACGTGTTCGGTCATAACGGTGCGCTCGACGAGGGGCCATGTCGACTCGTGGCACGCGCGGGCGAGGATTAATGACGCGAAGCGCCGGGTGCTCACTGCGCCAGACTCTGCGGGAGGGTACAGCTTGCTGGCAATGTCGCGCAACTTGCGTATCTGAGAGTTGGTATTGTCCGTGTCTCCGTAACTCACCGATGGTGTCAACTTGCTCTTGTACCCCGTATCCAGCGGCCCAGCGCGTTGAGCAAGACTGCGTGTGGCGAAAGCAACGACCTGGTCTTCTGCAGACAGCACGATTGCGAGCTTGTCCTTCGCGACAAGTAAGGCGAGGAAGATGAGCGCCGTGGCGTCGAGGATATCGTCACCACCACACAACGCCGCAAAGATTTCCCCGGTCTTATCCACTATCTGCATCTTGTCGATCCATTCCACCCTTTGCATGTTGTCGAGAATGTCCAGCGCCGTGGAGCGTTTCGTCGTCTGAGACGGCTGGCTGAGGCTGTCAAGGAGGTAGGCAATCTCGTCCATGACCCGGCGGTTCTCGCCCTTGGATCGCATGTCGGAGATACGCTCGGGCGCGTTGGCGAGTTGTAGCTCGGCGTACAGGTTGCGCGTGGCGCCGTCGTCGCCGTCATTGTCCGTCTCGTACCGCTTGCGCCTTTCGGCGTACGACTCGCGAGGTTCGTCGTCCATGGACAGTTCGGCCGTGGAGAGGAACGATCGTGCGGCACCATATGTCCTGCGCGCACGCCCGCCAGAGCCGGGCGAGCCAGGGATGGGTGCGACCAGTGTAGCCCCAGTCACAGGAGAGCCTGCGGCGACCGCAACATCGCCAGTCTTGTCCGACTGCGCGCTGCCAGGCGTTATCGGCATCGACTGGGAAAGACGCAAGGCGCGCGGCGTGCTGGGAGGCGACGGTTGCGTAGGAGGCGCGGCGGAAGCGGCCACCTGCATGCTCTGAGCCTTGGACAGCATACGACGAGGTCCCGCTCGACGAGAGCGCGCACTTGTGTTACTGCTGGTACTGCCCTGGCTTTCCTCTCCACCTCCACCACCCAGACTTGATCCCGAGGCCGTTGGGCCCAGCTTTGACGGCCCGGGTGAGACGACGGCAAACAGGGCTGATAAGTCCTTGGGACTCGCTGGGGCGGGCGAGTGTCGAGGAGACCGGCGGAGCGGGGATCCGGCGCGCGGAATGGCCGAGGCTACTGGGGATGGTGCCACGGGAGATGACGATGGAGGATGCAATGCAAGCTGCGGGTTCGCTCGGTTACGAGGCGTGGCTGCTGATGTTGTCTTCGTTGGGGGGGACTCGACAGACGAGAGTGAAGGGGATGACGCGAGTACCGGCGCCAACATCGTGTGAGCGTCGTTTGATGCTGTCCTGCGTACCGGCCTTGAAGCCGCCGTAGCCTGAGAAGACGAAGTAGAGACTAGAGACGCCCCTGACATCAAACCCGTCCGCGAGGATCCGGATGAGGCTGTTGGCGAGCCCAGGAGGGTTGTTGCCGTCGTGGTACGCGCGGACAGTGCTGCTGTTGGCACATCGGCCGTGGTTACGCGAGCGCGCTTGGCATCACGGTTCCCCGGCGTACCGTTCGACCCGGTATCCACTGCTTTTCCCTTGCCCTTTGCGTTCCCCATCATCTTGTGGTCGTCGGTATCGTCATCACTGCCGTCCGTGTCGGTATCGCTGCCTGGTGGAGAGGGGCGTTTGTTACGCCCGGCGGTGCGGTTAACGGAGCGTCGGCCATACGTGTGTCGCGGGGGAGCTCGGGAGCCCGGGGTGCTTGGATCATGGGGGGACGAGAACATCTTGTCAATGACGTCTCGCGTCCAGCATGCGCGCGTTGTTGGCTTCTCGGTAGGATGTAGGATGGATGGAACAAAGAGAGATAGATGAGGGCATGGCGGCGGAGAGTGGTTTCGAAAGGGCAATGTGTGTTTTGTGGAGGCCCCGCAGTCAACATCATCACGTGTGGCAAACACGCACGATCGCACAGATACGCGCGACAAGGTTCAAAACATGCTTCAAGACAGGTGCAAGGGTCTGCATTTACAGGATAGACACAGAACAGGTCGTTAACGTCATACAGGAGAAGGTCTACATGGACTCGTCGCCATCGGACAGGTCGACATAAGCGGGCTTCTTGGCGGCAGCCGCGCGGCCGCGGCCAGTGGTAGCCCTCGGGGCAGGAGCGGGTGCAGGGACATCGCTGCAAGGTTAGTCTACATCGTTGGAACTCTATATAACTCACCTGTCATCACCCTCAAAGTCAGACTCGTTCTTCTTGGCCTTCTTGGCCGGAGCCTTCTTTGGTGCGGCGGCCTTCTTGGGCTTGGCGAGCATGTCGAGGTCGTCGTCAGACTCCTCCGTCTTGACCGCGCGCTTCCTGGGGGCAGCGGCCTTCTTGGCTGGCGCCTTCTTGGGCTTGACAAGAACCTCATCGTCAGAGTCGACAGCGGGGGTCTTGGACGCAGCGCGGCTGGCAGCCTTGGGCTTTGCAGTCGAAGTCGAGGCGGGCTTGGAAGCCGCATTCGATGCCGCGATGGTGTACACTGATGGGTTAGCTGATCCCCCACAAGTAAAAAACCCACTGTCATCATCCGAGTCCTCAATGTCGACAGTGACGGGCTTGGCCTTGGGCTTGGCGGGGGCCCTCTTCTTCACGACAGGCTTGACCTCAACCTCGGAGTCCTCCGAGAGAGTTGTGAATTCGCGCTTGGGCGAGGAAGCAGCCGACGGCGCCGCCGAGGCGGAAGCCGAAAGGACAGAGTTGGCAGTGGTCGACAGGGCTGAGGCGCCGGTGGCCGCAGCTGGCTTCGCCCTTGGCTTTGCAGGAGCACGAGGCTTTGCGGGAGCCTTGACGGGCTTGAAGTCGTCTTCCGAGTCATCCGTGTCCTCTCCCTTGGCACGCTTGCGAGCGGCATTGGTCTTCTTGAGCTGCGCGGCGGTCTTGGGCTTCACAAGCTTGGCAAGCTGGACATCACCATCAAGCTGGTTCTGCCACTCGACAAGGAACTCGTCCAGGTCAGTGTTCCAAATGTCCTGTGGGGAGAGCTTCAGGAGCTCGATGAGCTCGGCCTCCTTGCCGTCACGCTCGGCCAGCAGCCTTTCGACCTTCTCCTGGGTGAGACTCCAGATGCGCATGCTGAGGAGGTAGTCGAAGTCGTTGTCCGAACCGGCATCCTCGTCCTCGGCAATGTCCTGGTCGGGCTCGTCGCTGGGGGCCTTGGCATCCTTGGGGAAGGCGCGGAACTGGAGTTCACGCAGCTCGGCGACGACAATCGACTTCTTCTTGTTCGACACCACGAGCTCCTTTTTGATGATCATGGTGACGAAGCGGGCCTGGTTCGAAAGCTTCTCAAACTGCCTGTTGAGCTCGTCGGCAAGGTGCTGCTTGCGCAGACCGTAGTACTCGAGACGCTTGGGGTAGAAATCGGCAATCATGTCCTCGGGAGTGGCGTACTTTTTGATCTTGCCGTTGAGGTCAAAGCAAACCATGTTCGAGGTGCTGATGGTGGTCGTGAGCTTGAAGCGCTTGTCAAAGCCCTCCTCCTCCGCCGCCTTCATGGCCGCCTCCTTCATGTGAAGCTTGAAGTGGACAGTCGTGTCGGTGTGGTGCTCCTCGTAGTCTTTGATCGTGGACGCAGTCTTGTCCGAGCCACTGGTCATCTCCTCGATCATCTCCTTGAAATCCTGGGTCCACTTGCGGACGGGAAGCTCGGTAATCTCAATGGTCTTGTCATCGGTCTTGGTGGCAATGCCGCTGACCTTGAACTTGTCGGCCTCGACACGCTCAATCGAGCCCTTGAAACCACGGAACCACGGAGTCATGGGGACCATCTCCTCGCCACGCATCAGGCGGCGGAGGTTGTCCACGATGTCGACGGGGTTGTAGTTGGGGATTGAAGTACTCCAACCGGTACCGATACCGTCGGCACCATTGACGAGCACCATGGGGACGGTGGGCAGGTAGAATTCAGGCTCGATGCTCTGGCCATCATCAACAAGGTAGTTGAGAAGCGCATTGTCGGCAGAGTGAAAGATCGTGTGGGTCATGCGGGGAATGTTGGTGTAGATGTAACGAGCGCTCGCAGCATCCTTACCACCCTGAATACGCGTACCGAACTGTCCGTTGGGGTCGAGCAGGTTAACGTTGTTGCTACCGACAAACTTCTGCGCAAGACCGACAATGGTCATGAACAGAGACTGTTCACCGTGGTGGTATGCAGTGTTTTCGGAAACATAACCTCCAAGCTGAGCGACCTTGATCTCCTTCTTGAGGTTACGCTTAAAGCACGCAAAAAGAACCTTGCGCTGACCAGGCTTGAGACCGTCGGCGACCGAGGGAATGGAACGAATGTTGTCCGCCATGGAGAAGAGAATGAGCTCCTTGTTGACAAAGTCCTGGATGGGGATCTTGTCGGTGTCGTGGTCGAGGAAGGTGCCGGGCTTGAACTGACGAAGCCACTCCTTGCGGTCGTCGGCCTTCTTCTTGTTAAATGCCATGTCGATGAGCTGCTTGTCCTCGTCGGTCATGACGTCAAAGGGAAGACGATGCTTGGCAATAGCTGTAAAGTACTTGACGGCGTCCTCTGGACCACTGGTACCAAGACCCTTGTAGTACTTGGACTGCCAGCCGCGGCCTTCGTTGTTTTCCTCCTTCCACTCCTCATACTGGGGCATGGTGTAGAAGACGTGCTCCTGCTTGCCCTTCCAGACCTTGACAATGGGAGTGATGAACTCGACCAGGAAGTTGGGGAGGCGAAGAAGCGAAGGGTAGAAGTGGTCGAGGAAGTTGATAATGAGACCCTTGATATGCGAACCGTCGTGATCCTGATCGGTCATGATCATGAGGTGGCCGTAACGAAGGCTGTCGGTCGACTTGTAGTCGGTGTTGTGCTTGAGACCAAGAATCTGACGAATGTTTTGGATTTCGACGTTCTTCATGATTTGGTCGTGGCTTGCCTCACGAACGTTGAGGAGCTTACCACGAAGGGGGAAGACACCGAAGGTGTCACGACCTTGAATGGCACCGAGACCGGAGACGGCAAGAGCCTTGGCGGAGTCTCCTTCCGTAAGAATGAGAGTGCACTGGTTGGAGTTGCGGCCACCGGCCCAGTTGGCGTCTTCGAGCTTGACGATACCACCAATACGGGTACGCTTAGCACCGTCCGTCTTCTTGAGCATCTGGTCCTGCTTGAAGCGAGCCCAGCTGAGAACATTATCGACAATACCCGACTTTGTGACTGCAATGTTAGCTGCGAACCAACGGTTTCTGGCGAGCTCACCCTTCTTGATGAAGTCTTCTGAAATCTCGCACCTAGAACCAAAGGCGGAGCTCTTGAGAGTAAGAGTCTCCTTGGTCTGCGAGTCGAAGGAAGGGTTCTCAATGAGAGCGTTGACAAAGATCCACATGTGGTTCTTGATCTGGAACGCCTTGACGGGGGCAGCCTTGTTCTTCTTGGTGATGGAAGTCAACAGTTTATTGGCCAGCGACGTGGCAATCATGTCGACGTGGGTACCACCCTTGGTCGTGGCAATCGAGTTGGCAAACGAGACTTGGCGGAACTCGCCCTCGGACAGGGCAAAGGCAATCTCCCAGCGCTTGCCGCAGGCCTCGTAGACGACGGTAGGCTTGGGCATAGCGGCACCGCCAGAGTTGGCCGTCTGGGTGGCGTTCTGGGCGGCCAGGTACATCTCGACGTACTGCTTGAAGCCCTTCACCTTGAGGCGTTCGCCGTTAAGGAACACCTTGAGGTCCTTGACAGTACCGGCGACGTCATAAACACGCTTCATGAGAAGCGCGTTTGTGTCGTCATCAATGCCAGTCATGCCAAAGCGGGCAAGGTCAGGCGTGAAAGTGATCTTGGTCCACTCCTCGCCCTTCTTGTTCTCAGTGATCTTTGGGGTACCCTTCTTGCTCATGTTCTGAGAGAAGATCTGCTTGTACTTTTTGCCGTTGACCTTGTCGGCAGTCTCGACCACAAACTCGAGCGAGTAAATGTTGGCAAGCTTGGCACCGAAACCGTTACGACCACCAGTGAGCTTCTTCTGGTCGTCGTCGTAGTTGGACGAGGTGAGGCTGCACGAGTCAGCTTAGACAACACATGCGAACTTACAGGTTGCCGAAGATGAGCTCGGGAATCATGATACCCTCCTTGGCGTGCATCTCGACGGGAATACCCTTTCCGTTGTTCCAGACCGAGATGGTGTTCTTCTCACGGTCAATCTCCACCTTGATCGAGTCCATGGTGGGGTCATTGATCTTGTTATCCGCAGCGTTGACGAGAATCTCGTCAAAGATCTTGAAAAAACCGGGCACGTAGCTGATCTTGCTGACGAAGATGTCAGTACCAGAGGAAACGACAACGTGCTTGACTACTCACCGGTTTTCCATGCCCTTGGTCTCGTTGTTGAAGACCCACATGTCGGTGTTCACATGCTCGACGGAACCGATATAGGTATCGGGACGCTTGAGAACGTGCTCCAGTTGCGAGAGCTGAGGTGTCGCGGCATCAGTTGATTGTTTTGAACGAACGGGGGCAAGGGAAATAGAAACCTACCTTCTGGTACATCTCGGACGCGTTCTTCTTCGCGGCGGGCTTGGCGGTAGGCTCGTCATCATCAGAGACAGCCTTGCGTTTCACGGGCGTAGAGGATGCACTTGAGACGTCCTCAGACTCGTTCGGGAGGTTCTTCTTCGCTCCCAGGGGCGCCTTCTTGGTGGCCGCCGCTTTCTTTGGTGCGGCGGGCTGCGAATGGTGAGTTCATCAAACCTTGAGGCATACGCATAGCAACACGCGTTTTATACAGCGCGTGTTTGCCTACTCACCTTGGCAGCGGCCTTCTTGGCGGGGGCCTTCTTAGTGGCCTTGGGCAGGGGGACGAAGCCGTCCGAGTCACTGTCGTCCATGCGGAAGTCCGAGGCCTCGCTGTCCGACATGGTGTTGAGACGTCGATGGGCGGCGGGTGTGGTGTGTATGAGGGAGATGTGAGGGCGAGGTGAAAGAGTGACTGGGATAAATCTACTGGGGTATAAAAGCTGTCGGCTGAGAGGGAGTGTGAAGACCTGCCTTGTTAGCAGAGATGTCCACATGCAAACGGCACGGATCCTTGAGAGTGTTGTTTATGTTCGAAAGCTGGGCACGGTTGCCCCTCAGGCAGCCGTGGGTGACAAAAACAATTACGTAATGAATTGTATTATACACGTCATAATAGATAGGTGATAACAATGCTCCCATCATCCCTGCCACGAGGTCGCCATACGGCTTCCTGTGCTCTGCTGCGGAGACCGTGACGCGCGTACAGTGGGTGGGTGCGGGGTGATGGTACCAGGCAGGCGAGACACGGCCACATGAAGGACGTCGGTCGTGTTCATTGCTGTCAATTGGCCGTCAACGTATACATCATACTTACCTCAACTACTCGACACACGCAACCCACAGCGTATCTAAAACAGAGTCGACACCTGCCTCTGCATCGCCCCAAGAGGGCTGTATCCCCCTTCCTCCCCCTCCTCCTCCTCCATCTCCCTCCTCGTCCAACATGTCGAATCCATTTGACGACATCCTCGCGCCAAAGCCCCGGCAAGCTGTGCGCACTAGCTTGACCGCCGACGACCCATTCGGCGACGACAGCCCAGACTTTTTGGGCGAGGCCAACACGCAAACACATTCAAACGGTGGCCAAGCTGTCGCTGGTCCAGGCGCGTCACCTAACGATGCCAAGCATGGTTACGCGTTAGATCCATTCTTTGACGAGTGAGTGAAGCGCAGCAAGCTCTTTAAGCGCGAGCAGTGGCGGTGCGAAGGATAGAGCTCACGCCTCCCAGTGACGATGACTTTGGCGGCGGTTCACTGCAACCAACGGGCTACATGCCATCCGCATCGGCTTCGGGCAACCGTGGTTTCGCCGACTCCAGACCGTCCCTCTTCGATGCCGACGAGCCCTTCGCTGAAGAGGGCGCTCTTCCCGCAGGATTCAGTGGCGGTGCGACCAACCAAGCTCCCCGTGGTTATGGTGGTGGTAGCGCTGCTATCAATCCATTTGACGATGACGAGGGTGTGGGAGCATACTCGTTCTCGGGCCCCTCTGATGTCGCGTACGCTGGACGCTACAAGCGTACCAGGTGGCAGCGCTTCAAAGAGGACCATCTTACCGACGTCGATTGGACGTTTGGGGTGAACAAACTCCTTGGCAGGAAAAGCAAGTTTGACGGTGTTCCTCGCGAGGTCATGCTCAACGACCCCGAGGGGAACAAGGTCAAGGGCTACGAAGGCAACTCGGTGTCGACTGGCAAGTACGGCCCCATCACTTTCTTGCCCAAGTTCCTTTACTGTAAGTTATTGTCCGTCTTGAGTACAGCCGCTGACTTGATCAGCCGAATTCTCTCGATCTGCCAACTTGTTCTTCCTGTTCACGGCGTGTATTCAGCAGGTGCCAAATGTGTCGCCTACTGGACGGTTCACAACTATCGAGCCTTTGGCTGTTGTGTTGGTTGCTTCGGCGTTCAAGGAAATCAAGGAAGATCTTGTGCGTATCTTTTTGTTGGCGGCAAGCTGACCTCTCAGAAACGTCACGCTCAGGACCGCGCTTTGAATGCTAGCCAAACCCAGGTGCTGGTGAACCAGCAGTTCCTCAACCGCCCTTGGCGTCAGATCCGCGTCGGTGACACCCTTCGTCTCGAGGCAGACAGCTTCATTCCCGCGGACATGGTCCTCATCAGCAGTTCCGAGCCCGAGGGCCTGGCTTATGTCGAGACCGCCAACCTTGATGGCGAGACCAACCTCAAGATCAAGCAGGCCCACCCCTCGACAGCGAACCTCACCACCCCTCAGGCAGCGTCGCTCCTCCGCGGCCACCTCTTGTCCGAGGCCCCCAACTCGTCTCTCTACACCTACGACGGCACATTCCACATTTCCTCCACCCAGCCCGGTGCGGCGCCGACCAAGATCCCTGTTGGTCCCAACCAGGTTCTCCTCCGCGGTGCGCAGCTGCGTAACACCGACTGGGTCTACGGCATTGTTGTCAACGCTGGCCACCAGACCAAGCTGATGCGCAACGCGACGTGAGTCTTTGCCCTGGACATGACAATGGCGGCCGCTCTTGGCCATCCATACTGACCGTCTTCAGGGAGCCACCGATCAAGCGCACGGCCCTCGAGGGTCAGGTCAACAAACAGATCCTCTACCTGTTTATTCTCCTCATCATCATGTCGCTGGTCTCGACCATCGGCAATGTCATTCGCACTTGGTTCTTCTCAAAGCAGGATTGGTACTTGGAGCTTGGTGTTGATGCGCCAAACAAAGGTAAGGTACTGTCACGGCTGCATTGGGCTTACCTGGCCAGCCCGTCAATTCATCGAGGATATTCTTACATTTATCATTCTCTACAACAACTTGATTCCCATCTCGCTCATCATGACAATGGAGGTTGTCAGGTTCTACCAAGCAGGATTCATCAACTCGGACCTTGACATGTACTACGCGCCAACGGATACGCCCGCCCTTTGCCGTACCTCGTCCCTTGTGGAAGAGCTCGGACAGATTGCCTACATCTTCTCAGACAAGACAGGCACCCTGACTTGTAACGAGATGGAGTTCCGCGAGTGCTCGATCTTTGGCACCATGTATGCCCAGGTCGTCGACGACAACAAGAGGGAACAGGGTCAAAAGAGCTTTGAAGTCCTCCGTCAACGGTCCAACGAGGACACAGAGGAAGGCGAGGCTATCCGTAAATTGTGAGCTTAACTTGGTGGACAAGCTGACACCCACAGCCTCCAGCTGCTCTCTGTCTGCCACACGGTCATTCCCGAGGTCAAGGAGGGCAAGATGGTCTACCAGGCCTCCAGCCCTGACGAGGCTGCCCTCGTTTCGGGTGCCGAGCTGCTTGGCTACCGCTTCCATGTGAGTTAGCTTCCTTCGACAGACCAGCTGACTCGCTTCAGATCCGCAAGCCCAAGTCTGTCTTTGTTACGGTCAATGGCGAGGATCAGGAGTGGGAGATTCTCAACGTCTGCGAATTCAACTCTACCCGCAAGCGCATGTCGGTTGTCGTTCGCGCCCCGGACGGCCGTATCAAGCTGTTCTGCAAGGGTGCGGACACTGTCATCTTTGAGCGTCTCGGCCCCAAGCAGGAGTTCTCGGAGCCTACTCTTACCCACCTCGAGGACTACGCCACGGAGGGTCTGCGCACGTTGTGTCTCGCATACCGTGACATTCCCGAGGGCGAGTACCGCGAGTGGGCCGAACTCTACGACAATGCCGCTGCTCAGATGAGTGGCCGTGGCGAGGCTCTTGACAAGGTTGCCGAGATTATCGAGCAAAACATGGTTCTCCTGGGCGCTACTGCTATCGAGGACCGTCTGCAGGACGGCGTTCCCGACACCATCCACACGCTCCAGCAGGCTGGTATCAAGATCTGGATTCTTACCGGTGACCGTCAGGAAACTGCCATCAACATTGGTCTCTCGTGCCGCCTCATCTCCGAGTCGATGAACCTCGTCATTATCAACACTGAGACCCAGGCCGAGACTGCCGAGTTGCTCAACAAGCGTCTGTTCGCGATTAAGAACCAGCGCATGGGTGGCGACACTGAGGAGCTTGCTCTCATCATCGGTAAGTTGAGGCGTAACACACGGTGTGTTGGCAACTGACATTTTCAGATGGCAAGAGTCTTACGTATGCACTTGAGAAGGAGTGCTCGGAGGTATTCCTCGAGCTCGCGATCATGTGCAAGGCTGTGGTCTGCTGCCGTGTCTCGCCCCTCCAGAAGGCTCTCGTCGTCAAGCTTGTCAAGAAGAGCACTACGTCGCCACTCCTTGCTATTGGTGACGGTGCGAACGACGTGTCCATGATCCAGGCTGCCCATATTGGTGTCGGCATTTCGGGTGTTGAGGTGAGCTTAGCTCGGCGGCGCTCGCGTTTCGTAGCTGACACTCCACAGGGTCTCCAAGCTGCTCGTTCTGCCGATGTGGCAATCTCGCAGTTCCGTTTCCTCCGCAAGCTGCTCCTCGTCCACGGCTCGTGGAGTTACCAGCGTCTGTCCAAGTTGATTCTCTACTCGTTCTACAAGAACATCACCTTTGCGCTGTGTCTCTTCTGGTACTCGTGGTTCAACGACTTCTCGGGACAGATCGCGTTCGAGGGCTGGACCATGACATTCTACAACGTCGTCTTTACCATTCTTCCTCCCCTTGTTATTGGTATTTTCGACCAGTTCGTCTCCGCTCGCATGCTCGACAGGTATCCCCAGCTCTACCAGCTTGGCCAGAAGAACTACTTCTTTGCCCCCATCACCTTCTGGTACTGGGTCGGAAATGCGTTCTACCACAGTGTCGTGAGTTTAGCTTTTCCCGCAATCAAAACTCACCAACAGATCCTCTTTGCGTTCTCGTGCTTCGTCTTCTGGGCCGATCTCATTGCGTCGGACGGCAAGAACAGCGGTCTCTGGGTGTGGGGTACCACGCTTTTCATCTCTGTGCTCCTCACGGTTCTCGGCAAGGCTGCCCTCATCTCCGACGTGTGGACAAAGTACACTCTCGCGGCCATTCCTGGTTCCTTCCTGTTCACCATGATCGCCCTGCCACTGTACGCCTTCATTGCGCCGCTCACTGGTGTCTCGATGGAGTACAAGGGCATCGTGCAGCGTCTGTGGGGCGACGCAGTCTTCTACTTTGTCCTGATCCTCTTCCCCGTCGTCTGCCTCCTGCGTGACTATTGCTGGAAATAGTGAGTTGTTAACAGCCTTACGCAGCTGACAATCCTCAGCTACCGCCGCACATACCACCCGGCCCCTTACCACATTGTCCAAGAGATCCAAAAGTTCAACCTGTCAGACTATCGTCCCAGGCAAGAACAGTTCCAGAAGGCGATCAAGAAGGTGCGCGCGACACAGCGTATGCGTCGCCAGCGTGGCTTTGCGTTCTCCCAGACCGAGAACCAGTCCCAGGACCAGACGCGTCTCATCCGCGCGTACGACACGAGTGTCGCCCGTCCCTCTGGATTGTAGTTGCGCGCCGCGCGCCTAGAATTCCCTCCAACCCCCGTTAGTGTAGCCAAGCTAGCTATGTCTGCAGTGCCCCGTACTGTGAAACAAAAAATAGAGTGTCGGAACGAGTTCATGCATCATGTGTCACGAAGAAAAAAGGAATTGATGAAACTATGCGGCACCGGCTGCGACTTGCGCAGCGAGCTGCTCGTCATCTGGGGGCGGGGGCACGTCGCACGGAAGGCCAAAGCTCTACGTGGGTCAGCAATCAGTCTTTGAAGGCGAGACCCACGTCAATGTCAAAAGAAGCCCACGGGACGTCGCCCAGGGCTGGGTTGCTCGACGTCGTCGAGTTGGTCGACGCGTGCGCGTACCGCAGCTCGTCGTTGCCTGCGCCGCGAAACAGCGCGATACGGATAGTACGTTCTGTGGTCCACGCGTCTCCCAGCTGGCGCATAAGCACGGCACGGTCGCCGCCGGTGTCAAAGTTGGCAGGCTTGTTCTCGGCCGTGAACATCTTGGTGGCGAGCTGGGTGGTTATGATGACCTGTGGCAAGGTGTCAGAGATTGCCGTGAACCAGTGCGAAACGGCAACTTACAGCGCATCCTCGGACAGTTGCGGCCTTGCCGACTGCCTGCTTGACTCTGAAGGGTTAGTCAGTGTGATTCTGCAGGCGACCGTACAGTTCTAGTAAACGCTTTCGCAGGGCATTGTCGAGGTCGGGTTGGCGGAAGTGGTAGCTAAGCGTGTCCAGAATGAAGAGCTTGACCTTGTCAGGTGTAAGCACAAGCAGCAAATGTGAAGACCTGTCGATTTGGTTACCTTTGGGTGCGCCTCGAGCCATTCATCCACCGTGTTCAGAAAGGCGACCATCTGGACCTGGGTGGCCACACGGATGAGGTGAATACCTTCCAGGACACTGTCGACCGAGCCTCACGGTAAGCTATGTAAACGTCTAGGATACGCACGAGAGGTTCCTTCCACGAGTGCCTCGACGGCCGCGCGAACCCGGCCAACCGTGATGGACCCTTCCGTGTCTTCTGTCAGCGAAGATGATTTCAATGGCATCACTCACCAATAAGAAGCACTTCGGGCGCCGCATCACCTCCATCTTCAGCCCCATCCCCAAGTCTGGCACTGAGCGCCACACCAATAGAGACACACGTCTTGCCCGACCCCGGTGGCCCAGACAGGTCAAACACCAGGCCGGGAGTAATGGCTCCAACATTGACGTCCAGGGTGCGCTCTTTGCCCTTGAGGTTGTATCTTGTGGCGTGCTCTGATCGCGGAACAGTGGCAAAGTGTGCAATGAGGTCATCGATGGAGGTGGACAAGGTCGAAAAACGTGTCCGGGCAGAGGCGTGAAGGAGGGCAGAAGCAGTGGAGGTGTGGGGCAATTGATTTTGCATCCCGAGGTGCGATGGACCAGCTGAGAGGTTAGCAGGGAGGTCAGACAGATGACCTCGAATCACCTTGGAAGGTATGTGCTTGGCGCACAATATCTTCTGCTTGAGGTTGACCGATGCTTAGCTCTGCGAGTTTCAGTATGACCCTCCAACTTCACCTCACCTATGGCGAGGTCCCCTGGGGACACGGTCGCGAGGTCCTCTACGCTCTTGTACCCATTCTCGGCTAGCGCGACTTTGAGAAAGTGTCTGTAGAGTTAGGGTGTTACAATTTTGCAACTCACGGGAGGGAGAGGTCTGCGATGGGCCGAGCCATGGCTCCAAGTAAGCGTTGCTGGAATGTAACTGAGAGTGGAGGAAGTCAAGAATAACAACAACAAACGGCTCAACAAACTCAGGCGCGTCAGCTAGTGCGGGGCCCACATAGGTAATTTACCTCCGCACGCCTTCTCCACTCCGCCTACCACTGACCGCCTAGATCCTGGCGCGCCTGTTAAATAGCGGGAGCAAATGAGGCCGCGCGAGCGTGCCTTCGTGCACACCAGCGTCAGCGCCAGCCAGAGACGCGAGCAGCGAGCAACGACATCATCGACAGCACCGAGAGACCTCCCACAATCCCACTTCCAACCGTCCGGCACTCATTTCACACCTAGACCGAAGGCAAGCGGCGAGCACAAAGCACGACCCGCGACTCTCTACAGCCTTCCCTTCTTTCACAACTCTTTCACTCCTCGCCGGTACAGCTCGCTAGTAGCTGCCATCAGACGCAATGGTGTGTATCAGGCCAGACAACATGGACGCGCACGCACGCGCGTACCAGCTCGCAGGTTGGTCCAGAATGCCGAGCTGACAACCCACAGTCCATCCAGGAGTACAACGGCGGTTCGGTCGTCGCCATGGTCGGCAAGGACTGTGTCGCGATTGCCTGCGACCTCCGTCTCGGTAACCAGGCCACTGGTATCGCCATGAACTTTGAGAAGGTGTTCCCCGTCAACGACACCTTGTACTATGGCCTCCCCGGTCTTGCGACCGACGTGTACACATTGTGAGTGTCCGCTGGCTGTCCTGGTCAGCGTGGCTGCTGCCTGAGCTACGGCAGAAAGCATCGAGGTCGTCACCAGGGCGCATGCTTCTACACCTCGGAGACGTGTAATTCCCAAGCTAACACTCCTCAGGCGAGAGCAGCTGCGCTTCCGCGTCAACATGTACCGCATGAAGGAGGAGCGCGAGATCACCCCCGAGACCTTCACTCACCTCCTCTCGTCGACCCTCTACGAGAAGCGCTTTGGCCCTTACTTCCTCGAGCCCGTCATTGCCGGCATTGCTCCCCCCACCGCTGCCAACCCCAACCCCCAACCCTACGTCTCGACTCTTGACTCGATCGGCTGTATCACCACCCCCAAGGACTTTGCCGTCGCCGGTACTGCCACCGACAAGCTGTACGGTGCCGCCGAGGGCCTCTGGGAGCCTGATCTTGAGCCCGAGGACCTCTTTGAGACCATCTCGCAGACCCTCCTGAACGCCGTCGACCGTGATGCGCTTTCCGGCTGGGGTGCCATTGTTCACGTCATGTGAGTAGAATGACTATCTAGGACTTCTGAGAAACCAGAGCCGTTGCTAACCCACGTACAGCACGAAGGACAAGGTGATCACCCGCACACTGCGGTCGCGTATGGACTAAGGATAGAGCAGGAAGATTCGAGTTGGAGGAAGGCCGGCAGCACAGACATGCATGTAGATCATCCAAGCTGCTAACTGCTCCGTGACTACTGACGTACGGGCTATCTACGAGGGTTGGTGCGCGACACTATTTACAGCTCGCACATTCACCTGCTTGTGGCGACTTCGGTGTCATCGCTCGCGGCCGATTCCTGTCTGAACTCGAGAACCGTCTGCATCGAGTTGAAGAGGTCCTCCTGGAGCTTGCGGAGGTAGTCGACGACCGACGGGTCAGACTGCGAAGATTCAAGGACCTGCTGCAGCTTGCCACGGAGCTGGAGGCTAGTCAGAAGCAACTCCCAGTTCTCATGCTCACCTCGATGATGACCTTGCGCCGCATGGCCTCCGCATTGGCGAGACTGGCGTTACGGCCTGTGGCAGTTAGTTCGCACCACTGCCACCAACTCACCCTTCTCCTCCAGGTCAGTGAGCTTTGTGGCGACCTCCCAGGCCTTGTCGGTCACTTCCGTGGGCAGAGACGCGAGCTTGGCGAGCTCCAGACCTGATTCACGTTCAGCATATGGAGGATAACGGATCTCACCGTAGTGCTCCTCCTTGCAAGATCCCTGGACGACCTTGTAGTGGAAGACAGAGCTGAACGAGCCGGAGGATCCCATGTGGCTGTTGCTCTGCGGGTCAGCTACCATCAAGGTAGACGTAGCTCACCTGCACCTGGAGATGAAGTCTTCATGTCAGCTCGCCTCGGTTGCGTTCGATCTTACGTTTGAACACCCGGAAAGATGCAAAGAGTCTGGGCGAGCTCCTGGAAGTGCGTGGCAAAGAAGACGAACGACTGAAATGTCAGCTTCAGGCGCGGCGTAACCTAGCTCACCTTGGCCCTAATAAGTGCCTCGGCGATGGCCTGCGAGAGGCCTACGCCTTCAATGGGGGCAGTACCACGTCCAAGCTTGAGGTCAGAAAAAGGACGCGAAACAGCTCACATACCTCGTCGATCAGAACCAGCGAGCGGTCAGTTGCCAGGCCTGCTGGGTAAGCGAGCGCGCTTCGTTATAACTCACCTAGAATCATTGCCGAGGTCGCCATCTCCGCCGCGAAGGTTGAGAGCGACTTTTCGATCGAGTCTAAAGAGGTCAGCACCGTGTCTCATGCTACATATTACCATCATTGGAGAGTCGAGTCAGGAGCGCGTCGTGGAGCTTGAATTGGGCATACTCGGCGGGGACACTAGAGCGTCAGTTGTAGGGCTCGTGCGTTCCCTCGCAACTCACAAGCAGCCGACCATTGCCTGGACAGTCAAGAGGCCGATCTGGCGGAGATATGTGCTCTTGCCCGACATGCTGGCATGCGTCAGTCTCCAGCTCTCGGAAAAGGATTCTCACTTGGGACCTTGGATGAGCTGGAAGTTGGCAGGGCCATCTGCCGCATATACGTCATTGGGAACACAGGTGCCAGAAGGGAGGGTCTGATCCAGAATTGGGTGACGACCGTTCTTGATCTGTTTGTTAACATAAACAGTATCTGTCCACTCACAACAAGAGCCTTGCCAAATTGAGGGCGGACTGAAAAGCTCAGTACATGTCCGACCGCTGTGGAGCTTCTTCTTACCACATGAATGCGCTGCCGTTAACAGTGGCCTGGTATGATGCGACTCACAGCTGGAAATGTCTGCGAATCCGCTGAGAACGTCGAGCAGAGCAATCTTTGAAAGAGTTCAGAGCGATGGGCGTTAGACGAACTCACTGCTTCCGAGCACGCGTAGAGGCAACCTTCACGTTAGCACCTGGCACAGTTGGCAACTTACCAATCTTGTCAACCACTTCCTCGATGAGCTCCGCCACAATGTCCTCGCTCATCAGAAAGACTTCTTGCTGGGTCTGAAGCATGCGCTGGTTACGCTTCAACTGGACATGTCAACGCAGGACTTGGATGGAGACTCACGAGCTCGTGGCTGGTAAAACGGATAGCCTTCTTGCTCTTCTCAAAGTGGATGAAGACTTTGGGCATCTCAATGTCCACCAGATCATCTGGAAGGCAGTGGAAGCGATATCCTTGCTCGCTCCACTCAAGCTGTGTGGTGATACCGTACTCATCTAAAGGTCAGAACTAACTATGCAGAGTTGCATACCTTGGTAGACTTTGGTCACTGAACGGGTCAGCCCTGGAAACGACTGCGGACCCACTTTCCATAATATCAGCCACATTCTCAGCATGTGTCGCACGGGCAACATCGAGAAGTTGATTGAAGTTGCTTTTGACTGCGTACAGCTTGGAGTTCTTGGACATCTGCCGCTTGGTACCCTTGCCAGTGCCGAGCGAGGCTTCGTCATTGATGCGTTCTGGCAGGTTAGCACGGAATAAGAGTAGGAACCCACGGTCAATCAACGTGGCAATGTCCTGGACTTGGGGGTCTGAAAGCATCTATGACACAACTGTCAGCCTGGGAGCGACAACACGGCTCACCCTGCATCCGATTTTGAGAAGTGTAGATTTACTCTGCCTGAGAACTCTGGCGAGCTCCGGCACACTGGTGACAACTTTGCGGAGTTGGAGGAGGAGTGCAATCCTTGTTTCCGTCTGAACTGGGTCACTGTGGTTGACCCTCTGGTTTTGGGAGATCTGGGGACGTCAGCTTCTTCCGCATGGAGGACTTTGAAACCAGTCAACTGACGCTGGTAATAAGTTTATCAAAGTCTACCTTGAACGTCAGCTAGCCCACTCGGGTCACGCACTCCCTCGACAGGCTTGAGGCTCTTGCGAATTCCACCGAGCTTCTCCGACGAGTTGACAAGTTCTAGTCATGGTCAGCTGGACGCACTCCTTATGCACCGGTACCTTCAACAGCATCAAGGCGGTTCTCGATGATTGGCTTCTCTGTACCGTGTCAGCTCACGCCTGAAGGATTGAAAGCTCACGGTTACTAGGCTGAAGTATTGAGGAACGAAGGAGGCGAATACCCATTGGCGTGGTGCACGCGTTCAGAGTCGCTGGGAGTCAACCCGAGTACAATTGTCGGCTCACACCGCTCACAGAACAGTGTGTTTGTGTTCTTCATCGTGATGTTGTTTTGAACGAGCTCGAGGTTACGGGCGCTCTCCGGGTCGATAAACATGTGGCCTGGCATCAGCTTCGGACGTGGAGAACCTTGAACCTCACCCCTCATGGTCTCGTACTTGATAATGACCGAATTGTCACTGAGGTTTGCACCGTGCTGGACGCAAGCGTATGTCAGAAGGGCGGATGCAGCACAGAGCGCGTAATAGCGGTCCGCAGCGACCATCAAGACAGAAGCCTTGGTGTCATCCTCGATGCCGAACTGCTTGATGAGGTCAAGGCCTGCTCGTTAGCTCGCAAGCGGATTGACCGATATGTAGCTCACCGTTGTCAGCGCTCCAATGCGAGCGCGCCACAGCCTCGCACTTGAGCTGAAACTCTTTCTCGATCTTTTCAACCATCTTGGAGTCTGTCTTGCGAGCTCCCATGGACACTCTGGTAACCTGAGTGTCTGTGACAAGAACCGTCTTTGGGCGGTAAAGAGACAGGTAGTACAGGGTCTTGTTGAACGCTTGCAAATGTCAGCTTCTGGTGGTCTGCAAAAGCCACAAAGGTGACATACAGGAGCTATCGGCAACCTGGATGCTGGTGAGCATACCTCACCAGGGAATAAGCTGCTACATACCTGAGTGATGGTCATCTAAGCCGTTGTCAGTAGCATATCTCCCAGTAACCCACCCGTCCAGTGTCGATGTTGATTGCCGCAAGACCAACTTCGACGCCGGTGCCTGCACGATCAGAGTGGTGCCTAACCAGAACAACTCACCCTTGTTCTGAAGAGCGGCAACGATGTACTCTCCACCATCGCCAACAATTGATCCAGTGGTACTGGGACGAGCGGAAGTCGCCGACTGGCGGCTGGAGTAGGCAGTCTGGGGGCGAGCCGAGTGAGACCTGGAGACGACAGAGCCGTGGCGCTTGGGAGGGGCAAGGAACTGGTTGCTGGATGGATGCGTCGGAGGGCGGGCGGTGAGAGCAGTAGGGGGACGGCTTGGGGGCTTGGAGGACATCCTGGAAGAGGTGGTAGATCCCAAGCGGTAGAGGGAGGACAACGGCCGCCCCACCTCAGATGCAGAGGGAGACTGGGGAGTGGGTGGCGGTCTCATCATGGCAGTAGTGGTGGTGGTTATGATGGTGAGAGGAGGGTTGAGACGAGAACGGGGTGAACTCTGGATGGGGGTAGGAGATGGAGAGAAGTGGAAATGAAGATAGAGGGAAGGAGAGGAAGCCGAGGACGAATATGGAGGGAAGGCGGGGAAGACAAGGCCAGCGACACATAGGTGACTCACCTCCCCCAGATCCACCAAGCGATTCTGCCAGTTGAATGCACCATGTCAGCACACGCACAGCGTCCACACTGCATGCATTTCTCATACTGTATGTTCCTCGCTACATCTACTTGTCGATCCCAGTGTGACAAACTGCCTCGATGTTGTGCCCATCGGGGTCGAGGACGTAGGCGGCATAATAGTTGGGTTGAAAGTGTGCGCGGATGCCCGGCTGGCCGTTGTCTTTCGCGCCCGCAGCAAGTGCCTTGTTATAGAACTCGTCGACCTCGTGTGACGTCTCACAGCGGAATGCACAGTGAATGGGTGTCACCTCTGGCCCCTTTGCAGCGTCGGCGATGAAGAACTTGACTTGCTTGAAGGCTGAGCCGTGTTGACCGTAGCCGCAGAGGCCCGGGAATTCCATGATGGCCTTGGCGCCAATTGCCTCGAGAACGCTGGAGTAGAACGCCTTGCTGGCGGCGTAGTTGGACACACGAAGATAGAGGTGGTCAATCATGCTTGCTGATGAGGGTAGCTTGCGCCGCTGGCCCCTGGGAGGAAAGACAGCGAGACGGAAGTCATTTCGACTGCAAGTCATCTTTTGTGTGGGCGGGCGACCCAGTTGACTGGACATGACGTCACCTGACCCAGACGGCCTCCACCGCCCCCTAGTGAGCATGTTGAACGCCCTGCCTTGCCCGCCACACAGACAACTGTACATGCATCCACAGGCCACAGGTGTGCACGCGTGCACACATGATGTTTGTGTTGGTTGCGGCGGGTAATACATCCAGAGCGAGTAGGAGGTGGTTTTTTGGTGACGGTGGCCAACAAAATAGGTTTTTTGTGATTTTTGCACCACTATATGGCTGCAAAAATCCGTCTAGGGAGAGAGTAAAGGCTTCTACTGAGGGTCAGGTAGCGTTTAGTAGCTGAGTTGTACCATAAAGACCTTTTGGATACTGCTACAAAGTGTCTCCTTGGTGGCTGTGGACAAACTTCCACAGCCAGAAAATCGTTTTCGCTGTCTTTTCCCGTCTTTTCAGTTTCCTCTGTGGCAACTTCAGTCACTCAGAGTACGTTTCTCCCACCAAAGTCCTCTCACTGAATCAGCCTACCAGTCAGCGGCTTATCATTTCACTACCTGACGGATACCTAGCCAAGCCCCCCGCGGGAGGGGTGGTGTGGTTGTGCAAAACCAAATTGACATAATCAATCACTCCGAGACGCCAAGGCGGCTGCTGGGACAACCGCCCATGCGAGAGTGGCTTCTCCGGACCCGACGTCCGAAGAGTAGCACTTGGCCAGAAGACCAGAAGAAGAACAGCATGGTGCTGGTATCCTGCCCAGAAAACGCCTAGAACACGGATGGATATTCTTTTTCCCACGCAGACGGTCGTCTTTGGCATGTCAGTGGCAAGCTTCATGGTGTGCGGTCTTCTTCTTTCGTAGGGCCACCAATGATGGGTGGATTACGCCTGCTGAATCTCTCTCATCTGCGATGGGATACGACATTGCGCACTTTTTGCATCTCTAGGAAGTATTTTCACTACCATGCCTTTGTCATTATTCGTTTCCAGAGTGCCCTACCACGTCACCATAACTGAGCCGACACTTAAACAGCACGCTGCTTGATGGGAAGCGACGACGACGAGCTCGACGAGTCAAGCGAGACGGGAGCGTTGCGCCTGCCAAAGTGGACGCGACCAGTGGCATAAAGAGCGGCGAGGATCAGAGCAATGACACCAAAGGTGACACCGGCGCCGATACCACCACCCTCAGCGGCCGAGAGGCCAGAGTCGGTGTTGACGCTCGACGACGACGATGACGAACCAGTGACCGAGGCGGCGGCGGCAGCGGCGCCAGTGGTGGGGTGGACCATGTCGGCGGGCATGGTGGCGCTCGTCAGCGAGCTACCGCCGTTGAGCTGGAGGCTGTCCGCCTCCGAGGCGACTTCGAGCTCCGAGGTGTAGTTGCCACAGACGTAGTCGGCGGTCTTAACGTAGCTCGAGGTCTCGACGAGCTTGACGTCCGCACACTGGTAGTACCACTCCTTCTGGCCGTCGAGGTAGTAGATGAGGAGGAGGGTGGCAACGTCGCCGTCGACAAAGCCGAGCGAGGAAAAGTCCGGGGCGTGACCGCAGTAGTGGCCGGCACCAATGTCCGCGATGGTGTTGGTGTACGTGCTGAACTCGTGGAACTTGGTGGGGTTCGAGCCCTTGTACCACAGGAAGTTGAGGTCGTCGACCGCAGTCTCCTGGAGGAGCGAGATCTGGCCGTTGGCTGCCATGTCAGCTAGGCTACAATGTGAATAGCTTACTGAGAGGGAAAGTGGTAGGAGTGGTTGCGGCGAAGCCACCGCAAGGGGCCTCAGTGGCAGTCTGAGCCGAGAAGCCACGGCCGGGAGGGAACGACCACGACACCGGCGACGTAGTGAAGTCCTGGCGGATCGTTAGCGTCGGTCCGACTGGTGCCACTCGTCAAGATGGACTTTACAACTCACGGTGATGCTAGCGTTGGCACGCGGGGAGAGGGGGAGGGCGGCGGCAGTCGCAAGCGACGCCGAAGTGGCAGCGAGGAGGGCGTTGAAGAGCATTTTAGAGTGGTTTCAATGTCTAGAGTGGGACAAGTGACAAACGCTGGATGTGGGAACTGGTCACGGGGGAGTGGGTTGACTTATATCATGTGCCTCTGAATGCAAGCCAAGACATGCCATGCCGGCCAGGGAGTACAAAGGCGACGCTCCCCGGAAGGACACCTCATCCGAGGCATGTGCTGAGCAAGTACTCGGTCAAGCGCCTTGTCGCTAGGGCTTGCGGGCCGCACGGCCGTAGCCTGTGACCAACCGCCTCAGTTTTCCATTGGTATGTAGATATTCACCAAAGTCAATGGACTAGTTCCTCCATAAAGGCCGCATGAAGAAGCTGTTGAGTCGGCCGAGGTGACTTGGCACGCCACCATTGTGTACTTGGAGTGCTGCACCCCCCGCCCCCCGGTCTGACGACGCAAGGTTGCTTACTTGCCGCGCCGCAGCCCCTGATTTTGAGATGTGCTCGGTCTTGCGGAGCCATGTGCGTCTTGGGGCGTCTTGGCGGCGTAGTCGGCCGATGTCGTAGGTAACTTGATAGAACGTTGTGTACGGCGCAGAGGCAATCCCCATGGCAGCCGCCGAGAGCGCTATACGTATGGAAGTGAAGTACATGGTTGTTAATGGGCAAACCAATGCATGTAAGTGGACCTTGCCTCGTCTTGATGTCTGTTTAGGCTGCGATGAGTGTGGACAGCGCAGAAGACAAGACGCTGTACGCTGTTTTAGTGGAAAAGGAGTTCGGCCGTGACGGGAGCAAACCGCTATCAGATAAGCCGCCGATCTTGGGTGGGTGCTGTGACCTTGCTCCCCAGCCTGTGCGTGCAGACTCCCGATGCCAAGACTGTGTGCGTCATCACCAACATCCGGCCGACAATGTCATGTTGCCTCCAAACTCTGGCAGCGGCGACTTGCGCCAAACGATGCCACTCGGTACGGCCTTTGACCCAGCTTTCTGGACTTCCGCACATCCACAGGTCCACAGAACCGCAGATCCGACGCGAGTACAAGTAAGAGGCCGAAAAGGGGGAACTGAAGGGCATGGCGACCTGCAAGCCTCCCTGGACAACGCATGCGTGCTCTGCCAAGATACGACTCGGTGGCGACAGATCGGCTATACTATCATGTACCATGGGGTTCGGCGTATCCACGACAAAACCCAAGCCGAGCCAAGGCCATTGTACAGGGTGCTCACTGAAAGCCGGCGTCTGTTCGCAGCTCAGTACGTCAGTACCAGTGATGAGCGTGAGCGACTGTCCTGAGACGGTCAGAGATCAGAGACTTGATTCCAAATGGGTATTGCTACACAACTGTGCCAGACCGGCAGACTGCAACAGGCAGTGCGTTCAACCAACCAAACCCTCCCCTCCCCCTTCTTTTGTGGGACGTGCCTGTCAGATGTCCATCGCCTGCACTGGACTACATTTGCGTTCGAGAACGGACCAAAAGTTGCAACCCACCTGTGAACGACCTTGAATATTGACCATTGAGACTGGTGGATTTTTATCACAGAGGGCCGGAAGACCAGAACGATTCTCCAGGACAGTCTGCAAGCAGAGTCAATCTAGAGCAGGTCACTGCCCAGATGGACTCGCAATGCGCTGGATCCCTCGCTGTGGGGTCGTTCCGTTCCGCCCGCGGTGCGCTGCTTCCGTACAGTATTAGCGGCCTCGGATGGTGTGTTAAAAGTCCTCTGCAAGGCTGCAGGCAAGCCTGTAGGCCGCCCCAATCGACCCGCCGGGCCGCCAAATGGCTTACCAGGCCGGCCAGGCCATTTACAGCACTGATGATACACCACCGCTTCCGCTCTCACCTCACCGTGATGACTACCCAGAGCGCCAGAGCAGCCACGACATGCATATGCCCCCCACGCCATCCCACAATCCCCACAATGCCCCACACTGCGCCACTGCCCACCGTCCCACACCTCGAAGGTCGGTCGGAGGTGGCCGTGTGGAATCGACGCGGAACGAACGGCAAGGGCCGGCAATGACGAAACCGGACCGATCACCCGCCCACCTTCACCTTCGCGCAGCAATGAGGCGAGGATAAGGCTCTTGACATAGGACACTTCCACCCTCGTGCACACTTACATCCCCGCCTTGCCCTTCACTACTGTAATACTACTGGATCACCGACATGCCTTCGATCAAGGGTAAACGCGTGCTCGTCACTGGTGGATCGCGCGGTGTCGGTGAGTACTGGTGCAACGACTTAGCAGGCCTCGTCACCCGATCCACATCTCCCCATCCTCATCGCACTGCTTCACGGCTGGCATGCTGACAGGACCCAGGCGCCGAGATTTGCAGGCAGGCCGCTGCCGAGGGCGCCATCGTTGCGGTCAACTACGCGTCGTCAAAGGAGGCGGCCGAGAAGCTCGTCGCCTCGCTCGCTGGGTCTGGCCATGTCATTGTCCAAGGCGACGCATTCACGCACGCGGGATGCGACGGGATCGTCGCCGACGCGCGCAAGGCGCTCGGCGGTATCGACGCAATCGTCAGCAACCAGGGCTGGACCAAGTTTGCCGACTGGAGGGATCTCGGTGGGTAGTGAGCTGTGCACCAACTTACAGCCATCGTCAAGCCAGCGCAAAACTGACCACCATGGCAGAGTCGGTGGCGGACGACGAGTGGATGAAGATCTACAATGCCAACGTCATGAGCCACCTGTGGCTCATCCAGGCCGCCAAGAAGGATCTGGTGGCGAACAAGGGCTCGTTCATCATCACTGGCTCCATTGCCGGTTCGCAGACCTCGGGAAGCAGTCTGGCATACTGTGAGTATGGAGAGGAGCATCGCTGTGGAGTACGTTTCCAGGCTACTCGATAGTCGAGATAGACTGCGGCTTGGCTGGCTTGCGATTTGGATCCAGCCAGGTTGAGAACAACTCACAAGCTCTGCTCCTCTGCTCTCTCTGAGCTTGTGTCCTCGCAGAAACTCACACATACCCACAGCCGTCGCCAAGGCGGGATGCCTGCACCTCACCCGCGGTCTCGCCAAGAGCTGTGCCCCCGACATCCGCGTCAACTGCGTTGCTCCAGGCCTCATGCTCACTGAGTGGGCTGCTGGATTCTCCGAGGCCCAGATTCAGGCCAGCAAGGACATCACGCTGCTCGGCGGCACCAGTGAGGTGGAAGATGTGGCCGGCGCCTTCAGTGAGTACAGCTTCAGTATGGAAGCACGAGGGAAGAGAAACGTACACTGACAATCCCCTAGTCATGCTCCTCCGCAACGGCTCGATCACCGGTGAGATTATCGAGGTGTCCGCTGGCTATGGTAAAAAGTAGACTGCAACGAGCACGTGTGGGGTTTCAGAAGATGCGATGAATGTGATTGAACTCGCGCCCGTTCGACCGGCGCGATTGGCACTCTTCCACCTCGGCTGAGGGGCGTGTACGATACGAGAGCTGTCGAGCAGCGTGCCTACGACCGAATAAGCAGTACAGTCGCGTGACTTCTATTCTCGAGTAAGGTGCTGAGCCCCGTTTCAAGAATCCCCGCTGGGGAGGCTAGGAGGTTTAAAGGGCTTGCTGGTCCCTGCTCCGTCCATCGCGTGCACTGACGTAGGCATATACCAGAATTGAAGACCAGACTCTGGTACAAGCCCCATACCAGTATTACTGGCCAACTGGGCCTGGGCGGTGAGCCAAAACACTGCAGGGTCGAAAGCCTGGGAGCTCTTGACGTGTCGTGTTTGGATCAGCGCTGTTGTAAACACCAGACTGTCACACATGTGACCATACGTAGGGTTACTGGACATGTGAGACGTGAAACGCATCGCTTGGCCTTGTGTGAGTTGAGTCACTTGATTCTCCCACAATAGCATGCACGTCGCATGGGAATGCCTTCGCGCCGGTGGCTGTCGTAAAAAAACGGTCACTTCCGAGGTCAGAAGCCATGCTGCTGTTTGCTGTTGGGCGTTCCAATTGACCGAACCTTGTGCCCCTTCGCCATTATTTAATTATTTGCAGACGTACCTCGTGGCAACCATGCCCACCATAGGCCACCATGTGCCCGGTCTGGAACACCATGGTGTGGACCTGGTGCACGCCTGATCCTCCTGACATTTGTGAAATGCAAGGACAACTCGAGCTGTACCTGTTTGTGGTTGGCACAGCTGTGCCTTGCACCTCCTGTGAGGGAACCGCGCCAAGAGCTATGTAGGCTCGCAGCTTACTCGGTTATGGGTCGAGGGTGCGCTGTGCAGAGTCTTGCTAATCTTGTGTCCGTGTAAGTACAGCTCTCAGTGCTGCACAGGCTGAGGAAGGTCAGTCCTGGGGCCTGGGACATGAAGCATGAAGACGACAGAAATGTCGGCTTCCTTCGGTACTCACACCACAATAATCGAGAGTGGTCACTCAGAGGCTCACAGGCGTCGTCTCCTCTCCTGTTCCCTCTGGTGCCAGGCCCGGCCCCAGTTTTGCATCCATGGACCAGACCAATGGTACGCCAGGGAAGTCCCAAGTATGTGCACATCTGGAACTCATGGCAATGGCTGTAAACAAAGTTATTGATGCCGAGAGGATGTCGTTTCCGTACCCAAAGGACAGATTGGGGACACTGCAGAGCAGGGTACAGAAGTGAGGCCACCAGGCCAATGTCCATCGCCACATTTGTACACTTTTGCTGTGTGGACGGGCCGTGTCTGTGTGCAAGCAGGATCTATTATGAGCACACGTGCAGCACGGCCCTTCTGCAAAGCTCCTTTTGTACGGGTGCGTATTGCTCCGGTGCGAGCATTCGAGTGCTGTCGAGGCTATAAACGATCGCTGGCGGCCACTCTCTGGTCGTTGGAACGGACAGTTCCAGCGTAGTTGGCGGTCCAAGCACCTGTCGTCGACATTATCTGTGCGCCATCACGACCCTCTCCGTCTGCTCGTCCCATGTTCTTCGCTAGCCTCGCTCCCTTTCTCGGTCGCAGTCGTTGGTGGCCGTGTGGGGGCCAGCATATTGACGCCTCCCAGGCCCACAGGCCGCGATCACGATGCATGGTGCAGGAAAATGGGTCGACGGGTGGTCAGTGCGGGGGTGCAGGAGTCAGGAAAATGCCCAGGATGGCGAGATTGACCCGACGGACAGGGTGCTGCGCGTCCGCGGGATAGGCGGTTCCAACGTGAAACAGCAACCACATGAGTTAGAACGACAACTGCGAGCCGAGAGAGAGAGAGAGCGCGAGAGCAAACAGCAATGTGCAGGGAGCAATAACAACAAAAAAAAGCCATCAGGCCATCAGAGCATCCGAAGAGTGTGTCGACGCGACCCAACAGGGAACCAGGGACAGAACAGTCAAACGTGTCCTTTTGAGGCATGCCAATGGCCGTGCCGCGCGGCAAACGCGTCCAACCTGGCCCAGTTGGGAGAGAGACTGTTCAATGCGCTGACGGTCGCGCTCAAAAAGGATTCGAACAAGGGACGCGCTCCTCCGCGGGACTGCCAAGGGAGAGGGATATAAGGGGGGAGCCACGGTGGCGGGTGGCGTCCACGGCCTTGTCGGTGGCAGGATGCATGCATGGCAGAAAGAGGCATTTCGCGTCCCTGGCGCGTGTGCGGTCGTTGGCACTCTGACAGGAAACGAGAGCGAGAGAGCGAGAGAGCGAGAGAGAAGCACGAACCCCAGTATTATAAACACCCCTCTCCTCCTCCATCACTACTGCCTCCTGTTTTCTCTCCTCCTAGTCTCTCACCGTCTATTTCACTTTATTGTCTCCCCCAGTCCTAGAGCGCTAGACGCCGGACGCATACGATCCTCGACGACTTCGTCAACGACCTCAAACGTCATACGATGTGAGTTCATATGCTATCCGAGACAGACACCAAGGATGGGCCGTTGTGAAACCCTTGTTCTTCGTCTGCACTCTGGCATGTTCTTATCGTTGGGTCCTGTCCTAACGTTTTTCAGTCGTCAACGCAGGTTTGTAACCACGCGCCGACACTTCGCCCTCGTTCAGCCGCCAGTCGACTACCCACACGCCCCACACGGCACCCACACTCGTTCATTCCCCTCCAATCCCGTTCCGCAACTATGAAGTTTGCTCTCTTTTCCGCAGCCCTCGCGGGCTTTGCCGCGTCGTCCGTTCGTGCCACTGGCACAAACGGTGAGGCGTTCATCCTCAGCGGTAACAACTGGCTCGCCATCACTCGTATGGACCCCATTGTCAACCCCGGTGCCGTCGGTGGTCACGTCCATGCTATCATGGGTGCCTCCAACTTCCGCAGTACGTACCGGCGGGGAGTGGTGCCTTGCGGTGAAAGGGGAAGGGTCGCTTACACGCCACAGACATCCTCAATGACCCCTCCGAGCAGGCCAACGCCGAGTGTTCGACCGTGGCCGTCTCCGAGGACATGTCCAACTACTGGGTGCCCCTCCCGTACTTTATCAACGCAAACGGCACCTATTCGGCCATGATTGGTGGCACCCGTATCTACTACCTCAACCACTCGGGTGCGGGCTCCCAGAAAGTCCAGGCGTTCCCTCGTGGCATGCGCATGATCTCGGGTCTTGCCGGTCGTCGTGACCCCGGTGCTATTCAGACGCAGGGTGTCAAGATCTACTACGTGCACGGCGAGAGCACCAACACGCAGTTCATTGCCAACGGCACCATCCAGAAGACTGCTCCCGAGTCCATCACGTTCAACATCAACTTCCCTTACTGTGGCTGGGCCAACCAGTCGCTCGACTCTGACGACCACTTTTCGCACATGACTTGGGGTATCCACGGTGTCGAGAGCGAGTGGGCCGTCAACGCTGAGACCTGCCCCGACACCCACCCCATCATGTACCCCCAGATCACCATCAACGCCGAATACGTCCTTGAGCCCTGGCAGAAGGAGGCCTGGAACACTGAAGGCCCCAACATCATCCTCTCGAACGGCGACGTTACTGGTGTCACCTACCACGGCGACTTGTGAGTGCACGACGGGAGTGGTTGGTTGCTTGCAAATGCTATTGGATCAATTTTGCCCATCCGCCACATTCAAGCGACGACCTTCCCTTTCAAATGCAGAGGAGACAAGGCTAACGTCCCAGCGTGTCCGGATGGGACCCTACTCTTCTCCAGAGCGTCATTGACGACTGTGGCGCCGTCGGCTCGAACCTCTATGAATGCTCGCACCTGTCCGCCTCTGGCATGCTCCAGGGCTGGGGTCCCGACACCGCGAACGGCAAGGTCCTCAACAACTGTCGCTACCAGGGTCAGCTTGTCGACGAGGATGTTGGCCTTTACCGTCCCATTGACAAGCTTCCCGGCTGCAACCCCCGCTGGGACTGGGACGGCCCCAACGAGAAGCCCACCGACTGCGAGGAGGTTGCGACCCCCGGTTTCGTCTCGCCCAACCTGCAGTACTTTGGCCCTTGGTGGACTCGCTTCCCCCTCGTCCTCCCCAACGTTGACACCTCGGACCCGGCCTCCATGGTCCCCATGAGCGGTAACAAGGGCACCAACTATGCCTACCTTGGCGACTGGGCTACTTCGGAGGACGGCAAGACTAACGTCACCAACGTTCTCCACGGCACCCAGGACGAGGTCAACGCCAACACTGTCCAGAACGACAACAACAAGAAGTCGCTCCTCTACGGCGTCTCGGACTACGACGCGTTTGACAGCACCGTTGCGTCCATCGGCCTGGCCGACCTTGCCGTCGCCACTGTCGGTGCCGCCACCACCTCCGCCACCCAGACTTACCAGTGTCTCGTCAGCCCCCCTTGGGGAGGTCTTCCCTGCGGTCCCCAGTGGAACTACGCTGCGACCAGTGCCGCAGCGGCCGCGACCACTTCTGTTGACTCTGCGGCAACGACCACCGTCGCCGCTGCTCAGGCCACTGCCACTGATGGCAGCAGCGCGTCGCTCGTCGCGGCCAACAACGCCGTTGTCGCTTCGCTCTCGTCGTCGGACACTGCCACTGCTTCGTATGCTGAGGCTACTGGCGTCGACTCTGTCCAGGCCGACTCCACCACTGCCGCCGAGCCCGTCTCTGTGACCGGCGTGGCGACTGACGCGTCCTCGGTCGACCCCACTGCCACTGTCGAGGCTGTCGAGAGCACTGCCACTGCCGAGTCCGTCGAGAGCACTGCCGATGACGTGTCTGTCGAGAGCACCGCCACTGCCGTTGCTGTCGAGAGCACCATCACTGCCTCGAGCTCGTCGGGCAAGAAGAAGTGCACCCGCCGCAGGAAGCGCTCTTCGCACCAGAAGCGCGCGCACGGTGGCAACGCCATGCGCAGCCGCATCCGCACCCTCTAAGTGAATGTCCCTTCTCCGCATCCATCCCATCTTTAACTCATTTGGATCTCGTTCATATATGCCTCCACCTTCATACTCAACTGGATTGATGTATGCGCTCGTAAACTATCCGTGCTGCCGTCCGTGATTGACAGGCTGTTTGATCCGTAAATCGGGCCGAGTCTATTTTGTTTGGTTCAACGGGCCCAGCCACCCACTCTCCCATGTGCCCATCCCGGCCCGTTGCATACCGCGGGAGGACAGGCCATGCCTCTGGTCCCTCAGACATACATGCGAGGTATTCCAGACAGGGTGTGGCGAACCGTTCGCATCGTCCTGTTGGCACATCCCGTTGGTCTTTAGTGACGACACCCTAACCCAACACCCCATCTGCCACCACTCCCCGCCCGCGCAGGTCCCGCTGGGCAGGTCGCCTGCGCAGCTATTTGCCCCATACACAGCCATATGTACCACCAAGTAAGGCGCAGTACCGCCCGTTACATGTCAGCCGTCGACTACGCCGTAGACCTCGTGTCAGAGCCCTGAAACAGCATTGGACTTGGGGCTGAGGTCGGCCGGTGGCAGTGTAGGCATGACGGAATGCCTGCCACCAGGCTCGGCGTTTGGTGGGGTATGTATATGCCAATCTCCTTTTCCAATCTCCACATGTATTTACTGTTCCGGTCAGTCGCGGGGGCGTGTTTACCGTGTTCTGGTGGCATAGGCCGGTACAGCCAGCCGTTGGAAGTGGCGTGGAAGTTGCTTGGAGCTGGTAGTTGTTCTGTGAGCATTGCATCCGCCAGGTGCCACCCCGATGTGCAAACGCATGGAACACCGTCCTTGTATTCCAATAGTGTATCCACTTGGAAGACACCAGAACAACAATCTGTTAACGGTATCCGACGCGAGCTTGAGCGCTCGGGAGAGGGTGTTGTAGATCGTCGGCCTTACTCACTGGACCCACTCATCGGATCATCATCGTTCGGTGGCAATTGTAATCGCCACGATCCGTCGGTCCAGCAGTCTTCCGTACTTCCGTCCACTTGTCCAGTACATTCCCCACCCAAGTTGGACTTGACGTTAGTGGATGGTATACATGATCCATAACCCCCATGCGTGCATGCTGGAACTCGGGTTGGTGGAATTGGGGGCAGCATTGGGCAGCAATGGCACAATGGCGAGGCGTGGGTCGGTGCCACGGGCCGAGCGACTGAGAAAGATGGTGGGCAAATATATAAATGTGCCAATACATCCTGGTGGCTGTGGCGGATTGGCACATTTCGGGCGGCAATGGAAGCGACCCACCACCAGTCCTCATCCGCAATAGCACTTGGCTAGACAGAAGCGGTAACGACGGCAGGTCACATGCGAACGAACGAGCGCCCATGTCCCACGTCTCCTCGCACCCATGTTGCAATCAGTACTCAGTCAGTGCTCCGCAGCCAACGATAACGTCCGTCCTTTTATTCGGCCCTCACAGACGACGTGGTGGGTGCAGACACTGACGACAAACGTCATTGCGCACGTACACACCGGTACGACTCAAGTTTTACAGACACATACCCCATGTCATTGTCCTCCAGTTCTGGCGCATATGCCAGCCGCGGCTCGATGGCGCCACCTTACCACAGCCCGAAGGGCACTTGGCTGGCCCGCTGGAGTGCCCAGGCGGCGATGGCCGGGGGCCAAACAGGTTCCAGGCGAGAGCAAGCATGACGGTATTATGACGGATGTACCACTTCCTCCCTTGGCAGATCTGGTGTTGCGCTCGTATCCTCACGCAATGGGTACCACTCGAGGTCAAACCGCCAACAAAGCCTGGCACATTTACGCGACAGATTTCCACTTTGGCGGGCGCCTATTGCTAAACGACAAAAGGCATGCAAAAAATTGCAGGACCTACGTTCACGCCTAACATCTATCTCCACTGCTACAGCAGCTAGGATGCATCTGAAAGTTCTTGTGCAACCATGTCATGAAATACAGTAGAGTGGTACTATGCATGCAGATGCAGCTCAACGAGAAGCATGATGTATAGATTGCCGAAATTTGTATTGCGTACAGCGGCGGCAAAGTGGTTTAGACACGGCATATTCCAATCTCACTTTAGGCGGCCTTCAGGCGTGAATGCCGGGATCACGCAATATGTCGATGAAGCACCTCATTAGCGACGTGCTCACCGGCGTGCTGCATCAGCACGACGACTCGAGCATGCTTGCAGAGGACTGTGTGGGCGTCACAGTGACACTGGGGGGATACATAAGAGGAGAACACGAATGCATGTATGCCCCCCATTCCGAATCTCCACTCCCAATACACCGACCTAGCCATCCACCGCCGCCATGGCTCCTGTTGCTGTCGCTGTCGCCCCCGCGGCCCACATCTTTGACAAGCCTGTCCAGGCAACCGTCTTCACTGCTCCCACCCCCACCCCCACTCCCACCCCCGTTGCCTCGTCGTCGTCGTCGTCGAGGCCCCACGGTGCCCTCACCTCTGGCCAGCTTGAGCCCGACCACACCCAGCTCATCCCTTACGAGTCGTTCCCCAAGGAGATTACCGGACCCACTGTCTGGACCAAGGAGGAGTACTATGGCGACGAGTCCAAGTGGAAGTGGCAGTGGAACGCCGAGCAGATCCAGCTCCTCGAGCAGGCGTACACTGCGTTTGAGCAGAAGAACCTGAGCCTCACCGAGGTCAACCAGGTGAGTACATCCCCTGTGCCACAGTGCCACACTCGTTGCTGACCCTTTATTAGGACAACTTCCCTCTCCCTCCCGCCATCACCACCTTCCTCCTCGAGATCCGCGAATTCATTGTCAACGGTCCTGGCTTTGTTCTCATCCAGGGTCTTCCCGTGGACCAGTGGAGCGTCGTCAAGTCGTCGGCCATTTACCTCGCCATTGGCTCCATCGTCGGTGTTCCCATCTCGCAGAACGCCAAGGGCCACATTCTCGGCCACGTCAAGGACCTGGGCAACGACCCCACGCAGATCCACAAGGTCCGCATCTACACCACCACCGCCCGCCAGTTCTTCCACACCGACTGTGCCGACGTCGTCGGTCTTCTGTGCCTGCACAAGGCCAAGGAAGGTGGCGAGTCGGACGTCGTGTCTGCCCACGCTGTGTGGAACACTCTCCAGCGCGAGCGCCCCGACATTGCCAAGCTCCTGGCCGAGCCCAACTGGTACTTTGACCGCAAGGGCGAGGTGTCAGACGGCCAGAAGCCATGGATCCAGAAGGCCATCTTCTACTACACCGACGGCAAGGTCAACTCGCACTACGACCCGTACTACATCCGTTCCATCGGCCGTTTCGTCGAGTCAGGCCAGATCCCAGGCCACACACCCGAGCAACTCGAGGCCATCCAGGTGCTCGAGGAGACTGCCCAGCGTCTTGCCCTCCACATGGTGCTCGCCGTCGGTGACATTCAGTTCGCCGGCGAGACCCACGTCTTCCACGCCCGCACCGCCTACGTCGACCACCTGCCCCCTCTCCCGCGCCGCCACCTCCTCCGCCTCTGGCTCGCCACACCCGAGAGCGAGGGCGGCTGGAAGCGTCCTTACCCCGACAGCGCGGCGCCCAAGCGCGGCGGCATCCAGGTCAACGGGCAGCGCGAGACTTGCCCCCTGGACGCCGAGTAAAGACGCCGATGGTGCAGAAGTTAATAGAGAGGGAGCGGTTCAGTTGTACTATATTTTTCATTCATACAAAAGCTGCACACACAGCACGCATTGTACATAGGGACACTTTATGATGTCAAAAGCAATTAGAAGCAATACTTGAGCAAAGCAAGCTGCAAGTGCTTGGAGAAGCTTCGGAACTTGGGAGCGCGGCTAAACTCCGGAACCTTGGGATTACCGCGGGAGAATGATGCGCCGAGACCCCGTTATTGCTGCGCCGAGACGGTGGAATCTTGTCCATGTGCTGTCGTTTCGCTGCAGTCACTTTTATATCGACTACGTCTCTCCCTTTCCCCTCACACTCACCCAGGAGCTGACCCACGATGGACCCGTTCGCCAACTTCCCCCCTATCAACCAACACCTCGCCTCCAAGGCGGCGGCCGCAACGCCTTCACTCGTGGAGACCAATGAATCGCCCCTCGCGCTCGTGAGCGTTGAACCAGACTCGAGCGCGCTCGGCTGGCGCACCGAGCCCATCCCCGCGACAGTGGGCACAGTCTCCGCTCCCCCTCTCCTTACCGAGGGCGGCTCGGTCATTCTCGACTTTGGTGGCCACCGCACGGGATACCTCTCGTTCGACCTCGTCCCTTACAAGCACGGGCTGGAACCTCACGACGCGCCCTGTCGCCTCCATATTGTCTTTGGCGAGATTGTGACCGACGTGGCCGAGTCGTTCGAGCCGTACAATGCGTGGTTGAGCAAGGCTTGGTTGCCGGATGAGATCATGACGTGAGCGTCTGGAGAGATAGGCCGTAAGCTAGGAGCTCGTGACTGACACTGCCCAGGGTAGACTTCCTCCCGCACCGCGTCCAAGTACCTCGCCGCCATGCGTTCCGGTTTGTCAAGATTACCGTCCTCGCTGCATCGACGCGTTATGGCGTGCGCGTTGAGAACGCCGTTGCACGCGGCATCTCGTCCGCACCGGCCAGCCCACCCCCTTCCCTCTCGTTCCAGGCCGCTGGCAGCGAGCTTTCGGAGGACGTCAAGGCTCGCCTCCGCAAGATCGACGAGGTCGCCGCACGTACACTGAAGAACTGCATGTTGACCGTGTACGAGGATGGCCCGAGGCGTGACCGCCGATTGTGGTGGGTGTCCAAGGTCCGACCGCACCACTGTCACCTGGCTTACTGACTTGCAGGATTGGCGATGTCCGCCTTCAAGCCCTCACGGCGTACACTCTCAAGTGGGACACGGAGCTGGCCAAGAGATGTCTGTACCTCTTTGCAGCATGTCCACTCACTGAGGAAGGCCTCCTCAGCGCCTGTGTATACGAGACACCTTGCTCGGGCGGCCAGAGCATTGTCGACTATGCGCACCTCTACGCCGCTGCGCTGAGGGACTATGTGGTCGCCTCGGGAGACATTGAGACTGGCAAGGAGCTTTTCCCTGTCGCTCTGAAGCAGTTCCAGATTGGCCTCCAGCGTGTAGACCCGGCCACTGGTCTGTACGCCGCTGCTGAGAAAGAAGGCGACGCCGCAGCCGAGGGTGACTCGGGTGGCGAGCTGTGGCACTTCATCGATTGGGCAGAAGGCTTGCACAAGACGTGTGCTGAGCAAGGTGTGCTCATCTTTGGTCTGCGAGCTCTCATCGACCTCGCACAGACTCTGCAAATGCAGCAGCCCACTGTCGCTACGCCGTGGGCGGCGGCGGAGCCTCTTGCTCTCGCCGATGTGGTAGACCGCCTCGTCGCTGGCGCCCGCACTCACCTGTACGACGCCGACCGCGGTGTATTCATCTCAGGACCGGACCGTCAGGTGTCCTGGGCAAGCAACGCGTGGGCCGTACTCGCCGGTGTCCCGACCTCAAAGGAGCAAGGCGCCCGCGCCCTCCGTACTGCTTATGACGACAAGCAGGCCGTCAAGGGCACCACGCCGTACTTGCACCACTACCTTGTCGAAGCGCTCATCACTGCTGGCGAGGACGTCCGCGCACGAGACCATGTTCTTCGTTACTGGGGTTCAATGGTGGACGCGGGTGCCGAGACATTCTTTGAGGCATGGGATCCTGAGCGTCCTCGATTCTCGCCATACGGCGACTTGCATTCCAACTCGTGAGCTTGCCCTTTTTCCATTTTGCTCAACTGACAACCAGGTTCTGCCATGCATGGTCGTGCACACCCTCTTTGCTCCTCCGCCAGCTGGGATATGCTTGAAGAGGGGCGTTGCAGGCAACATAGAGAAAGTGTAGACAGATATTATGCATACGGCTTGGGTATTTTGCTGTGCATGTCGCGGACTGTGCCTGTGCTGTCCGTGTTTTTGCTGCGTCCCGCCACCGCTCCGATGTCGGCACCACCGCACCACCACCACAGCCTCTCTGTGCCGTCGTGTCGTTTCATCTTTACAACTTTACACATATCGTGCAACTCCCTCGACCATCCTCACATGCCCCCTAGACAGCGCTAGACGCAACATAGATATACCCCTCTCCCCTCCTCCCTCGCCCACTTCTCCCGCTCGGCTACACAACAAAAGCTTGCGCGGGCTGTGGCCTCCACCCATCAACCACCCGCCTCTGCCCGTGACACGACCTTGGTCACACGATGGGCATCCCCGTCCCGGTCGCCATCTTTGTGGGCCTGGCATGCTCGTTTATCCAGTCGCTAGGTGAGTTGGGTACGGCGACCACACGTACACGCGTGCAGCGCCACGTCCTCGCAGCACTTGTCGGCTGGTCGTGTCTGCTTTTGAGCCCTGCCGCCATTGACTGCGAGCGACACTGAAGGCATGGCGCGCACAGTTCACGCACTGACCATACCACCCTTTTCTTTTCTACAGGCCTTACGATCCAGCGCAAGTCGCATGTCGAGGACGAACTGCTGCCCCCTGAGGAACGGCAGCGGGCTGTTCGCCGCCCACTCTGGATCATTGGGTTCGCCGTGTACATCTCCAGCAACATCTTTGGGTCGGGTGAGCTTGTCATCTAGAGTGACACGACGTAAAGAGCATGGGCTGACAGACGCGTAGTGTTCCAAATTGGCGCCCTCCCCATCGTGGTACTGGCTCCCCTGGGCGGTATCTCGCTGCTATGGAACAGCCTGCTGGCTCACGCCATTCTCGGCGAGGGATTCACCAGTATGATGATGCTGGGTACCATCCTGATCGCGACAGGCGCCGTACTTATTGCGATCTACGGTGTCGTCCCAGACGGCAACCACTCTCTCGACGAGTTGCTAGCCCTCTGGCACCGTGGTCCGTTCGAAGCCTTCTTCTTGATTGTGTGCCTCTCGATCGTCATCGTCCTCGTCACCGCACACGTCGCGGCTTGGCGCGCCGGCCGCGCCGACCGCATCTGTCTGCCAGACCACGACGACAGCCCCTCCAACTACGCTTCCCCACGCTCTGAGATGGCCATTCCCTTCCGCCCCACCAACACTATCGGCTCGTTTACCGACGATTCGTTCCCTTCCCCGACCGAGCGCACGGTCCACGCCAAGATGGTCCGTTTCGCGTCCATTCTCGAGGACGGCGATACGATGCCCTTTGAGGCCGAACCACACCGTATCCTCACTCTCTGTGGTCTCGCATTTGCCGCTGCCTCTGGAACGCTGTCTGGTATCTGCCTGGTGCTCGCCAAATCTGCTGTCGAGCTGGTCATCGCCACCATTGACCACTGGCACACTGGCCGCGGACAAAACGAGTTTACGCGCGTCGAGACCTGGTTCTTAGTCGCCGGACTTGCTGTGGCCGCCATCCTCCAGCTGGTTTATCTCAACTACTCTCTCACGTTCGCGTCACCGGCGCTCATCTGCCCGCTCGCATTCTGCTTCTTCAACCTCGCGTCAATCTTCGACGGCCTGGTGTTCTATGACCAGCTCGGGCGTCTGGGCACTCACCAGATCATCCTCGTCTCGGTCGGTGTAGCCATTCTGCTTGTCGGTGTATGGGTTGTGTCCGCCATCCAGCCCACTGGCGGTGGTGGTATCGAGGTGGGAACCTGGGTCGAGGAGGAGATGGACGAGGAGTCTCTGCTTGGCGAACACCATGACGAGCTCGAGGCCGGCGAAGGCGCTACGTTCTTGGACAGCGACGAGGTCACCGAGCCACTCGAGATTGATGGCCAGTCGCCCCCTCCGTCCCCCTTGCCCGACGGGTCGATACCGTCGCCCATGTCGCCCACACACGGCCGCCGCCGTCGGCCGCGGTACGGTACTCTCCTCCCCGAGCTCCAGTCGGCGTCGCGTCCAGCCATGCCGACAGGTTTCGCGTTTGGTATCGGCGTCGCTTCGCCCGGATTTGCCCTGCGTTCAAACTCGATCAACCACGGGCACGGTCATGGCCATGGCGCCGGAAGGCGGAACAGCGTCTCATCCCACTCGCGCTCCAACTCGCACTCGACCATCCTCTCCTCGGCCAGCGGCGGCGGCCCACGCCGACGCCGCAGCGAGGAGCATCTCAGTGGATTGGGCGATGAGCCCCCAGCAAGCGGCGGCAGGCCACGGCTCCGTCCACTTTCTCTCCCGGCCATACCCTCTGGCACAGCGGGCATGATCGCCTCGGCGCCTCCCATCGGCGGTAGCCAGATGGAGGACACGCTCGCGGCATGGGATAACAACAACAACCAGGGTGAGAGGTGGAGGTTCCGCTGGCCGTTGCTTTGGCGTGGTGGCCGTGGTGGTGGTGTCAAGCTGCCATGACAAAGGCGGTCAGGGATCAAAGGGAGTTTTGTTGTACCACTGTAGAACTGAGACATGTGATGGGCTCGGCAACTACCTCACTGCAACGTGTGTATGCGTGTGTGTGTTAGTGAGTAAACACAACGCGCGCCTCGGCAATGTAACATGTCCCCTTCACACGGCCTATCCCTGTTGTGTATAGTTTTTGCCCTACCTGCAACGTTTCGATCGGCTGTCTCCACGAGAGAGGTATCTGTGCATCCTTATAACTACTGCTGGGGGTACCACTACTCCTGGGTCTTGACCCACGCATCGTACGCCTCCTTGGCCACGGCGTTCTTCTCCTTGTAGGCCTGCGACAGATGTTAGCGATCGCAGAGATGTTTGAAATCTGTAGATGCGGTGCCCCCAACAGCGCCCAGGACATGTTGTGCCCAGGCAGAGGTATCCGCGCGCTGACCGTGTGTGTTCCCGATGCAAACAAATGGGAGGCCACTGAGCCAGAATGGACCAAGCACCACCACCAGCTTCATCGCACGAGACAGACTCACGTCCTTGTCTGCCTGTGGCAGGTTACGCCACATGTCGCCAGCGGCGCGAGAGAGCTTGAGCATACGCTCGTTGCCCGTCCAGTTGGGGTTGGCAGCCTCGATCTCGGCACGCTTATCTTTGAGGAACATAAAGTACGCGCCAGAGGGCTTGCCGGGGTTTCCGGGGCGGTTGCGCAACTCGAGCTTGGCGGCGCGCCTACCACCAGGGGGTGCCGGCTCCTTGCCCTGCACCTTGGCGATGAGCTTGAGGTTCTCGGGGGTGAGCGACTCGTAAAACCGGCGGTAATCGCGCGCGTACTTGGCGGCGGCGTCGGAAGCGGCCTCGCGGTACTTGGCTTGCTCGGCCTCGGACATGACAAGCCATTTGGCGGATGCGTCCTTAACTGCCTCTGTAAGGGTGGTGCCACCGGCGGTGTTCTTGTAGTTGCCTTCCGCAGTCTTGTAGGTCCCCTTGTTGGTGCTCCAGAACTCGGTGAAGTAGACCAAGTATGGTGTGGCGGGGCGCTTGGGAGCTGCGGCGAGGAGAGCCTTGACGGTCGAACGGTCCTCCTTCTCCTTCACAGAGGTGGCCTTCTCCTTGGCCCTGGCGTCGGCCAACTTCTTCTTCTCGGCGTCAACAATCCCCTTCTCCTTCTCCTTCTGCTTGGCGGCCTTGGCCTTCTCCTTCTCCTTCTGCTTTGCAGCGGCGGCCTTGACCTTCTCCTTCTCCTTTGCAGCGGCGGCCTTGGCCTTCTCCTTCTCCTTCTCCTTTGCGGCATGGGCCTTGGCCTTCTCCTTCAGCTGGGCGGCATCGGCCTTCTTCTTCTCGGCAGCGGCGGTCGACGTCTTGCCGACAGCAGCGGCTGTGGACAGGCGGGAGCGGTATGGTGACAGATCAAGGACGAGGACGAGAGATGGTGTTCATGTGGGTTGGATTGTTAAACAAGATGCACAAGTGTCAGCATGACATAAATATCGATGCACACGACAACACCACATGGTGCAGCGGGTAGGTGGTTGGGATGCCATTGCTTTCGCCGCCGTACTCACCGCGAGCGGCCATGGAGACAGCGGGCGACGAGGAGAAGGCGCGGACGGCGTTGGCCCTCGCGATGGCGGGGATGCCCGTGGAACGGACGATGTTGAGGGCCATTGTGGATGGATGGGTGCGACGACGAGTTGAGTGGTGACTCGAGTGTTGGATGAGAACGACGAGAGTGATTTGTTGATGCCTGGCGGTTGCGATGACGACGGATGCATTTTGTCACTTTGGGCAACTTCGCCCGCCACCCATCATCGAAATTGCACCAACCCTATTCATTTCAAACGTCATTCAAATTAAACAAATGCGACATCGCTAATGCATAACCGGGACCTACTTAAATGTGTGTTAATGCTACAAAAATGTGTGGGTGAGTGAAAGGAATGCTTCTATGCCTTCTCGGTGCGGGCCTGCTTTTTCTCCATCTCCACAGCCGTGTCCTCCGGCACACGCTCAACGACCGTAGACGCATGTGATACGTGAGACGGTGACACATGCTCGGCTGCAGCCGAGTCTGGGCCGTGCGAACGCCGTGTCCACTTGGACCACGGCCACACATGGTCGGGCGACCGCCACTGTTCGCCCTTGACTGCAGGCGCACGTCAGCTACACATCCATTACCAAAGAGAGCAAAGGACTTACAGGCAACAGCAGTGAGGCCAGCGCATGACAGGCACAGGATACCTGCAAAGAGAGTATACAGGCCGCCATCGCCGATGGCGTTCTGGATCGGGATGGCGACTTGGGACATGACGCAGGCGCCAACACCACGACAGAACGAGTTACAAGACACTGCGCTCGCCGAGCGGCCTGGGTTGGAGTCCACTAGGAAAGCCAATGTCGAGCTATAGACGAACATGAGACTGAAGCCTGCAAAGAACAGACCAACGACGGGGCCGGCAATGTTGGTCTTGTAGTCGGTCGTCCAGGCGTAGACTAGGTATGAGACGATGATGAGGGGCATCCCTGGGAGAGTGCTCTTGAGACGCATCTCGGGCACAGTCACGCCGCCATTCTTCTTGGCCAGACGCTTGAGAATGGCGTCCGAAGCACGACCGCCGAGCACACTTCCGAAGATGTTGCCCATGCCAAACGCGAGGAGGACCACACCAATAATGAGGGGGTTGTAGTTGTACGGTGCCCGAGCGAAAGTGACCGACGCAGTGTAGGTGGTGGTGTACTGAGCTGCAAAGAGCAGGCCAGAGCAAACAAGGACGATGGCGTTGGTCGGGCTGTGGAAGATGGAAATCATAGTGGGGATGGGGTTGACGTCGCGGAAAGAGGGCTTGATGTCGTCCGACTCGTTGTTGGAAACGAACGGCATCCACTGGGGCCACCTGATACGGCGCTTGCGGGGCGCTTCGGCAGCAAGCTCAACGTCAACGTCGGCGTCAGAGCCCTCGTGAATGCTTCCCGGCGCCGTCACGGGGGTCATGGCACCACTAATCGGTGTGGTTGGGTGCGTGGGAGCGGGAGTAGTGGCATTACTCGAGAGCCCCTTTGCGAGCTTGCGCTGGCGCTTTTCCTCAGCATGCCTCTCAGCTTTGAGACTGCGCTTGAGCGCGTCAGAGATTGCCTTTTGGTACACCCTCGACCGCTCGCGGCGCCACGTGTCCGGGAAGAAGAAGAACAACAAGGTCATGAGCGCGGCGAACACGGCCAAGAAGTACAGTGTCGATCGCCAGCCGTATGCGTTTCCGAGGGCTCCTCCGATCAGTGGACCGAGAGTGGGACCCAACATTGGCATCCCGTAGTAGATGCCGAGCTTGCGGCCACGTTCCTTGACCTCGTACATGTCGGCGAGGGAGCCTGCACCGACCGAAAGCACAGCCGAGGAACCCATGGCCTGCAGGCATCGCATGCCAATGAGGACCTGGATGTCGGTAGCACGGGATCCGACAGCGGTGCCAATGGTGTAGAGCTAAAAAAGTTAGACTTATGTACCTTGGGTGGAATACAGGAGCAACCTACGACAAAGGAGGCAATGTAGATGGGCTAGATGAAATGTCAGTCTCTCGCTCGGTGACTTAGCTCCACTTCCAGGGGGCTCACCTTACGGCCAATGATTTCCGCAGTGGAAGCCCATACCACGGGGACACAGCCTTGCAAGAGAATGTAGATTGACAAACTCAGACCAATCTGTGTCTCCGTACCATTCAAGTCGGCCTTGACTTCGTCTACAACGGGGTTGTAGATGGACGGGGAGATCATCGGTCCAAGCTGGTACACGAGGTCAGCCACTGAACACTGAAACGCCACTGTCACGCGATCAACAAAAACTCACCACTGCAGTCGTCATGAGCGCCATAACGAAAGTCTTCTTTTTATGGCTCCATTCACGCGGGTCGTCGTCAACAGGCTCATGTTCAATGTCCACCACTGGTCGTGGTGGTGGAGGGCTGTCTGCTCGTTCTGCGATATCGTGAAAATGCGCGTGTTGGCTGTGGTGTGACCTGATACTCCGAAGTGGCTCGAGGTCGAGTGTTGGCTGGTGGGAGGGCGCCCGTACGAGCGATCCCTCGACCTGCGCATCGACGCGGTCGGTGGCGTTACTCATGACTGTCGATAAAGGAAGGGGGTGGCAAGCGATGCGAGGCAGGCAGGTGGGGGGAAGGTGAAGAGCTTCAAAGTCGCGTGGAGGAGTCCATAAGCCTCGTCCTCGAAGTCGAGTATATATCGGTCTGTTTAGGACTCCAGAAGAGTAACTGGTCGCAGGGAAGGCCGCGCTGTTGGTCACGGATTGGCACGGGAAGGGACGTTATCCAGTCAGATGACTGGCAATGTGTAATGAGTTATTGCAACAGTGAGTCGCGTTTCTCGTGGGTCACCGAGTCGTCCAGGTCGCCGGTCAAAACCGACACAGAATGCACCAAGATAGTTACCAGATGGTGTGACTTTCGGCCGATTTTCGGGCCCGAAGACCCGAAAGGCATTCATGGGTCTTATGCTGTATCAGGTCGGCCAATACACGATAGCTGAAGGCGCTGTAGCGTCCCACTCGAGGGACTTCGGCTTCTTTGCAACACTTGACTGCATGCGCTCATCCCCAAACATACTCTACGTGCAGGTCATAATTGGACGCGAGGTCCTCGTAGTGCTTGATACGCTCCTGGCGGGCGTTCAGGGCATCCTGGGGTCAACGGAAACCGGAATGTGGACGAGGTCAACTCACTTTGCTCAGCGCAGGCTCAACAGACATGTATTCGCGACGACCACCCTCAACTTCTCCTTCGCTACTGTCATTTTCAGACTTTTCAATTCGCTTGGTCTTGCTCTTGCGTGCTTTCTTGCTCAGCAAACCACGTCCCTGCGCCCTCTTGGTCCGCAGAGAAGGAAGGGGTATCAGTTCCGGCGTCTCCTCGGCGACTTGAACGTCAACACTCGGCGTCGGCGAGAACAGAAGAGGGCTGGAAGAACGAGCTCGAGTCAGGAAGCGTGGGGTGCTGGGTTCAGACGAAGGCCGGAATGGCTCGGGTTGACAACCTGTGGGTGCGGGTAAGTACGGCCTGCGGTGGCGTATTCACTCACCACTGACGAGAGACCAAGTCGCAAAAAAGCCAAATGGATCGATATCGCCATCCATCGAGTCGTTGAAATCAAGCCACTGCGCGTAGTCGGGATCCAGGTCGTCAACGCCGAGCTCTTCACTAAACTGCTCTGGCATCTTGATGGTGACCGGGTGCTCTCTCTTGCTCGGGGAGGGAGATGCCGGAGGGCTGAAGATTGGCGGCCTCATCGCGGAACGAGCAACGCCCATCGAGGAATGATAACTTGGCGGCGTGGGTGCGCGCATACGAGGCGGCGGGGTGATTGGGGCAACAGTTCTGGCTGGGATACGGATGGTGACACGGCTGGGACTGCTACGCAGTGGGTCGTCCGGCTTGGTGGGTGATTTGGAGCTGCTGCGGAGACGGAGGCGGTAGGGCGTCACCTGGCGGCTTGCAATCTTGCTGGATGCCTTGGAGCGCGGCCGCGCCGTACCACTGCTAGGGGTACCGTCTTTGAGAGGGATCGAGAAGTCGTCTACGTGAGTGGATGAGTTAAGACTCGGACTCTTGTCAGAGCTCTTGCTTGGTGTTACATTGCGCGCAGTGGTTCCGCCCGGCAGGGTTGCCAGCGCGGGAGGAGACTGCAGCGACGAGTCACGAAGTGGGATGGTAGCGTCATAGTACACGGTGACTGTGCAGTCACTTCTCGAGCTCTCTGAGTGCTTCGGCGAGACATCGTTGAGCGGAACGATAAGGTTGATTGTGCGCGACTCAGACGACGTTTCATTGCTGGAACTACCCAGTGTATCGATGCGCTGCCGCCGGTTGGACCACGAGAGTGAGTGGGAGGCGGAGTGGATGGTGTCGAGGCTACCAAAGTCGACATTGGGAAGTGCGGTAGGGGAGACGGTGTCATCGGGATCGAGAATGTCGTCGACAGAGGACGAGGAAGGAAGGTCCTGTGACTTGGTCTTGGGTGTACTCTGCGGACCGATGCTCTGATGGTCAGTGGTGACAACGTGACAAACCGGAACTCACCGTCGTGTTACTGGCGCGGGAGGAGCGTGCACGTCTTCCCGGGGTACCCTGCATGCCCATACCTAGAGAACCGCTACCACCACTCTCGCCGGCTTTAGGTTGCCGACGCCAGGCGGCTACACCCTTGGTAACATGGTCCATGCGGCTCGAGGCCGAGTTGAGCTGACGCCGGGCGTTGGGGGAGGAGGGTAGGAGCTGTCTAGTTGGGCCCATTACGGGCGTGGGTGAGGAGGGGTGGAGCATGGTGATGGGTGCGATGATGATGAGTCGGAGATGGAAAGGAAGGGCGGGGGAAGGTAAATGAGGAAGACGAGGAAGACCAAGGATCCAAGGAAGGATCTGCAAAAGGGCTGTCACATGAGTCAACCGATGGCGATGGAACAGACTGATCGACAATGTGCAGAATGACTATAGATACAACATGCTCTACCACAACAAAGCCACCTCTCACGCAGCGTACTGTGGAATGTCAGCTTCATCGTGCGAGGTACCTCTCCAGATGACTCACCCTGTTGAACGTGCGTCCAAAGAACGAATCCACAGCGTCCTCCTTGGCATCACCATTCTTGGAACGGAACATGGCCTTGACCGCATCACTCATACCAGCCTGCGCGGCGATGCGCTTCTTCTCCTGCTCAGCCAGCTTGTCCTGGACGGAACGACCGACTGTACTGGGGGCGACCGAGGCCGAGGGCTTGGCCACACCCTTTGAGTTGGGCTTTGAACCTGGTGCAGGCGAGTCGGAGCCAGTACGGGCAGCCTTAGAAGAGACCTCTTTACCGTCCTTGCCCTCCTTCTTGACTTCACTGCTAGCGGCCTTGCGTTTCTTGTTCGCCTTGGCCGCAGCGCGTCCAGCGAGGAGAGCCTCGAGGAGCGCGTCTTGGACATCTGGGTTGGGGTTGATGGGAAGGACAGCGGTGCGAGAGGTGGGGTTGAACGGCTTGGTGCAGTTCGGGCAAGGGGCGGCACTGTCTGCGCCTTCGTCCTTGCTGCCGCCGGCACCGAGGTTGGGGACGACAGCGCGGATGGCCGCCTCGGAGAACACGCAGCCGCACGAACGGATAGCAATGAATGGAACAGCACCGGTCATCTCCTTGAGACTGAGCCAGCAAACGAATGGGGCACGTGAGGCGGACGTCGCATCGGCATCCTCGTCGCGGTTTGGGTTGGGCATCACATTAAGTGTGAGGAGGTCCTGAGGGTTAGCACGGTCGCGCCCACATAGTTTACCCACCTTCACTCCCTTGATGTAACGACAGATCTCTTCGCCATCTCCATAAGCCGACTTGTCTAACAGGTACTCGAGGACCGCGTCCTTGTTGTACAGCTTGCCAAGTGGGTCGGCGACGACCGGTTTTGTGAGTGGCTTCTTGCTGAGGGCGCATAGGAAGAAGCGCTCGCGCCTGAGGGCCTTGTCTGTTTGCTCCGCCTTTCCCTTGGTCTTGACGAGGTCGCGCCTGTCTGGGATTGAGCCACCGTCGGCGCCCATGGTAATTGTTTTGGTGTGGATAGGTTGTTGTGAAGTCGGCAAGATTCCAGGCGGCTGGGTGGCAAATGGGGCTTGCCTGACGTGCCCATTTGCCACGCCCGGAGATATCATGCGGAGTTATTTGGTGGGTGCGAGGAGGGCGAGACGCTTTGCTGGCGCTCGCCCCCAGTGTCGTTTTGCGTTGTATTTAAACACTTCGTGTTCTTCCCCTCTCTCTCTTTTACTCGGCCCAGTGCCAATAGCCCCTTCTCACCAGGCAGTTCTCAACACAGCCTGGTGTCGGGGCCAGCAAACGCATCTCGTGAGTCTCAACTTTCCATCTCCCACAGTCCCCCCTTCATCTTTTGTGATGAGAAACACTATTTCAGTTCTGCTTCCGAGAGGTCATGAGCGATACCGATTTTTACCAAAACACTTTTCTGAACCATTTTCCACACCCCTCTTCTTTCATTGTCGAGGGCACGCGCTAACCAGCGCAGCCACTACTACCCACTATTCCCCAGTGCGGTCTCTTTCAATAGATATATCTACTCGTCGATGTAAGTGTTGTTTTGTTTTTAAGTTCAATTTCCTATTCTCGTTTCTCGAGGCTGTCGAAAGCCTCGTCACAGGATTCAACCTTAGCTAAATCCATTCTCTGATTCCTCTATGTGTTCTTCTGGCTGGTCGTGCCCACCTGTTGCCCATGTCTGATTACTTCGGTATGAAAGGCCGGGTAGCGCGAAGGGTGGCTGTAATTCGGGCCTTGTTGACGGTCATTGGCACGCGTTCTGCTCGCTGGTGATTTGATCTTGGTGTGCGGCAAGCTGGTTGTGACGCTGGAGCGAGTATGCTTAACCTGCTACTATGACCCCACACAATATCCCTCACCGTTTCAACACAAACCGCATGCACAGTTTTGTTGACCTGGTACAGATGTCGCAGCTTCCCATTCCGCACTCGACTCCGACAGTGCCGGTGGTACCAGTGGCCCCACCCGTCGCTCAAGCGGCGGTGCCCATTGTGCCAGGTGTTCCTCCACCATCCGCTGCGCATGGCATCACGCCTCTGCCGGGTCTGGCGTATGTACCGCAGGTGGCTTCACCAGCGCCAGTGCCATCGCCTGCGCCCATGCCTTCATCCATGGTGCAATCGCCGATGATTCCATCCCCCGCGTCGCTGGTTCCATCACCTTCTCCGATGGCTCCATCTCCTGCACCCTTGGTTCCATCCCCGGCGCCTGTGGTTCCATCACCAGCGTCGTTGGTTCCTTCGCCAGCATCTTTGGTTCCGTCACCAGCACCTCTGGTTCAATCGCCTGCCCCGGTGATAGCTCAAGTGCAGCCCAGGCCCCCAGTTGCCGGTATGCCTGCACCGATCCCTGTCATGGCAACATCACCTGCTCCAGGTCACGTCCCTGTAGGCATGGTGGCTCCAAGGCCGGTGCCAGTACCTGCCCCTGTCCCCGTCGCCGCGCCTATGGCACCCCAGGTCAGGCCTGTCTTGACTGCACCTTTGGCCGCGCCTGCTGGGGCGCCCATCATGGCGCCTGCCCCAGCACCCATTGCTCCTCCACCGCAAATGCAGGTCCGCCCGCCAGTGCAAGTAGGTGGCCAGCAGCCCGTTGTCGTCCGTCCGCCACCAATGGCTGGTCAGGCCACACCTTCCCCCGCTACGCCTACCGGCCCCGCGCCTCTGCCGCAAACGACGATTGCCCAGCTTGCGGCCTTCTTCGCTGCGACCAACCACCAGGCTCTGGTAGCTCAGGCAGTCAAAGCCGGAACTACTCCTCCCCAGCCCATCACGCAATTGCAAGCTCAGCACCAGTTCCTCGCATTGCAGCCTCAGCAGCAGCGCCAGGTTCAGGCCAACTTCATTGCTCGGTCACGTCTAGCGCAGCAACAACCACAAGCGCCTCAGCGCCCTGTGCAACTGCAGGTCCACCCGTCACTCATGCCGGGGTCGGGTCCGCCACAGCAGCCTCCTGCTCGTCGCGGCTCTCCGGCGCAGCCGAACGTGACAGGCGGTACCCAGCAGCAGCCACCGCAGAGCCAGCCACCAGCCCCTCCGGCTGCACCGCCTCGTTCCAAGGCCAGCAAGGAGTCCGCTAAGCGCCTTCGTGTTGAAGTGCCAGAGGTCAAACCCCCTCCTCCGCCTCCACCTCCTGTTTCGCACCTTACGGCCATCGTTCGCTCTGCCATTGCTCCCCGCTTAGGCGAGCAAGATGAGGACGCTGCCGCCGAGGCTCGTCGCCGCGCTGGCAAGGACGACGGGTTCCGCGGCTCCATGCGAGGCGAGATCGCTCGCCTGATGTACGCCTCTGGCGATGTCGTGGAGCCAGACGTTGACTCGGTCGACTATGTCGAGGACTTGGTCATGGAATTTGTGGCTGATCTGTGTCGGCCCATTCAGCCGATGCGTGTCACTACCGCTTCCGCACACTCGGCTGTTCCTCTCACCGCCGATGTTGTTCGCCATCGTCTTGCCACGCACTCGTACCTTCGCAAGTACTTGTCGCGTTGGGATGATATGACGTACATGTCCGCCGAGCTCTTGGCCTCGAGGCGTGTCGCTGCTCCCTCTCACGCGGACCTCATCGAGTCCGTCGGCAAGCAGTTCCTCGGTCTCGACGAACAAGAGGCGGGAAACGCCAAGCGTCGTGCCAACAACGCCGATGCCGGCGCTGAGATTGACTCGGTCAAGCGTCGTGGGCGCCCGCCCAAGAACCCCGAAGAGCGCAAGAAGCCTGGTCCCAAGAAGGGTTGGAAGAAGAACATCGACCCCAACGCACCGCCCAAGAAGCGTGCTACACGGCCCTACAAGAAGCGTGACAGGCCCATGAGTGTTTCTGTGGCTCCGTCGCCGACCAAGCAACCCCCAATGTGACCTAGTCACTTCGCCAACCCGTGAGTCTCTCCTTCCACCTATATTTCTCTCTCCCCAGTCTTGTCCCTAAGACGACATTTTTTTTCGAATTTTTCGACAGAGTCGGGGGACAACCAAGTCCCAGGCGGTCGCAACCTTCCCGTGGGGCCGTCTTGGCTTCCGCGGACACGAGGGGGGCTTCCGTCGCTCCGAACAATGTTGGCCCATCTTCATAGTTACCCTGAGGGACATCGACGTTCTCACATGTTTTTATCGAAAAAAAGCATTGTGCTGACCAAACTTCCAGACACACAAGTGGAGACACAATGATGAGACGAAGAGAGACAGAAGAATACAGTAGATGAAGCCAAGAGGAAACAGAAGAAGAGCGCCACTTGCGCGTTGTACAATTGTGATATAGCGTACTGTATGTCATACTTCTCCCACCAGAGCCTTTCCGTTGCAGCCGCATTGACAGCCCTGCTGTCCGTCTTCTGACTCAATTGTACTCAAGCTGTAAGGAGGATTGCGAGAGGGGAGTCTCATCTCGTCTGTCTATATATGCCATGTCTTCCTACTCGTTAATAAGCTGGCACGAGCTTGAGCTTCCGGTAATGTCCCCACGCAAACACGACCGCCAGCGCAGCCAAAGCGCGCAAGAGAGGCAGCTGAACAATAGTGAGGATCCAAATTGTGCCCACTGCTGGGCCCTGGGTATGTTAGCGCCTAGAGCGAGAAACGAGACCGAGGCGAGGCATGCGCGGTGCGTCACGGGTGTTGCTTAAAGCTCAGCCAGCCGAGCAAGCGCACGCGCTGCAATGAGCTCCACTCACCTGTGCGATGACGGTCGTGTAGCTCGCCTTGTTGACGAGCCACATCAAGCGGGTGCCGGACAGTGCGGAGGCGACGATCATAATCAAGCGGCAGAGCTCGTTGTTGGCGTGACGTGAGCCTGTCGGTCGTCAGCTCGCATAGCACAGTGACAGCTGGCGTAAAGCATGAAGGGATAAGGAGGTGAATGAGACATGACAGCCAACCCAGTTCAACCGTACGCGGCAAACGGCATGGTCTTTAGGTGCAGTTGATACTCACTGTAGAAGACAAGAACGCCGATGGCTGTTTGTCAGCACTCGCTCGAGTTCGTTTAACAGGACACTCACTGGGTGCCGAGACGGCAAAGTTCTTGGCAAAGTAGCCGTAGGTTGGGTTGCGCTGGTATGAAAGATTGGTGAGGCTACGGGAGTCAGCAGAGCGCAGGGATCTCGATCTGCTTCATAGCGAGGTCGAGTGGGTTGTTTTAGTGCGGGCCTGTGGCCAAACCACCCGATACCGCTACGAGTCCGGGCCATCAGGGATACTCACATGTCAAGCATGAGATAGAGGAACGAGAAGGGGACCGTAAGGAGTAGTGAGTCGAAGAACTCGTCCCACCAAGCCTCCATCTCGAGGTCGCGGTCCTCCATGTCCGGATCCACTTCCACCTCCTCGGGCCCTTCCACCTCGTCGTCGTCGATCTCTGTAAACTTGACGCCGGCAGCACGCAAGTCTTCGAGACCGAGCTGGACGAGGGGCTCAACAGCGTCGGGGACCGAGTTTGTATACTTCTTCTTGCTTGAGGTCGCCTTGGCTTGAGCGTTGGCCTGGGCGATGATCTCTGAAGGACGCATGAGGGGGATCTCGAACCCGTCGTCGTCGACCTCAACAGCAGTCGGTGTGCTGTTCCCGTTACGCTTGCGGGCGTTCTTGGGGGTGGAGCGGCCCATGTTGTGGGGTTGTTGGTGGTGATGAGGGAGTGGGTTGTTGTGAAAGGGAACGTTGTTAGGGGCACGCGACGGAGGATGTGTGGACATTCTTCGGTGGAGGTCCCAGATTGTCCCTTTACGACACGCGTTTGTGGCGACGTGGCGGGCAATATCGAGTCTCATGCATGTCGACCGTCGTGCAGCGACTGCCCAGAGGCCAGAATGATTGACTACAATGCATGGGTGTCTAGTGTTCCAAGATGTCCCAACCAGATGAGGAGTCGCTGAAATGGAGCCTACGCCTTCCCTCCCCACGGTCAGCGGTCACCACCTTTTGCCTTCCCTCCTCACCTTCTTTACTTCTCGTCTTCTCTCATCTTCACTCCGCCGACCCACTTCAAGGACCACCCTCACCAGTCATGGTCGCTTCCAAACCAAATGACCAGAGACCCTCCTATGCCTCCTTGGTGAACGCGGGACACTCAGGCAACCTCGTCTTCCGGGTACACAACCCAACCTCCGTCAGCCCGTTGATCTGGACGGGTGACGGTCGCACGAGCGGGTTCGCAAGCGCAAACAAGCATCTGGGTATGCTCACTCCCAAGGCATATACCTCTGCTCTCGGCACAAGTGCTGCGGCACGCAGTAGAGAACAAAGGTCTAGGATGGGGACGACGGGCTTTGTCGGTGACGACGTGACGATGGCGAGCAGCAGCCACAAGAACGGCAACACGAACCGTAGCGGCCGTACACCCCGCAGCTCGATGGTGGCTTCTAGTCTGGCCTCCCCCTCTATCGTCGATACAGTCTTTGATAATGACTCGCCAGACTTTATCAACTACCCCGGCCTCAAGTCCAAGGACGCACCCCCCGAGTCTCCCATCCTTGCCCCTCCACCAGGCCGTGTGCCCCTTCCGTGGGATGACTGGACGCACGGCCCCTTCTTCCGCCAGTCACTCGTAGACCACATGACTCGGCGACCTCGCCTCACGCATGCCGAGGTGCCGACCGGTACCCCAGAGACACCTCCAGATGCTCTCAGCCCGTGGATATCGACTAGTGCCGACTTTAGCTGGGCGGTTTGGGAAGCGGCGCGCCGCCTGGGCCAGTTGGGCGAGTCGTCGATTGAGATTGCTCTCGTTGCCCTTGCTCCAGGTGAAACGGCTTCCAAGAACCCTGCCACTGGTGCGAACGGTATCGAGGCGCCGACGTCTGATTCTGAGCCTCCTCTCCTTCTCTCCTACGCTGCCACCACCCCATCCGGAGGATCTGGCGAGGTCACTTTGGAGCCGCTCAACGTTCTGCGCGACTACCAGCGCTATGGGACGGGCACGGGTGATCACGGTCGCATGACCAACTCTGAGAAGGAGTATGTCGCCACGGCCATCTTCGCATCAGCAAGCTCGCGCGAGGTCCTCTTCCTCGGTCGCATCTTCGCCCGCAGTGTCGTTGCCAACCTCGAGTTTACACCTTCAGTGAGTGGTGAGACCGCCAGGTGCCCTATCGGGTTATTCTTTTATTGACACTCAGACCCTCCCCATCGCACTCCCAGCTCACTTTTTCAATCGCTCTCCGGGCCCGAATGGTGAAGACTGGCTCAACCAGCTCGTGTGGGATCCTGACCGTGACGATTTCGCCACGGCATGCCGCAAGATCAAGTCGTCCGAGACTCACCAATGGAGGAGGGGGAAACATCAAGAGCCTGGCTGGGGAACTAACAACAGCGAGAGCCAGACTCCAAGCCAGACGCTGAGCCGGGGCGCCACCTCAGACCAGAGCAGAAGTGTCACTCCCACCCCCAACAATGTCCGGCACCCTGCCCAGAATGGTTACGCGAAGGTGCAGACCACGACCCAGTCTGCAGCGGAAGACACGCTACCTTCCAAGCCCGAACGCCCCCAAGGCTACAGCGGATGGGGCGGTACAAGTCGCCCAGCACACAGGACTGACTACGCCAGAGACAAGCCGTGGTTGAACGACAAGTCCGTCGACAATGGGTGGGCATCACGACGCGGCGCCAATGGGTCAAAAAGTTAGACATTCTCCTCCATCGCCCGTCCTTCCTCTTTTTTTTCGCCTGTTTTTCGTCGTCATTTATTTCCCCTCGACATTGCTCGACATTGCGCTTTTCCGAAATCATGTCGTTGTATATATCGACACGCGCTCAGAACCAGACGGTCAGAGTGCTCCTTTGTGTTTCCCCCTCCAGCAAGCAGACTGTCTGTTACAACATGTGTGTTTCACAGTCCAGTTCTTCGTAGTGATAGTCTCGTTTCATGTGATGTACAGTGTTCAGTGGTCATCCACATGTGCCTCCCCTGATTCATTGACTTGCGGGCCCGCTTTCGGCTGAAGCGACGTTGTCACATAGCGGGCCAGTAAACTTGAGTCCATACGCCTGCCGAAGAGGTAGGCGGCGGTTCCAGGAACTTTGGACGTGGAGAAAGGCGGCAAGGAACGGATCAACTGAATTGTGCCACAAACACATGAACACCACGATCACAATGTGGCAGCATCCCCAGCCGAGTACGCGGCGTCCACGCAGATTCCATTACTGCTCAGTGCAAACTAGTCCGTGCATTCGCCAAGCAAAGTGTAGACAAGAAAACCAGCTCCGAAAGGTTGTCTTGCTTCTTCATGATGTCATCCAAAACCTAAGGTTTGCGGATGATCTCTTAGCCGCAAAAGAATCGTTGCTTTCCACATCGGCACTGCCCCCTCAGCCACTATTACCCACTCCACTTGGCCGTGACCGGTCTCATATATCTTCTCCGCCCCACGCTTATTCACATACTCTCTCCCCCCCACACACTCATACTCATACTCATCCTCTCGCTCACACAATGAAGACTCCGCTCGTCGCACTCACCGCCGTCCTCGTTACCCTCGCAGCGGCGAGTCCCGTGGAGATTCGGGACGGCAGAGTTCCCTCTCAAATCCGTCCGGGATCCAATGCAAACTTGTGCCTTTCGGCTGTGGGGTGTATCGGCCCTGGTACTGAAGTCGAGCTGTGAGTTGGGGCCTTGGAGAAGGGTGCGGAGTAGCTCTGGACCTAACGCGTTTCTCAAAAGCCAGCCGTGCTCGCAGACTGCCGGAACCAAGAACATCTGGCTCATCGTCAACTGGACCACGACCGTACAACTGAACGGGACAGACTTGTGTCTCGATCTCTCTGGAACATGTTCGTATATCCCCTCTACCTTCTACCACCTCCCCTGTGATAGTGCTCTGCTCTCGGGTACCGATACTGACCACGGACACAAGCCGCCTCGGGCTGGAAAGCTGCCAACGGACAAGTGGCCACCTTGGCCACATGCAAGACCTACCCGGCGACCTCTCCGGGCCAGAACTGGCTCTGGGACCAAGGACGCTTCCGCCTCGGTGCTGCCGACACCTATTGCCTCGACAACAGGGACGGCAAGGGCCAAGTCATTCAGATCTGGGAGTGTAACCCCAGCATGACGGGAAACCCGAACCAGGTGTGGACGTCCATGTCCATGTATTGAAAGACGGCTCGGTTTGGACAATGGACAATGAACAATGAACAATGGATGGGCAATGGGTCTCGGGTTGGAGGTGTGATGATAGCTTCCAGCGGTAATGCATTTTGATTGATTGTACGGGTGAATGTACTGGGATGGGGGAGGAGTTGAACCTCGATGATTTGCGCCCTACGTCCTCTGCTAGGGCAGAGACAGACGCGGTGAAGGCATGGGGGGTATTCTAAATATGTATTGTTTAAATTGCGTGGGGGTATGCTGTGAGAGGTATGGGGGTTGAGCCGGGTAATGCGAGCCGAGTTGAACGGCAGTCCGTCCGTTGAGGACGGGGTGGAGTCTAATAAGGGGTTTCCTATTTCACGTTTCCGTTTCAAGAACGAACACTCTAGTTGCCGTTGGCGGGCTGGTCAAGGAGGAAGGGCTCAAAGATGGTCTGGCCGTCCTTGAAGTCGTTGGCGACAATGTTGACGAGGTAGCTCTCATCCATGACCTGGGAGATGAGGGCGCGCGACGCCGAGCCCTCCGGGTAAAGGTTGGCCCACTGGCAGCCGAGCTCAAAGGCCTCGTCCTTCCAAGCAATGAACGAGACGGCCTCGACGATGGTGGGCTGGACAATCTCCTTGCCGGGGAAGACACCCCAGGTGACGGCGTTAGGGCCCTCCGAGTGGGTGTTGGTGCGCAGGTCACCCTGCTTGTTGACGGCATAGTAGGTGATGCGGGGGTCGCGCTCGATGCGGCGGATGAGCTGCGAGAGAAGCTCGGGAGCGACAAAGAACTCGAGGTACGCCTTCTGGTAGACGTAACCGCCGGCAGGACCCCAGCCGTGGACCTTGTCGTCCGAGGGGGCACCGTCAACAGCGGGCTGCGAGTTGATGGTCAGGAAGCCGCGCTCGTTCATGCGAGCAAGCTGCTCAGTGATGACCGAAGTCTCCGACGCGGGAGGGGCCGAGGACCAGGGCAGCTTGGCAAGCTCGCCGCGGCAGAACTTGGCGAACAGCTCGGCAATGTCCTCGCGAGTCTCGGGGTGTCCCCAGAGCGTCTGCGCCTCGGCCGCGTTCACGTTGATGGCGACGGGGTAGCCGTCCAGGTCGCCGTAAGCGGGAGAGCGAGAGTCACCCCAACGTCCGTTGGGGAACTCGTCCCAGTCCGACGTGCGGGAGAGGTACGACTGGACGCGGTTGGCCCAGAAGATGGGGCGGATAGACTCCTGGCGACGCGAAGGAGTGAGCGACGGGCGCCATGGGAGGGGCATGACCTGCTCGCGGCGGGGGTCCATGTCAAGGGTCTCGAGGAGCATGCGGGCACCCTTCTCGAGGTTGAGAGTGTAAACGTGGAGACCTTTGATACCGGCTTCCTTGTTCTCGAGGATCTGGCGACACATGTCGGCGACAAGCTGGGTGCCGACAGCGCGCACCTGCTCGTCGTCGCCCTGGACGGGGTTGAGGGCCTCGTAGAAGTGAGGGGGAACAACAATCGACTCGCGCTTGACCCAGGTCTGGAACTTGCCCCAGTTCTGAATGGGCATGATGCCGGGGACAATGGGGACGGTGATGCCGTACTCGCGCACACGCTTGACCCATGCAAAGAAAATGTCCACGTCGTAGAACATCTGGGTGAAGATAAAGTCGGCACCGGCGTCGACCTTCTCCTTGAGCCAGAGCATCTCCTGGTGACGAGCCTCGTCCGTGTCCTCGGTCTCGGGGTGGCCCTGGGGGAAGCCGGCAACAGCAACACAGAAGTCGCCCGGGTAGTTCTTGTGGATGTACTTGACCAGGTCGACGGCGTGCGAGAAGCCGCCGGGAGTAGGCTTCCACTCGGAAGAGCCCGCAGGCGGGTCACCACGGAGAGCAAGGATGTTCTGGCATCCAAACTTCTTGGCCTGGGACAGGGCCCACTCGACCTTCTCGGCGGGCACTGGACTTAGTCAGCGGTCATGTTTCCCACCGCTGCCGCCCGCAACAATCGCTCAAACTCACTCTCAGTGCAGGTAAGGTGCATGCAGCACTCGATACCGATGGTCTCCTGGCACACCTGGACGAGCGAGCTGGTCAGGTCGGCATTCTTGCCGCCGGCACCCCAGGTAATGTCAATGAACTCGGGACCAAGGTTGCGCATGCGCTCGATACGGTCGAAGAGGTTCTGCAGGCCCTAGTAACTGTCAGTATGCCGTTCTGCCCCGGTAATTCTGCTTTGGCCACACTCGCTGGTGAAGGACGTGGCGTCATGTCGTAGGGAGGCAAGAGCCAACTCGACATTTATGGTTACTCACCTGAGCAGTACGAGGGGGGAAGTACTCGAACGACCAGAAGGGACGGCCCTCACGCTCAGCCTTGGCAAGCTTGTCGGTGATCTTCATAGTGGGTAATGGTCTAGTGTGTGGTTTATGGGTAGGCAGTAGGAGTAGTTATAGGAGGAACGTGTGTCTTGTTTCCACTTGGGGGCGTACGTGGTACGATGCGATGTGGATTTCAGGTGGGTCGGTGGAGGGGTCGAGGGATTGATATCGACCACAGACGACCGTTTTGGAGCGCTGCTGGGGATACGCGCTACTGGGGTAGGGGGTGGAATGTGTTGGTGACGGGGAGGGGGATGTGCTCGCCGTCGAGGTGGATGGTGTGGGAGGAGATTGTGGTGTGGAAAGAGATCTTTTTGGATGAGTGTCGCGGGTGAGCCACACAGGTCTTAGCAGCTCCGACCAGACCGGGCTGGCGCGCGCGCGGGGGGGGGGGGGAGGGGTGGCATAATGCAATAACGAGTCGGACCATCCCCCGCGTGGAGATCACGTGCTGGGGTCTCCGAATTAATCTGCTCCCGCGGCGGCCCCGGACAAATTGATTTTCTTTTGTCATTGTTCCATTTTTATCCGGAAATTTCAGTTGTGGAGCCGGTGGAGGTTGTTCAGGTGCACCAGGCGGAGAGCCCTTCCTTCTCTGCAAAGCCCTGTGGCCGACCGACGGCGTATGAGCGGCCCATATGGCGACAGCGAAATGTCCGAGAGCTACAGCTTGGACTGAACGGCGCTTCTGAAAAGACTAGTGGCTAGAGCCGCCTTGTTGAGCAAGCGTTTTATGGCAGCCCAACGAGTTCTGCCTCGCAGCTGTCTCATCTCCTCTGTCCTTCGTGGCGACCGTCCACTTCAACGGCTTATAACTTTTCTTCCAGAGCAAGGACTGCCTTCATATTTATATTCGGGATAGAAAAGTATCTGCTCTTTCATGTCAAGGTGGTCGCGCACGCATTGCATGCCTACCGCACCCATAAATCGTCGAAAATGGACAATCGCCAGGATCTCGGCCCAACGTCCTTCCTCCCAAATATAAGTTCTTGATCGTATAACGGTTAGTATGCTCGCTTGTCATTACAACTCGCGGGAGATCGGAGTTCGATTCTCCGTCAGGAAGCTTGAAGCACCTTGCAACAGCGAGGTGGCAAGTCTCTCACATCGAGAGACTTGTCCTTTTTCTTGCTGATGCTGATGTGAACAGGAAGGCCTGAAACCACGCTCACGACTGGCCTTGGACCAAATGCCTCAATCTTGTTGCCAAGCACACTACTGGAACGGCGGTGGGTGGAGATCACGGCAAGCCATACGCCATTAGGGCGGAGTGGCGCATCGTCAGATGCGACTCCGAAAGCTCGGACTGGGCACTCGGCTGTTGTACTGTTGTGTGATGCGAGCTTACCGCACGGTGTCCCAAACACCCCACTCTGGAAAGGCGGCGCAGGAAGCGTTCTGGAGGTGCCTCCATAGCCGGCGCCACACCCTCTGGTCCAAGATCACGCGATTCCAACGTCCAAGGAAAAATCAGCTCCAAACACCGTCCGCACCCCCCTGGCCACGAGTCCACCCATGTCGTGTCAGCGACCCTGTGTTGGCAGATGTCCATGGGGTGTACTAGACGTGTGTATATTAGGAATAGGAAGGGACTAGAAGGGGGATGTGTTCCAGGCTTGTGGGCATGCAGGGTTCCGGAATAGGCTGGCAGCGGTAGGTTGTGTAGTAGGGCTCGCTCGGAAAGAAAAACCTGAGTGCCAGACACACGATGGTGGCGACGTGGCAGCCACGTTTACTTGTTTGCTGCCACACGTCCGATTCCTGCCGCGGCCTCAGCTGGAACATGGATCACGGGAACGACGATGCACCCTGCTCGGCATGTTCTCCGTCAACACAACGTGTGGCACAGTGGTGCTTGTCCTGGCACACGTCTTTGGTTGAGTTCACGCCAAGACAGTCCAAAGTTGCACACGTGAGGTGCAACCCTCCATGCCAAGCCAGGTAGTGTCGTCTGGGTCAGTCACCGCAGCATCTTGCACCGCAGTGCGATCAGATGCAGGTACTGAGAAACTAATAACTACAAGCACCGTACCTGGGTTGTGGGTGCAGACGGTCCACGGCCGTGGGGAGTACGTTCGTTGGTGGCACTGCCTATGACGGTAACATGGTTACTGCGCAGTAGGCAGGCGGTGAGGTATGCCCACCCGTCATCATTGGAACATCTCGTCGCCCTTGTGCTCGCCCTTGGTCCTGTGTCGCGATCACATGAAACTGCAGAGGAGCAAGGTGTGCTAGTGTGGCACAGTTGTCACAGTGGCCTCCGAGTTTTACCGCTTCGTGTTGTGGCACAATAAGAGTACCAGAGTGCGGCAACAAGCTTCGCGTCCCGATAGATTGTGCCAGGAAGCACGTGGGTACCAGCGTGTCGGTGCTTGGCAACGCAACGTCGCAAGTGCAGTGAGGCATCGTGTTTACCATATGTACATATATTACAGTCCACTGTTACAGGCACAAACACAACATGCGCGCGTAGGTGGCAACACGCGGTGGAAAGGAGGCATGGCCATTTTCCGTTTGTTTTCGGGATGGTTGGTCTTGTGACCCAGTGGAACAGCCAGCCCCCCGCCCAAAGCATGCGGTCGAGGTGCGGCGAGGTAAGACATGTACTCTTACTGCATGGGGTTGCATGAGGTCACTCGCTGCGCTCCACTCTGGACCACATGCGATCTTGCGAGTTTGCCATCCGACCCATAAAAGGCTGCTGCGCAATGCACCGCAAAAGCATGGTTCCAAAACCTCCTCCCGCGAGGCAGCCGAGCCCAGCAAGCAAATGGCCGGCACTGTTTCTGCCTTCTGCCGTGTGCCCAGCGGTGATGGTGGCCAGTGCCTCGTGCCGAGTCCGCGTATTGGCCCACTGTGCGCCTCTGAGCGCCGTTTGCGCTGTTTTTGGGTGTGCGCAGTGAGGTATGCTGCGCACCAACGGTCCGTTGATCCGCTCCCGGCGCATCACTGGGACCACTGGAAGGGTGGCTGGCGCCGCCAGCCAACCACTCGTTGCTGTTTGTGGATTTGCATTGCGCGCATTATCAGTGGCTCCAGGCACACATTTTTTCTATTCCTCAATGGAAAGATTGTGTCGCCTGGCTTGGCTGACGTCGGTTTAAAGGATACACTGTGCTGTCTGCTGCGCACGGAAGAGACACTGCATACTACTGCGTGCGCAGCAGGCGCCAAGCTGCCCCCACTGCCACAACCATGGCCCCCTCGCTTCACACGACTTGCGAATTGGCGTGGAGCTTTGCGCGTTTACAAACCGCTGTGGCCGCTGGCAGGACCTCTGGAGTACGGCGCCTTGTTCCCCTGGCGCCACCGGCCTGGGCCCTTATGCATGCTCTCGGTAGACCCCCGTTTCCAACGACCTCGAGCAAGCTGTCCCCGAAGCTCAGGCCCAAACCCGACAGGAAGCGAGCTTCAGAGTAGAGTCATTGGCAGACAGTAACCAGACACTGAGGGAGCTTCAGAGGTCAGAGACCAGAGATCAGAGAGCAAAAAGCAGCGAGACAAGACCAGCATTGATTGGTGAGTGGTGGGCATCCAGGACCTCTTCTTAACAAGAAATCGGCAAAAGGCAAAGCGGGAGATGAGATGCCGTACAAGAAGTCGTAATAACCGAGAGACTGTCTTGGCCGAATTTCAAGGATCATGGCGACTCCCCAAGTAGCAGTGTCAAGCAAGTGGTGCATGTAGCCGCGGTGGGCTTGTTCTCTCGGGTTTGGCGAGGGCTGCCATCCTGCCTGACAGACCAAAGCCCACGTTGGAACCGCCGGCAGCTTTGAACGAGTGCCGCGTGTCACTTTCCTTTCTTCAATCCTTCTGGGCGGGGCCGCGGCCAAACAGGTCAGGCATTCTGAACGCGATCTGGCGCCTGAGACCTGGTCGGAAAGGGGGGGGGGGGGCGGGGGGTGGCCATGATGGTGTCGCGGCTGCAGTGATCCAGTGACGACGTGCGTGGGGGTGCGAGCAAAGAGGGGGCGAGGAGAGAGGGACCAGAACGGAGGAACTGAGACGGGGTGAGACGCCCGGAGCGGCGCCGACGCCTGTGGCCTGTGGCCCACACGCCACGGCCCTGGCTGAGCAGTGGGAGCATGCACGCGCGCTGGAGTGAGAGGGAGAGAAGGTGAGCTGTCAGTGGCCCAGCACAAGAAGATGGGAAAGCATTTTGGGATATGCTGTGTATGAGAAAGAGAGAGAGGGAATGCATGCTGCCGCGGTTGAGTTGGGCCAGAGAGGCTGCAGGAAACAACGGCACAAAAGGGAAAAACGCATAACGGGCTGTCGGTGTCGGTGCAGGACTGCGGTGTGTGTGTTTCGAGACAACCCCCACCCATACACGGCGCCAATGGGTGGTGTGTGTGTGGTGTGGGCCCTCTCTCTCCCGCCGCCGCCGCCGCCGCCGCAGTGCCAATTCCATTTTACCACCGTCCGTTCTTTCATCCCCCATATCCCTTCCCGCCATCCCAATCTTCCACTCCCTCCTCACAACAAACTACTCATAGCACTCTCTCACGACCACTGCATACATATACCACACCCACCTCGAACGCTGCCCACCACCTGGAACCCAACTTCCATCACCTCGTGCGACCCCAGGCCCCTCCAACCCGGTGCGGCCTATCTCCCCGCTTGTCCTGTCACGCGTCACAACAATCGCGCGTCCACAAGACAGCCCATATATCCCGCAAACCCGTCCATCGGAGTCTGTTTCTCCTCTTTTACACCTTTGTGTCTCGAGCAACTCGCTGCTCCTGCTCCAGCTCTAGCTTACCGGCATGAGCCCAGCACCCGCTTCGCCCATCGGGCGTGGCCCCGTCCGAAGGGGCACGGCAAACACCCAAGGCTCGGGCCCATTAAACCCTGCCGCTGGTACATCGACCGCCGGCGCACGCAGGCCGTCTCTGATGAACGGCAAGCGTGATACAGACACCGACGAGGGCATTGTCATGCGTGAAAAGGACCGCGACGACGTCGTCGTCCAGGGCAAGGCTGGTGGACGTGAGGTCGGCGTCACTCGCCCCAAGCGCAGGTTGTCCAGGTGAGTGTTCAACGGTTGGCTGTATGGAAACAAACGACACGGGATGGTGGTAGCGGTCACGAGACGGGGTATGGCGGTGGCAACGGCAGGTGTTATGGAGAGGAGCTGGAAGCGCAGCGAAAGCCGTGGGTCTGTTGACCTCGGCGCCGCTCCGTGCTTGCAATTCCGGCGGTCCAAGTGCCCACCCCACCACCGCCGCCGTCGTGCTGTTGGGTGGAAACATCAAGGCGGTCTGTGCGTTCGTCGCCGCACTTGGCTCTTGCCGCCGCCGCCGCCCCGCGCTATCGCATCGCGCCGTCCCGTCACTCCGCATGCTGCGCCCGCACATCTCGTCTGGCGCTCACTGACAGCCTTCCCTCTCTGCCTCATCCTTCGATCATCGCTGGCGAATGTCCTCCCTCCAGAGCTCTCTCGGCCACCTCATCGCCACCCGTGTCGCCTTCGTCAGCAGGTCAGCCCAACTTTGCCTATGAACATCTGGCCACACAGGCGCGCAGCATCAACTCGTCGACAGCGACCCCTTCGTTTCCTGCCATTGCACAGGCAACCCATTCGCCCGTCTCGTATCTGAGGGAAGCTCGACTGGAGGAGAAGCCCCTCCCGCCATATGTGCCAGTAACGCAGTCCAAGGCCTCCGACTCGCCTCGGTTGTTCGGCATCGAGTTGAAATGGATCTCGTAAGCGTTGATATTTGGCGCAGGGCGCTGACAACACACAGACTTGTGACGCTCGCATTGCAGAATGCTTTCCTCACTATCATTATGCACTACTCACGGATAACGACGGCACCGAACAAGACATATTCGGCGGCGGCCGCGGTCCTCCTCAATGAGCTGCTCAAGGGCAGTATCTCGACTGTTGTGGCCCTCAAGCGTATCGACGACAACATGACATCCCAGGGCTCGGCATGGCACGAGAAGGAGTTGAAGCGCGACAACCGCAACGCACCAGCAAAGTCACCCTTCACTGTGTTCCACCCCACTCGTCTGCAGGCCCTTGCACGCGGCGTCTTCTCCGGCGACTGTTACAAGCTCGCGGTGCCCGCCATCCTGTATGTTGTCCAGAACAACCTGCAATACGTCGCTGCTTCCAACCTCGACGTCGCCACGTTCCAGGTCACCTACCAGATGAAGATTCTCACTACGGCCTTTTTCTCGGTCCTCATGCTCGGCAAGCGTCTCAGCCGCGCAAAGTGGGCTGCCCTCTTCATGCTCGCCCTCGGTGTCGGTATCGTCCAGCTCCAGACTACTGGTGCCGGCCACGCCGCCGCCCCTGTTCCTGTGCCGTCGCCCACGATCGCCAACAACGTTGACGGCGGGCATGAGCATGCCTTGCGTGCTGAAATCCCTGCGGCCGCCGAGGACGCGATCCTTGCCCCCATGCGCGTCATGAACCCCTTCAAGGGTTTCCTCGCGGTCACCCTCGCGTGCCTCACCTCTGGGCTTGCTGGTGTCTACTTTGAGCTCATCCTCAAGTCTGGTGGTGGCGGCGGTGGTGCAGCTCCAGACCTTTGGGTTCGCAACACCCAGCTCTCGCTGTTTTCACTCATCCCTGCCGTCATCCCCATTCTCTTTGCCGAGGTTCCTGCGGGCATGAGTTGGGCTTCCAGCGTGGCCTCAAAGTTTGCCCACTTCAACGGCTGGGCGATCGGTACCGTCCTCACCCAGACGTTTGGCGGTCTGATCACGGCCATTGTCATCCGGTACAGCGACAACATTATGAAGGGCTTTGCGACTTCGCTCTCCATTATCATCTCATTCCTGGCCTCGGTCGCCCTGTTCAACTACCACGTCACGCTCGCGTTCGTCGTTGGCGCAGGCATCGTTCTCAGCGCGACGTATCTGTACAACAGCCCCAACGTGCCCGATGCCCCTCCTACCCGTACCGCCATCGCCGTGGCTCCCGGAAGCCCCATCCCGACATCCGCCCCGATCCTCGGCGAGCCCCAGGCCCCGTCGCGCACCTCGAGCGTTATCAACCTCCTGGGCCTCGGCTCGCGTCCAAACTCGCGCCGTCCCTCGGCCACCGACCTGCACCTCGCCGCTCAGTTCCCCCTCTCGGCCCCCGCAGCACTCTCCCGCTCGGGCAGCTACAATGGAGGGCCAGGTGGCTTCACGCACTCGTCGCACAACAGCAACACCGAGCTCAACCAGTTTGGCCGCGTCTCCCCGAACCGTACCCCGCCCCCGAGCGCTACCAAGCCGAAGCCCTCTCTCACGGTCATGACTGGCAGCGAGCACTAGGTGCCGCTTGGCAGTACAGAGAGCCGTGCCACCCTGCAACGCGGTGCCGTGGGGCGGCTGCAGGGCTGGGAGACTGTCCAGCGCGGCGCATGGGACTCGGCGTTTCGTGTCCCAGCGCATACGCAGTGGGTGTCCGTGGAGCGACACGACTGGGGGCCCGGCAGAGCCCGTTGCTGGTCGCCGCGCACCCACTCCTCGTGGCTGCGGCCGCCTCGACCCCGCAGACCAGCGTAGAGGTCTCCCTGCCCCGGGCACCGAGCGTGCCACCCCTACCTCTCTTTCCTTTCGGACACAAAGGGGCATTTTATATCAACAAATGTCTCCTTTCCACCGCCCATTTTCTTCTTTTTCTTCTTCTTCTTCTATCAATGGCATTAATAGTGGCAGTCGTGACAATGCATCTGCTAAGACGTGTTCCAGCGGCCGGCCGCTGTGTGTAATGGATGGTTCGGTGCGCCCACGCAGCCACGAGATGAGAGGTGCGGCCTGTCAGGCTGTGTGTGGCATTTATCTCTTGTCTCTCGATCTCTTGTCCGGCCTGATACGTGCCTTGCTTGACGTGTCTCGGACCCGCTCCACCCTCCGTCATTGGCATTTCAGTTCAAAAATAGTGCATTAAAGCCTAGGTCTAATCCGTGCTCTAGCATTGATCGACGTGGGGACTGTGGGTGACGAGATATGTGTTTGTCGTTGGTCTTGACTGGTGATTTGGGGTTTGGATTGTGGTGAGGCGGGGTTGTTGGGATTGGGTGGTGAGTCCCCCCACCGAGTGAAAAAAAAAGCATTGTACCTTTGCGCTTAGGCAATGGCCAAGACGCCACTTTCAAACTCCTCCTTTGCCACCTTCCTCTCCCACCACCTCCTGGCCTCGTGGAGGGTAAAGCTTGTCGCGCCGAGGCCGAGAAGCACAAAGAGATCCCTAAAGCTCAGTGCCTCGGTCTGGAAGATGTGTTGGAGGAGGGGCACGTAGATGAGTGCCAGTTGGGCGACAAACGAGACGGTGACGGTGAGGAAGAGCATCTTGTTGCGGCCCAGTGCTGTGGTGACGCCGCGGTTCTGGATGGCCGAGACGAGGTCGAGGAAGACAAAGCCCGTAAACGTCATGGTCTGGTCGCGGCGCGACATTGAGCCGTCCGACGTGGCCTGGGCGTAGATGAGCAGTGTGCCAAAGACGATCATGGCCGCCGAGAAGAGGACGCGGATAATGACGGCGCGGGACAGGACAGACGACTCCTTTTTGCGCGGGCGGAGGGACATGACTTCCCGCCTGGCCGGGTCGACACCGAGAGCCTGGGCTGGAGGGCCGTCCATGAGAATGTTGATGAACAGGATCTGCATGGCGTTGAGCGGGTTGGCGAGACGGAGGAGGGTCGAGAGCGTGATGAGCGACAGGGCAGCGACGGCGGTGGACAGCTGGAAGCTGAGGAAGTTTTGGATGTTGTAGAAGATGGAGCGGCCCTCCTCGATAGCCGGGAGGATGGATCCAAAGTCGTCATCGACAAGGATCACGTCCGCGGCTTCCTTGGCGACATCGGTTCCCGAGCGGCCCATGGACACGCCAATGTCGGCCATCTTGAGTGCAGGAGCATCGTTGACACCGTCACCAGTCATGGCGACAACCGCGCCACGCTGCTGCCAAGCCTTGACAATGGCCATCTTGTGCCTCGGGGTAGTGCGCGCATAGACCGTGATAGAGGGGACGAGCTCGATGAGCTCGGCTTCCGACAGAGCGTCCAGCTGGGAACCAAGCATGACGCTGGAAGCGCCTTGCGGAGCACCCTCGACCCCTGACGACGGGGAGACCTTCATACCAAGTTCGCGCGCGATCGCAATGGCGGTGGCCTCGGCGTCGCCAGTGATCATGACGACCTGGACACCGGCCGTGTGCAAGCTAGTAATAGCGTGCGCGACGCCACGGCGGGGAGGGTCCTTCATAGCCTCGAAACCTGTAAAGATGAGCGAGTCCTCTTCACCGAAGGTGCCCTTGGAGAAGCCGTAGGCCATGGCGATGACACGCAGGCCGCGTGTGGCAACTTCGGTGGAGCGGTCGAGAATCTTCCTGCGCATAGCATCATCGAGGGTGGGGGTTGACGAGTCGGCGACGTAGTAGTACTTGCAGCGAGCGAGGACGGTCTCAACAGCACCCTTCATGTACACCATGTCGGCGCCGCCGTTGTACGAGCCCATGACGAACATGGTCTTGTTCTCTGACGAAAAGGCAATCTCGTTCTTGCGCTCAAAGTTTTTGCGTTCATCCTCGCAGCGGAGAGCAGACAGGACGTTGAGGAGGGCAACCTCGGTCGAGTTGCCGACGTAGACGCCTTGCTCGTTGCGGAAGCCATTGTTGCACAGGTTGCCGATGAGAGCCGTTTTCAAGAGCGCAGCCGAGGGCTTGAACGATGCAGTGTCCGGGTGGCGAGGGCCCAAGCTCGAGGCGGCGTCGAGGTAAGGGTTCAGGTCAAGCATGTCGTCGACAGTGTACGCGTGGGTGACGGTCATTTCGTTCTTGGTGAGCGTGCCCGTCTTGTCCGAGCAAATGACACTGACAGAGCCGAGGGCTTCGACCGAGGGGAGTTTCTTGACAATGGCCTTGCGCTTGGACATGCGTAGCACGCCGAGAGCGAGAGTGACGGTAGTGACGATGGGGAGACCTTCGGGGATGGCAGCGACGGCAAGCGAGACACCGATAGTGAACATTTCCAGCCACGAGCGGTGCTGCACCACGCCAATGAGGACAATGACGCCAATGATCCCAAACGAAAAGATTGACAGCTGCTTGGCGAGCTCGTCCATGGAGATTTGCAGAGGCGTGCGCTTCTCCTCAACCTAGAGCGTCAGCGTGGGACATGCTTGTGCTGCAAACTCACATCCTGCATCATCGAAAAGACGACACCAAACTCGGAGTCGCGACCAGTGCCGACGACGATACCGGCGCCGTGGCCACTGCGAACGAGCGTACCCATGAATGCCATGCAGTGACGCTCGCCGAGGGCCTTGCCGCCACCCTCACCGTGGGTGTCCTCGCCCTCGCCGCGCTCACACTCGGTCGTGTTCTTGCGTGCCGGGCGGGTTTCGCCAGTCAAGGCGCTCTCGTCAATCTCGAGATCCACAGCACGGATCAGGCGAATGTCGGCAGGGATACGGTCGCCGACCTGGAATGTGACGAGGTCACCAGGGACGAGGCCATTGGCAAGAGGCGAGTGGATGTGGCCATTACGGATCAAGTGGCAGAAGTGAGGGACGAGCTTGTTGAGAGCCTCGAGGGACTTTTCGGACCTCTGCTCTTGGACAAACCCGACAGTCAGGACAATGGCGACGGCAATGACGACACATCCGGCATCCTCATAGTTGCCCATGAGAGCCGAGACAGCACTGCTGCCGAGAAGAAGGAGAATGAGGGGGTTCTCGTACACCTGCTTGGCAAACTTGAGCATGAGCGGCTCGTCGGGCGGGAGCTCAAACTCGTTGGGACCGTACTGCGCATTGAGTGCCGGCAGCTGCGACGACGAAAGACCCTTGTCCGCGTCGGTCGAGAAATCGCGCAGCGTCTCCTCCACGGTCTTGTGCGCATACACAGCACTTGGCGTGGCCACCTGGCGCCTGTCGTCGCGTTCCCGCGACTCGCGCTGAACCTCTTCGTAACCCCTCTGGCCAGTGACACGGCGGACAAAGTCCATTGCCTTTTCGACAAACGACGCTCCTTCACCAGACCCCTCGGGATAGGCATATCCGTCAAACCCACCCTCGGCTGGCGCAAAGGGGTTGGACGCGTCCCGCTCGTCGGCCGCGTTGCTGTCGCGGCCACGCGCACCGCCGCGACCGCGGCCCCCAGTGCTGCCCACAGACCCGCCGCGAGCGCGCGTAGGCGACTGGGCAGAATTGTACCGCCTCAGCGTGGTCGAGTATGCATATCCAGCCGAGGGAGTAACGTTCCCGGCATTTGCGCCGTCGCTGTCGTCGGCGTCATAGTCGTCTCCAACGGGAGCGTTGGTGTTACCGCCGCGACCGCGAGGAGGGGTGTTGACAGCGGGGCGCGCAGACAGCGACGACGCCGAAGCCGCGGGCCCTTGTGCCATGCTGTTGGGGTTGGCTGGGGTGGTGGTGCGCGAGACGGGTGGAGTAAGGCGCCGCTTGTACGGCGCTGTTGCTGGGCGAAGAGTGGAGCCGTCCATAAGTTGGCCAACGAGGCGAGGTCGTGGGGGTGGACGAGCTGGGTAGGTTTATAGCTTGGCTTTGAACAGTGGCCAGTAATGGGCTCTTTGGGGACTAGAGTGTGGTGGTTGTGATGTGCGTTGGGATGGAGTGAAGGTGGTGGTCGACTGAATGTCGAGGTTGTCTGGAACTTGAATGTCCGCGAACGAGCCGGCGATGTGCGACAACAGCAAATGGGAGAGGTGTCGGTGTGGTTCAAGGAGTGTTTGTAAAAAGGGTATTCCGCTGCCTTGCTCCTGTGCTCTGGCCACGGGTGTGACAGATATGTACAAGACGCGAGGAGAGGTCAAGGAGTGAAAGTGTCGATCGATGGACGATGGACCGGTCGCAACAAGTCACTCACCCAGTGTCTGGCACGCGGGACGACCTCCAGCAGGGCAGGCCGGGCAGGCCGGGACTCGTTGGGTGGACAGGTCAATCTGCTCCCGCTCCCGCTCCCTCCCTCTGCGTGTACCCCCCAGGCCCTCTGTCGGTGCCTCTCTCTCGTCCTTCCGAATTCCGGTTTTCACTCATTGCACCTACTGCAACGGCGGCCTGTGTGTGGTGCTGACCCCGTTCAGGCCACATGCACACTCGCGATCTTGGCACCTATAGCAGATCTTGTCCGTGTGTGAAGAGATCAGAGGATCAGAGGTCAGAGGCCGGAGGTCTGTGCCCACGTTCCATGCTTGACGTCTTGCACCTCGCCTCCAGTGGCGCTCGCAGTCGGATCACAACGCTGCATACTGCTGCCCCACTCTACATTTCAGACTTGCTCTCATTCTCTGGTACTGAAAAGACCGTCGCGGCGTGCAAGACACCATATACACTGCGCACTTGCAAATGGCCAGACTTCCGCTGTCTACCTGACCGTAATGACCGTGTACGTTAGCGGAAAAGCCCTCAGGGCCAGCCTGATTCCAAAACACGAAACGGAACTTCCGCCACGAAGTCGACCGAGGCTCTCAGAACGACATGATAACAACGCGTGAACCCTGATGTGGAAACCAGTCAGCTCGAAGCGCATGAACACCTGGGATCAAACTTACAAGACACATGTACACATGCTCTGCGTCGACGTGGACACAGTGCAGTTCACCCAGCTTCTTGGCGAACGCAAACTCAAGGGCGGTCCCAGGGCGAGCGGCCTGATGGACCTCGAGGTTGTCGACGAGTAGTGGGTGTGGGACGCTGGCTTCATCCCTGCCTTCGTCCCAGGAGGAGGAGACGAGTAGCGCTGGGAGAGCCACCGAACCAGTGGCATCTGTTGACACCTCGGGGACCGTTCGTGGGTATGTGACGGCCAACGGCTCAGAACCAAGGCGACTAGACGTAGGAGCCCCAGCCTTGCGGCTCCCCAGAGGCCAAGCGTGGACCATGTCGGCGTCGCGCGTCTTGAACCTGTGGTCTGCCATATGGAGGGTATACCTGGACCACTCCTTGTGGTTCGTTGGTCTTTTCGAGCCGGAAATCTCGGCGGTTATGGCCCGGTACCCATGGAGACCGATGTGCACCTCGCTCGATGCGTAGATGTCCATGTCGCACCACGGCTTGTTTTCGACGGGAACCGGGATCGGTGCCCTGGCGATACCAGCACTCACTCCCATCTCAATGTTCTCTCCCGGGTGGAGGTTTGGGTTGAGAAGGTCCCGGAGGTTCAGCACAGCAGTGTATCCGAACGCTTCGTCCATGTTCGGCTTCGTGTTTGTCGCAATAGCCACCATGCCTGTATTAGAGTCAAGGTGTGGCTCGTATTCGGGGGTGATGTCCCAGCGGGTGTCGTAGACGCCCATATCCTCATCCAGTTCTCCGACCTCGCCAAACCGGAAGACATGTAACGGGAAGTCGGCGCGAACCACATTGGACGTTCGGTCAGGTAGAATCCAGACGTCCTGTCTTGGGTCGTCCTCTTCCTCGGCGTCCGGGTCTGAGAGTAAAGCAAGGTCGTGGCGCTTGCTGCGTTCGGTCCATTCGTCAAAGTCCACTTTCCTGCGGGCTCGATTGGCTTTATCCCATTGCTCTTTGGTCGGAGTTGGCGCTTGACTGTCGGCACGCACAATCGCCAAGCTCATAGTCTCCTTCTCGGCGGAGTCGACGCTCGTGCCAGTGATGCTGCATTGTGTGACACGCGGACCCATGGACACGAGAGTATGTTTGTCAAGGGGCCACACAGATTGTTCCTCATAGAACGCGGTTGGAATGTCATACCCCTGTAGGCTGATCAGTACAGGTAACCGTTTATAAGGCTGTTGGCTGAGCTGTACGCACCAACAGTTGATCTCCAGTCCGCCAGTCGAACAGCACGGCGCCCAAATAACGACAATTCACGTGTACCGTTCCACAGGCGCCGAGTACAACGCTTACTGGTCTTCCAGAAAAGTCAAACTCAAACTCTCCCCCCGCATCCCGCTCATCCACGACCGGCATGGGAATCTCGAGTAGACCCGTACCACCCATGGCCTCTGGGTGACAAACGGGCACAGCAAAACCATCGTCGTCAAGAACCACGGGATGGCCGGCAGCCTCGGGGTCCAGAAGATAAAAATGGATGTGGATCATCGCAGTGCCCATAGAGTCTGTGGCAGCATTGGCGGTGGCGATCATGTTGTCCGGTCGCGAGACGTCAAAGCTATCAAAGCATTTCTTAACATTGACTTTGTCGACTTGCGGCTTGAATGTGCGCGCGGGAACAGCTGCGAGCTCCGAGTCCCGATGCGTGTAGAGGTTGCGGACGGTCCAGCCTTGGGGGTAACAAACACCGATGAGCTCGGAGAAGGCCGAGTTCCTGTCATAGTCCGTACCGTCCAAGGAGTCCCCATCGCCATCGCCATCGTCATCGCCATCGTCAATGTCGTCCCGGACACGGTGTATCTGCTGCCCGTCCTTCCGTCCGATCTCTCCGTTATCCCCAATCCAAGAAGTGGCGAGCACACCTTCGCTCCACGCCAAGGTGTATAGATTTGGAACGTTGAGAATGTCAACCCGCTTGGGACTCATCGACGACCAGTTTCTCTGAATGTCAATGGCGCGCTGCAGACGAGGCCCGGACGGAAGTTGCGGGCTGCCACTACCCTGAGAGTACAGCTCGGCATGGGGGTTGGCTGTGAACGCGGCGCGGAGAACGAGTTGGAGCTTGGGCAAAGACGAGACGACGTCGTTGGTGTGAGTGCATGTCTGGACGCATCAGCGTGGTCGCACGCTGTCTGAGGTGACGATGAAGGCAAGCAACGTACAGCGCTGGCAGCCAAAAGGCTCTTCCAGTCTAGATCCAGCAGGATGTGTTCCAAGAGCGCTTCGTGGCCTGGCTCAGAGAATATGGCCGCGCTTGCCGACGACGACGGCCAAGTCATGGTCGGTGTGTGTAGTGTGCACAGCGTGTGGGATCAATGAGTGAGTGGGCAAATGCACAAACGACGCGTCGGTGATCCCGTTGCTCTTGGTAGTGATGGTAGTGAGCGGGTAGTGTCAAGATGACGACGACGCGTTCAGGCACCGTATACTGCGGGGCCCGATTCACCCCGATCTCTCATTCCAACGCAACATCCCTTTGTACACCTTCAACTCTTGCACACACTCGCTTCACATTCCCTCCTCTCTCCCCTTCGTCACAATGCCACCCAGGAAGGCACGCCCCTCCACGGGCGACACGCCCAAAAAGGTGTCCACGCCCAAGAAGACTACACCCAAAGCCAAGGCCACACCCACCAGCCCAACACGTTCACACAAGAAGTTGGGACCACACCACGCCAACGTCGTCCCCGGTGGTGCCGCCTCCTCTAGCAGCAGCCATGCGGTTGATCTTGAGACTGTCGAGCTCAACCTCCAGACCATCCTCAGCCATCCCGTGGACACCGTCAAGGCCCTCCTCTTTGCGCGCCGTTACTTCTTGCTCGTTGCTGGACTGCTCGCGCTGGGAAACTTGGTGGTGGGCGCGATTATTATTTTGAAGGTCCCTTGTAAGTGAACGGGATTGTAAGAGAAACGAACCAAGGAGACGTTTGCTGACCCTCTCCTGCCAGACACCAAGATTGACTGGCCCGCATACATGCAACAAGTCGACATGTTCCTCGCGGGCGAGCGCGATTATTCCAAGATTGAAGGCGAGACAGGCCCGCTCGTCTACCCTGCACTCCACCTGTACATCTACACTGTGTTCCACAAGCTCCTGCCCGCAGGAGCACGCGAGCGTCCTGCGCAGTGGATATTCCTCTGTGTCGAATTCATCACTTTTATTCTCGTCTCGGCCATCTACTTCCTCGCTGGCCGTACCAAGCACGTCCCACAATGGCTGCTCATTCCCCTCGTGCTCAGCAAGCGCTCCCACTCGATTTATCTGTTGAGGCTGTTCAACGACCCCTTCGCCATGGTATTGTTCTACGCCAGCGTGGTGCTGTTTATGCTCGAGAACTGGAAGGCCGCCTCTTTCGTCTGGAGGTGAGCTACCATGTCCATACGGGACGCAGCTGACAACCCCCCCAGCCTCGCCCTCGGCGTCAAGATGAACATTCTCCTCTTCCTCCCTGGCCTTCTGGTCATTCTCTTCCAGTACCGCGGCTTCTTCGGTGTCGTCGACAGCACGGTGATCTTTGCCTGCGTGCAGGTTGGTCTGCCCGGCATCTACTTCTTCGACGACAAGCAACAGCTCAAGATTTACTTCTTGTCCGCGTTCGATTTTGGCAGGCAGTTCCTGTACGAGTGGACTGTCAACTGGAAGTTCCTTTCCGAGGACAAGTTCTTGTCCCCGACATTTGCCAAGATTCTCCTGGGCGCCCACGCTGCCACGCTCGTTGCGTTTGGCCTTTGGCGCTGGTGCCCCGTCCCCGGCGGTACCGTGGCCACCTTGGGCCGCGGACTGCACAACCTCCGCGCGCTGTTCCAGCCTGCTATCCCCATCACGCAGCTTTCGTCTGAGCGTAAGTCAGCTAGGCAGCCGTCGCAATTCGATAGCACAGCTGACAACATTCCCAGACATCCCCCTCGTCCTCTTCACCTCCAACCTGATCGGCATGACGTTCGCGCGCAGCCTTCACTACCAGTTCCACGCATGGTACTTCCACCAGCTGCCCATGCTGCTGTACTTTGGTCTTGGAAACGGCGCCCCCAGCGTGCTGCTCGGCTGCATGATCCTTCTCGAGCGCGCATGGGACACCTTCCCCGCCACGCCCGGCAGCTCGCGTACTTTGCTCCTCGTCCACCTCGCCATGATCGCTGGACTGTGGCTCATGGGTCCCAAGCCCAAGCCCGCAGCGGCCAAGAACGCCTAAGCCTAAAACTGACTCCCAAAAAAAAACAACAAGTCGCTTGCTTGTTGCTAGACATGGGGATGAGAATGCAGCTCGTGTTCGTCCTCACAAGACAAGACAAGGCTGCAAGACACTAACAGATACAAAGTTTCCATCCATCACTAGCCATCGGCGTTCCTCAGTTCTGGCGGGACGTACGTCAACCCCAGAAAGCCAAAGATGTCCCTCTCAGTAGGCAAGTTGATCTCCACGTTGGTGTTACGGTCAATCACGCCCGCGCGGAACTTGTAGCCTCTGAAGCGCATGGTGTCAGTTGTGCCGGACTGGAGTGGGGAGGTTGGTTGGGTGACACTTACTTGTCCTCGGCATACCGTCTCAGATCCCGCTCAAACATCATGCTTCCCGACCAGCTCAGTGTGGCGGCAGCATACCTCTCTCGGGGGGCGCAAATCAGGTCAACACGGCGGTGTAGCCTCGCCCGAGATGTGGGTGTGTGCTTGGGTAGGCGGAGAATGACAAAGGCCTTGTCGAGGTTGTCAAAGTTTGACGGGTTGGAGTGTAACGGGTTTGTGGGGTCGCGCGTTGTCATGTCTAACGGTGGGTCAGTTCAAGCTTTCAGAGCAGTTGATGAACTGATTCGTATGGTGTCTGGGGGGGCACTCACGCAGGACGTGGGTGACGATACCGAGCCTGAAGAGACGGCTGCACAGCGCCTTGATCATTCCCTTGTCTTGTCTTTCGTCGCCGGCACCAGGAGTGAAGATGACGTCGACGTCCGAGGTGGTGAGTTTGCCGCGGCGGTACCTGCAAACAGAGTCAGAACATGGTTTGGACACTGTGACACCAGAGGCAAGACAGGTTGGAGGTGAACGGTTGATGACTGGACTCACCCGCCACATACCGTGTCCTCACACCCGGGAAGCAGTGCATGGACGTGTTCCATCACACACGCCTCAATCTCCAACACCTCATCTCGTGGTATCCTATTCACTCATGTCAGCTTAGAAGAATGGCCAGCCAATTAGCGGGACTCACGGCGCATCAAGGTCATCCTTCATCCCCAACCAATCCTCCACAATCTCACTCTGCCGCATCGTCCCCTCTGCTCTTCGTTTCCTCTTGGCCTTCTCTTCCTTTCGCCCAACGTCCGCGTCGGGGTCGACTCCGTCTTTCCCCACATAACACCTCCTCACGTCCTCCAAGGTCCTGCACCCCCTCCGGTCCCACAGCTCCGCTGCAGTCGCTTGGCCAATGGTGTATATCGAGGCGAATTCCGTCATGGCCTTGTAGCGCGCGGAGGAGACGATGGAGGCGGATTCAGCGACGATCCCGGTGGACAAGTACTCGTCGATCTGTACTTTGTCAGCTTGGAAATGTGAAATGAACTGAGCTCACTCGCTGGGCGACCTTGGCGCCCACGTCTACGAGTTTTCGCGCTTCAGTACCAGACTTGATCCGCCGCGGAACAGCTGGGAGTGGTCAGTTCAGCGAAAGCAGTGGTCACATCACGGAACTGTACATTTGAGAATCTGGCAGTCAGCACAGTCAGTCCGTCCTCACTTCAGCTCAGAGTTGCAGTTCTCTGCCGAGCTTAAAGCAACTCACGCTCATGCTCCGACGATAGCTCAGTATGTTACTGTTCTTCTGGGCGTGCTCGTCAAACTCGCGTTCGAGGTAGATGGGCTTGATGGCGTCAATCTGCTCTGGTCAACGTTCATGCCCCTTGAACCTGGGGGAGTGTGTGGGGCGATAAATAGGTCAACCGTGCGTGCCGCTTTGCTGACCGAGCTGCAGTTGGAGTGTGTGCCAGGTTTCCGTTTGGGTCAACAAGGCCGTGTTCACTCACGATATCTTGGTTGACACAGTCCAAGGGACTGGGCCGCTCCACACATAGACGGGGAATATCCTTGAACCGGATATCGGTCGGGTACGGCGTCATGTCAGGTTTGGGCGGCGGGTACGAGGTGGACGAGGCGGAGGAGGTGGACGAGGCAGAAGCGACAGTGCCAGTGACAGCGTCGTCGGCAAGCCGTGCCCGTTTCACGGGCCTGCCTTCCTGGCCTGGGGGCTCGATGATCTCCACGCTGGGATCGCGGCTCGTTCGTGCACCGCTCGGCCGGAGGACGCGATATCCTTCACGGTTGGGTAGGTGGGGTATCGTGCCTCGAGGTGCAGAGTTGGCCAGGTCGTATGCGTCTGTTATAAAGGTCGACGAGAGGAGGTTGGCCATGGTTGCCTGAGGGGTCAGGTGTCAGTGTGCGATCGCACAAATCTCGTCCAGGTGCCGGGTACCGTGCCGACGAGACGTGGTGTAGCGTGCTGCTGCGACGTCAAGGACTCTCGGCAGCACGTCTAACTCCAACACCCAGGACGTGATGCTGCCACTGCCAAGACTTACCACTCCAGAGCCCAGAACGCGCTCCAGCCTAGGTCTTCCCTTCAGAGCCGTGACCACGATCCTCGCCTCGGCCTTGTTCCCTACGACCCGCCCTCCGAGCTCCTCGATGCGGGCGCGCGTGCTGGCCAAATCCAGCTTGGCCGGGACGACATAAAATGTCAGCTCAGCGAGCACGGGTACGAGCGCGCCGTCATCGATATCGGCGTCGACGTCGGGATAGGGAGACGGATGGGTGTCCTCCCTGTCGCCGTCGTCGTTCGAGGTGAGGGACGCCGCGGAGGCGTGGGAAGAGGCGTGTCGTGCTAGTGCCGGTCGTGACGTGGACATGGCTGTGGATGAAGATACTGAGGATACATGTGTATGGTGAGAGTGAGAGAGAGAAAGAGAAGAGACAGGAGCGACAACGGAAGCGATACAGCTAACATAATTCTGAACTCTACATCTCGGATCTCGGACAGTTGACGGTGTTGTGCCTGTGACGTCGGCGAACGCCGATGGCGCCGACACATTTAGAGGGTTGTTACTCGAGGTGGATCTGTTCAGCTGTCAGTGCGTTGGAGCCAGCTAAAGATCTATAATCACTTACAAGAGCAGCAGAAACACGCGTTGGTACGAGCGGGGGAGGGAGCACAAGCCCAATCTCGTCCAGCTCTGTCACACGGCGAGGCTGCTCCGGCGAGTCGTCGACTTCGACGAGGACGGCCTCGAGCGGGAATGTGGTCTGTGAGGTGCGGGTGGGGGAGCTCGCAAGCAGGTGCGGTGCGAGGGATATCTCTTCAATCTCTTCGATGGGAGGCGGCCAGTCGTGTGAGATGCTGAGCCGGTTAGTGCAAGCAGAGACATCGCACTCACCTGTGAACAGGCTGGCTTGTCCACGGTGTCCCCGGGTTCTTGGATGCCAGCTTGAGTGAGGCGAGGACCCAGTCCTCTGCCTTGTTCCAGCACAGGTAGCTCATCCAACCTCCGACGAGCGGACGGGAAGTAGCTGGCCGCCAGAAACGAGCAGGGAGTTCAAACGGGATGGTCTGGCAGGTTAGCTCCAACGAGGGAAATGTTACCTACCTCTGGAGTCCACACCAAGTCTGCCTGGATGGAATCGGCAAAGATCCTCCCGTAGAAGAGCACCTCACCGCGCTCCGCGGCCCTGCGGATCGTTGCCGCCTCCTGCGACCGCACGTCTCCGCGTGTGTGGTGCAGCACTTCAGTGGGGAGGAAACGGATCTCGTCCGTTGGCGAAATGACAGAGAGGTGGACCGCGGTCGACCCCTCTGCCAGGGCCTTGACGATGGCCCACAGAGCCCAGTTGAGGCTGAACGTGCCGCTGATCCATGGAGTGTCCTCGTCGCTTCGCTCGGTGATGTGGCGGTGGACCGTCTCAGTGACCCACGGCCCGTCCCACGGCCCCTTTCGCTGGCTCATGGCCGCGCTGTATGCGTTCGGGGACATGCCCTTGAACACGCCCGCGCCAAAGCCCGAGGACGAGCGAGAACCGGTCCACTGGAGCGGGCTTGCAGAGTTGGCCTGGTGGACGCGTACGAGGCCGCCGTGTGATACGTGTTTTGAGAGCGCCTCGTACGTGAGCTCGGCAGGGAGGCGCGGCGGTGGGCCCTTGGGGATGGCGATGACGGGGGGAAAGTTGTTGATTTGGGGCTTTGCGATTGCGTCAACTGGAACCAGAGGCCGGATGAATGCTCCAGACTGCATGTTGGGGGAAGGGCGTGTAGGCCTCGGTGGAAGCGGGGTTGGGGAAAGAGGAGTCGCGCGAGGGGGAGGGTTGGTGAGAGGCCTACCCCCGATTCCTTGGAAGTTTGCAGCCAAGTACTGGGGTACGGGGGGAGACCTGGGGACAAAGGGGGGAGCAGCCGCCCTTATAATCGCATTCGACCTGTTCATCGCGTCCACAGCGCTCGCGACTGTACGTTGCGTAATGGGGACAGCAGGAGCGCGCGAGGCTGGCACCGCGACGGGGACAGCCCCACCAATATGCGGCACTCCCAACGTGGAGATGCGCTCCTTCCACGACTCGCGCTCGCGATAGCGGTGGACCACTGGAGTCGGGCCCTTGCGCGCTTGGCTGGGCATCCCCTGCGCCTTGAGGGTAACACTTGCGCGCTGGTGATAGAGGTGTCTCTTCTTTGTCTGCTTAAACTCGGCGAGGTATGCGCGAGCCCGTATCGCTGTGCCAATGCTCTTGTTGGACTTGCGTGAAGGGTGGGACTTGAGGGACGAGCGAGATGGCACCTCTTCGACCAGCAGGTCGTCCATAAGGTTCTCGATGCGGAGAGGAGAAGGGGACTGGACGTGTGACCTGCGGTGGGTCCCGTCGCCACGGTGCCACTTGTGGTTGGGGAGGAGTTGGACCTTGGTTTGAGGTGTCGTGGCACCACTCGGGCGCACAGTCGCAAGACGGTGCGGTCTGGTCGCGACCTCTAGACCTGTCCCGCCAGCGCGCTGGACCACCTGCGCCATCTTGCCAGCGTCCAGGGTCCTCCTACTACTACGACTACCGGCTTCAGTCATGCTGTCCACTGGGAGCTCCCATGGGGAGGGGACGAGCGCGTCGGCAGGGGGTTCGTAGGCAAAGCTCGGTATGAGTGTCTGGATGCCGGTGGGGTCGGGGCTAGAAACTGGAATGTGCGTGGCGTAGTCGGACATCGTGGACGGCAAGGATATGCCAGTGGTCGTCGTCAGATGTCAATTACGGAGGATGTCAGTAGAATGAGGAGGGGTCGACAACAAGAATGACGAGCGATGAGGTGTGAGGAAGGAAGACAACCAGTGGACTGTCTTCCCTCCGGACCTTCCCTCCACCTCTGCGGCTCTGCGCTCGCCGACCTGTCGCGTGCCGGCTTGTTTGGTCCGAATGGTTATGTGTCAATGCATCTACTGGGCCATCTCCGCCTTCACCGCCTCCTCGGCCGCCGCCTTGGCCTCGCGACGCAGGCTCATCTCCTCGGCATAACGCTGCTCCTTCACTTCCCGGCCATTCCTGCGACGAGTGTTGAGGTGGGTGCGGGTGAGGTCGCGCTGCCTCTCCTCGCCAGAGAGCTTGCCCTTCTTGTCCCGACGAGCGTCCTTGTCGGCAATCTTCTCCTGCTTTGAACGCAGACCTTGCTTTTCACGGAGCTGGGCAAGGACCCATGCGGGTTGGGGCTTGGCGGCAAAACCCATCCTCGCGAGGTCGTTCTCGGTGAGGTCCGGCGATGTGAGCTTGTCCCAGTATTTTGCGGTGTTCGCCGCGTTGTTGCCTTCGGGGGACAACCGCCACATGCATTGCTTGTGCTTGAGGTGGCTGAGAACGCTCGACTCGGAGGGCTGCTGCCATTCCTTCTTGATGAGCTGCATCGACTCGAGGACGGGAAGGATGCGAGTCTTCAGGTAGCTGCAAGGCGTTAGCACAGATGCCGGGGATGGAGGTAGTGTGGCCGTGACATAGCGAGGTAGTGCAACAGCTTGCGAGTGCACGAGTGACTGCGGCCCAACGTGCACGACGCTGCTGCTGCTGCTGCACACCTCCACCAGAGCCTGCCGCTTGTCAACTCACTTGCCAGAGTCAAACGGGTGACCCTCGGGCACCTGGATGCCAAGCTGGTCGTCGTCGCCCTTCTGCTTCTTCTTGCCCTTGGCGTTTTGACTCTGAGTGCCACTGACAGCGGCGCGGGGGTTGCCAACGGCGTCGGCGAGGATCTCACGGAAATGGCGAGGACGTTCCGTGAGCAGCGTCTGGACCATCGCAAAGGCGGCGCCGGTGGGTGCCCCCTTGGCGCGGACGTACTGCTGCTCCAGTGGCTTGAAGCCCTTGGCCGCCTTCAAAAGCTGAAGGGTGGGACGCATGTCGGTGGTGGTGTCGAGGACGTCGGTGTAGCTGTGGGCTCGATGTTGTCGACAATGAGCAACAAGTGGTCGGCGGCGAGCAACGGATCAGCGACAGACGGCGAATTGGGACTTTTTCGACGTGTGGCATAAGGGTGGAATTTGATCCCGCCAAGGCCTGTTCCACTGCTGCTTGGGACTTTTGTTGAACAGCGACGAGGACGAGCAACTCGACAACCACCACCACAACCACACACCCCTCACACGCACACCATGCATCTCCTCGGTCGCCACCTCCCCGACCACCAGCTCATCGGCTACGCCCTCAAGGCGTTTTACGGCCTCTCGCACCACACCTCCCGCCGTCTCCTCGCGCGCATCTCCATTCCCGAGCGTGCCCTCGTCTCCGAGCTCACCGAAACCCAAATCACCGCGCTGAGCGGTTTCCTCTCGTCCCCCTCGACCGCTCCTCGCGCGGCGTCCACTCCCCTTGCGCCTCCCCTCTTTGGCGCTGCGGCTGCGTCGTCGTCGCGCGTCCCGCACCCGAGCGACGCCGAGCTCCAGGCTGCCATCCTCGCCGACCCGCTCAACACCCTCCTCATCGAGTCGGACCTCCGTCGCTCGCGCAACGCCGACATTGCCCACCACCGCCAGATCGGCACCTACCGCGGCCGTAGGCACGCCATGGCTCTTCCTGTCCGCGGACAGAACACGCGTACCAACGCACACACCGCCAAGCGTCTGAACAGGCTTGTCCGCAGGGCTTACAGGTGAGTTGGAAGGAAGCGCAACGCGCAGCGTTGCGCGAGCGACTGTATTGTGAGGGGGTGAAGGACGGTGTTTGGAGAGGCAGGAGATGTTGTCCCGCAGTGGGATCGCCCGTGTACTCCGGCCCATCAACTGCTTGCGGGACAGCTCGTCCAGCCTCTCCGTCACCCTTCCTCTCTCCTCCCTTTCCCCAGTCGCCCCACGGCACCCAGCGGCCAGCTGAGGCTCCCGGCAACCCAGCTGACACGTTACCCCCCCAGCACATCTCCCATCCTCAACATGCTCGCGGACGCAGAGGTGCCCCAGCCCCCGTCCGAGATCCTCAGGTTGCTCGGCAAGCAGTAGAAGAGTCTCCTGTTGTATACTGAGAAGCAACAACAAGAGAGATTCCCGTAGACGACCCCTTTATCCCCCCCGGCATGCACCCACTTCATATCAGACCGTGGCCCGCGTGAGGCGGGTTGCTGTGCCGCGTACGCGCGTTCTGGTGTCAAGCACTGTGGCATACTGAACGGCGCGAGGGGCACTTCGACGTTGGCAAAGAGACGCAGCTGTCGGTGGACTGGGGAAACGCTTAACGTCGGGTGCTCGGTGCCATGGACCGCGCGGCACTCGGCTGGAACACGAGCGCATGCGCTGAGCGTCTATCAGTCAGTCAGGCGCTGAATATCTGTAGCTAGATCCAAAGCAGAACAAGCCTACCCTTGGCGCTTCGCCCATCCGTATTTGTGGCACTCACCGGATCTCGCTGGGGAGCTGGGGAGCTGCTTTACACCGTCTTGTCCCGAATGTGTCCGGTATTGGGACAAATTCAAATAAGCCACGGGCTAATGGCCTAAATTGCCAGCCCGGCGAATTAGACTGGCATTCATCGAGGCTCTCTGCGCCCTGCGCTCTGTCTGCTCTGTTGATCACCTCTCCGCAAACGAGCATCCACCAACGAGCGAGCCCTTCCGAGCGTCGAGGTCTCTCTTACACAAACTATGAGTCTTCTCGCCTCCTCTGCTCTGCTCCGCCTCTGCGTCTGCGTCTGCGTCTTCGACGCGAGATGTAATTACAGCATGGTGGAATTATCATGTTGGAATTTTACGTAAATACTAGCCCGGGCTCATACTTGGCGAGGCGCCACGGGGCGGCCGACAGCACCAAAAGGAAACGGTGTGGTTGTTTTGCTTTTTGGTTTTGGTTTTGGTTTTTTGTTAATTCCTGAAAACGAGAAAGAAAGGAAACGAACGATCCAGTGTTGACATGTTCTTGCGGTTGCAGTCTCTCGGCGCGGTACAGGGTTTACAGAATGCGGATTGGGTGGGAGTGGGTGGGGTCGTGGTGTGGTCGTGTCCATGCAAGTTTACGTGGCCCTTTATGTTGCCCTCTAAAAAACATTGAAGAAGATGATGCGAAGGGGGGTGGGGGGGAAAGGGTTTCGTCTACTTGCTAGCGCGGGACGCGACGAACACACCGGCAATCACCACGCCGAGGAAGCCGATGGCAGCAGGGAGGGCGAGGTCCTTGGGAAGCACGCCAAAGATGAGGTCCTCGGGCTGAGGGGGCAGCTTGGCGTGCACGGCGTGCGCGCCCGACGCGCCGTACGTGGGCACCTTTGCGGGGTCGGCGTTGGGGTCCGAAAGCTTGGCCTCGACGTCCTCCTCGACCACGATGGGGACGGCAGCGACGACCGGTGCAGGGGCAATGGGGGCCGCGGGGGGCTCGGGGACGGGCTCGGGCTCGGCGGCCTTGACGACCTCGACGACGGGCTCGGCGAGGCGTGCGGCCTCCTCCCAGCTCTTGCCGCCGTTGACGTACAGGACGATCCTGTCCGTCTTCTGGCCACGGGCAATGGCGACGGCGTCCGAGACGTCGCCGTCGGCAGTGATCTCGACGAGGTCACCGTCGTCGTCTGTGTACGACAGGGTGAAGATGGACGGGTCGGGAGCCGGGGCGGTGGGGTCCTCGGGAGTGTCAAAGAAGGGGTCGACAGAGAGCTTGCCGTGGACAATGTCACGGAGAAGCTCATAGTTGTCGTGACGGGCCTGGAAGCGGTGGGTGCGGCCCGAGGGGGTCTTAAACTTGAAGACGTAGGTGCCGTCATCGACCGGCAAGGGAGCCGGAGCGACCGACGAGGCACCAGTCTTCATGCCAATCTCGGACATTTCGCCGACGACCGAGGCAGAGTCGCCAGGCATGACCTCGGAGATGGGCGAGGTGACGCTCGAGAGACCGCGCTGGTGGCCCAGCATCTTGGACGAGGGCGAGTCGGGCACCTCAGACACGGACAGGGCAGAGTGGGTGTCGTCGTCGGCACCGGCAGTGTTGAGAGTGTCAAAGAACTTGCCCCACATGGGACCGGCCTCGGTGGTGCGCTCCTCGTTCATCGACTCGATCTGCTCCAGAGTCGCGTACGTGAGCTTGAGCACGTCGACGATACCGATCAGACGGCCGTCGTCCTCGACAACGGGAAGGTTGAGGTAGTGGCCGTTGTGCATCTTCTTGAGGGCGTCCTGGACAATCATGGCAGGAGGAGCAGTGTCCGGGTGAGGGGTCATGACACGGACCACCGAGCAGCGCGCGGCGTCGAGGCCTGCAGCAATGACACGGAGGACAATGTCCTTGGACGTGAAGATACCGGCAATCTTGGGAGGGTTCTCGCGGTTCGAGACGCCGGAAAGGACCGAACCGGGGTTGGCCTCGAGGACACAGACCGCGGTGGTGCGGCGCTCCTTCATGAGGCGGGCGGCCTCACGGACCGAAGTACGGGGCGACACGGTAGGAGGGGGGAGGCTAGTGTCGAGAACCGACTGAAGGTCGGGCTGGGCCATACGGTCACGCAGGGCATCGACGTAGGCCATCATGGCAGCAGTGTGGGGGTTACCGACGAGACCGGGGCCGAGCTCGGTCTGGACACCGGCGAGGGCCGCCGAGAGCTGCGAAGTGGCGTCGGCCGAGCGCTCGACCTTGGCCAGGGCGTCGTGGAACACCTTGGTAATGTCCAGCAGACCGACAACGTCGCCGTCCTCGTTACAGACGGGAAGGTGGCGGAAGTGGCGCGAGACCATGAGCTGGAGAGCGTCCGTGGCGGACGTGGTGTCACGGGTGACCATGGGGTTGCGAGTCATGATCTGGGCCACGGTGGTGGTACGCGGGTCGAGGCCATCGGCAGTGACGCGGAAGGCGAGGTCCTTGGCGGTGAAGATACCGCTGAGCCCCTCCTCGTCGTCGACAACGAGGACACAGTCGGTACGCTTGGCAGCGCACAGCTGCGACGCGTCGGCAACGCTCATGCCCTCGGGGACAGTGAGGGCGGGGCTGGGACGGAGGCCAGCCACAGTACCCTTCATGGCGCGCTTGGAGGGACGCTTATAGCTCGAGGTAGCCTCCTGGGCCGGAGCGCCGCGGCCGCCGGGACGCTTGCGCGAGAGTTCATTCTCAATCTTCTTGCGCAGCGACTGGAGTTTGGAACCAAGGCCCTTGCCCGAGACATTGCGAGAGAGTTTGCCAGTGGGGGCGATTTCGGTTTTGGACAAGGACGAGTGGTAGCGTTTGCGCACCGCGAGTTCGTCCGAGGCACCAGTATCGGCAGAAGACGAGGACGGTTCGGCGGTCGTCGAGGTCATGTTTGGTGAGGAAGCACCGGGGAAGGCAACGGGAGCACGTTTGCGTTGTTCAGGCGACGCCGTGAGGTTGGGAGTCGACGAGGTAGCAGCGTTACCAGGGAGACCAGGGAATTGGACCGATCGTCGTCGTTCGGCATTGGGAGAAGTGGGGTTGACGTTGGGGAGGCCCGACGGTTGAAGAATGGGAGAGTGAGGGTTTGAAATGGGAGGAGTGTCGAGTGGTTTTGTGTGTGGTGGGGTAGGAAGGGCGGGGACGAGGAAGCCCGAGTTGTTTGTGTGGCCGTCGACGGAGAGGGGCGGGGAAGGGTTTGAGGGAGAGAGCGTGAGGGGGAGGGTCTGAGCGTTGGACATTGCGACGGGTGGGATAGGGGTTGCACAAGAAGAGAAAAGAAGCAGGAGGGGGAGAGGGGGAGGGGAATAAGAGAGATAGGCGACGAGCACAGGGGCTACGGCCGTAGTCTCACGTCGAGGCCAATGTGCAGAAGGGGCAAACAAGCCAAGAAGGGTTGCACGGAACAGCGAGCACACGGAGGTGACGGTGGGGACAGAGTGGGCAGTGAGGAAGGACGAATGGGTGATGGGTGAGAGGGGTTGGTGCCCGGTGTTTGGCTGGGTTATATCTCTCTGCAACGCCACTGGATCTTTGGGACCCAACGCAGGAACCCACTCTCAGCCACCACAGGCCCTTCTCTCTCCCTTCGCACCCAAGCATGGGCCCTCTCTTCCACGCCAGCACCCATGCGTCGCTATCATCGGCCCCTCTTCCCCGGGTTTCGCTGTGCACAAGTGCGTTCTGGGCAGCACTTGCTCACCCCCAAGCACACAAGACAATAGACTGCAGTGCTCCGTGCCAGACAAGAGTCGGAAGAGGGGGTGGGAAAACGGAACGGAGCAGGACGGACATCGGAGCCAAGAGGCAAACGAGCAACAAAAGCGTGTGTGCACACCGGACACGCAGAGCACGGATGTGGACTCACCTCGTCGCGACGGTTCTGCTTCTTGCGTGTGTCGACTGCTGCGACTGGCGAGTTCATGTTGGCTGCTGTGAGGGACGATGGGGATGAAGGGGATGGTGAATGGTGCAGTCCGCCGTTGGGTACAGGGATGCGGGACATGGAGAAGGAAAGGTGTAAAGCGGGGGCGCGGGGATGTTTGTTGTAAATATCTCTCGCCAGTGTGTCGTCGAGTGTGTGTTGGCTTTGTTTGGGCGAATGCCCCGCCTAGTAGTGCATCAACCAACGCGCCTTTAGGGTCATTCCGCTAAACGGCTCTGTTAGGGTTTCGGACAAGACGGCACCAGACCGCTCGCGACGCGCAGACGCGGCGGCAAGTTCAGGAAGGAAGCTGCCCAAGACAGAAATGATATGGCATTACCCACGTGCATGATACAGCGCTGTTTCCGGTGCTATTAGGTCCCCATTAGTCGTACTCCATCCGATTAGGCCCAACGACCCATTTTGATTGCACCGCTCGTTCCCGTGACCTCTGGCGACTGTGCGCGTCCGACGGGTCCCAGTCTGCAGCGTCTCTCGTTATCGCCCCGCTGATTGGAGAAGCTCGGCCACAACATTGGCGACGACATGGCGAATGGAATGCAGAAAGGTGTAGCGAAAAAGTGTGGAGCCGAACAAGGCTCACGGGTTGGGGTCGATGATGGTGTGGCGCCGTCATGTCTTGGTTTTGAGGAAAACCCAAACAAACATGGACAGCCATCTCTTCGCAACCTTGGCATTGTGGCACTCTGCATGTATTTGTGGCATCCGTCCCCACCGTGTATCACAATAAGGTAGTAGCCTGGCTGCCTCTGTCTGTCCGTCTGTCTGTCGAGGTAGCCAAGTCCATACACAACCTAGAATGAAATGAGAGTCACCGTGTCGGCCTGCGAACAGTGTCAGTCCTGAAGAACCAGCGCACAGCTCCCATCACATACCTGAGCGAGCACAACCGTCTGTCCGTCAAACCACACCGCGTCGACGCCGCCGCCGCCACCCCCGCTGGCCACGTCACAGAACACGGGCAGCCGGGCTTCGGTGTACGGTGCCGACACCGGTTCCCCTGCGTCGCCCGCGTCGTTGGGCTGCTTCTTCACCAGCAGGCCAAACTCGCGCGCAAACTCTTCATACCAGTGCGCACTGCCCACGGGGTGCGTGCCGATCCACGGCCCGTGCACGCGCTTACGGCTGTCGGTCGCTGCAGTCGAGGACGAGGACGAGGGAGAGGACATGGTCATGGCCATGGCCATGGCGGCCAGCTGGTCGGAACAAGTGACGTGGCGAGGACCAGCCACCGCGCCAGTGTCATGGGCCACAGGTGGGGCCGGGATGGCTTCTGGCGCGTGGTTGTGCCACCTGTCCCACTGGCCCGTACCGCCCAAAAACCACTTTGCGGCGTCCATGTTGAAGCTCGGTGGGAACCCGACGATGCCCAGCGAGTAGTTGCGCAACGTGAGCGTCGAGCACCCGTCGCGCGATTTCGGGACGGGCGTGCCCACCGTGTCCCAGCGCAGGTGCTTGGCGGACTCTTTTGTCGGAGACGGGTCGAGGTAGAGCACACGGGAGGCGTACGTCGCCGAGCCGGGTGGTGGTGGTGGTGGTGGGGATGATGAGCCCGTCGTTGTCGCTGTCGTTTCAATGTGGGCATACTCTTTCCAGCTTGCAAACTCGGTGACCACCAGCTCGGCGCGCTTGCACACCAAGGGGTCGAGACACTTTGAGAAGACGGCAGCGTGTCGCTCGACGCCCTCCTCGCCGCCCAGGGCCTGCAGGAAGGATGTCGGGCGGGAGAGGGAAGGGGAGGAGGGCGACGCGTCGCCGAGGTCGAACAGGTCGGCCTCGTCGGCCTCGTGGACAATAGTCGTGAACAGCTCGGGTCCATTAGCCAGGCGGAAGTCGTCGAGGAGGACCTCGTCCCATGTGCGGTCACCGTCGTTGCCGTCGAGCCGTTCCTCGGCTAGGATTCCCACAAGGCCGCAGAGGCTGTAACGCATCTTGTCGGAGAGCACGGCAGTACTGTCGAGCTTGCCGTCGGTGACATGCTGATGCCACTTGCTTAGAGCGGCGGTAATGGCCGTCTTTTTGAGGGACGGCGAGACCATGGTCGGGATCACGGCTGCGCTGAGGGCGCCACGCATGAAGTGGTCTGAAGCGGTGGCGGTGCCGCTGCCGGCGTGGCCACGGCTGCTGATGGTGAACGAGACCGTGCCGAGGTAGTAGCTGTCGCTGAGGGGCGGGTATAGTGAGACGCTGCCGGTGAGGGCCGGGGCTTTGCCGTCGCCTTCCGTCTGGTCCACGAGCGCCGGGAGCTCGAGGGCGACGAGGTATCCGACCGCATCGGCCACGCCGTCGTCGACGGTCCAGCAGTTGTGCGCGGGGCATGGCACGAGCGTGGCGGACTTGTCCTCTCGACGGTACGTAATGTTCGCGTTGCGGGAGACGGTGTTGCCGACATGGAGGACGGTCAGGTAGCACGTGGGCGGCACACCGGGCGACGGCACGTTCGTCGACGAAATGGACGAAACGGCCTCGAGGACGATCACATGTTTGGACGTGAAGAAGTCAAAGTCGAGCATCTGGTTGGTAGCGGAACGAGTCGCGGACAATCCGACACAGACACCTTGCTGCCAGTTCCACACGGCCAGCAGGCCGGCCGACACACCTCCCTCCTGGGGCGCAACCAAGAGGCCGACAAGGCCGTTGGGCCCGACTTTGAGCTTGTACGCGACCTGGTCGGTGCTGTCGGGCTCGAGAAGGTCCACATAAGGCCGCGCCGCGTTGGGGTGCTTGATTGGGACCCCCCACTCGTCAGTCGAGTGGCCGAGACCCGTGGGGCGCAGCTGGTAAAAGTAGATACGGTGGCGACGGCCGACGAGGTACGAGTCTGGCTGGTTGGAGGTCGACTTGCCCTTGTCGCTGTCCTTGGAGTATCGAACGGTGATGCTGGTGGGTCAGCAGCTGTGGGTGACAAACGATTAGATGCGCTCGCAACACCCACGGTTGAACAGCCACAGCCACGAGGTTCTCGTCCGGCTGGATCGCCACAGCGGCGACGTCTTGGCGGATGCTGTAATCCCACATCCAGACGTTCTGGTCGTTGGACGCCCCCGCGGGGCGGGGAGGCATACACACGTCTTTCACAGGAATAGAAGCTTTGGCCTTTGAGCTTCCAGAAGACGACGAGAGCACAGTCTGCTGCACCTCGAACCAGGGCGGGAGGGCCCACACGGTCCAGCCCGTTGGCTGTGTGCCACCCAGCCGGGTCTTGAGCGTCACCATGTACCCGTCGCGTACAGCCGCGACGGGTCCGCGCGTGTGCACACAGCGGATGAGCGAGGGAGAGAAGCGCTGGAGGGACTGTTCGCGGAGGTATCGCTCGGTGTCTTGTGGTGTGCGCTTGGGTTCAGTGTACGGTGTGTCGCTGGGTCGAGGGAGGTGTTGGATGTGTCTGACCAGGTTGCCCTTGGGGTTGCGCTTGAGAACAATGGTAGGTGCGCGGAGAGGGAGCTTGCCTCTAGGAGGGGGGAGAGGTCCGTCAAGGGAAGGAGGTGGTGCGGGGAGGCTGTAGACGAGGTTGAAGCACCGGTCACGAACGTCCGGGTCGGTGGTGACCAAGTGGCGGAGGTTGCGGCATGTCTGTGGAGAGCTGTCAGCGGGTCTTACGGGAGGAAGAGCTCACCTGAGAGAGGCTGCAGTAGTCGTCCACGCAGTGGTAGATGATGGGGCGGAGGACTGCCCAGTATGCAGGCTCTGTGAAGATGAGCCGCGCAGCAGAAGCGGCCGCGGCCACCATCGTTAGAAGAGGTGGAGAGGGTCAGACGCGGTGGGTGAGAGAGTAGGTTGAGTGAGAGGACAAGAGAGAGACATGCAGAGATGGGAGGGGGGGCTGATGGTGACGGAGACACGGTGGACGACGTGGGGGGGAAGGCGCAGAGGGAAGACACCGGCGGGGGGTGTGGAGTGATGCGCGTTTGATGTGTCCACTAACGGTGTGCGTGAACCGTGCAGCAACCACGCTCTCAAAGGGAGGCTCTGTAGCTCTGTCCATGCTGTCCACGCGACACCCACATCAGCGACGTAGCGACGGAGGGGCACGATGAGTGGCGACGCGCATGGGTGGCGTGGGTGATATCGTGTGCATGGATGGATGTAAGAGATGTGCATCGCCGACAACATTGCAGCATGCGTCCGCCGCACCGCTCCTCTCACAGATCACAGATCACATCCCACCAGCTTCACCCACTCGGTGATCGACGGCACTGTGCGGCTACCGCCGGGCGCGCAGGGCAAGGCCCAGGTTAAAGGTTGACCCCGAAGCGGCCGGTGGGTCGTCCCTCCTCTCGGCAAGCCCCGAAAAGTCCATCGACTCGACGTCTCCCACTTTATCTCGTTCCACACACACACCTGCCATGACATCTGAACGTACGTTGTGGCCCCCCAGCAGCTTCCTTTTCCTTGTTCCTCTCCATCACCCACATACTTGCACATGCTAAAATGACCATCCCAGCTCCGCCTACATCCAACCCCTTTTCGTCTCTGATCGAGCAAGAAGTTGCGGTGGTGCCGCGCTTTACGTTTGAATCCGGCGTCGAGCTCACCGATATCCCCGTCGCCTACAAGACGTGGGGCAAGCTCAATGCCGCGGGCGACAACTGTCTTGTCATCTGCCATGCGCTCACGGGCAGCGCCGACATGGAGGACTGGTGCGTGCTTGTTGCTCGATGCCCACTGCAGCTGTGGTGGTGGCGAACGGCCACAGCTGCTGGGTGTGGAGGTTGGCCGATGGCGTGCTCACTTTGTGTCAGGTGGGGACCCCTCCTTGGTCCCAACCGCGCGTTCGACCCAACGCGGTTCTTCATCTTCTGTGGCAACGTTATTGGCTCGCCCTATGGAACGATCTCGAGCGTCACCGCCAACCCGGCGACGGGCAAGCCATACGGCCCCGAGATGCCTGGAAGCAGTGTCAAGGACGATGTTCGGTGAGATTTTGGAGCGTGGTGGCGGTGTGGTTGGGTGAGGCGAAGCACACAGCACTGACTCGGAAATTCCAAGTCTCCATTACTTGATTCTGCGCCAGCTGGGTGTCAACAGCATCGCCGCGGTCATTGGCGGCTCGATGGGCGGCATGACCACGCTCGAGTACCCACTCAACACGCCTCCAGGGTTCGTCAAGGCGATTGTGCCCCTTGCGACTTCGGCTCGCCACTCGGCGTGGTGTATCTCGTGGGGCGAGGCCCAGCGCCAGTCCATCTACTCGGACCCAGACTACCGCGACGGCTACTACTTTGAGCAGGAGCAAGGCGAGGTCGACCTGCACGCCCAGCCGACGCGCGGTCTCGCGGCGGCGCGCATGGCGGCGCTGCTCACCTACCGCTCGCGCGACTCGTTCGAGTCGAGGTTTGGCCGCAAGACGGGTATCTCGCGCGCGAGCAAGGTGCCTCCCCTCGGTGTCCGTGTCATGGGCGGATCCGAGACGACCAACCCCGCCGAGCCGTCTGATGGCGAGTTGACCAGGTCGCCCGCATGGCTCCAGCACAACGACGGCCACAGGTCGTTTGCCACCCTCCAAGGCAGCCGGGCCGGCACCCCGCCGATCCCGTCTTCGCCCAGCTCCAACGGAAACAACGAGGCCAACGGCGCTGACGCCAACGGCACGGGAGAGACCAGCGCCAGCTCGGCCGCGGCCAACGGCTCGCCCAGCGGCTCGTCCAACGGCGGCACCAACATCTCCCTCGGCGTCCCGCGCGGCAAGCTCGGCACGGGCGGCGACCGCAGCAACCAAAAAGTCTTCAACGCCCAGTCGTACCTCCGCTACCAGGGCGACAAGTTTACGGGCCGCTTTGACGCCAACTGCTACATCCACATTACGCGCAAGCTCGACACGCACGACCTGTCGCTCCCGTCCAATTTCCCGGGCACGCCCTCGGCCGACCTGCCCGTGGTTCGGTCCGAGGACGACGAGGTGATCGAGGAGGCGCTGCACCACGCGCTGTCGCTCCTCCCGCCTGCGCTGGTGATCGGTATCGAGAGCGACGGCCTGTTCCAGCCGTCCGAGCAGCGCGAGCTGGCCGCGTACATTCCCGACGCCGAGCTCGTCATCATCCCCTCGCCCGACGGGCACGACGGCTTCCTCCTCGAGTTTGAGGCCATCAACGGCTGGGTCGACGGCTGGCTGCGGCGCAAGATGCCCAACTTTTACCAGGAGCGCGTCATCTCCCTCGACGAGTGGAACAAGGACGAACAGGACGGGTTCGGCGTCAAGAAGGAGTCGGTGTTTGGCGAGGCAGAGGCCGACGTCACCCGCTGGTAAAAGCGAAGCGGTATTCCAGGTAACACAAAAAAAAAACCATACAAACAGGCATATATCGTCATATTGTCGCATCATCATCATCTACAACATCGGTATACAGGAGACGATAGGAAGGTGGTACTAGAGAGAGAGAGAGAGAGAGAGAGAGAGAGAGAGAGAGAAGAGGGACGTCGTAGTCGCGTTTTCAAAGGTCGAATGTACTAGTCATATGTGTCAAGTTGAACGGAAACGGAAGCAGGAAGCACTGCGCACTGGGCAAAACCAAAACCACCCCGTCGTCTAGCGCCTCTAGCCCTCGCTCTCCCAGTCGCTGTCGTCGCTCTCGCGCTTGACCACCGTCGTGTCTGCGGGGCGCACACGCTGGCCCTGCGACTGGCCCTGTGGGGTGAACAGGTCGGACTTCGACTCGACCTTGATGCGGGGCATGGTCACGGGCGACGCGCCGTGCGCGGTGTGCGCCGGCGCGTGCGGGTGGCTCGGCGTCGGCTGCGGGTGGTGTGCCGTATAGTCGATGAAGCCGAGCTGGGGCTTGCCGCCGCCGGGCCCGCCCGTCACGGCGACGTACTCGCTCCCGCGGTGTGTGTGCGTGTGCGCGCCGTGCTGGTGCTGGTGCTGGTGCTGGTGCTGGAGGTGGTGCTCGTCGAACGCCTTGTAGTCTTCAAACGCCATGGGGCGGTACGTGTGCGGTCCGAGGCCGACGCGGGAGCGCGTCTCGTCAAACCAGGTGCGCACGCCCGTGGAGAGCGTCTCGACCATGCCCCTGTCGGCGGCGCTGGCGTCCGTGAGGTGCAGGTAGAGACGGTGGGCGAGGAACAGGCCCAGCAGGCAACACAGGGAGAGCAGGGCCATGGTGCCCGTGAAGATCAGGACGGGGAGGAGGACGGCGCCTGTGGAGGAACAAGAGTTAGTAACATGTGGGTGTGGGGGAGTTGCAAGGAGGGTGTATGTATGCCAACAGATACGTACCTGCAAAGAAGACGGCGGCGGCGACGCTCAAGCACAGTCCAAACACGGCCGTGCCCGAGAACAAGACTGTGGCGGCGACGACAAAGCCGCTAAAATGGAGTTAGCGCCGTTTACTCTCTCTTCCCACTGAGTCTACAGGATCGGACACGTACACGAAACACGCGACGGGGATGAAGCTCAGCGCGGCAAAGATGGCGAGGAAGGTCTGCGTGACCGTTGTCAGTAACGAACTGGGTACACGGAGCATGTTCTATGCTTTGGACGTTGCGGCACAGCACACGTAAGACCAGACGCACAAAGATGACGGGGTTGGTGTCGGCAAACACCTTGATACCGTCCGCGATCGGGGTGAGTGCGCGCTGGAGGCTGGCGGGGTCAGCGCCGCTACGTTTACAGTCCACAGTCCACAGTCCACAGTCCACAGTCCACAGTCCACAGTCCACATGGCCGGCGCGGTGTTGGGTCGGCGGCCAGATGATTTCACGACCGTCGACAACATCTGGCGGCAGGCGCGCAACACGCACACGAAGCAACACCGCGGCATGCCACGTTCGCGGGCAGACGCTACGCGATTCCCACTCACCGGTCACTCTGTTCCCTCACGCGGCGCGAGATATCGTCCAGCTTGGCCGTCGCCGCCGGCGAGCGGGGCAGGCCAAGCGCCGTGGCCGTGTGTGTCGATACACCGGGGGTACCGCCGGGCCCCGGAGTTCCCGCAGGCTCAGACATGATGGCAGTGGGCGACATGGCGACGAGCGAGGTACGTTTCTGGTATGTGGACCGATACTTGACGCTCTGGGCCAAGATGGTGGATGGCTGCGGGGACTGGGACGGGGGCTGGGACGTGTATGGCACTGGAGCCATCACTGCGCTGCGTGCGTGCTGTGCCAGTGTTGCTGTTGTTTTGGAGTGTTCTTTTGGGCGGTGGTATATAAGGGAGTGTGTGTGTGGGAGACGCTGGGTGTACTAAGCGGAGACGTGTGGGAAACAGTGCGAGGCGCGGATGGATGGAAGAAACGAGCAAGGATGAAAGCATAGCGAAGCGCGGTGAGATCTAAAACGGGTAGGGAACGACACGCCGCCGCCGCTAGCGGAATGAATGACGCGCGCGCGTCCAACAGGTGGCGGCGGCGCGACCTCGGAACCTATGCGTCTTGCACGGCCAATGCTTGTAGATCTGTACATAGAGTGCAATAGACTACGCACCGCCGCTGACAGCAGGCAGCAGGTCGGCGTGAACTGAATTATGGTAGCGATACAGGAGCCCCCAAACCCCCTGCCAATGAGTGGGCCAGTGGACGAGCCATGTTCTTCAAGATTTCGCGCGTACGACAAAACGCGTGGCAAGACGGTTTCACTTAATTGACTTTGTCATGGGCCGGACAGCTTGGCTCCTGCACGGTGCTATACTGGTACGAGGGACTGGAAGGAGGCAGTAATATGGCCACACTCGACAGAGATCAGAGACCAGTCGCGCCCGCTCATACGCGCTCACCTCGGCATGTTGCTTGGACGACCTCCGCTCGTGGCGTTGTGTGTGGGGCCACATCACCATACTTCTCCCCGCCACACTACCCCGGTGGCCCGGTGCCAATACCTCGTCCTGCACCTCATCTTCACAATGATAAAATGTTGTTCACATGCATGCTACTACTACTGTATGGATGTCTACAAACAAACTACGGGGTGTTGTTGTTGGGCGTACATTTTACAAACTTGTCAGACCGTCGCCGTCTGACATTTCCGACATTTCCCCCAGCTTGTCCCACCACGCACGGGTCGACTCGCTGATCCGGGGTCCGTCGTCCGAGGGCAGGCTGCTGGATGTGTCGGTGGAGAATAGGGGGTCGCTTTGGGGCAGTTCACCGTGGCTCGCTGTGTCGTCCTTGGCGGACCATACTGGGCTCTGCGGATGGCGAGAAGACTGGCCAAGATGCCGGTCCATGGCGGCAGTCTGGCGCTTGGCCATCTCGCGGATACCTGCAGGACGGAGGGCGGGGTGAGGGGGCGCATCGGGTACGGGGACGAGGCCAGTCCGAGAGAGTGGGCTGGCAAACGCAACGGGCTCGTCGCCAAAGTCCAGGTCCTCTTCATCCGAGAACGCCTCGTCAAAGTCGGCGACCGCGCGAGTCTTGCTGGGGAAGTATCCAAAGGATTCAAGCTTGGACTGCGACTTGTCCTGTGTCTTGGTGCGGCGTGGTGCGGCCTTTGGTGTCGATCCCTTGGTCAACGTTAACAGTCGAGAGTTGGACTCTGAAGCGGCAGGTGACTGCATGTCCGTAATCGACGAGAAGAAGCCGCGTTTGGGTGGCATAATATCGCCCACGCGACGGATGAGCCTCTTCTGGGGCGAGGGGGAAGATGGGGAAGGAGAGCGGCTGGCGACGTACACAAACGACTCGGGAACGGTGGCACTCGACTTGCGATGCAGGGAACGAGCAGCAGGAAAGTCGGGCAGTCGTGGGGGTGTTGACCCCGCGCGAGTCGGCGACCTAGAGTGACGCTCGTCGGGCGACGGGGACGAGTCGAGGAGATGAGGGAACGACTGGGAGGGAATGGAAGGGGCAATCTGAGGGGTCAGCTACGCAATGAGGCATGTTCAACTCACGCTATCTGCATCATCGTCCTCCACAATGGCTGACAATGGCGCGGCAAAGCGCAATTCCACGGGAGGTTGAGCGACAGCTTGATGGGGCACTGTCCCAGGCGGGGATGCAACCTCAAGAGTCTCTCCACCCAGGCTCCAAGTAATTAGGGTCTCGGGTTCCATGTCGACAGGCTCCCAACCAGAGACCGGCTTTGGTAACGCGGGCTGCTTGAAGACGGGTTGCCGCGGAGGCGCCGGGAACACAAAGAGCGTCTCCTGCTGCTCGTCGTACTTTCGGGGTGTATGCGACTTTAGCGACTTGGGCGGGGTAACTTTGTGGTGTTGCGTCGACCGTTGCTTGCGTGGGGTGGTAACTGGTGAGCGAGGAGGTCGTGAACTCGCGGTCTGAAGAGGGGGGAAATGGCGGGGAGTAGTGTTGGACTGTTTTGATGGCCACGCGCTGTCACGATGACCAACAGGGTTCTCCAGCGCAGACGTATAACGACGCAGAGTCGTGTTGGGACCAGCCTTCTGTGCTAATGCCTGGCGTTCACTGGGAGACGACTCGCGGTCGCGCAAAGGTGAAGAGGACCCGTCGGCCGAGCTGGATAGCTGAACCAGGGACTTGAACTCGCCGAGTGCGCGACGTTCCTTGGCCGTGTTGACGCGATGCAGCGCCTCCCCGGCAACCGCCTCACGCACGTCGAGACGGCGACGCTTGCGCTCGCGCTCCGCTTCCATGCGCTCATCGGCCTCCTTACGCGCAACTGCACGTGCAGCCTTTGCAGCTTCTTTGTCCTCTTCGGTCTCTTGCCCACGGCGCCAAGGGGACACGGCCGTGGTGCGACGCGCGCTGTCCTGCCCGCACAAGCGACGGTGGCGTGCCAAGATGTCGTCGGGAACAGGGGTAAGGTCGCGGAGGGATAACGGTGGCACATCGGGTGTACGAGGTGCACCACTGGACTTTACTGGCTCCTCGACAGGACGTGTACGCGGCAGAGTCGCCATCCACGCCGTCACGCTGGCATCCGTGTTGGGGTCCAGTGATGGGGTGCGCACCGCAGGAGGTTTGGGAAGCTTAGCGCGAGCTGCTGTTGCACTGGGCCTCTTTACATCGGCGCTCGTGGGGGTGAGGTAAGAGGCGATGCCACGGATCGGTGCCGTTGGTGTCGCGTTTGGGGCACGGCGCTTTGTAGATGCCGAGGAGGAAGGCGCGGCCGGCGCTGCCTTGTTGGACGCACTGCCCCGTTTGCGTCCCGTGGACGGAGGTGTTGCGACTCCATGGTGGGCTTTGAACTGGGAGCTAACAAGTGGACGCTGCTTGAGGGGTTTGTCGACCTTCCTCGCGGTGAGCCACTTGTCCGGATCGGGGGCGAGAGGAAGACGCGAGGAGGAAGACATGGTGGCAGGGGGAGGGGAGGGGGTGAAATCGGGAGATGGGAGGGAGGGTGTCGAGGGAGGGGGTGGTGGAGGAGGAGGAGGGATTATTGGGTATGGGCGCCAGCAGCGGCTGCTAGCTGCATGGCAATGGATGATGAAAGCAAGAGATCAAGAGAGACGCGACGTCCATCCTGTGCAGGCTGCAAGATGACCTGCCTGACGGTGGGTGGCGTGCGCGCGCCAGGGAAAATCACGCGCGTCGGGTTCCTGCGTAGATCAACTCTCAACTGCCACATCCCGCGGCGTTATAAATGCCTCCGCTCCCAGCCCAGAGCGGCGGGTGTCGGGTCTGCTCGCTCTCACCGTACGGCGGGCTCCCACCCAGGCGCTGCTGGCGGGCTGGCAGGCCTGTGCCCACGCCTGGGCACCGGCGCCAGACACCCACACACGCTCGCTGGGTGGCCGTCGAATGGCGTCCTGCCTCTTTCTTGTCGAACCCACCTACAACACCACTCTCTCACCACCACACCTCCCCCTCACCATGGTCGCCCTCCTCCGCTCCCTCCGCGCTGCCCGCCCCCTCATTGCCGCCCGCCCCGCCCAGGCTGTCGTCCCCCGCGCCTTCTCGGCCTCGGCCCTCCGCGCCGGCGCCGGCGGCCCTCCCCAGCTTCTCGGTTCGTCTATATACCTGCTGGCTAATGACTTGACATGCGCTGACGTCTTGACAGGTGAAGGCGTCCAGGCTGGCCAGATCCCCACAGAGTGCGTACACGCATACGAGAGACTATCATCTCCCGTGCTGCAGAAGATGGAGATGCTGCTGGTCGCTCCAACCTATCGCTCGGAGGAACAATAGGCGGCCATTTTGAGATTCGGAGGGGCCCGGACAGCCACCGCCAAACCAACAGTGAACCCAATGCTGACACCCGTGCAGCGAGCAGCAGGCTACCGGTATCGAGCGCTTCGAGCTCCTCGGTAAGGTCGAGGGCGTCGACGTCTTCGACATGACCCCCCTCGAGGCCGACCGTATTGGCACCCTCGACAAGCCCATTGAGGTCTTCTCCTACGTGCGTCATCATGCCCGCCCACCCCCTATCCCCTCCTGCCAACTGCTTGGAGTTGCAATAGCTGACCAGGTAACAGTTCCCCGAGCGCCACGTTGGCTGCACCGGCTTCCCCGCCGACTCGCACGACACCATCTGGCTCCACCTCAACACCAGCCTCAAGAACCACCGCTGCCCCGAGTGCGGTTCGGGTACGTTCACTGTCACTCTTGGTCGCCGTCGTCCTTGCTCTAACACTCGCACAGTCTACAACCTCAAGTACGAGGCTCACGACTCGCTTGCCCACCACCACTAGAAAACTGGTCCTAGGGGGCTGTTGAGGAAACAACTAGGGACAAAATGAATATATCATCACGCACAGTCCACGATCGTCGTCCCCACATCTCGGGGAGAGGAGCTATCTGTGGTGTCCAGACTCTGGGGGCAGACTCTGGATACAGCGGGGACGGTGGCAGAGTCAGATGGCCCTCGGCGCTGTGTTGGATGGCAGGAGGGGTGGTGGTGGTGGGAAGCGCCGAGGCACTTCGAGCGCTCAGCCAATCCCCCGAGTCGAAATACTGACGCTGTCCGGAATGTGTGGTTTACGGCCTCTACTTGCTCGTGAGGCCGCCAACACACCCCCGGTCGACAACGACGAAAAAGCGCAGACCAAAGCGCAGACCGTAACATGGATCATGGAATGACGACAGCAGATGGGCCAACACTGACATAGACAATGGTGCCAAGGCACGCCCAACGCGGCTCAGCCCATTGGTCAATGTCAGAACTCAACCGAGTTGCCACAATCCCTCCCGTCTCTCGTCTCCTAGATATATCTTTGTTGTGCGAGGGAGGAGGCGCAGTGTACCAGTGACCCATGTTTGTGTGGGGTCCTCTCTGTGACCTGGGTGTCAGGAATGCTGGAGAGTTGGGAGCGCGTTGACTCAAGATTCTCGATTGGCTGTCAGGGTAATGCCACGAGGTTGCCACGCGACAGAAATGCCGAAGTGTATGTTCTGAATGACCCAGGTTGTACTGATGGCCGTCTTCTCATGAAGGCGTGTCCTACCTGGCACGGCAGCTCACACTTCCACGACGTAATGACAGAGTTTCAATCTGTCAATGATAAGAGGGACTTTTGTGACAATAGCGTTCTAGTGATATACATATTGCTGTGATAAAGATGGGACCGCGTCAAGGCATGCCCACTGGTTGCTTGTTTATCAACTGGGTCTCATTGACGGTGTCCAATGGTCCCTCATGAGCCCAGGAGGAACTGCCTGTCGACTACCTTGTCCGTTGTCCCGAATTTACTTTGTCAGCTTGACACAGCCGCCTCCAAAGTGCCACATTTGTTTTACTTGGAGGTGGCTGCTTCATTGTCGACTGCCCTTCTGCCTCACGGTACGCAAGCGTCAGCACCACTCCTCCTCAACTCCTGCAGACCAACACGGCCGCACCGTGGCCATGCATCGCTCACATGCGTACACACAGACACGCGTACCCCCATGGCAGTTCCATGACGCGGCCAGGACGGCCACAGCAGTGCCAGAATGCGGGGCCCACTGTCTCTTTTCGAGGCCCCCCACTTAAGCTTCGGCCTCTGTTGACGATGGCGCGCTCCAGGACGTGGCCGAACCATCCATTCACGAGATCTCTCCCTTCCACCTCCTCTCATCACATACACACTTTGTCTTGCCATGAGTCTGGAGACGGACTCTCATACCGTGGCCGCCGATCCTGTCGGCGCCCCGGCAGTGCCGGTGGCTATCCCATCGCCTACCATCGACTTCTCGGCCCCGCCTACCCAGCCTGCGCCGTCGGCTACTGTCGCTCCGCTCCCCGTGGCCGTGGCCCCGTCCGCCCCCGTCGCTGCACCTCTCGCCACCCCTCCCCAGCCCCAGCCCACAAACCGGGTCGGAGAGGGCAGGCTGCAGATTGTCAATGAGCAGCAGGAGTTTACGTGGGTGTCTCCTGTCGTTGCGTGGTACTGACCACTGCCCTTTAGTACCAAGCTCTCGGCTTCGCTGGACAAGTGGGGGATGCTCGACAAGGGCTTTGCGTACGACGTCGTGTCCGTGTTCGGATCGCAGTCTACGGGCAAGTCGACCCTCCTGAACCGTCTGTTTGGCACGTCGTTTGATGTCATGGACGAGTCCAAGCGCCAACAGACCACAAAGGGTATTTGGATGTGTCCCTCCGCCTACTCTTCGACGCTGGTCATGGATGTGGAGGGTACCGACGGCCGCGAGCGCGGCGAGGACCAGGACTTTGAGCGTAAGAGCGCCTTGTTCTCGCTTGCCAGTACCGAGGTCCTCATTGTCAACCTCTGGTGAGTGACGTGACGTGCAAGGGGTTGGGTTGGACGTGGCATGGTCCCCATCCCCACAACCCCTTATAATCCCCCGGCCGCCACCAACTGACCGTGCCCAGGGAGCATCAGATTGGTCTCTACCAAGGTGCCAACATGGGCTTGCTCAAGACCGTGTTCGAGGTCAACCTCGGCTTATTCGGTGGCGACGGCAACTCGACGCAGGGCAGGACCAAGGAGAAGACGCTCATCCTGTTTGTGATTCGTGACCACGTCGGAGCCACGCCCATCGAGAACCTCACCGCAACTCTGACTGCCGACATGGAGAAGATCTGGCACACGCTCTCCAAGCCTGCCCACCTGTCTGACACACGCCTGACCGACTACTTTGACCTGTCGTTTGCTGCTCTCCCGCACAAGATCCTCATGCCCGAAAAGTTCGAGCAGGCCGTCGTCGACCTTCGCAGGCGCTTCACCGACCGGACGCGCTCCGACTATGTCTTCCAGCCCGCATACCACAAGCGTATCCCCGCGGACGGTGTCAGCTTCTACATGGACGGGATCTGGCAACAGGTCCTGACCAACAAGGACCTCGACCTCCCGACCCAGCAGGAGCTCCTCGCCCAGTTCCGCTGCGACGAGATTGCCACCGCTGTCACCGAGACGTTCACGCTGAATGCCAAGGGTGTGCGGAAGCCCATCGAGGCGGGCACCATCGTGGACGGCCTCGGCAGCCTCATGGAACAGTGGCTCGCAGCTGCTACCAGTGGGTTTCTAGGTCACCTTCTGTGCTAACCCATTGCAGCCACCTTTGACACTGCCGCCTCGCGCTATCACCAGGGTGTGTACCAGCGCAAGCGCCTCGACCTCCTCACCAACCTCCACACCTCCATCTCCCCACTCCACCTCGGCCAGTTGAAGAATGCTCACAAGGCCACCATTGCCAAGTTTGTCGCCGACATTGCCGCTGCTCTCAAGGGACCCTCGTACGACTTTGCCCAGGTCGTGACCCGCTGCACTGCGGAGGCCCGTGACGGTTTCCTGGCCATTGCCAAGGGTGGGTCACTTGGCGCAAGGAACACCATACTGACCCCGCAGAGGTGACTATTCCCGGCACAGAATGGGAGTACCAGCACGAGCTGGAGCTCCTTGACGATGACCTGAAGCTCGTTGCCGACCGGTCGCGTGCGGACGAGACCAAGAAGATGGTCAACGGCATTGAGCGTACTGTCAAGAAGGGTATCAACGAGCCCGTCGAGCTCGCACTCAGCAAGCCGTCGACGGACATGTGGGACTCTGTTCTCAAGACATACCGCGATGTGACCAAATCGTCACAGACGACGTACCTCGCCAAGGCCACGAGCTACAACTGCACGACCGACGAGAACGAGTCTGCGCTCAAGACGCTTGCGCTGCGCTCATGGCTTGCCCTCCGCAAAAAGCTCGAGGAGCAGACTGCCGACACTGTCGTGCTGTCGACTCTGCGAGGCAGCTTTGAGGAGCGGTTCCGTTACGACGACCAAGGGGTGCCGCGCGTGTGGAAGCCCGAGGATGACCTGGACGGCGCGTTCAAAAAGGCCCGCGACGATACCCTCACCCTCCTCCCCATCTTTGCGACTGTCAAGCCCGTCGACAGCGACCTCCTCCCGCCCCTCCCTTCCCCTGACCCCGACTATGACGTCGAGGAGGACTCGCTCGACCCCTCGACGGCCTTCACGCTCGTGACGCCCACGCGCCTCAACTCGCTCGAGACACGGTTCAAGCGCGAGGCCGACGCAGCCTACGTCGAGGCCAAGCGCTCCATGGTGTCCTCGGTCGCCCAGATCCCGATGTGGATCTACGGTCTCCTCGTCGCGCTGGGATGGAACGAGGCCATGGCCGTCCTCTTCAACCCCCTGTACTTTGCCCTGCTCGTCGTGGCCGCCGCGTCCGCATACATCATCTTGCAACTCGGTCTCGCCGGCCCCCTGCTCCAAGTGACGCGCACGGTCCTGAGCGAGATCCGCAGGATAGCCACCGAAAAGCTCCGCGAGGCGTTCGCCGAGCCCGCCGCCGTCGGTGCCGCGCCATCCAGGCGTCTCGTGGACCCCATGCCGGCGACCCAGGCCCGCGGCGAGCGCCGCCGCGCTGGCAGCGACCACGAGCTCAACGACATGAGCCTCACGGACGAGGCCAGGCGGCGCGGCGACCTCGTCGCCGGCGAGATGTTTGAGAAGTAGAGAACAAGAGAGAAGAGACAAGGGCGAGCGGGCGGGCGAGCGGGCGATATTGGATTTGTCGGGCAGTAGAGGCGCGGTACCAGGCAAGGCTAATACAGACATGGCAGACGGCCAGATGACAGATCCAGATCCAGATACAAAGATGCATTGATTTAGGAAGAAGGCGACTGTGTACACTGTGTTGTGTGACGTGATGGGCTTGGTCGTCGGCTTACTGTAGCGTCTTGCCCTTTGCGGAGACGCCAGACGAGATAGAGGGAGGTGCGTGCCCTCCTAACACGATGTTGAGGCACAACTCGACGCCGCTGAAGGGCCGGTAGCCTGTGAAGATGAGCCTCGGTGCGAAAGGTGCCAGAGACGAGCTTGACGAGCTTGACGACCTCGAACCCGGTGCCACGGGGGTGGGGTTTTTTGGAAGAACTGGTGAACCCTACGGAGCGTGCCGAGGAGGCGAGATGGTAGAATGCCGAGGCGCAGTGCATCCACACCGCGCATGACGGGTGTCCATGCCCGCGACGGTGAGTTAGATAGGATGAATGAGATCCGGCTGTGGACGGCTCGGTGCGCCTGAGTGAATATAGGCAGCACCCGTACGTACTCTTTCCGCGTACCGACGAGTGTCTCTAGGTCGACGAGTGGGGAGAGGTTGAGGCTATACAGTTGGATATGGCGGGCATCACAGTCGGAGTGATGATGCACTGTACCCCGCCGTTTTGGTGCGACGTGAAGTCTGAAGGAGACCTCCGCCCTCTGCCACGTTGAACGTTTTGCTCTTCATCTCGCTCAACTGCCCGTCAGGAGGATCATCTTTCAGACATGGGAGAACTCAGAAGAGCCTGGCAGTAGATCTACACTCATACCCTACTGTGAGACCAGGATGGAGCGTGCTTGAGGCTGGATAGACGACTAGACGAGATAGACGAGATCCGCCATACTACCACGAAGGTGAAGGTGGCGGATCGTCGTTGGCTCTCCTGAGCCTGGGCAACACATGTCGACGGCCATGTTATCTTCCAGGCCAGACCGAATGCTGGTTTTCAGGTGCTTTGATGGCTCAAATGGGGCAGGCAGAGTCTAGCTTTTAAACTATCGTGCAAAGTGTGGCTGTAGGATGTGCTGCGCGGCTCCCCTGTAGGGAACACTCTGGCTATGTGACTACCACTCTGCACTCGAGGCCTATATTTGTTTGCCCACATACCACGACGCCGGCTGTCTGGGATGAGTAGGAGGGCCATGCAAAACAATGACGTTCCATGTGGCGAATGCGCAGGTATCCTGAAAGATACTGAACCAAACACTCATCTCCGGTCCTCTCGGCATCTTCCGCCCAACTAGTGGCTTGGCAGGAGGTGTGCGCAGACTGCAGCCATCAACTAGCTCATGTGCTGACGCCCACCTACCCGAGCGCACTGGGGGACTGAGCAGTCAATAGTGGCTCAGTGATCAGTGGTCGGGATTCCAGCACCCGACGCTCAGGTCATCGGATCGTCGGGTCCAGGTGCCAAGTGTGTCATGCTTCGCAGGAGCCTGAGGCTGCAGCCTACCGCAATCAAGTCAATGTTCGTCTGCGGCAAATCTGCTGCTCGCCACTGGCCACTGGTCCCTGGGGGACCCATTGCCGTCGGCCAGGCTCTTTCCGACGTCACATTATGCACAGCAGGAGGCGCTTCGCTTGATGCTTGCCAAGCAAAAGAGCAGCTTCTTTCTGCCAAGCGTGTAATGCATGTGCTGGGGTTGGACGCACTGGTCGCCCTGGTGAGAAGGTTTTGCTGCACGGTGGACGGTCGTGGACGCTGCTGGCAGGCGCCGGCGTGCGGTCCGGAATTTGCCGTGCGAACGTGCTCATGTGCCCTGGACGATGGCGCAAAGCTTCCTAGTTCTGGCGCCTTTATTTGCACTTGTCGGCCGATTTTGGGCCCTTTATTGTTCGCAAACGAGGTCAAAAGGAAGTCGAGAAAGGGGACAATGGGCCAATGCATGACATTTGCCAGGCATATGATTGGTCCAGCGACATGCGATCACCTCAGCATGTGCACGGCTCACGTCAGACTACTCACACTCGACTCGGGTTCCTCCGACAGACGCAGAATATAAAGACCGGCGTGTTGGGCATGCAAGTCTTTCAACCACACACTGCCAAGCCCACCTGCCTCACCGCAACACTGCACACTCTACGCAACACCAACACCCAAACCAACAACACCATCACAATGACTCTTACCGCTGCTTCGCGCCCCATCGTCCAGGCCCAGACCCCCGTCTCGCCACCCACCTCCCCCCGCCGCAACTCGACCCCTCTGAGCGCGCACCCTTGCCCCGGCTTCGCCGACCTGGTCCACTCGGTCATGAACGTGTACTCGGCCCGCAACGAGACTTCGCGCAGGCGTTGAGCAAGAGCTTACTCCTCTCTCTGTTCTGCTCCGCCTCCATCTCTCTTGGGCCTCCTCATCGATCATCGACACGACCTCGTTGTACACCATTAACCAGCCGACCCTGTATTTGTGAGTCGTCATTTTCGCCACCCAATTTCAATTTCAGCTTGTTGACCCATTTCGTCAGATGCCTAGAGTCTACACCAATACAACAACTACACTACACCAAACACCCTCTTACGACCTGCATGTTTGCATGCGCACGCGCCGGACCCGCCATTTAGCCTCATTATACAAATGCATTTGAATGACATGTTCACGAGCAAAGAGACGTAGGCCGTTCCCCCCCCCGAGTGTCACTGCAACCGCCACTGAGAGTGCAGTTCAGACACAGGACTGTGGTGATCAACCTTCAACTTACCACTCACTGGATCACTGGATCACTGGCCGCCACTGGTCCCACTAGCCACTGGCCACTGGCGACTTGTTACTGACTCCCTACTCGTCTGCGTGCATATTATGCTTCAACCCCACGCCGTGCCTGCAATCTGCCGCTGACGACTCTACGTTGGGTCCACCAGCACCTTCGCTTCCCCCGCACATGACGTCGGCGGAGAATGCCATGTGAGACTCTCCACTCGGCCTGCCCACCACTTGACTACAGGTCCTCGAGTGTCTTCCTCGTCGTCTCACCCTCTTTCCTTCACCTGCTCTCAGCCTCACCAAGCACCATGTCCGCCCAGCAACCCAAGGAGAAATCCAGTCTAGACCCCGCCCCAGCCCCTCCGTCCATCCACGCCTCCAGCACTGGGACGGGCAACCCCCCTCCGCCAGACATGAGGAAGATCCTGCTCGCCGCTGTCATTGGCATCGTCGCGCTCTGGGCCGGACTCAAGTGGTCCAGCGGGCAGAGTGCCAGTGGTTCAAGCCATGAATGCAAGCATGGCCATGCGCTTACCGACTCGGCCATCGTGCGGTGTCCCGTGCAGCCCGATGTGCGCAACGTTGGCGGTGACTGGGTTAGTTGAAAAGAAACCAGGAGTGTTACAGCTGACAGAAGAACCCGGCAGCGAGCGAGACCGACCGAGATATGGCATACGCCCGTCTGGCCGAGGCTGTCCAGATTGTACGTCGGCTAAGCGCAAGATCGAAGAGCTGACAGTAGCCCACGGAGAGCTTTGACGATATGCCAATGGACCCAACGGACTCTCGATGGGACATCTTTACGACGTTTGAGACGTATCTCCGCCAGACATTCCCACTCTTGTGAGCTAAGTGTTCCTCGCTTTGATTCCAGCTCACGTCCAGTCATAAACACCTCGAACTGGAGCATGTGAACACACACGGCCTTTTGTTCACCTGGAAGGGCAAGAACTCGTCCCTCAAACCGGTTGTACGTGGCAGCTGGCCGTGGCCCAACCTCAGCTGACAAGTATTAGATCTTCATGGCCCACCAGGACGGTAAGCCAGCAGCTTCACGATTGATCCCTCAAGCTGACAGCACAGTGGTTCCCATCAACCCTACCACGCTCGACCAGTGGACCTACCCACCATTCTCGGCCCACTTGGACAGTGAGGGGTGGGTGTGGGGCCGCGGAACAACGGACATGAAGTCGACTGTGAGTGCTATGCTCCCCTCGCTAGCTGACAGAACACAGCTTATTGCGCAACTCTCCGCAACAGAGAAGCTCTTGTCGGAGAGCTTCAAGCCTGAGAGGTGAGGCATGGCGGCCCATGTTCAGCTGACTAGAACGCTTAGAACCATCCTCTACTCCTTCGTGCGTCAGCTACTGATTATCGGGCGTAGCTGACAACGCAGGGCTTTGACGAAGAGATCACTGGACCTCGGGGTGCCGGCCACCTCTCGCAACACATTCTCAAGCGGTATGGCCGTGACGGTGCGTCCCTCATCCTCGACGAGGGCTTCACGGGCGTCGACAAGGACTTTGGCCAGACCTTTGCCCGCGTCGGACTCGCCGAAAAGGGGTTGATGACGGTCCGCATCTCCATCTCCATGCCAGGTGGCCATGCCAGTCGCCCGCCTCCTCACACTGCCATCGGTATCGCCGGCATGATGTTTACCGCCATGGAACAGAACCCCGGTCCACTGTATCTGGAGGCCACCAACCCGCTCATCAGGTATCTCGAATGTGCGGCTGCCTATGGCGAGATGGACAAGGACACCGTTGGGCTCGTCCGGTGCCCCCAGTGCTGGCCCCAGTTGGCCGGGGAGCTCGCCGCCGAGGACGTCGCGCTCGAGGCGTTCCTGCGTACGACCCATGCCATAACGGTTGTCAATGGCGGCATCAAGTTGAACGCTCTCCCAGAGGTATGTGCAGCTTCGGGTTCTTCGCATCGACTTAGCTGACGGACAGCACGTTACCTCATTAACCAACTACCGCATTGGCTTTTTCGAGACGTCCCAGGACGTCCTCGACCGCCTCATCGGTGCCATCTCGCCAATCGCCAAGGCTATGAACATGACGCTGGACCTCTTTGGCTCGCACGCCAACGTGGCGCAAAACGTCATCCGTGTCGAGACCGAGTATCCACCCACCGAGCCGGCACCTCTCACCCCCGACAGCGGTCCCGTATGGGACCTGATGGGCGGCACGATCAAGCATGTCTTCCCTGGCGCGGTCGTGGTCCCCTCTGCAATGACCGCGTTCACAGATACGCAATGTGAGCTACATCTTGTTCTTCATCTGAGAGTACTGTAGCTGACGAAACCCAAACCAGACTACTGGGACCTCTCACGCCACATTTACCGCTTTGCGCCGGCGCCCATGACCCAGCTGCTCAACTTCCACACTGTCAACGAGCGTATCCACATCAACGCCCACTTTTCGACAATTCGTTTCTTTTACAAGCTCATTAACAACCTGCAAGGATGGCAGGATTAGGACCGATGACGCCCAAAGTGATGGTTCGATCCAGTACGACAGCTGTATTGTAGCGAGAAGGAGGCCGAAGGGAGCGGAAAAGTGCAGTGAACAGCCAGAGGGCACATGTAAAGCCATGAACCTATGAAAAGTGCCAGGGGTCACATCCAGCTACCATGACTTAATGGGTACGCTAGAACGCAGCCTCTCCGCGACCTGGCAGCCCGTCATATCCCATAAGATCGGACGAGTGGAGGAGCCACGAAAAGTCGGAATCGAGCCAGTCGGCGCCCGACAAGTCAATGCCCAGAGTCTCGAGCAGGTGGTCTGCGGCCGTATTGCTCTCGTCGTCCACTGCGGGGGTTTGGGTGTCAGCTAACCACTTCCGAGTCTTGTGATTTAGCTCACTGGGAAGACCGAGCGCCTTGGCGAGTGCGCGGTAGCTGGCCTGGAAATCTGGCACTTCCCTACTGGCAACGGACAGCGGGGTGGCGATACGGCGCAGGGCGGCCTGCGCCACGTCCCAGTTATTCGTCATTGTCACGAGCCAGTCGAGGACGCGGACCGTCCAGTCGATGGCGCTGGTGTAGACGGTGTTGTTGTCCCGTCCAGCCGTGAGGGTGATTCGGAGGAGCAGGCTGACCGTGTTGGAGATGTGCAGAGACGAGTCTGGCGCGGCCTGTCAGCATAATGCAGGGTCAAACATTCGCGGTTAGAGACGCGTACATGGTATCCAGAAGAGGTCACAGTCCCTCTGGGTCAGGGCAAGGATGAGGCGTGCCACGCGCTCGCACGCCTGGAGAGCGTTGTGGACGGCCAACGTGCCGTGCGAGGTAGGCTGGTCGGATAAGGTGTCGAGGATAAGGCGGTTGGTGACCACGCCTAGACCCAGGAGTGAGAGCTGGAACGAGTCTATGTTACTGTCAGGACCCGTTGGGATTGCGGCATTGCGACATGTGTCAAGACTCACAGACGCCAGTCGGCATTGACTCGGACATTGAAGGGAGCGGCTTCACGCGCAGGGGCTCGGTAAGGCCATCTTCGAACCGCTTCAGCTTGGCTCGGACATCCTCCAACACCGCCAGACGCGTGACTTGCGAGGCCGGGTCGGCGAGGCTTCGCACAGTGCAAAAATTGGTCAATAACGTACTGCTTAGGTCAGCGTTGATGAGAATAGGCTACCTACTCGACAATCTTAGATGTGAGATGACAAGTAGCGATGAAGCACTCAAACGACAACTGTTCGTTGATAGGCATCTCACTGCCAGAGTCGCTGTCACTTAGGTCGGGGATGGAGACGTCGTAGTTGCTGCTGTGGATACTGGTTCGTCAGATCAACTAGCGTCACTCGACCTACTTGCTCGGTCTACCAAAGAACAGGGCCCGCCACTTGTCGTGGATCACGAGTGTCCACCAGATGCGTTTCCTGGTCCGTCGTTCCCATAATGGCAGGTTCCAATGTGTCGGGTCCATGTGGAGGCCCAGGAGATGAGCTGCTCCAACCGCCTGATCGTCAGCTTAGCTGCGGCATAAAAAAGCTCACCCTCGCCAAACCGATCTCGCTCTGTCCAGTATTCTCGCTCGGACGGGACGTACGAATCAGCAGCTCGAGCTGAATCGTGCGCAGTCGCGGTTGTCGATACTCGTCCTCAAGCGCCAGCAGGGTGTCGCGCCACAGATCTCGGTGAATGGAGCGCAAAATCGGCATGTATGGCGTACCATGGGCTATGATACCCGTAACAAGGGCGTGTGGAAATGACGCATCCGCCTCTCCCACTTCACATGAAGCCACTAGCCGCTTGGAGTTGATGAAGGGCATGGAAGGGAGTGTGATGGAGGTGAAACTGAGAATTCAGCGGTGTTCTCCTGGTGTCTCTGTACTCACGCCTCGAGGGCGATTTGAGGCAACCGGTCTCCCAGCCTGTTACACCTCGCCACAATGGACTTCAGTGCCGACCTTGAAGTATCTGGTCCTCGGCCGTATTGCAACGACGGGTGCTTGATGAAATAGACTGGCCGTCTAGGTTCGGCTGATACTTGTCGGAAGGCGAGGTTTGCCACGCGCTCAAAACTGGACTTTGCCGGGTCGACGGAAGCACGATCCTTCAGTGCAAGGCTACTGAACGCGCCCGTACTGACGAAATGTGATTCTTCATCGTCGCCATCCACGTCCAGTGGCGGGAGGTTCTCCTCGAGGATGGAGCCGTGGCCGGGAGGGCGTTCTTGAGCCCAGTGGTTGAGGTCTGAACGGATGGCGCTGCCTGGGACGGGAAGGTCCTGAACGCCGGGTAGCGAGAACCGACTGGATGAAGCACTCTACTCCAGTGTCAGTTGTAGAAGTGCTTCGCATCAGAAACAGACTCACGTGCATTGAAGATGGCGACATTCCACGCGCCTCATGTCCGGTAGCAGAGCTAGATACAGGTAGCTGTACAATCTCCGGATAAGCTCCCATCCACTGCTTGCTCGCTGCGAAAGACTGTGAAAGGTCATCAGCATCTACTTGTCGGTGCTCCACCCACTGTGGAAGGGCCAGCGTCTTCATTGTTATTGGTTGCTGTCGTCGAAACCCTCGGTTTCCGTTTGCGCGTGGTCGGCGGGTCGTCGAAAGTGCACTCTTTACGTCTCGTCTTGCAGCTGACACAGGGTTCACCGCGGACGGGGATGATGCAGAGATGCTTGTGCCGTCGACAAACATCACATGGTCGATCGAGTCGGGACCGCGGCTCACGGCCCGACGGTTGAGCTGCTGACGTTTGTTAGATTTTCCCCGTAAGTCTGCAAATGCTATCTCAGGTCAACTCACACGTTGCGTCGGCCGGCATGTCGTGCTAACCAACGATTGTTTTGGGTCAGACAGAGGTGAGGTGCCCGTGGAGAGAATGGAGTTGTTGTTGAGAGCCAGGAACAAGAAGTGATGTGGGGAGTCATGACGTCTGGAGCGGAAGCAAACCGACGGTGATCTCCGCACCGGCACGTGACACTCTAACACTCCTGCTTACAGGCGCGACACGCATTATGGGAGAAGGTGGGTTTGGAGCAGCGGTTGAAGTGGAGAGCTGCTCTCACCTCACACTGTATGTGTTGAATATCAGTGATGAATGGCACATCGACAGACGACTGCGTGTCTGGTTAAGTCATTTTTCGGGCTATTTTCTAGGATTTTTAGATCACTGCGGCTATGACACGGTGGTACTCTGACGATGAGGTGCAGACATTCACATAACTGTTTTGTTTTACTGCCATCAAATGTACAGGATATCACCGTGGAGATTGCTACATCCTTTGGCTCCCGAAATTGCCGGCTCTGTCTCCTGAGTAACCCTGCCTACTGGCCACTGAGATCACCGAAGGATACAGGAACACATGACGTCCACGCCCAGGTCGAGCGAGGGGACACGGGCCACGTATCTCTACAACTCTACAGGCTCTTCTCAAGAGCCATCAGCTTATCCAGGTCGGCGGCCTGTGCATCGACCTTGGTCATGTCGCCATCCAGAAGGGGAGAGCGAGTGCGGGGGGATCCGTAGCCGAAGTACTTGACGACGGCGGCCTTGAGACCAGGTATGGCAAGCTTCGTCTGGGCAAGGTCCGCGTCGGCCAGAAGGCGTTGGAGCTCTTGGGCACGGGCAAGGTCGCCCGACATGTAGGCATTGTACTGGGCGACGAGCACCTTGGGGGACCTGTAGCGTCAGTTGCGGCCCTTTTGGCCAGATTAGGCAACTCACAAGTTGGCCAGAGCAGCAATGAGGCCTGGGGAGCCGCCGACGTAGCTCTGGAGTGCAAACTCAGCCTTGCCTCCCAGGCAGGCAAAGTCAGTGGGCGGCACGTTGGCACAGACGCGGTTGAGGGTGCCCATGGACTGTTGGCGTAAGAAGTTATGAACATGACCTACATACTTACGCCGCATGTTAGTTTGGCGCCAACAATGTTGGGGTGCTGGGCCAAAGCGATCATGAGGTCCGAGTCCATGTTGACACCGTTCGCTACGGCCGGGAACTGAAACAGAATCAGTGTTGCACATGGGCTGTGTACTCACGTTGTAGATGACGATCGGCAAGGGGCTCTCGTCAGCGACGTCCTTGAAGTACGCCTCGAGGACCGGTCGCTGCATAGCAGCAGCCCAGTACGAGGGTGGGAGCAAGAGTCCAAACCGGGCACCAGCAGCGTGCGCCTCCCTGGCAAGGGTGACAGACTGTTTCTTGGATTGCGTGCCAATGCCTGCAACAATGACGGTACTGTTGTATCCGCCCTTGTCGAGGGCAGCACGAACGGTCCGGATAATGGTGACACGCTCTTCGTTGTCCAGGTGAACGGCTTCGCCGTTCGACCCTTGTATCACGACCCCGACACATCCGGCCTCAGCCATGCGAAGGGAATGCAAGGCGGTGGACTCGAGGTCGATCGACTCGTCGTGGTTAAAGAATGTGAGCATGGGCGTGTAGACGCCGGGGGGAGGAACTGTGGAGCGTGCGATGGCCATTATGCTGAGATGGTGAGCATTTTCAAGGTCACTCGTCATGGCAGGGGGCGGTATATCGCTCCCATACGCCCGAGATGCGGCTTAGGTGACAAGCTGAACTGGCGGTGGGTCCTGTACTCACTCCTCTGGGTGGGTGGGGTACCTCGTCGTGGATGGCGTCCTTTTTGCACCAGGTCGGCTATTTAACAAACAAGCGCGTCTCAAGAGCTAGGTTCTTCGACTCCAGAATCTGACCAAACACCATTTCTGCGCCTGCACTAAGAGGCACGTCCTAGTTCTCGTGACCATCGGTGATCTGTGAGATGGACTTCGGCATTGCTCGCTTGTCTAAACCCTTTGGCCGCGGGCGCTCCTCCACCTCCACCATGCATCCGAGTCGCGAGATGAAAAAGCATGTGCCACCCATTGGCCACTAGAAAACGCAACCGACGGATAGAAGACACTGAGAGCAACGTTACGCGATGTAAACACACAGCTCCACCAAGCCACAAGACTGCCATATATCTGACTAATGTACAGTGCAACAATATCCTTGCATGCGGGATGGCGGGCGACAACATCCCGATTTCATGGCCCTCCACACCTCTGTTTGCTTGGAAAGTCGCTGCATATTGACCCTGTACAGACACTCCTCGTTCACGATACTGAAACTACCTCAGTGTGCTTACAGACCGCCAAGCAAATATGGTTATATGTATGTACTGTCCGCCTTCGCCGAGCTGTTTAAAATGTCTTCCTCTTTCTTTCATGTATAACGTATTTTCTTGCCAGCCGGTTATTCTGTAGCATAATGGACTACTGGGGTCCTCGGGGACTCTTGACGTCTGCGGGGTAGTCGGCGCCTGGAGGAAGGTGAGCGCCCGAGACCGACGACCGTCCAGCTTCAGAGAACTGATCGACATTGTGTGGCACGGAGGAGCCAGAAGGTGGGGGGGACCAGGTGGGGTCGTACGAAGGAGGAACCTGAATCTCCTGTGGGTCGGGAAGGGGGCGACTCAGAGCACCGGCATCCTGATGCTGGTTGTACATCATACCACTGTGAATGGAGGCAGGGGAGAGCATCGGGACGGCTGAACCACCGCTGATTGAAGCGTCACCGCTGAAGTCTTCGCCGTCATAATAACCGCTGTTACTAGAGACACCGCCGGTCGACATCCTGTGCCCCTCGGCGGCGTGTTCCCTGGCCTTGGCAAAGCCTGCCATGCCCGCAGCACCCGCGGCGAAACCGCCCGCAGCCATGGCGGGGCCCTCGTAGCCACTGCCCGGGGACCCAGGGCCTGGCGCATAACCGTGCTGTCCGTAACTGGCGCCGGACGATGGGTAGCCAGAGCCAGTAGTCTGAGCCATCACTGAGCAGTTAGTATGGACACAAGGAGCGCTCGGCTTACCAGGCTGGTTGTTGAAAGGCGTAACAGTAGGAGATGGGATGAATGCTGTTCCTTGGTCCTCAATCTCGAAATCGGGCTGAGTGTTGTTCTTCTCCTTGTTCTTCTTGCTGCGGCGCCAAAAGAAGAATCCGCCAGCCGCCAGAAGGAGAGCTCCCACGACACCTCCCACCTGAGAGTTTAGCTGGAATGTCTGAATTGCCCACTCACCACTCCGCCAATGAGGGCAGCGTTGGACGAACTGCCACCACCACCACCACCAGTCGAGTTTGACGCATCGGAGCCACTCCAGAAAGTTGTGCTCCTGAGGCTGATACCATCGACAAGGTATTGAGGGTTTGTCTCGCCCATGATATCCAGCGTGTACTGCACCGTGGGGTCGAGCGTGGCGACATGAACGATGCTGTCCATGACCCAGTAGGGGTTCCACATGAGAGCCTCGACCCAAGTCTTGTGGGACCAGTAAGGAAGGGGAGGGTTCCAGAGCATCCTGGTGATTCCACAGGTCGGACAGCTGGTACCGTTGATCATGACGAAGGACGTATTGGCCGGCACTGTCATCTGGATACGAGCCCCACTTTGACCCATAAGTTGACTGTACTTTGTGTTGCTCTCGCCATTAACGCCAGCAATGTCGCTGTATGCCGTCCAATTGGAGTTCTCAACATTCGTATAGAATTCGTTGAGAGTTCCGTCGGGCATGACGAACATCTGCGTGGTGGACGGCACCTGGTCAAACGAAGACCTGGTATCAGCGTGGCTCTCATACGGGGCAGCCTCACTTGTCACTTGACATGCCTAATTCTACGGTGACACTCTCAATGGTGACAGTTGAGGCGTTGTCCATCGGATACCAAAGAGACTCGTAGTATCCATACGGCATACTGCCTTTGCCGATGAACACTGGGCCGGTGGCGGTGGGAATGGTGTCGGCGAGGTCGGTGCCGTTCATCTTGAACCCTGTAGGCAAGTTCTGGTTGGTTGGGTTGTAGATAAACCCCTTCCACCAAAGACCAGTGCCCACGAAAAGGGACATCGCCGCCGCCGCCGCGCCGTCGAAGCTAACATGTTTACTGGTGCCGAAACCGACCATACCTTTGACGTACGGGGTCGGCACGTCTGTAAAGACGGTTTGCCAGCTCACACTGTTGTTGAGAAAGACGTCGTTGAAGTAGAAGATCATGCCAGACGTGTCGGGAACGGTCAGGTTGAACTTGAGGTTGGGCTCAAAGGCTGTGGCAGATGCTCCCAGCACCGCCAATGTGGCGACGAGTCGCATGGTGGACACCATGTTCAGTGATGGTGGTAAGGTGCTGAAGGTGTGTGCGTTGTCGATAGGCACCCGGTACCCAGTCCGAACGTGAATGTGCAGATGGTAACAAGAAGTAGATCGTGGAGAGACGGTGGGTGGTGCAGCCTGGTTCCCATGGTCATGGGATACTCAACACAGTCTCACAGACCCATCACCATAGCCAGCACTGCAGCTCTGAAGCTTGCAGCTCCTCTGTAGCTCCTCTGCAGATCCTGCGGTACCACCTGCCAGTACTCCCCGTTAGGCTTCCTGGCCCCGATCTCCCGTTCCTTTGGCGCACCCGCCTTCGTAGCTGTGTTTGAGCAGCCGTCTCCGGCTTTGTGCCGCCAAGGGTTCCAGTTGGGCTCCGAGAACCGCGGATTGCTTTGGGTCCAAAAGGTTATTGGACATAAAGCCTCTTCCCGTACCTCATGCGGAACTGCCAGCTGTACGGTACATGTAGTGCGTACTGGTTCTGACACCGCTTCCCTACCCGGGGTCCAGTGCCAAGCCAGAACAGCCAACTTTTCACAGACCCGTGTGCAATAGCCAAATGTGGATCTGGGCCCAGACCTTTAGAGTCTTGGCATCGGTGGGCAAATCATGTTCACAGACAGAAATAACGTACAGACACAGCAGACCCATGTTAGATTGTCAGACACATCCATGCGCGATTGCTGATAAATGAACGTGAAGTGGCAGTGCAAGGCAATGTACTTTGTTATAGATGGCGGCTCAAAACGGAGACACTGTGCTGCACAGCCCAACCCAGTTCTTCATCGCACGCAGGTGCTGGTTATCTTTCCAGGTAGAGTCCCATACCGGGCATCCCTGTAGTCGTCTCAAGCCCGCAGCTGCTCACGAAGTAGATAACCATGAGAGCTGAGACACCCGCCCGATTGATGATTTACCGCCGCTCATGGTCTAGATCCTGTGGAGCCGAACGAGACTGGGCCACTGATGAGGGTATGGAATCGCCGTGTTCCCAGCCTCAGACAGCCTTCAACTTGGCCGCTCATCAGCCGAGACACCTGCGCCGCCCCCGAACATTACGCAGATCTCAACGGGCAAGGCGCCATCCGCGCTGCATATCACCTGACATCGTAACGTAGTCAGCGACAGGCGGATAGAGAGTCGATTACCTCACACCTTGCTAACTGACCATCCACTCTTCTACTGTCCAGCAATGCAACATACATAGCTAGTGCTCTAAGGTGCGTGAGATCCTACCCTATGGCCATAGACTGAGTGTTCCCTTTTGAGCCTACCTCCGATTGATCGACCGATGCTACAAGCCACGACCCGAACGTGAGAGAGTAAACGAAGGTGAATGATGAATGCAAGCATTGGCAACACGGCCTAGAACAGCTGACGGCCCTTGGCTATTTGGGCCATTGGAAAGGCGGGGAGCGGTGTCCAGGCTTTACCATTTTGTCGAACAGCCGAGACACACTAAATGAAGAATGACCCGACCACATTCCGGTTTTGTGGTCCTCCAATATGCGCTGGGCTCAGTTGCGGGGGATGGCTGGGGCTGTTGTGGCTGTGGTTCGACAATGGGTAGTCAACGATAGCTACCCTTGATCCCCTTGACTACTGTACATACACCATATAGCCTTTGCCTTTGGCCTCTTACGGTCTTGCACAGGGCGGTATGTCAATCTTCACCAATCGGGTTAGCCGACTCAGACTCCCAGACGGGATCCATCTAAACCCACGAACATACCGTCCCGCCTTTCACAGTTCTCATTCACTCTAATACTGGATATAAGTTCGTGAGCTCCAGGCCCAAAGGCAAAGGTTGACCTGACCAACTCCAAAAAGAATAATCTTGCCTTCTACCCGAATTGAACGGGTGACCCTTTCATCTTAGCCAGGCTGCGTTGAGACAGACACTACTAGTGAAAAATTCTAACCACTGAACTAAGAAGGCAGACATGTTGAGGCTGTAGCTGCGTCGAACTCCAGGGTTCATCATTCTACCGGCCAGATGGCGAAACCGTGACTGTTTGCCCACACGGACCGAACAGGGTGTAGAAAAGCCTCTAGGGAGAATGCACACTCTATACTACTCATACACTTGCCCCGCCGCCTGTATCCAATACTAGAACGCGACGTATGGTCGAAATGTGAGTAAACGCGGGATCAAAGCCCATTGAGGCAGTGGGTGACCTCACATTAGAAGTGGCCAGGAGAGACTGGGGCAGACTGCTAGGTTACCTCCTACATTTCTGATTACTTCTTTCACATCGGAGATCGCTGCACCTCTTCCCGCCTCCTGCTGATTCTGGACCAAGTTCAGATGCCTCAGCTCTTCTCGTCGTGGGTCACAGCAGCGAGCGGCTTCTCGGGTGTCGAAAGAGTCCCACCCTCGAATGCGTGCACGGGAGGACGGCCTTCGATGTCCCAACCGTGTTTCGCCACGCGTAGGGAGCGCTTGACCGCACCGGGTTCGAGGAAGAACCAGTCTACCTCTTCGAGCGTGAGACAGTTGGTCTCTGGGTAACAGAAGTAGACAAGCGGCATGAACGCAAAATTGGTCGCCATGAAGAGCAGGTAGGCCTTCCACTTGAGGCTCTCAATGAGCGTAGGGGTGATCATAACGACGAAGAAGTTCCTGGAAGGGCAAAATGAGTGTCGCAAAAGCCAGTGACAGAGATGTGAAGTTGAGTGTCAGCGAAAAATCCCGAAAAATCACGCGAAATTCGACAATGGCCGATCAGCAACAATTTCGACTTACCAGAGCCAGTTGGCGGAGATTCCGACAGCTGTGCCCTTTGCGCGGACATGGAGGGGCAGAATCTCCGGAACGTATACCCATGGCACCACGTTTTGCGTCCCGCCAAACACCAGCATGTAGGTGAAGAAGAAGGCAACGGCGGCAGTGCTGGTTGACTTTGCAATGGCGCCACCGAGATGTTGGAAGCTGAGGAGGATGGAAATCATCATCATCGAGATGGCAAGGCCAAGAGCACCCCAAATCATTGGATTGCGGCGGCCAACGCGGTCGAGGAGGAAGGTGGGGAACAGTGAACCGACGACGAACATGAAGTTGATGCAGCCACCCAGAATGAGCGAGAGGTTGCGGTCGAGACCGACGTTGTCCTCGAGAACAGTCGTCACGTAGTAGCTGTCACGTCAGTGGCTGATGTGGATAAATACACTAGATGAGCCTCTGGGGGGAAGTGCACGACAGTTCCCTAAGTTTGCCCAGGCTTGGCAGACATCATTTTTAACTCACACGACCAGATTGATACCTCCCATCTGTCTGTTAGCGCCATTCCACATATGACAACCCACCTGGTTCATGAACTGCATGCCGTACGCAAGGAGCACACGACGACCTGTCTGGACTTCGTCGCGCTTGAAAAGCTCGCTCCACTTGTATTCGCCGTGCTCACGCTCCAGGGCGAGAGCCTCGAGGACATCGTTTTGCTCTTTCTGAATCTTGGGGTCGTCCGGTTGTGTGTCGTACACATCACACAGGACTTGGAGGGCTTCCTCGTTGCGGCCATGGGCGTAGAGGTAACGCGGAGATTCAGGAAGACCGAACACGAGTATAATCACAATGACAGCGAAGATCATTTGGCAGGCAATGGGCAGGCGCCAGGCAATGGAGCCACTGGTGAAGCTCATGCCATAGTCAAACCAGTAGGCGATTTCAATACCAACGCCGACGAACAGGGGCTCGGAGGCGACGAGGCGGCCACGCATGTTGGCCTCGCATAGCTCGGACTGGTATGCCGGAACAGTAGACGTTTCGATTCCGGTGCCAATACCAGTAATGTATCGACCGACCATCAGATGTGGCACGGTTGTGGCTGACGTCTGTAGGACGGCACCGACCAGAATGAAGACCATGGCGACCCACATGCTTTTGCGGCGACCAAGACGTTCGCAGATGATGAATGTAAGGATGCAGCCAGAGAAGCATCCAAGGTTGTAGATGGAGACAATGATGCCCTCGAGTCCTGCGTTGGGGTGGTTGAACTGGTCAAGGAAATCCTGGTTGCCAACGATGCCGGAGAAGACACCTTGGTCGTAACTGAAGTGTCAGTGGCACTCGCTAGAGCAGTTTCCACCGTGCCAAGCCTGACGACAGTCTTGGGCAGGCGGTCCCTTCAGGTCTCTTCACTCACCCGAAGAGGACAAAAGCAAGTTGGCAGGCAAAAGAAATGGCGATGCGCAGGGGCTTACCCCGCCCATACATGTTGTAGACTGACTTGAGACCCATGGCTGAACGTAGTACCAATGGGAATGGAGGGACGGTGAGTTATCCAGGGACATGTTGAGTTCGTTGAGTTCATAGTATATGTACGAGTCAACAACAGCGTCTCTACGTCTCTAGGGGCAAGCGGCATCTCTGCGCCGCCCGGCTCTCACAGCAAGGACACCACCCTCCCACCCTCCCACTTCTTGCGGCGACTGGATGAGGCCCCGTGGGTGTCGGTCGGGTACCCCACGGAGAGGGTGGGGGGAAAGGTCCGGCACATAGTGTGTATTGTCGGCACACTCCCTTCACTGCTGCTACACCGCCCATAGCCAAAGTAAGACAACGGAGAGGCGAGAAGGAGTGAAAGGCAACGAGGCACGTCCGGAACGGAGATTTGGAGTTGACTAAAGTGGAGTCCGGAGATAACTGAACTGCGGCCGAGTTGCCGAGCGATCACAGCCCCCTCTTGTGGCTCCTGCCACTTTGGAGAGCCAACAGATAACAACTGGCTGGCGAGTGAGGCTAATACAATGGTCGTCTGTGACGTGACTACCGGTTACTGCCGGTTGTAGAACCTGCACCTCCAAGCAGCCTCTATCTGCGTACCTTGGGGTCGAAATCTGACGCCACGAGTACCAGAACGGTATGGCTTTGCACGACAAGGGCAGTGTTTGTCGGCGACGGCTCCTCAACAGCTGCACTCTTGTAACTGCCGATACTTCTTCCAGTTCCCAGGCTCAGCGGAGACATGAACCCCGCTCCAGGTGGCTCTTCACGGCTACCATTCGGCACGAGGCACTCGACTTTTAAGTCGTCATTGGTCATTGGTAAACTCCTCGGTCCAACTCCTCGGCGTGTTTCTGTTCTGAAACACATTGTGCAAACATCCGACCATCCAGTCAACAACTGATCACCTGACGCAAGGACTCTGAGTTGACCCCCACTTCATGCAGCAACAACTGGCTGTCTCTCACGAACAACTCGGCCGAGTCGTCAGTGAATTGTTGATGGCTTGCCAGGACCATCCCGAGGAAGTTGGCACCGGTATCTTGGCGGTTGAGAGCTCGGTCCAGGTCTTGAAGAGGGGCGGTTGCCGTAACAACCGGTAGAACGGGAAGAGTTCGGGATGTTACCGGTACCATGGACCCCATATCATGAAGACCCCTGTTGCGTACGAGCCGGACATCTGCCCGGAAAAGGCTCAACGATGTCGACGGACGCGTCATCATCGCCTTCGTTTCATGCCGACGGCCGCATGTTTGAAAGTGTGTGCGGGGTGCAACGTCCACTCGGCCGTAACGGTGATCAATTGACCTCAGCTTCGAGCAGCCACCGCTATCAATAGCATACGTTGGACCAGCCTGAAGTCATCAGTGTGCCGAAATCTCGGCGACTCTTTATACTCTCACACACAGCTCGTTGATCGCACATCGTCACCGGCGTGCTGCAACACGCGGTCACAAGTGGGCAATGTCCGGCCGGTCATCCACAACCACTAAAATGGGGTAAACTGGGGTGGTTGCATGCCACATGACCGCATATTGGCCGCCATGCGAACCCCTGGACTCAACTCCAACGCTACACAGTGCGCTTCATCCAGCGGAGCCGAGCGATTTCCGATGTCCCTCTGGTCGTGTGCGACGCGGACCCTCGTCCCACGAGAGTCGGACCGGTTGGGCCAGATACAGGAAACTCAGCCCACTACGCACCTCCCACGGAAGGGGAATCTGAAGCAAGTAGCAACGCAGATGCCAGAAATCTCGGCGATGCGGAACTGACTCGCGGACTGTGACGATCATCCATCACACATCGGCAAGTTGGGTGGCGCCGATCGGCCACTGGCGATGTCCACGTGATAACCACGTGGATCCCCGTTGGATGGGCCTGACGGGATCAATTACGATTACCGGGCACGCATGATCGCCGATCGGCCGGGCGTGAGCGCTGGAGTGACGTCAGTGGTTCGGAACGCCGCAAGCGAGCGCTTTGCCAGCAACCGGGCGGTAAAATCACAATCACAGTCGAGTCAACATTCACAACGGCAGGACGGACAAGATATCCATATCGTCTTCCACATCCTCCTCTACCACGTATTTCCTGCACACCATGGCAACAAAAACGGCACCAACAGCCCCCGTCGATGCCGGCACAGAGGCCCCGCAAGCTGAGGTTGACATTGTGGAGATGGCGGCGTTTCGCTCCACACCATCCGACACGCGTCTGACAGAACCAATATCTGGGGAACCACAATCTGAGGCCACAGCCGAAGCCAACCTCACAGATGCCATTCCGGACGGTGGCCCCGAGGCATGGACGATGATCGCATGCTGTACCCTGCTGTGCTTCTGGTTCGTCGGGACGTCGTATTCATGGGGTGTGCTGCAAGCTGCCCTCGTCGACCGCGGTCTAGCGCCCGCTTCGACCCTCGCGTTCGTCGGCTCCATTGCTATTGCCATGTTGGCTGTGTTGGCAATGCTTAACTCGCGTGGATTGAGCATCATCGGCGCACGCGCCATGGGCATGGTCGGCGTATGCTTCATGGCGTTTGGACAGATCCTCGCCAGTTTTGCGACACACAACATTGCAGGTCTGTTCATGACCGCTGGCGTCATGATGGGAATCGGCGTCAGCCAGTGCTTCATGGTAGCGAGCATTACGCCTGTGCAGTACTTTACCACTAAGCGGGGTACCGCCGTCGGCATCGTCTACGCTGGCGGTGGGCTGGGTGGTGCGATTATCAGCCTGTCACTTGAGGCCGGCGTGCGTAACCTCGGCGTCGAATGGACCTTCCGCCTAGTTGGATTCCTCATGCTGGCTACGGGACTTCCTGCTGCGTACTTTGTCAAGGAGCGATTCACAGTCATGCGCAAGCAATTCGTTGACTGGTCCCTGTTCAAGCAGTTCGACTTCAACATTCTGTTCCTCGCCGGCGCGCTCGGCACATTCCCTCTCATCGTCCCACCATTCTTCCTGCCACTGTACGCTCAGTCTCTCCATCTGAGCGCATCCCTTGGCGCCGTCCTGGTATGCGTGTGGAACTTTTCCTCCGCCATCGGCCGCATCTTCACTGGTGTGTGCTCGGATCGCCTGTTCGGACCCCTCAACACCCTCTTCCTTATTCTATCCCTCATCGCTCTGTCCCTGCTCGTCATTTGGCCAGCATCCACCTCTTTCGGCCCCGTCCTGGTATTCACCTTTGTCAACGGTGCAGCCAGTGGAGGATTCTTCGCCATTATGCCGACTGTTGTTGGCAGCGTCATGGGAACGCAGCACATGGCGGTCGCCTTTGGCATGATTGTTAGCGGATGGGTGGGCGGTTACTTGGCTGGCGCACCCATTGCTGGTTACCTTCTGGCCGCGTTTGGTGGTACCGGACACGGCATCTCCGCGTACCGCCCCGCAATGTTCTGGGCAGGCGGCATCGCCGCCGTTGCTGCGGCCCTCATTGGTATCCTGAGGGTCCGTAAGAGCCCCCACCTGACGATCAGGATGTAGACCCAAGAGGTAGAGCCGGAGTGAGTTTTTGTGGTATCGTTCATGCTCCCAAATGGCGCTGGGATTGTTTACCGCTGGAATTGGGTGTACCTTTGCATTTATGGATGGCATGTTGAAGGTGTGGGGGACACGATGCGGGGCAAAACGCGGGGTAGAATCTCCGCGCTGATGCGATGGGAGGGAATGACGAACATCAAAATGGTTGGCTTGTTATTCAAAATGGTGTCGTGATCTTGGATCTTGTTATTTCTCTCTGTTTCCTCCTCGACTGTCCGTCCATGCTTCTTCGTATCCTCACTCCAACCACACCAAGACTCGCAACCCATCTTACTCGAAACGGTAGCAACTCCAGTCGCACCACCATGTCCTGGCACGCCAACTTCCCCGCCCCCAAGGCGACTCCTCCCCAGATGACCGTTCAGGAGCTGGCCGATCTCCAGGGCACTCCTGGCGTCGACTATATCGTTGTGGACGCGCGCCGGACGGATATCGTTGGGGTGCGTGGTGGCCTGCAATGTTGTGACGAGCGCGCGCACTGACTTGTATCCAACAGGACGAGGGGGCTTCCCACGCTGTGATTCCCGGGGCCGTCAACCTCCCAGCTCAGACCTTTTACCCGACCTTGCCCGTGTCGGCGCAACTTCTCAAGCGGTGAGTCCTTCCTACCGTTTTATAAAAGCAACGCTGAACCGGATAAAGTGTCCCTACCGTCGTGTTCCATTGCAACTCGTGCAGCCCCGGCGGTCGCGGGCCGCGCTCGGCTGGCTGGTACCAAGACTGGGTGGAGGCCAATGGCGCCGAGTCCAAGGCCTATGTTCTGGCCGGAGGATGGAAGGCCTGGGTGGCTGCATACCCTGACAAGGTGGTCAAAGTGTAGTGGTGTAGTCCGAGCGCAAAGCCGATGGTAGAAGAGCGGATTCGCCGACATGGATCAGTTTGGAGAATCGAAAGAAGCAAGAGGGACTGGTAACCGACCGCCCAGGTCGCGGCCTCGACGCGCAACGACCCTAACATCGGGTGTATACAACCTCTTCCCATTCGATCCGCAAGCGATGCACACAAACGTGCGCCTCGCGAATGGCTGCATATGGCTGTCCAAGTTCGGCCGCGGTGACCTGACCCCATCTTGGCCGCGATGAACTGTGCCCGCAGCACCTGGGAGCAAAGGGAATGTCCTGCCAAGAACACTTGGCGTCAGCAAGGTGAACCCCGAGCCAAGGTATCTGATAAAACTTGAATCGGCCGATGCGCAGGAAGCCGTAAAGTCTGCTCGATCGCAACAGAGCAGATGGTCACTAAAAAGCCGGGTATCGTGTGACTTGCGTCTCACCACTGCCCACGAAAACTCGTCCCCCTTCTGACCATGGCTCCCCACATGTCGGCGGTAGCGGACCGCCCCCCCAACAGCGAGACAACGTCCCAGGACGAGGACTATGACGACGACAAGGCGGTCGTCGCTCGCTGCGAGGACCCCAAAGAAATGGGCGACAAAAACAAACTCGCCAACGAGATCAATTGGCAGATTGACGATATTCCTCTCAAGTACCGCATCATGGCCTTTTGCTTTGTGGTGCTGTTCAGTACTGGAGCGGCGTTTGCAGAGGCGACTCTGGGGCCGTTGAAAAGTACTATTATGAAGGAGTTGAACCTTAACAGTACGTCTGCTTAGGTAGATCGCTGGCCCGAGCTGACCCATTTAGACGCTCAATTCGCCAGTATCTCCACCGCAAGCAACCTCGTCAACACTGTCCTCCCCATCATCGGCGGTGCGGTCATGGACTACTATGGCGGGCTGTACGGTGCCGCCATTGCGAGCGGTTTCTGCGTCGTGGGCTCCATCATCGCCGCTTCCGTGCGTATACAACTGTTCCACTGACTTGGTTACGCTGACACCGCTCCCCAGTCCACCAATTCAGGCAAGTACGGTCTCCTGATCGGTGGCCGTATCTTCATGGGCTTTGGAAGCATCATCATCGAGACGTCGCAGAACAAGCTGTACGCCCACTGGTTCAACGGCTCGCTCCTTGCGTTTGCCATTGCCCTCGATCTGGCTTGGAACTCGGTCACCACGGTCATTGCGCGCGCGTGCGCGGTGCCCATGTCCCGTCTTGGCGGGTGGTATGGATGGGGTCTGTGGATCCCGGCCATTTCCACTGTGTTCTGTGCCCTCATCGTCGTCGGCTACGGCGTGTTCGAGCGCCGCGTGGTGCCTCAGCAGTATCGGCCTGTGGCGGGACGGGACATCGTCAAGGGTGGCGGGCTGAAGCGGACGCAAGCTGCGTTCCTCAACATTCTCCGAATGTAAGTGACAACAGGCCAAGACGGTGCTCATTCCCCCAGCCCTTCGTTCTACTGGATGCTCTGCGGCACACATCTGTTCCAGAACAGTGCGCGCACAGTGTACTCTGCCAACTTGACCGATATCCAAGAACGTACACGCGGCACCACCGCCTTGACTGGCGGGTACTATTCGTCGCTACTTAACGTCGTTGTGATTGTCGTCGTCCCCGTCCTGGGTCTGTTTTACGATAAGATAGGCTGGCGCATGCCGTTTGGTGAGTCAATTGGCCCGGTTCCGGGGGTGCTCCTGAACTGATCCTTGTCAGTGTCACTCGGTGCCATCGCCTACGTGATTGCGTTTGCGCTCATCGGCCTCACGACCGTCAACGCCATTGCGCCCATCCTCATCGCGTCGTTTGCGCTCGCCCTCAACGTCCTGCCCTTCATCGGAAGCATCCCGCTCATCATCAACGACCCCACACTCATGGGCACGGCGTACGGCATGTGGTCCAGTTTCGTCGCTTGCAACAACATCATCCTCGAAGTGGCCTGTGGCGCCATCCAGGACGCGACCCCGGGCCAGAGCTATGAGCGTGTCATCTACTTCCTCATCGCCATCAAGGCGTGGCAGGTCTTTGAGGGACCCATCCTGGATTTCCTGGATGGCAAACTCCTCGGCCACGTACTGAGGAAGAATGAAAAGCAGCGGATCAAGCTGCGAGACGAGATGGCCCTGGAGGGTAAGGAGTTTAAGGGGTGGAAGGTGTACAAGTCGGTGACCATGTTCTTTGGGGGTCAATACGTCATCATGGTGATCGTGTCTTGGGTGGTGAGTTTCAGTTCTCGCGTGCATAGGACAAAGCTCACACACCAGCTCTTCTTCATCTATACCATTGGGTGAGCATATGTACCAGGCGCGCAGGAGAGTCAGGTGATTCGCACTGTAGCGCAGATTGCATGCCATTTCGTTCTTATCCTACATACTCGGTCTGTGTCTCTAGTACGAGCCGTCCTCGTAAAGGGGGGTGTCGCGGATCATGGCGTCCTCGAGGACCTTGCCGTTGATGACAGTGGGCTTGGCGGCAACGAGGACAAAGATCATGCGAGCGTACTCGTTGGTGCGGTTGTGCCAAGCGTGCATGCTGTTTGTGTCAGCTCAAAAGGCCTCCAAGCGACTCTGGTAGCGAGACTTACGTTCCACGCTGAACGGCAACGTCACCCTGGACAAACTTCCTGGTGTGGCCGTCGTCGAGCTCAAGGTGCATCTCACCCGAGACGAGGATGCCGTAGTCGAGCGAGCAGGTGCGGTGGAAGGGCGACGAGGTGTTGGGAGGGAACTCGACGACACGGCAGAGAGTGCCCTCGTCGTTGTGGAGGGGACCGCCGATGACAGCAGCGTCCTCCTTGCCGTTGCACTCGGAGGGGAACGAGTCGGTCTTCCAGGGGACCTGTGGATAGAGTGAGCCAGTGCCGCGGGCGCTTTCGAAAAGTGTTCAACTCACGCCGAAGAGAGCGTTCTTGCCCGACTTCTCGAGGACCTTGGTGTAGGGAACCGAGCCCTCGAACGAGAAGATGGCGTGGCCGTTCTCGTCGTGGCCGGTAACGTAGCGGTTGATGTTGGTGGGCTCAGCCATTGTGAAAAGTGTTGAGAAGGTTGGGGGTGGTGGTGAAGCGGTGAGGCTGTGAGGCTATGGAGCGGAGAGGAGAGTGTGAGTGAGTGGTTGAGATGTCCAGCAGATGCTCAACATAATATACCCCACGACAGCTTGCTGCGGGGCTCACTGTAATCAGTGACGGACTCCGCACACCCGACCTGCCGATCCTGGTTCCGACTGTGCCGCCGAGGGGACCCCGCCTGCCCATCTGCGGCGTTTACCCTTTGACGACCAGTAAGGTTACCGAGCCATTCATGGCACTCGCGCACTCGGTTGATGGTACGGGCACATAGCATGCACATGGAGCATACAGCGTGTAGCGGCCCCCGCAGCACGGGACAATAACGTGCCGGGTACATACCCGGGTTGACCGATGGAACCACCCATGGAACCGTTCCGTCTCGGCCATTATCAATATGGTACATTGTGTCCGGTGCGGCCATCGGTCAGCGCCTACCTCACCGAGCCATCATCTACAGCCGGCGGCCCATACGCGTCTATGCGAGCTGAGGATAAACAGTGATCTCCAGCATATTGGCATCCGGATGTCTATAGGGCTGCCTAAGTTGCAGCCGGCAGTGGGGTCGTTCTGGATTAACCGTGCCCACCGTGCCTTCTGATACCCAGATGACTCCTAGGGCTGACGATATACGATACGCAGGTGGTTCCGATCTTCAGTGCAGACGTCAGCATGTTGCTGGCGCCACTGAAATGGTAATGCAGATGTGATCAGGAAGATAGTGTCCATTAATTGTCTAATGCATGTATGGCAGAACTAGAGACCTGCGGCATTCGGGTGGCGCGGAAGCCTTCGATTCCAATCACATAATTTCCAGGATCGCAGTGTCGCCCGTCTTGACTCTTTGCCTAATGTCTGTCCCAGCTAAACCAGTTCTGATCGGTTGTGTCTAACTGCATCAAAGTGTTTCTTAACTCATTGCCTGATGCATGTTCCAGTTCTACAACACACATCCATCCTCTACACTAAGCCCAAAGCCTAAACTGCATCTACTTCTCAATACGCTTGTTGGAGCCGCAGTCACCGGCACCGTCGTCAATCTGGTAGAGGAACTCGCGGGGCTTGCCAAGCTTGAGGCTGGCGAGACCGTCGACAATGTTCCACAGGGTGGGGAGCTTCTCCCAAGGGTGCGAGGTGATGGAGAACTGGATGTCCTCGAGGGGGCTGGTGGTGGTGGCAAACTTCTTGATCTTGGGGAGGTTGGTGCCACGGCCAGGCATAAAGGTCGCGTACGAGGCGTCGTGCTTGCCGGGCTCGCCAACAGCGGGGACGTAGCGGTGGTGGATGATACCGTTGACGCCGGCTTGGTTTGGTCAGCTAGTGCCTGTGACGTGCGTTCTCTTTTTACTCACGGACGGTGTAAGGACGGGGCTTGAACGAGGGGCTCTCCTCGACAGGGCGGAAGGTGAGGTTGGGGACCTCGAGGCGCATGAACTCGGTGCCAAACCACGAGGCGGTGTGGACAAAGTTGCCATTCTCGATCTTGGGGTCGGGGAGGTCGGCGTACATCTTGCAGAAGCCGAGCTCCTCGCGGCCGGTGACGATTGGGTCGGTGAAGCTCTCAAAGAGAACGAGCTGGTACGAGGCGATGACGGGAGGCGAGACGCGGGTGCACTTGACGTTGCCGGCGTAGACACCCCAGGTGTTGTAGCCACGGCCAGCGAGCCACGGGAGGTTGCGGAGGTTCATGACCTCGAAGAGGACAGTGGGCTGCTCGCACTCGGGGTCGACCTCGTAGCCCTCAGGAAGAAGAGCGTTGAGCTCCTCACGGCCGACATCGTAGACAACACCGGTAAGGTGGGCCTCGGCGTTGCTCCAGTCAAACTTCTTGCCCTCCTTGTTCTGGCTGAACAATGTTAGGGCAAGTCTGAGGAATGGGACAGCAGAGGGGGACTTACCGAGGAGAAGGGGCGGGGCCAAAGCCGACGGGGATACGGTGGAACTGACCGGTGCTCTCGAACATTGTGAAAGAGTTGTTGTGTGTGGGGGTGAGGTATGGAAATGTCAAGAGACTGGCGTGCTGACGTTGCCTATATCTGCTGAAGGACCTTCGGGCTTCCGTTCGGTGGGGGGCATTGTTGTATCCCATGCGGAGATCACGACTCCGAGTCACCGAACCCGGGTTCTGACCCGGGCCTGGTTGCCGACGGTCGCCGACTTGGTGGCCGTTATCAGGGTCCATGTCACGTGATGCACCTCCACAGACGCCAGAGCACGGGCCGGCAAGGACAATGAAATGCTATATGCTATAGGCATTTCGGTCAAACGCATGGCGTTACCTTTATACGTGACCTCTGGCATAGAAGCAAAGAGACCACGTCATTATAATTGCAACGTCAGGCCTCTACAGAACATAATGGGAGACTACCACAATTAACCTATTGTGGTAGTACCATTAGTGAATTTTAGTATCTCATTTAAGCGTTGACAAGTGATTAACATAGATTCGGAGACATCGGGAACGAGGTGCTGCCGTCTGCTTGCTCGCCATTACTCTCTGGATTCCGGTGCACCTTACAATGGTGTATTCTGCACCCAGACCGGGAGGTGGATGCCTCGGTTTTTTCTGCCAAACCGAGAGGCGGGCAACGGCTGTGCCAATCCCGGGTTAATGGATCGCGGTGATGGATACCTAGTACCCGCTCTAGTTACCCGGACATTGATGGTCCGTCGCCCACCGGCTATGCTGAAAGGCTGACATGAAAGGGCTGTCGAGTACTTAATAACAGCGAGAGCGAGAACGACGTGCAACAACTTGTCCAACGTCCTCTCCTCCTCGCAACCAAACTCTCAATAGTCTTAATCACAATGGTCGCCCGTCACCTCAAGAAGCCCGCCCCTCCCACCGCCAACGGCGCCGCCCCCGCCTTCGATGTCACTGCCATCGTCGAGGGTGTCATCAACGATGTCCGCGCCGAGGGCGATGCCGCCGTCCGCAGGTACAGCGAGAAGTTTGACAAATGGTCGCCCGAGTCGTTCAAGCTCTCGGACAAGGAGATCCAGGATATTATCGCCACTGTCCCCGCCCAGGTCCTCGAGGACATCCGCACTGTCCAGAACAACGTCCGCACTTTCGCCGAGGCACAGAAGGCCTCGCTTGGCGAGTTTGAGCTGGAGATCCAGCCCGGCGTCTTCCTTGGCCAGAAGAACGTCCCCATCCAGAACGTTGGCTGGTGAGTTGTGATGGACACCCTGCCAGAACAAGAAACTTGATGGGCTGACTTGCAACAGCTACATTCCTGGTGGTCGTTACCCCTTGCTCGCTTCGGCCCACATGACCATTCTCACCGCCAAGGTCGCCGGTGTCCCCAACGTCATCGGCTGCACTCCCCCCATCGCTGGCGAGATCCCTAGCTCCACCGTCGCTGCCATGCACTTTGCTGGTGCCGACGCCATCTACCTCCTCGGCGGTACCCAGGCCATTGCTGCCATGGCTCTCGGCACTGAGACCATTCCCAAGGTCGACTTCATTGCTGGCCCCGGTAACGCCTTTGTCGCCAACGCCAAGGCCAAGCTGTACGGCCAGATCGGTATCGACCTCTTCGCTGGCCCCACCGAGGTCCTTGTCGTTGCCGATGAGCACGCTTCGCCCTTCACCTGCGCTGTGGACCTTCTTTCGCAGGCCGAGCATGGCCCCGACACCCCCGCCGTCCTCATCACCACGTCGGAGAAGGTCGCCACCGAGACCATTGCCCACTGCGAGCGCATTCTCACCTCGACCGACATGAGCACCGCCGCGCTTGCCGCCACCTCGTGGCGCGACTACGGTGAGGTCATTGTCGTCGACTCGCTGGACGAGGCCTTCGCCCTCGCCGACGAGTTTGCTTCGGAGCACGTCCAGATCCTCACCCAGAACCCCCGTGAGGCCCTCGACAAGATGCGCAACTACGGTGCCCTCTTCCTCGGCGAGAAGACCTGTGTGTCGTACGGCGACAAGTGTATCGGCACCAACCACGTCCTCCCCACCAAGAAGTCGGCGCGCTACACCGGCGGTCTCTGTGTGCAGAAGTACCTCAAGACCGTCACCTACCAGGAGGTCAAGGACCCCAAGGCGTCGGGCGAGCTTGGCCGTCTCTGTGGTCGCGCTGCCCGCGCCGAGCGCTTTGAGGGCCACGCCCGCTCCGGTGACCTCCGTGCCCAGCAGTTCCTGGGCGACAAGTACAAGTGGATCTACGAGCAGGTCTAAAGCTTGGCGGTAGTGCTTGTGTGTTATCAGTAGATCATTTGGGACTCTCGGCAAAAGAGGCGTCATTCATGCATAGAATACGGACAATGTGATGGAGCGGAACAGCGAAGACAAGAACATACAGTCCGAGCTGCAGCGGTAGACGCGGCTAAGGCCATCATCGGCAGTCTCGTGTCGAACTGGCGTCAGTACGTCAGTGTAATTGTTTTCTAGACACCGACATGAGATCTTGATCGCAGACTCTGCCAGGATCTGTGCGTCATCCCAGCGGCCATCCACTCGAACGTTTCACTTTGAGTATAGTCCACCCACGTTGCGTGTCTGTGTCTGCCGAAGCCTCGCACCCACCCCTCTGCCACACACTCGCCTGCCCACCATGACTGCATGGTCCTCGCCGTCGCGTAGGTCCGCCCCACGTCGTTTGCCAAACGCCTCCGCAGTCGATGCGGGCGGCAATGTAGCCCGGCGCAGCCATCGTCGGAAAACAGCGTCCCCGCTGCTCCGCAACACCCTGAACAGCTTCACCGGATCACCGGCAACTTGATTGCCAACTCCGTGGTACCCGCGAGTGGGCTGAGAGCCGGATCCCGACTTTTGCGATGGGACGTGCACGTTGGAGACACTGCGCGGTAAACCAAACTCACCAGACGACCCATCCACCGCTTCACACTACGTTCACACCACTACCATGCCCAGCCTGGAAGGAAAGCGCGCGCTCATCACGGGTGGATCCCGTGGAATCGGTATGTCCCACCAACATGAAAACGGCCCAAAGATACAAAGGGCTGACAGTACCCAGGTGCCGAGGTGGCCAAGCAGCTTGCCGAGCGCGGTGTGCGCATCGCGATCAACTACGTGGCCGCGCAGGACCGTGCCGAGCAGACTCGCGCGAGCTTGAAGGGCGACGGACACGTCCTCGTCCAAGGCGACGCGTTCACGCATGAGGGCCTCGCGCAGATTGTCAAGGGCGCACGGGAGGGCCTGGGTGGTCTCGACATTGTGATTTCCAACGCTGGGTGGACGCAGTTTGGCGCTTTCAACGATCTTGGTGGGTGACGAGCAGGATGGCGTTAGGGCTGACCGGATACAGAGTCGGTGTCGGATGACGACTGGATCAGGTGTTACCAGACCAACGTCATGTCGCACCTGTGGCTCATGCAGGAGGTCAAGGATGAGCTCATCGCGAACAAGGGATCGTTTGTGATCTCGGCGTCTGTTGCGGGCCTCAAGCCCAGCGGAAGCAGCATGGTTTGTGGTGCCGCACACGAGGATGTCACGTACACAAGCTGACATGGCACAGGCATACTCGGTCTCCAAGGCCGGTACCGTCCACCTGGCCAAGTCGCTCGCCAAGGCGTGTGCGCCCGCGCGCGTCAACGCAGTGGCTGCTGGCGTCATGCTCACCGAGTGGAGCAAGGGCTTTACGGAAGAGCACGTGCAGAAGGTCAAGCAGACCAACGCCCTCAACATGATCTGCGAGGTGGAGGACGTCGCGAGCCAGTACGTCTCGTTGTGCGAGAACAAGTCGATCACTGTGAGTCAACCGAGAGAGAGAGAAAGACGGGGGCTTGGCTGACGCTCGCAGGGCCAGATCATCGAGGTTAGCGCTGGGTTCCAGCTGTAGAGCGATAGAATGACATGTACGAGTTACCAGGGTTTCCGACGTCTTCTGAATGAGCCAACCATCTGTAACCATAATGACATGGATGCAAGAGTCAAGAGTCATGGGTACCACTCACGACCATACGGGGCGGGGGCGGTTGTCTGCTAACTGACAGACAGGAAGAATGATCCCCATTGACCGCCTTCGCCTTGTAGTTTGGTTTTGGTTGGCCAAGGGGGTCAGTACAGCAGGCCAACACATGAAAGAGCCTGCGCAAGCTGTGGACGAGGACCGGTGAACCTGTATGTGTAACATGACGACCCTCCTAGAAAGACTATATACTCAGAAACCATGGTGCACCTTAACGCGCAGCACAACCGCCGTCAATCTCAAACGCGTTGCCGGTGAGGAAGCTGGCCATGTCGGAACACAGGAAGATGAGGCCGTCAGTGATCTCTTCCACGACACCAAAGCGACCCATGGGGACCGTTGTGAGGAGAAAGTCGTCGACCTCCTTGGCGGCCTCGACGTGTCCGGGGCTCTTGACGAGACCGGGACACATGGCCACCACGCGGATCTGGTTGGGTGCGCATTCGACGGCGGCGACGCGGGACATGCCGAGGACAGCGTGCTTGGCCTGAGTACGGTGTCAGCAAGGTTGCTTGGACGTCGGATTGACGGCCACAAGCAGCCGCACGGGGCCTGGTATATGAACCGCACACTCACGGAGCAGTACGAGCCAAACTTGGACACACCCTCGAGACTGGCACGGCTGGCCAGGTTGACAATGACGCCGCGGCTCGCACGCGGGCGGCCGGCGGGGACGTCCTGGGTCTCCATCTGGCGGATCTGGTGCTTCATGCAGAGGAAGACGCCGCGGGCGTCAATGTTTTGCGTACGGTCAAAGACGCTGGCGTCCGTGTCCTTGATGAGGGTGACCTTGTCGCCGGCCACGACGATACCAGCCGCGTTGATCGCATAGTCGATACGACCAAACGCAGCGACCGTCTGCGCGATGGCGGCCTCGATGTCGGCCTCCTGGGACACGTCGCAGCGCACGAAGATGGCCACGCCGGGGTATGTGCCGTTGATCTTGGCCACCGTCTGGTCTCGTCAGCCACATGTTGCCCGGGCTGCTGTGTGCTCACCTCCTCGCCCAGCTTGGTGTTGATATCGGCAACGGCGATCTTGGCACCGAGGTCAGCGAACGCGAGGGCAGCGCCAGCGCCGAGACCGCTCGAGCCGCCGGTGATGAAGGCGACGCCGGGGAGCGAGAGCGAGAGGGTCGCGGTGGAGAGCTTGGGGAGGGCTGAGGCGGTCATGCTGGAAAACAATGGCGGTGTGTCTTGGTGAGTAGGCGAGTGAGTTGAGGTGCACGAAAGTCAGTTACATACCATCAAGTCAAGTTACCGTCTGGTGCAAGTCGGCAAGCAGCCGTCTAGCGGCGGTCAGCATATGCTGCTGCGGCAACGGACATTGAGAATGCGGGACCCCTGCACTCCTCCACCAACCCCACACGGTTCCAGGCGTCCGGGACTCCGAGCAGTGGCCAGTGGCCAGTGGACTGCACCTTCCCTTAGGCGGCTCCAGAGCCCTGTGCGCCTGTGCACTGCAAGGAGGGCAGCGCGCAGCAAACGGCAGGTTGTCGTACCCCCCCGCGGCCTCAGACCTGCACGGCATATGGATGTGTACGCCGCCAAGCAACGAGGCTTGAGCTGGGGGATTCTGTCCATTCTCCCGATATTCCTGCGCCATGGCTGACCAAGAGGCGCGGGGTGGTGATATGCGTCCACCCGGGGCTCAACGTGACTCAGCCCACGCGTGGTGTTGCTGCACCATGGTACCATGGCACCAAAGCTATCCAACGTAAGCCGGCCGGATGCCTGGGGTTACGCCCCAGATAGACGATCGTTGTCGGTGATTTTCGCCGCCCCGGTGGCTATGTACATGTACGCACACAGCACCACACCCGGCAACCAGACAGGACGTCGGACGTCTGTGGCTCTATGGCGGGGTTGGGCTCTCCAGATGGAGCACACAGGACCGCTTCCGCCAACTTTCCGGGCGTACACAGTCAAACTGAGGGGGAACAATGGCGGAACGCCAATCTACATGGCATGGAAGAGGCCGATACCTGTGACACACACCAGACAACAGTAGATTGCATACCGTCGGACCTCGGACCGGACACCGCGACACCGTTTGGCATCGATGTTCATGTCAAGTTGGAAAGGGGGGAGAAGAGTGATGCATGGCCTGTTTCTATTCTGTGCTCTGTAGGACACGCCGCCATGCCACCAATGTGTCACAATCCTTTAACATTAACCCTATGTACAGATTACCATCTTGGCCAAGTTAGGCCGGCGCCTTGTATGGCTTGTAGTTTGGCTGGTTCCATGCCTCGACATTCAAGAGGCTGTCGCCGTGGAGGTATCCGGCAAACATGTGGTTGGGGTCGTAAGCGTCACGGATCTTGCAAAACTTGGCCCATGCCTCGTCGGACATGATCTTGCCAGCACGGTGCGCGAGGTCCGAGTCGCCGAGGTACATGCCAATGGTGCCGCCCGAGCCGTCCTTTTTGCTGTCAATGTACGCCAGGCGGTCGGTGAGCCACTGCTCGCAGCGCTCCTGCTCGGGCACGTCGTCGCCCGTGGAGATGATGTAGCCGGCAGCATAGTGCTCGCTCTGGAGGGTAAAGGACATGTCCGGCAGGGGGCGGAGGGGCGCCATGTTGTAGTACAGGAAAAAGGACTCGCGCGAGGGCAGCGTGGTGAAGCCCAGCTCGAGCGAGTCGGCAATGTCGGCGGGCTCACCGACGAGCCACGAGTTGCCCAGGAAGTACTGGCCAGGAGGGTTGTCGGCGAGCTGGCGGGCGTACTCCTCTGGCATCGACGTCGGCACAATCTCGGCGCGGACCTCGGCGTTGGCGGCACCGGGGCACTTGAGCATGGGGGCCAAAGCCTCACGGGCCTCCTCCTCCGAGTCTGTGTTTGAAGTGCCACGAATGACCAACATGCTCTCCAGCTCGTTAGGGCCGGTCTCGCCAAAGAGGCGTCCCCGGGTAAACGCCAGGCAGACGACCTCGACCTTGGGGCCCAGCTCGCCGCGGCAAGCCTCCTGAAGCCACGTAATGACGGCGCGGAAGTTCTCCTTGGCGGGCATAATGTACGTGACGTGGTGCATGTCAAGTGGGCGAGGGCGGGTGTGGAGACGGAACCGCACGACGACGCCGAAGAAGCCCGGTCCAGAGCCACGGGCAGCCCAGAACAGGTCGGCGTTGTCCTTCTCCGAGGCGGTGACGAGCTCGCCAGACGGAAGGACGACATCGATCGACTCAATGTTCTCTGCCGACCAACCAAGACCGCGGGCCCACCATCCCTGACCGCTGTTCTTTGTCAGCCACCACCACCACCGCAGTAGGTCTGGACCACAACTCACCCCTGCAGGAGGAAGCCACCGATGCCGACTGTGGGGCAATGTCCTCCGGCAAAGAACCGGCCGTAGCGCGAAAGAAGGGGGTTGAGCTCGCCCCCGGTGATGGCAGGCGAAGCGGTCGCGATCTTGGTGACAGGATCGTATGACAGCTCGCGCATCTTGCCCAGATCAATGAGGAGCGACTGGGGGCGAACACTGATGGTCAGCTTAGTTGTGCGAAGATGAGCTCACCTCCATGCGGCCCATGAGTGACCACCACTGCGGAGAGCGACCTGGATTCCACGCTCACGGGCGAGGTTGACACCGCGGATCACTAACGTCAGCACCCATGTTGGTAAAGGCGGGACGTACCATCGCTGACGTTGCGGGCCTCGAGGACACCGACCGGGTACCGCTTGGGACGGCGGAGGTTGAAGACGCGGCCAACCCGGGCCTCCTCGTACTCCTCCTCGCCCTTCCAGATGATGGGGAGGGGGTCCGTACCGAGCTCTGGTTGGGTAGCAGGCATAGTGAGATGTGTGAGTTGCGAGATGTTCGAAAAACGCAGGATGGGGGAAAAGGTGAAAAGGTGGGCGCTGTTCGGACTTGTGGGATCCTTGTTATCAGGCGGATGAAGGCCGAACGGAGAAACCATGACGGATGGTCGCATCTGTCTTTTCCATCGGCACGATTCACCCCCGGTGCGAACCTGTTGACAAAGATTGTCGGGGTACATGGACTTGGGTCACCAGAGTTGCAAGCAGCTACTTTGTTATTCACCACCACCATGACTTCTGCCACCAATGGAACGACCAACGGCCAGCCCGACGCGCACCACCACGCCAACGGCAATGTCGACCCCCACGACCTATGGCCCGCTCCTGGAGGCCCTATCCCAGGCGCAGACGGCCCGTCTCCACTTGGCACTGCGGGGTTCCGCATGAACCACACGATGGTGAGTGACGGTGACTAGCATCGTATGCATCCAAGGCGACTGACCACTGGTGACAGCTCCGCATCACGGACCCCGAGGTGTCGATCCCCTTTTATCGCGATGTGCTGGGCTTCCGTCGCGTCATGACACTCAACAATGGTCCCTGCACCGTCTACTACATGGCCTACTACTACCCCGACGAGAAGACCGGCGCCGACATTTTCAAGCATATGCAGCAGCGCGACGGTCTGCTCGAGCTCGTTCACGTCCACGGCAGCAAGGGGCGCAAGGTCGAGAATGGCAACCCGCCCGAGAGCTTTGGGTTCGGCCACTTGGGCATATCGTGTCCCGACACTGTCGCCGCAGAGGAACGGTTCAAGGCCCATGGCGTCGAGATTTTCAAGCCGCTCGGCATCGAGTTCTCGACCAAGCGCGGCATGGGCGTCGCGGACGACGATAATGACGACGAACTCACGGAGGGCTTTAGGAAAGTCTTCAGTCGAATGATCATGATCCGGGACCCCGATGGTGAGCAGGAGACCGCACACGGGAACAAGAGACTGAGAGCTGACATGTGATTGCCCGATTACAGGCTACTTCATCGAGGTGAGTTTGAATTGAGTGGTTCAAGCTGTTCCCGCACATGCGAGGAGATTGATCTGGATGGGGGTCTCACCCTATGGACCGACTTCCCACAGCCTGCTGCGCGTGGACCTGTGCACAGACAGGACCCGCATGCGCGGGCCTCCGAACCTTTAATGAGGGCCTCCATGCTGACCCCACTTTTTTCTTGCAGGTTGTTCCCTACGGTGCCGGATAGAGCAACAGGATATTACGAAGAGTGCGGGGCGACGAGCACATGCGGCGTCGCGGTGCTCCATATCCATCGGATTTCTGGCTCCCGGGGCCACGAATCATCCCCAGGCTTGGACCCCTTTTCCCGTAGTCGTACAGTCGTTTCCCCGTATGGCCCCCGCACGAGATCCCAACATGCATTCTGTGCAGCGTACCCAGAGAGCAGAGTCCTGAGCAAAAGAAGGCGTCGGAGGCTGAGGACCGTGGCGCGCCGGGGCATGTCAAGGAGATATTGGATCCACGAATGGGCCGCAGCTCATCGCGGCTCTGCATTCTCGATGAAGGGCACCACAACAGACAGAGTCGACCAGTTGCCCAGTTCAGTTGCCGTCCTAGAAGCCGGTTTGACCCACCCAGAATGCGATCCGGAAAGGCGGGTATACCCCCCCACATATGCACATCCAACTGACTCCCAAAACGGGGCGCCCAGAACTCACATGCTCAACTGCGCGGTATCTGGGCGTCCGACCCTCCGTTCGTCAACTACAGAGCAGAAGCGCGCACCTCCTTTCATTCCTGGACCGTGTTTCCTTTATAACACTGACCATACTCTTGACGACAACCACTTATCACTCCCAATCAGGCCCGCAACTCGCTCGCTCGCTCATTGCCACTGACAGGGCTCTCAGGCCAAGGCAGTGTTCCTCAACCCCACTTTTCTTTTATACTGCTGTTACTTCGTTTACTACTCGATAATACATACACCCCACACAACCCCTTCACTTCCTCAACCACAGCCATGTCGCTCTCAAGCAGCGATAAGATGCCCACAAGCCTTCACATCGAGGGTGGTCACACCGACGCTTCGACTCCAGGCCACCACGACATTGTCCTTGCAGGCAAGAGCCTTGGTACCACTCGTCTGGGTAGGTATTGGCCGGTGTTTCCTTGAGCTTCGATGATGGCTTCCAGCACCTGGAACGGTGTGCACGGGCCGGTGGCCGGTGAAGGGATAGTCCGCGGCGGCGCCGTCGAGTAAGGGCCAATTCACAAAACCCGCTGGAGGCCGGAATGTTACGAGACACATGTGCTCGAGCCGCCCCGTGTGGCTGTCTTCCCGCATACTGTGGCGCAACGGGGACCCGCGGTGGTACACGGGCCAGACATCTTGGCCTACACATATGCACCTTGCATTGGAGTCGGAGAGAACGCGCTCAGCTGCTGACAGCCGTCACAGAACTTGCCAACGGTGACCGTATCCTCATCCCTACTCCCTCCAACGACCCCAATGACCCCCTTAACTGGACTCGTGAGTTGACACCACAATTGCAAGACTGCTCAGGCCGCTGACATGTGTTCCAGAGAGGCACAAGTACTTTATGGCTGCTATCGCTTGTGCGGCCGCGTTGCTGTCCAACGCTCTCGCGGCAGGTCCCACAGTCGCCATGGTGAAGATTGCCAAGGACTTTACCGACCCCATGGACATCCAGAAGACCTCGTACTTCTTTTCGGTCACCTCTCTCTTCCAGGGTATCTCCATGTTTGTTTGGGTTCCTCTCATCAACAAGTTTGGTCGACGTCCTCTCTACATCATTGCCACCACCTTGTACCTCATCACTGCCATCTGGTGTGCCGTCGCCAAGGAGTACAACGTCGAGCTCGTTGGCCGTTTCTTCATCGGCTTCATGGCCGGCGGCGCCGAATGTCTCGCGCCCCTCACCATTGCCGACGTCTTCTTCCTCCACGAGCGTGGAAGGATGATGGCCGCGTACACTGTCTTCCTCTCCATGGGTGTCGCCATTGGTATCATTGTCGACGGTATCATCGACATTGGCCTCCACTGGCGGTGGATGTACTGGATCTGGATCATCCTTATCGGCGTCCTCCTCGCCGCCTGCGTCTTCGGCTACGAAGAGACGGCCTACAACCGCACGTCGATCGACGAGGCCCACGTCATCGACGACCACTCGCACCACGCCTTCCACCATCACGAGGACAAGCACGAGAAGCACGCCCTCCCCTTCGTTCCCACCCAAGCTCCCCCCGCTCCCGCCCGCAAGACCTACGCCCAGCGCATGACGTTCTACACGGGCATCAAGACTGATGAGTCGCTCTGGAAGATGTTTTACCGTCCCTTTGGCATGATTTTCCTTCCTGGTGAGTGACGGCAACCATTCAAAGAAAAACCCAAACTGACCACCTGTTTTAGCTGTCTTCTTCGCCGCCTGGGTGTTCTCCGTCACCATCGGTTTCCTCGTGGCGATCACTTCCAACTTTGACGCGGCCCTCTCCGCTCCTCCTTACAACTTTGTGTCGTGGAAGGCCGGTCTCTGCTTCTTCGGTGGTGTCCTCGGCTCGCTTATCGGTATCCCCATGGGTGGTCAATTCAGTGACTGGGTCTGTGCCCGTGCTGCCCGCAAGAACGTGAGTATATTTCACTATTTTTATTATTTAGTCTTTTGTTTTTTTTTCTGACTCGTGCAGGGTGGTGTGTTCCAGCCCGAGATGCGTCTCCCGGCCATGGCCCCCTGTGTCATCACCGGCCCCCTCGCTCTGGTCCTGTACGGCGTCGGTATCCAGCACGGCCTGCACTGGATGGTCCCCACGCTCGGATTCTTTTTCCTCTCGCTCACCATCTGTTGGGCCACCAACGTCGCCATGACCTACGCCATCGACGTGTACAAGCCCGTCACGGGTGAAGTCCTCGTCGCCATCCTCGCGTTCAAGGCCATCTTTGGCTACGCACTGGCGTGGGGTACCAACGACTGGATCGCCAGCCAGGGCTACCAGAACGCATTCGGCCAGATGGCCGCCATTTGCGCGGCGTTCCTCCTCCTCTGGATCCCCCTGTATTACTACGGCGAGCGCCTTCGCCACCAGTCATACGAGTGGCGTCTCATGAAGGCTCTTCTCTGGAGTGAGTGTCTTTCGGAAATTGTTTTCCTTCATCAAACTGACATCCACAGGCGCCGACCGTGATGACCAAATGCTCGTCATGGACTGAGCAGCTGCTTTCGCACCGTTTTTTCACTGGCCATTTTGGGGGCCAGATCCGTGGTCAAGATACGACTCCCATGGTACTTGTTGTGCGGTTTATAGGGATGGCGGAGTGTACCGGATCTGGTAGACATCGCATGGGTTCATCGTGGAGTTTGGGCGGAGAACTGAATCTGGGTCTAGTTTAGCTGTTGGGCATGCCAGATACCATAATGGCGAGGGGCAGTTGAGCATCAAGAGTTTTCGGAAGTGTAGAAAGAAATGAACGTCATAACTTACCACGCCTAGGCGTTGCCACGCCCAGCTGTCTGGGTCCTTTAACGCCCTCCTTATCCATACATACATACAAGTGGTCTTCAAACAGCAGGGACACCACCATGTAGGGTGCCATTCTCTCTTTCCCAGTGCCACTTGCGGATGCAAGCCCATCCAACTCTCGCGCGATCGCGCGACCGTGTGACTAGTCGTCGTGACTGTTGACAAGCCATAGCCTCAGCCAGTGCCACGACGCCTCACCCCACTGCGCACTGATCACCCACGGCCCCTTAACTTGGGCATGTGACTCTCTTCGTTTTGTTTATTCGTACTCCACACTGCGCAGCGCAGCATCGGATCCTCGGACATGTTTCCTCCTTGGAACAACGGGAGAAGCGTTCCTTCGATCGTGGGCCGAGATTTGCCGGAGAGGGTTTAAATAAGTGGCCGAACCGGTCGTATGTGCCACCACACATACGTCTACGCGACTGCATCTGCTGCTCGCGGTTAGTGCTGAAAGGAACGGATGAAACAAATATCGACGTTTGTGGCTGTTTCCCGCCTGTGCGGCGTAGAGATCGTCGAGATCGTAGAGACGGACCATTTCCTGCGCACACCACCTGCCACCGGGCCCAAGCTCGTGGGCCGGAGAGCTCACTTAATGCATGCGGAGGCTCGGGCTTTGCTTTATACCTGATTGTATCTGCTGGCCCACAAGGCCTGGCGGTGATCGGGTCGGGCTTGTTGGCTCATGGTCCGCTTACAAGCTCCAATGCAGGTGTGGTACCACCTGTCCGTCCACAGCCACCGCGTGGGGTCCTTTGCAGAGTATGTTTCGCAGGTGATGAGCCAGAGATCATGACATGTGCAGGGCACGGCGGCCATGTGCTCGCGGAGAGGTGGGGTACCCCATCTTAGAGTCTGAAATAAAACTCACGTCATGAGCTTAACCTCCCCACACCCCCACTCTGGCAGCAGCCTGGGTGTGATCGAGGACCTACATTTCCACATGGGATCAAACGCAATGGTGCTCGAGTTCCGACGGAAGTAGTCCGCTCACTTTGTGTTTCGGGGACGAACGCGAGTTTCCCGCGGAAGGGAGGCTTGTCGTTAGAGTCTCGTTAGTCACTCCGTCGATCGCGGACGAGGGCGGTAGATCGCAATGTATAGTACTGTACGAGGTGGCGAATACCCTTCGGCAGGGTGTCAGGATTCATGTAGAGTACGACGATCGTATCGGAACATGATGAGTTTGCGCTCGGTCCCGTCAAACCGGCCATCCTGAACGCAGGGCAGGGTTTTTGGTCGACGGCGAGTTGTACCGGACTGCAGAGCGGGGGACCACCGACGCCGCACTCTGTTCAACTCTCAAGGCGTCAAGGACGACCGCAGAGTTCCTGATCTAGTCTGCAGAAATGACATGTGCCCGTGACTCAGAGCCGACTTGTTCATGGAATGATAGCGGGAAGATGCAACAACACAGAACACACACACACACATGGATCGATTCCCTGGCCATGACAATGAATGTGACCAGCTCCCCGAGCCCAGAGTCCCGAGTCACACACTCAAAGACCCACTAGCGCGCCTGCCACCGGGAAGCCGGTGCTTGTCGATCAAGATCCGCAGTTGATTTACAATTTCAGGCGCCGACTTTACGGGTCCAATACCGCACGGTGTGCGGATCAGCGGCATGTGTCAATTATGCTCCGAAGGTGTAAGGCTACATCGGTTCAGTATGGGGATGGGGTTCCATTCGACTGTGGATAAGGTCAGGCGAGGGTGAGACATGTGACACCGGCAGATGGCAGGATCGCTCTTCTGTGCGCGGAAACGTCCGGAGGCTCGAAGAATCGCAATGTTCCCGGCAGGTGCTGTGAATGGAATGTCTTGTTGGCCTTGGTGCTCGCAGTTGCTCGTCTACCAGAACGTGCTGTCGCCTTGCTATGGAGCGCACAGTATCCACTGCGCCACAGATATGCTAGACGGTTGAATCAATGGACATGTGTGCCGGAATCCGGATTTGACCATCCTACTCTTATCTCTGACGATCTGGTGGCCTGGTGGCGCCTGCTGTCCTCTTGTGGCGTCCGTCCACTCGACGGTCGTCCACATTGTTTCAGAGGGTCTGCTATCTTGAAGAGTATAGCGGACGCGTTCCCATGGACAGCCCAACACAGTCCCCTTGGTACCCTGTGGGTGTTGTATCGCGTTTTGATGTCCACTTGTCTAGCCCTTGATGTTTCAAGCCCGTTTGAAGCGCTTCGCTTGCGGTGGAGCTGACTATGCAATCGCACTGGAATGACCCTACGGCTCTACCCCGGTGGAGTACCCCGGCGGCAAGCAGTCTAATCGTGCGGGGATACGTGCAGTGTAGCCATCCAGCGACATGCGGTCTGGAACATTGCGTCCCAGGCTCTCTTGGAATCATGTTCATAATCCCATCCAGTGCCGTCCAGTGCCGCGACCTGACCCAGCGATCGCAGTAACCACAGATGGAACCTTTAGGCGTAACGAATTAGCTCCCACAGATGCGTTACTGCATGTCCAGAGCAGAGTTTAATAATAGTGAGATCAGTTACGAGGGTGTTCCTCCCGACGACGGTAACTGCTTCAACATGTCCAGCCAAACGGTGTGTGAAGTGGTGAATCGATGCTCGCCGCCAACTCGCTCCCAGTATCGTATCCAAGGCAAAACGCGCTGACGTGGCGTTACTTTCTGCTGTTTCTCATTCCACGTCTAGAGCTTACTAAGGAAGCATGGGGGGGGGGGGGGGCTTCACAGTGGATCGAGGCACCGGAACACGTAGCAGAGTGCAGGTGAGAAAGCAACAAGCCCGGGTAACTTGGATGATATCTGTGGCCCCCCAAAAAGCCACAGCAACAGCCTTTGTGCGCCATCGATAGAAGACTCCCCACCCGTCCATCCTGAGTCGTCGTTACCACCCCAGTTCTGCACTGCGCAGATGGTTGCTGGTCACGCTCTGAACTGTGTGGATTTGTGCTCAGCCATTGTTCGTCTCTGGGTTTCAGTCGGCGGTGGCGAGTTCCTTGCTACCACATGCTTTCCTGTGCCAAACGATAGGATGCGCAGTGGGTCGCAGAAGCACGAGACGTTGCGCCATGGACAGCAGCCCACTGCTATCGTCAGCCCCAAGATTGTATCGGTTGCACCATGTTGGCATGCCCGACGGGCCGGCGTGTTGCCGCCACACACGCCAAGCCATCCGCACCATACCACCGTGCAGTGCATCCTCACTGTCCTGGACAACCGAGGTTGCGTCCTGTGCGCCTGCCCAGCGCCCAACGGGGTTGCCATCAAGGAGTCAAGGACGTCCGAGCGACTCACCTGTGCGCAACCTCTACCTACACGGCACACTACGGCCGTACGCCACACACGCACCCCACCACCCCTGATCAACAGCCTCCTTACCGAGCTGTGCCTGCCCATTCCCGCGATCCAGAACAGCGGCCGTCCCAGAAAAACCCACGTCGGGGCCACCAGATGCGCCATAGATGGGCCGGCCGCCCACACGACAGGAGTGCAGGAGGTGCAATGTGCCTTGGTTTCGTACCTGCTCGCGCGGTACGTTAGCGGGCCGGGTGAGAATGGCGGCGGACGGTGTGTGGCGAGGGAAAAGAAGGTGGGGAAAAAAAAAAGTTGGCCCAACCCATGCGGTCGTCCCCACACCCGGGTTTGGCCCATTGGGGTCTTTCCGCTGACACACAGAGCCGGGTGTCGGTGCCCGTGCGGATCACAGCCCTTCGGATCGCTCCACGCTAGATCGACCGACTAATGTATGGGATGCGATTTGTATCGATAATGTCATGTTGACAAAAGGATCGCCAGATGAGGACATGCCCCAATGTCGTGAGCAGGGAGACATTAGCCGTCTGGCTCGCAAAAATCTCGTCATTAATATATCACATGACATGACACGCAAGACCAACGCTGTGTGGTCCTACAAGCCTACAAAGTCCTACAGATAAGGCCTAGAACAGCACAGAGGGTGGACGGAGGGGGGCAGCGAAACGTAGGGGAGGCGTTAGGGGTTCAAGAACCGGGGGCGAGGCAGATCCGGCGCCGGGTACTTCGGGTTCGGAGAAGTCTTTAGTGAGCGACAGGGCAGCCGGAGGGGGTGGGCGGGGTGTCGGTGCCCTCCTCAATGAGTACCTCGGCGCCGTCCTTGGTGACCTCGTGGAAGAGGGACATGGGGTCGTACCAGACGTCGATGGACTGGATCTGCAGCTTGTCGTTGACCTTGGCGACGAGCGTGCCCTCAATGTCAATGAGGCCGCGGTGGGCCTTGACGCGGCACTTCTTGCCCTCGCTGCGACGTGGTCAGTTGTCGGTGGCGTTTGAAAGCCTGCAGGGAGGGAAAAAGCCAGCGTTGCACCCCCCCCCCCCCCCTGGGTATCAGGTAATCAGGACAAGCTCACTCGTTGAATCCCACGTAGTCCATCTTCATCTCGCCCCAGTGACGCCAGCGGAACGACACCACGGGGGGGCCAGAGTAGACCTCGAGAACCTCCCAGGCGAACACGGGCATCATGCGCTTGAAGGTCTTGTGCGAGCCCTCAAAGCTGTTGTGCTCGGGCGAGTAGTACTTGGACGACGACAGGAGGGCGTTGTACGTGCCGACGTTGACCATGTCGGGGCCGCTGACGTTGGGGCCGCCGTTGCACGAAAAGGTGTAAGCACCCTGGTCGACGGTGCGCCAGTCGTTGTAGTCGGTCTTGTACGAGGCCTCAATCTCCCAGTTCTTGACCAGGTTCGAAACAATGTCCTCGAGCGAGCCACCGGTCCAGGTCTTCTTCTTGGCTGAGCACGTTCAGCACATGGGACACTCGTTGGTTGCACTGCCTGGGCCACTCACTCTGCTCGTAGTACTCGCGGGTGCGGCGGTAGCTAGGGGGTTGGCCGTTGCGCCACGTCGCGCCGGTGTCGCCAAGGACGGCGTCGGGGTTCGAAGCAATGTCGGGGAGCGCAGAAGCCTCAGACATGGTGGATATTCTATGGGATAGGGAGTAGAAGAGTAGCGGGGAATGCAGATGTGGTGAGATGAGGCTCTGAAAGTTGGGGGGCGACGGGTGCCCCCTCGTCCTCCTTTTGTATGATAACAACATGGGGGATTGTCGCAGAGAGGGGTTTGCGCTCAGGCGCCAAGCCCCCAGAACAGGAGTCTCTGCGGGGCGTGAGGTCGTCCGCCGACGCTGCGCATGTGTGTGCTTCTGTCGCCCCCTGGTCCCCCGTCGTGGACAAAGCAGGGCGGGCCGAGGGGGTGGTAATGCTTGGCTTGTGACAGGTCAGTGCTGCTGCCTACAGCCGCCACAGCTCCAGCCAGAGCCCTCCCCCGAACGCCTCGGTGTGTACAACCCACGTTGCGCATGGTCTGCGCGTCTGTGTTGCTGATCCTCTGGCTTGATGCCCCGGCTCAGAGCAGTTAATCCGTAGACGATGTGAGGCCCATGCAAAGCTGTTCCCTTGCACACGAGGGGAGTATGCAACAAGGTGTATGAGGAACGACACAAGGAGCGCGTATTCGCCGTGCCTACAGCGGGCAATTGTCATGTAATGTACTGGCTGTCAGTTCAGACGGGCTCGGGGCTGTTCAGGTCCATCGCGGTGGTCCGCTCTGTACGGCAAAGCGATGAACGTATGTATGGTCGGACCTGGGGTGGCACAGTCATTTTCCATGTGGGACCTGGGCGTCTCGGTACAGTCCATCTGAATGCAAGAGAGCACAATGGCACATCGCGGTGGGCCTTCCATGCGCTTTTGTTGCGCAACATGTTGCACCACTAGTGCACAAAAAGTGAACATGCCACGCCTCACTTTATTTATTTTCAAGGTTTGGTTGTCTTACGGCGCATAATTGAAGGTGTGGCGCCTGCTGGGTATCCCACGGCCATTAGCCGCTAGAGTGTGCACAGCGGCATGTGTTGCTGTGCAGCGCGCGCAAGCAAGGACAGTCTCCTGTCGCATTGACCATTAAGAAAAAAAAAAAACGGAGCGCATCCTGGCACACACTGCCCAACGACAACCCTGTCTTCGTCGCTTGCCATGTCCTTCAGGAACTCTATGGACGGTCACCCGCCTGCTGCCGCTAGGTACGCGTGGTGCAAGGCACTGCCGCCTCCATGCCCACACACATGAGCCGAGGTTTGCGTTCTAGGATGACGGAAACGGTCGCCGGTTCACGATGCCGTTAGAGAAACAGACTGCGGTGGAGTGACCCAAGAAACCGGCCAAGAGACAGTCCTGAAACGCGCCGACCAGCCTCCCCTCCGTCCCATTCCTGCGTAGTCCGTTGGAACGTCGGTGTACGCGAATGTATGCAGACGAAGGGGAGAGGTGGATGGATGTCGCCATCGGAGACGACGAGGACCCTCGTTATGTTGCCGTTGTGCGGGACAGCGTGGCTGACGTGCAGCGCAGTGCAAGCTCTGTGGCTGTGGAAGCTCCAGAAGCATCCACATTTTGTCTAGGCTGGTCCAGACACCGCCGTACAACCCACTTGGCCACTTGCCGGCTCCGTTGGAACGGGTCGTGCATTCAGACTCAGGTAGCTTAGCTTTTTAGTTGAACCACCAACACGTTGCCTTTTCTGTTGCTGAAATAATGGGCTGAGAGACTGCCGAGTGCACGCAGGCGTGCACTGTTGCGGTGCCTGTGCTGCGCATACCCCATCACATCACATCTCCACGAGCCCTCAATGGAGGTTTGGTGGGGGGAGCTGAAGAGTTGGGTTTTGCACGCGATTTTCTTCCGGCTGCTTAGGCTCACTACTCCCTGCTTGTCCACAGCGCTGAAGGGGCGAGATCTAGGGAAAGGTTCGCCGTGTCCATCACCCCCCCCCCCCCCCCCCCCCCTTGCTGTTGGCTGTTGCGCTGCTGGCTGTTGGCCCAACAGACGCGTCTCCATTTCGGAGTGGAGGTTCAAGGCACCGCCGACGCCGCCACGGCCAAAGGATCTTGCGCCAAAAGTCAGAGACAGACGCCGACGGCAGGTCGCTCATCGGGGGCCGGCTGCAGCCCCCGTTTCGTCGTCGAAGGCAGGACGGTAAGGTATGGTATGGTATGGTACTGTATGGTGGACAGAGTAGGCTCGCTGGCCAACATAACGAGAGTCGACACGGCTATACGGAAAGACAGCCTCGGATATCGTGTGGCGCAGCAAACTGTGACAGATAACGCTCTTGTCTTGACAACACTGCGCAGGCTGCAAACACGCTAGGGTGCCTAACTTGATGGTCCGACCTGAGTCATTCGGAGAACATGGGGGTGTGGAGACACGTTTAGCGTGCAGACGAGCATGCGAGCAGCCCTGGGTGGTCTTCGGGGCCGACAAGAACATGAACATGGCCCCGTGTCGGCGTGCGCACGCCCGATAGCTCTGCCCTGCTCGGCACTGCCGAGCAAACGTGCAGAGAGTCCTGTATGGATGGATACTCCGGCGCAAGCTCCGTGGCGTTCTGACAGCCACGACGACGCGGTGCCCTATACCAAGGGCGAACCACATCGCCCCCTTCACAGGCTCGTCAAGAACAATGCAAACCGCGGGCACACGTCGGTTTCCTTGACCTGCGCACTGTGCACACGAGGCGACCGTCCTCCGCTGCACAGGCCCACTGATCCACTGACCGGCCAATCAGTTACCCGCGAATATCACCTCGGCCAGTCACCATGCTTGTCCGGGGCCACCAGGTGTCGCAAGCCCTCTTGTTGGTGGGTACACGCTCTGCTCGTCGAAAATTGGACGTCGAGAAGAGAGTTTACGGCAGTTCCCGCGTCTTGAGCAGGCGAGCGCCACGGCGTGTGCTCCTGGTCCGCGCTAGCTAGCAGCCCCAAGAAGCACACAACAGAACCGGTTGCTCGGGAGCTACCAAAGTACCAGAGTACTATAGTGAGACAGCGAGCCAGAGCAGTGGTTCCAATGTGTGCGATTCCTGACGATCTGCCGCCGCGGGAACGACAGCGGCGCAAGACAGCGGCGCACCACAGCGGCGCAGCCTGGGCCCACGTCAGTATGTACATACCGTCAGTGACTGCCGCGGTTCACACTGCGACGTGGGGTCGGCTTGCTCGTGGCGCCGCCAAGGTACTACCCTTCCCTCGGCACATGTTGCTCAGGCCCCCGCATGCTGCGCGCAGGCATCGCAAATCGTCGGTGTCCGAGTGGACGGACGTGTCTTTTTTTTTCTTTCTTTTTGGTAACCCCCCTGCCATGTCCTGGTTGCTGCAGAGTGCCGGTTAGCGAGCCCTATACCTAGGGCTTTGGAGAGGCACACGCCGGGGTCGGAGGCTGAACGGGTCCTGCAGGCGAGCAGAGAGGATACAGGGGGTGTTGCAGAGCTGGGGTCAGGTACACCGTGTGGTGTTGTGGACTCTTTTTCATGTGCTGAACTGGTTGGAACGGGACCTAGAGTGGACGTGTGGCGTGTGGACTGGTGGATCGGTGGATCGGTGGACAATCCATAATCCAATCGGCGATCCCGCGTGCCACAAGCGATCAGCGTGCCACAAATTGGCTCGTTCCAGGCGGGAACTGATCACTGACTCCATATCTGATCCCGGGTCTCGACTTGGGTGGTACCGTCCACTTGCACTTTGCATAGCTGCGCGGCCGCGGACGTCGGACAGCATCGCACACACCTTCGGACGGGCACGGCGGTCTTCGCCATACGGTTTCCGGAAAGTCTACACTTTTGATATGGACGAGAAATGCGATCTGACTCGGCATTTTGCGATGGGGAGTTGATGAATCCGGGATTCGGGTTCTCTCGTTTGTCGCCGGGCCTGTATATACACACACCATGTTGGACGCGTCCAGTATGCATGCATTACGGGCACTCTACACACAATGCTCAGTAACAAGACTTTTCATACTCTTCACGGCACCGGCCGCTCAGCCACTGGCCGGCTTGGAGCTCGTCGCCAGCTCCATCTCGACAGGATGGGTGGCGCCGATCTGCTCACCAAGGTGCGTGTGTCCCAAATATAGTCGGCGGAGTCCGATCAGGCCCCGCCTATTTATCAATCTCACCTTCTCTCCACACCCCGTCGCCGCACAGCGTTCGTTTCACCCACTTACACTATCCCAGCATCTTCCAGAGGGAACTCGTATCTCAGTCGCTGGCCCCGGCCAAGGCATCTGGGGTGTGCCCATCAAACTCGTCGCGTGCCGCAAGCGCAACGTCCCCGTGCTGGAGGGCACGACGCGCGATGGCCGCTCACACGTTCTCGACCTCGACATTCTTCAACGGGGGCTTCCATCCGGCACAGACGCTTGGCTCGCACAGGTCGGTGTGAGCAAGGCCGACCGTCCAGAGGCTGCCAAGCATATACAGGGCCTGTGGACTGCGTGGCGCGACAATGGCCTTCTCCGCGTGACGGGCAACCTGCACTCGTGGCTCAAGCCGGAGATGTGAGCGGCTTCTGCAGCCCCAGCAGCTGTCAGCTGTTCGCCGCGATCGCTCGCCTAAGCTGACATACAGGACCGGCGTCCATGTTGTGGCGGACGACTTTGCGCTCAAGACCCATCCTGGGATCGAGCAGCTGGGCGATACCGACCTCGTCCACCCCCTCGAGCGTGTCGCGGCCGAGGGCTCGCTCTTCTACCACAAGAACCGCAACGGCGGCAACATTGCGTGCTACGGCTACGGTGCCGGCATTGCCATGAGCACCAACGACGCACTGGTAGCTGCTGGTGGCATGGTGAGTGGCCGAAACCCATGTGGAAAGGGTACTTACTCGCTCAGCCGGCCAACTTCCTCGACGGCGGCGGCGGCGCGACCGAGGCCAACGTGCGCGCGGCCATGGGCGTCATCCTCTCTGACCTGGACGCCAAGGTGCTCTTCATCAACTCGTTTGGCGGTATCACCAAGATGGATCTGCTCGCGCGCGGTATGGTGGAGTGCATCACCCGCTGGAAGCAGGAGGGCCACAAGGTGCCGCCTGTGATTGCACGCTTGAGAGGAACGGGAGAGGACGAGGCGCGCCAGATTGTAGGTTCCATCGTCGCCCAAGTGTCTAACCTAGCAGCTCGAGGAGGCCGCCATCCCCGAGATCAAGTGCTTTGCCGACCTCAAGCCCGCCGCCGAGGAAGCGGTCCGCCTCGCTGGCGGCAAGGGCCCTGGGCCCACCAAGGCTGCCCCCGTGCACACGGTGTCGGCGAGCCCAGTGACCTTTTCGCTGCAAGGACAGTACGAGAAGACGCTGCGCAACCTCGTCGTGAAGGAGAACGACCCCGTCATGGTCGTGGGCATGGGCAAGGCCGTGAGTAGAGTAGCTTTCTTCGTCTCGTGGAATATCGAGCTAACAGTACCAGTCACAGTCGCACAGCGCCGTCGCCCAGGACTGGGGCACCAACATTATCGGCGCCGTCGCTCCCAACAAGGGTGGCCAGACATTCCTCAGCAAGCCAACGTACGGCAGCGTCAAGGAGGTGAGCTGGCCGCATGTCCCCCAAGCTGACAGTACAGGGCGTGGACATGCTCAACCCGCGCATTGCGTCCGTCTTCGTACCGCCCGCCGCGGCCGCCGACTCGATCATCGAGTGCATCGAGGCTCAAGTCCCGCTCATTGTGTCGTACGCTGAAGGTGTACCGACGCACGACCAGTTGAGGGTGAGCTAAATCATTCTCGTTGAAGCTGACAACACAGGTCCAAGCAGCGCTCCGGTCACAGGGCACGTCGCGCCTCGTCGGCGCCAACTGCCCCGGCGTCATCTTCCCGCACCAGCGGGTCAAGCTCGGCATCCAGCCTCTGCGCGTGCACTCGCCCGGATCAGTCGGTGAGTCCAAAGCCCATGGGTCATGGGCCATGGACGCCGGCAGATCAGATATGTGGTGTCCAGCGTATCTGACAGTATACCGCAGGTATCGCCTGCCGCTCGGGCACGATCTCGTACGAGCTCGCGGCGCAGACGACGGCCCTGGGTCTCGGCCAGAGCGCAGTGTACGGCCTCGGCGGCGACCCATTCCCGGGCACGCGGACGTGGGAGGCGCTGCAGCTCATGCTCGAGGACCCGGCGTGTAAGCTCGTCGTGCTCGTCGGCGAGGTCGGCGGCCAGAGTGAGTCCAGTACTTGTGGCCCTGGCTGGATGGAGTTTGAACGAATCCGAACGTGCCATCCAGCTACTGCACTCCTGTATACTGTAGCTGATCGCTGACACCCACAGTGGAGGAGGAGGCAGCCGACGTGTACCGCTCGTACCTCGCGTCTGTGCGTCCCGGCCAGACGGCCAAGCCCGTCATTGGGTTTGTCGCGGGCGCGTCCACCCAGCGTGGGCTCGTGTACGGCCACGCCGGTGCCGTGTGGTGGAACCCCGAGGAGACGGCCGAGGCCAAGCGCCAAGTGTGGAAGGACGCCGGGTTCGTCGTCGCCGACACGCTCGGTGACTTGGGTCCGCTCATTAGCGAGGAGGCTGCCAAGCTGCGTCTTTGAGAGCTAGAGAAATCATAAAGTATAGCATATCAATCAGGGGTTCATGGACGTATGTACTGTACAAAGCGCTAGACTATAGCTACGGCGGCGTAAGGTGACACTGGTTCTTTTGTTGCTTGGGGCAGGGCACGGTGAATGCCGTGTTTCTTAGGGTTGAGGGGTTGGACGAGTCGCACGGCCGCGCGTGGACGTATCGGACGCGGAGCGGGTGGCGGAACGAGTGGCCATCGCCGCGGTCGCGTTCAGAGCCGAGCTGGAGCGCTGCTTCTTGAGGGCGGTGTTGACCGGGATGCGAGACGCAGCCGCCGTGGGCTTGTAGTCGGATCCAGAGTCGTCGCTACGGCTGGCGATACGCCTGGATGAGCGGCGTGGCCCGGCAGGCTGCTCGTGGTCGTGGTCAAGACCATTCTCTCGCTTGACCCCGAGGGCGTCGCGCTGGGACTGGGCCTTGGTCTTGCGTCCCGGCGTGACGTTGGCACAGTTGGAGCCGTTGTGGTCCTTGTCTAGAACGAGCACCTCGCGGGCCGTCTCTTCGAGGCGGGCCTTGACAGCGGGGTTGATGACGACGGACCGGTCCTGGTTGAGTGGCTCAATTGCGTTCCACGGGAGAACCCAGAACCAGCCACGACCGTCAGCGACCAAGTTGTCCCAGTTGGACGCGGGGCCGAGGTCGTACGGGCGTTCGCCGTCGAGGATGGGCAGGACGACACCCAGGACGCCTTCGCCAAAGCTGCCCGCCGACCGGGTGGAGTGGGTCGGCGTGGGCGTGGGAACGAAGAACCACAGCTTGGGACTGAACCGCGCCAGGGCGGCGGCCGTCTTGTCCGACATGTCCTCGCCAAGCGCGTAGCTCATTGCGGCAGCGTCGAGGGCCTTGTCGTACGTCGCAGCGCGCCACATGTCGATGGTGAAGTCGCCGACGCGGATGTTCGAGACGAGGCTATACAGCAAGAACTGCGCTGGTCAGTTCACTTCAGACATGGAAAGCTCACGATTGCAATGCCAGCAAGGATGTGGGCTAGGAGGAACATTCCGGCCACTTCAAAGCTGGGAACGCCGTCCCAGGCCTGGATGAACGAGATTGACTGGGCGGTCCAGAGATGCAGCGGCGAGTCAGGCCACGACAGCGAGTCGGGCCACCACGGTTGGGAGTCGGGCCACCAGCGCGGCAAGTCTGGCCACAACAGCGGCTGCGAACGCATTCCGTCTGAGCGAGACATGTCCCATGCCTTGACACCGTGGTACCATAGATGCGTATAGAGCGGGGCCGCAAGGAGGAATGTCGCCAGAGTGCCCAGGATGAGGATCGCGAGGAAGGCCGGGAGGTAAGGCGCGGTGAGGCAGGTGGCAAGCTGAAGGAGCATCAGTCGAGTTCAACAGAATTCTAGCGCGTCTGAACTCTACACTCACAGTAGGAGAGTGGTGGTCATACGCGGTGCGGCATTTACCACAGGTGCGACAATGTCTCACGCGTCCAGGCTTGGGAGCGCCATCACAGGTCTCGCAGCGCTGCACGAGCTGGGTGATGGCGTCATGGTCGTGCGAGCGGACGATGATGTGTTCGTCCAAGTCCTTCTGCTTGCTGTGGATGGCATGGACATTGGAGGGAGGCGGGATACACTCAAAGACGGTGTCCAAGTCTGGCGGCGAGGCAGACGGGAGAGAGTGGTCGGCGGAGAGGAACCAGAGGTACGTGAACAGGAGGGTAACGTGGCCGAGGAGGAAGATGGCCGCGGCGCCGTACAGAGCTGACGAGGGGGTGTCAGCACACGGCCATGTGGATGGTGGATGGATGACATACCTGCAATGACTGGCTGGTCGTTGAGGAGAAAGTGTTTGTCTAAAAGTCATGTCAACAATCAACAACAACAACAACAACGATCCAGGACCTCCACTTTGATGCACTCACACGCCACATCCACCGCGGTGCACTTGATAGCCCACAGCAAGTATGCGGTAAGGAACGTGGGGATGATCTGCCGCACTATGCGGGTGAGATACCCAAGCATAGTGACAATGGCGGGACTTTGATGGATTGATGGTTGACTGTGTAATGTTGACAAGGTGGTTGTCGCGTCTGGCTGTTTTAGATCTTAGTGGCATTTCGCCGCCAGGCCCCAAAGCCGGAAGATCCGAGCAGTTGCAACCCAGGCGTGGGCTTCACGGTCAACGTAAAGTCGCATGCTTGCGGTTCGTGAGCAACCCTGCGTCGTCGGTACTGATTAAGACCTTGCGTGCAAGTAAGGCTGGCAGAGGGCCTAATATGTACAGGAGCCTTGTTGTTGGCCATTGTTGGAGCCTTGTTCGAATGATTCGTCGGCTGAACCAAGCGTGGCACAACCGTCTGATCGCGGCTGCAGATCAGGCGGTGACACTGGTACACTGGAGATGATGACACGAGTCAGTCGACCAGTCACAAGCTATGGATCATGCCGGTAAAACTCGCGAAGCGTGGCGATTCATTTGTCTTCAAGCGAAGGGCGATGCTGAGATGCAAGGTTGCGGACTCTCACCCACTGCAACCCATCCCCTTGTCGATCACCCATCTCGTATGGGCACATGTCATTTCCCCTCGTCATCTCCGTCCTCTTCATGTCCCAACCCCTTCTCAACCCCTCCTCCTTCACGTCTTCCCGCATGTGAGACCAGGTCCGGTGCTGTCATTTGCCGACGGGCGGAGGATAGCGACACTCCCTTGAGTCCCCGGCCCTTGGCCACTGGGCACATGAAAACAAGGGAGGAGTCGGAAAGGTACATACTGAACTATGCTGGAACTTGAATCACATTCCACGACGACGTGTGTGTGGAAACAACTTGTGGCACGAGCAGACAGCGACATCCGCCGTGACCTCGGCAACAGAGGACGAACTGCATGTGAGCGAGCTTGGCCGGCTTACAGGGCCATCGGCTTGTATTAACCCTGGGGTTTAACCCAGAACGAGAAGAGCGATCTGGCGGTGCTCGCGCGCGTGTGTGAGCTGAGCAACTGACACAGACAGCATTCCAATGCCGCCCAGCAAGGCCAGCAAGGCCAGCCGACCAGACGACCATACAGCCGTAACAGCGGGTATACCTCGGAACACAGCAGCAGCAGCCACACGCGCCAAGCGCCACGGGGTCCATGCCCATACGCCTCTCATCAAGGGGGGGGGGGGACAATGCCATCGACCCATCTATCCATAGACGAGACGGCGGGTCTCTGGCGTCTCTGGCGTCTGGCGCCCATCCTCGTCCTGCGCTGTCGATCCTACAGGCCCCCGACGCCGGTACCGGCCCCGGCCGGTACCGGCGTCGGGGGGGCCAGGTAAGAGTGGTGAGTGACCACCTGCACCTGCGCACGCCGCAGAGCCCCTCGCCGCCACAGTGAACGCCAAGGCACTGAGATGATGGCCGACGCGGCTCTCCTTTTTTGCTTTTCGAGTACTTGTAGGTATTGTATGACTCCCCATGCCCCATCAAGATTGAGCATGGCGGACATGTCGTTGTTGGCCTTTGGCCTTTGGATGTGAGGCGCGGGCTGGCGTGGCAGTGGCATGGAGAATCGACGGGCACTTGCGAGAGGAATGGGCCATTGTACGCCGATGGAATCCGAGCAGGCGCCGCCCGACGCCAATGATAGGGCCTCGTCGCCCGACATTGGGCTATAGGCTATAGGGGGTGTGCTAGTGGCGCCGAGAAATGGACCCGGACGCCAGAGTACCAGAGTCATCATCTGTCAGGCGTCGTAGATTCGGGTTACATCAATTGTGTGCTGTACGTCAGCTGGCTAGCTGGTGGTCGGGTGCGAAAGGAAGGGTGGCGGGTGGCGTCAAAAGCACATTCGGTGACGTGCAACTTTGGACTGGCCTCGTGGATGACGGAGGACGCAAGACAAAGGACGATGGAGCTCTGCCACTCTGGACGCCAGCAGGCAGACAATGACGCGCCCAATGACGCGCCCGACACGCCACGATCGAGATCGAGATCCCATTTCTGGCCAAGCCCTTCACTGGCCGTGGCACCATCGTCATCGCCATCGTCAGTGGCACTGCCGCCGTCGCCGTCGTCGTCGTCACTGGGCTTCTTTCCTCCAGGTTGATCGAGTTCCGCCTTGGCAACGCATGGGCTGGGGCGCATGGCCTGGCGCAATGGCCTGGTATGGCACTTACATGAACAGACACGTGAGCGCGGAATGGTCGTCATGGACCTGGGCGTGCGCGGATACCAGGAGTAGAATTGTGCGGAACGAGGGACCTGGACGTGTGCTCTGGTATCCGCTGGCCGCGGCTGGACGTTTGCCGCGAACGTACTGTACGTGCGTGTCGTGGTAGAGTGGTACGTCGTCTGCGTGTGGTATGTGGCATGTTCCATGTGGCATGTGGCACCAGCGGCTGCTGATGCCAGCAGGCAAATAACAAGGTCACAGTATAGATCAGTCATTCGTCATCTTCATAGACCGACCAGAGACCAGAGACAAGACACCAGAGACCAGAGAGCGCAATCACCACTCGTGTACCGAGCAGCACACATGGTCGCACACAGTCCCCAACGCGGCCTGTGTATTGTCGGCAGCACATGTCCGCGTCCTGGCCGTGTTCCCGCATTCCGCATTCCGTGTGCGCGTCGTCCAGCTGTGAGTCGCAGACGCGTGTATCAGAGTGTGCCCAGCGATCCAGCGTGGGGACCTTTTTCGGAGCAGCAATGTAAAAACCCTGCTTGCCGGTCGTACCGATCTCCTCTCTCTTCGCGGGATTCACGGACCACCAGCCAAGCTAGCCAAGTACTGTTGGAGGCAACTGACTGCATGGCTGTGCTGGTCGTCGTCGTTTCCCGGCCGGCGAAGGCTGTCAACACGGTATATCGTTGCCTGTTCACGTGTAGCCGTATCTATAGCAGTGGCAGCTACCAACCGATAGCATTGTGCCACGGTGCCACACTGTCCCTCCATCCCGCCCGTCCTGGCCCGGATCTTGGCAGCTCCGTGATCCGTGATCCGCGATCCGTGATCGGTGCACTTCACTGCACTGCTTACAACCCGAAATCAGCCTGCAGCCAGTCAGACGAACCACACGCTGCCATTGCGAAGTCCAGGTGCGTGTCGGCACAGCTTGGGGTCCTGCCGGTGCCAACCTCGTCCGGGAAAGGAACCGGGCAGGCATGTGTCCAGTTCAGCGCGACAAGCGGGGTGGGTGTGGGTGGGTACGCAGCATGGACAAAAGCCCCATGTGCTCTGTCCCGTGCATTGTCCATCGGACGGACAGGTCATGTCTTGACGTTTACCGTGAACCAGGACCAGGACTGCCTCTTCCTCGCTCTGCCTCAGAGGCTGCCATGTGCTCTACGCACGCACGCACGCACGACATATTTAAGCTCCAAGCAAAGCGTACCCGGGACCTGGTCTCCGCCCGGAAGCGTGCAGCCTGGGTTTTCGCAATGGCTAATGGACATGACGCGCCGCCCGCGCGGGAAGCAACGCGTGGTCGGAAGTAGGTGCGGTACGCGGTAGGGGCCCATGCCTCTCCGACATTGAGACACATGGGGCGACGGTCATGGGCTACAAGGGGCCAAGGGGCCAAAAGGGGTTCATTGATCATTGACGGGTGCGGGAGTGAGAGTGAGTCGCAAACGAGTGGGCAAAGGTTGCGCACTGGCGGTGCGCGGCAACCAAACCTTGTGCGGTTGTCCAGGACGCCACTGTGTCCTGTGGCGGCCACTTTTGCTGTCTGGGACAAGGAGGTATCGACAGAGATGATCGTGTACTGCACTGGACCCCACAGAACCATAGCAACGGCCGGCGACTCTGGGCGCAGCGCAGCGCTGTGCATCGTCAGAGTCTGCCGTCGTCTCCGGCGTTGGGTTGCCGTCGAAATCTAGCTGACAGCAGATCGGACATGGCGGCCAGGTGCGTGGTAACGTGCTGCCTGCTGTCTGCTGCTCGCATGCAGCGTGGCAGCGTGGCAGCGTGGTGTCGCCGTGTGCCTCGTGCACCGTGCATCGGTCGCGATCTACCGTTTCCCGCACGTCCCCAAGGCTACATTTCGCTGGCGCAGCAGACCATCAGATGATAGTCAGATAGATCTCAGATCTTGCCGTCCCCGTTTGCCCGTTGCCCGCGGTCCACTTCGGCCGCGCGCCGCGCCGGTTTCGCGGCGTGGCGCACCCACTGCTTTCGTTTCTTGGGTCGCTATGGATCTCGCCCTGGTGGCCAGCACGGACAGATCGATAAGCCTCATGCCCATGCCTTTGGTATGTGCTCAAAAGAGAGAAGAGAAGCTCGCATGGCGTGCGTCGCTGGGGGGGGGGGGGGACGGATCACGCCGTGTCCCCGGGTCCACCCTGCCTACAGCTACAGCTACAGCTACAGCTACAGCTACGTCGCTCTCGCAGATCCGCAGAAATGGGGCCAACCTTGAATGTGTCTTGAGCTTGTTCGTCCTTGCCTCCCAATTCCCAAGCCTAGCCAACCTTGTGCGTTTGATCCGCTGCGCTACGGGTGGGAGAGATCCTCTACGATCCTAGGATCCTGCGATCCGATTCCTCGTGGGTTCCGGGGATCAAACCCCCCAGCCCCCATTCCCAGTAGCACGCCGGGTGCGTGGCTGCGTTGGCACGCTTCTGCGCTCGCGAGGTACAGCCCACGCCTCGTGTCTGTGATCTGTGAACGTGGTCCTGTGTGTGGCCATGTGGGCAGGTAGTACGCATCCACGGGGGTGGTCGTTTACGGTGCGCGCCGTCCAACTGAGTACCTGAGTACCACTGGCCACTGGCAAAGTGGCCACGAAACACGGCTCTGCCATGGATGTGGCGGCCGGACAGGACCTGGTCTGGTCCTGGCCACTTGGTGGCGACCGTGGTTGGGCGGTCACTACGTCATTGACGGCGTACAGCCAGTTGGCACAGTCATGTCAGTCAGTGGATCTGGGGCGTTTCGATGCGATAGTTTGTCCAGGTCGCGTGCGTGCGCACAGATGCAGACGAGGCGCTCGATACGTGAGCTGCGGTTACCCAAAGTTGGTTCGGCATCATCGCGATCGACACGGAATGGTGTACAGTATACAGTATTGTGGCCGTGACGAACGAAAACACTTACCCAATTGGTACACCTGCAGAGTCCCATTACTGCTCTGTTTTGGGAAAATGAATGCCCAAAAATAAGATGAGACGCGCGACAGCGTGTGCTGATACTTTGTCTCCTTTACCCCCCTCCCCCCCGGGTCGAGGCACGACACGGGGTTTGGACAAACCACGACGACATGGACCGTGGGACCTTTGTACATACAGTACTGCTGGACTGTCCCAGATACTGTATATGCAACGAGCGGGGACTGCGGGAACCAGGAGACTTTGCTCGCTCGCTCGGATCACAGGTGTGTTCGTGGTATGCAAAACTCGCAACTGTCCCCACTGCGCCACTAGCCGCTGGCCTGCCACTGGCCACTGGGCATTCCGCGACACATGAAGGCGTTGAAACGGCTCCTCGTCCCGCGCACCGCCGCCGTGTCGGGGCAAGCTGGAAGCAGCCATGTAAATGCTGGAACCGACGACCGCGGGAGGGGTAAACCCGAAGTACCAGAGCAAGGGGTGTGTGTGCCAGAATTCTAGAAAACAGAAACGGACGGAGTGAGAGCGCGGCCAGCGCCTGTTACGATCACAAAAAAGGAGTTTCTCCGCTCGCCAAGCGCAAGAAGAGACATTGCGCAGAGACAAGGACGGGGGTAACAAGCTAACAAGGAAGATACGAGCCGCGTCAGAAGAGCAAGTCGGTGCGACGATGATCTGGCACAAGGGGGGGCGGAGCAAAAGGGGAACAAGGGGACGAGGCGACAGCGGCAATGTCTACTGGCTGCCACTGCCACTGGCCACTCACTCTAGTGATCTAGTGACTGTCTGGTGTCCAAAACTGGCTGCCACTGGCTGCCGTGATCGTTGGGGAATGACATTTTTTGCGCTCGCCACTATCTGTGTCTCCCTCTGGACCAGTCGCAACGCTCCCCTCCCCTTTCCCCTCGCGCTCGCTCGCTCCGGCCCAGTGTCAACTCCGAGACCCGCCGGCGTTCCCGCGAGCCGAAGGCCGCGCCGCGAGCGCCGCGAGCGCCGAGCGGAACAATGTGGGTGGTGGCGGAGGCTGGCGGAGCGTTGGGCCAGGTTTTTCGGCGAGGGGGGGAAATTGGCATTAGGGAAAAGAGAGGACGAAATGAGCTATGCGGAGATCGGAGAGGGAGAGAAGAACAAGGGAAAAAGGACAGAAAAGGGATAAATGGGAGACAGAGCAGCAGCAGCAGGCAGCAGCAGCCGTCCCCGCGCGCGCGCCAAGTATAGGCCGCGTTTCATATACGGGGCAAACGCCAAATGGCAGAGATCCCATCGTCTCAGGTCACATCCGGGGGCATTCTCAGGGCGGAGTGAGCGGTGAGAGGAGAGACCTTGTCAGTTCCGCAGCGGCCGCGCACATGCACTTGCCTGTGCACCACATGATATGATGGGTTGCATGGGTTGTGCAGGTGGATATGGAAGAGGGTGAGTGGGGGGGGGTGAGTGGCGAGAAAAGGCATATGCTGCAGAGGGGATATGACGAGGGAAGATGCGGGTTCCGAGCGAGGAGAGAGAGCAAAGAGCGATGATGCAGAGATCGGCATCTCTGTTTCTCGCTCTGTGGTAAATGACAGGGCTCTCATCTGCTTAGCGCATGTGCATGGCGGCGGCGGCGGCGATAGCGAAAGCGAGAGGGAGAGCGAGGGGTGGAGCGAGACACATGCAGGATACAATGTGTGAGCATTCAATATGGATTGCATTTGGGAGAGAGGGAGAGAGAGAGTGCACTGGTGGGGGGGGGGGGGGGGGGGGGGGCGGAATGGGAGCATGGGGGAGAGAGACACGCGTACGCGCGCGGGATGAAAGGAAAGTGGACACCCAGAAAAAGGAAACAGGACGAGGAGGAGGCCAGGAGGCCAGGAGGTAGGAGCCAGGAGCCAGGAGGGAGAGACGGCGGCCTGTGGGGGGGGGGGGGGGGGGGGGGGGGGGGATTGCCCGCTGGCGGCTGGGAGCTGCAGCTGCGGTGCTGGTTTTTTGCATTCCACCCGTGCAGACAGAGAGAGCCGTCTGTCGGTCCCTCTCTCATCCCCCTCACTCCCATCCCTCTCCTCCTCTGGCGCAGGCTGTCGCGCGGGCTGTCGCTCGCTCGCTCGCTCTCACTCTTTGCCCTTCCCTCACTCTCTCACTCTCTCTCTCTCTCGATCTTGCACACCACCTCCGCCTCCTCCTCCTCCTCCTCTTCTCCATCTCATTCTCCCCCCCCTCCTCCCCATCCTCGCCACCACCTCCTCTCCTCCGCCTCCTCTCCCGCCCCTCCCCCTCCACCCCCCCGGCATCCTCTACGCGACATTCCCCCCCGCCTCCCTTTTGCTCTCCGGTCTCCTCCCCCTTTGCCTCCCGGATATCTCTCTTGTTCACGTTGGCACACACCCACACACACACACTCTAAACGCGTGTTTGCCTGACACCTCTACGCGCCTCTTAACGACCCCCCCCCCCCCCCCCCCCTTGCAACTTCTACGAACACACACACACACACACACACCACCTCCCTCCTGCGTGGTGTAGCACGACTTTGACGGTGAGTGTCTGCCGCTCCTTGTGCACACGCCTCCCTCGCGGCAGCAGCAGCAGCAGCAACAATCCTCCGGGACCGCGGGCGCCTCTTTTGCCCTCCCAGCCCAGCGGCCAGCGGCCAGTGGTTTGCACCGCTACGACACGGGGTTTCCTTTTGGCCTGTGTGGGCTGCCGAGCAAGCCTCCGCGCGCGCCGTTTCGCTCCTACCTGCCCGATCCTGCCATATGCTGACATTGATCCTCCGGCCGTCGATCGTCCTGGTATCCGTGCCCTCTCTTCGCCCATCGCCCACACACCCACCCATCCATCCATCCCCACCTCTCCCCCTCGCCGCGCTTCTTTTTCACTCTTTTCCTCTCTCTGTCGCTGCCACCTGCCCATCGATATACCCAAACCACACACAGCGAACACACCCTTCCCCCCCTCCCCCCCCTCCCCCCTCCCCCCTTCACCCCTCCCCTCCTCCCTCCATCGCACCACATCGCACACCCACCCGTGTGACCTGATTGTGTGCACACACGCAAAGGAGGCAATGAACGACGCGTTCACTCACGAACACGTCCCTCACCACCATCTTGTGCCCGACCCAGACGACGCTCTCATGACCACGACCATGTACCAACCCTTCCAATACTATCACGACCAGGCAGCCGTGGGCGCACCGTCGTACCTGGGTCCGCCCCACGGCATGCACAGCGACATGGCCGATCACACCCCGGTCTCACACTCGCCACCACCAGGCAGCCTCCCGGCTGTCCAAGTGACGCATGCCACCCCTACCAAGCTCCGTTCCCGCCGCATGGCAGGCGACCACCCCCAGACGCTCGACGTCACCGTCGACACCACCTCGGCGTACGAGCATCCCGGTATCGCACCCGTCGCCAAGCCATCGACCATGGCGCCCCGGTCCAAACTGGCAGACGACGAAGAGGCGCGCCGAGCCAGGAAGCGAGAGATGGGCCGCGAGAGGCAGCGCCGCAAGCGTTTGAGGGACAAGGAGAAGCGCGAGGTGAGTTGGGGTGTCGATGTGCAAGAGTGGTGGTGCAACGGTTGCTGACAATGTCTCAAAAGGCTGCAAAGTCGTCGCAGCAGCCGCTTGGCGGACCGCTCCACGACCAGGGCGGCCACATGGGCTACGGCGTGCCCATCTCAAACCTGGGTGCGCGCGACGGCAGTAGCTCGAGGCCCAGCTTTTCTGGCTCGACGTCGTCGTACGAAGGCATCCCGTCGTCGGCCTCGACCACGTACTCGAACCTGCCGCCCATGTCCATGACCATTTCGCCGTCGCAGTCGTTCACCATGTCTGGCAACAGCTCTGCTGCGTCGTACTCTGACGCTTCGTCGCCTGCCAACTCGTTTTCACCGACCCTGTCTGCAGGCTTTGCCTCGGACTCTTCGTCGTGGCAGGAACACACTGCGGTCTTTGGCAACCTGTCGTTGTCGGGCGACGCGACGGTGCGCGCGTCCAAGCCCCGTGCCACCAGCGCGGGTCTTAGTAACGTTACATCGCGTCGTCAGTCGGGACAGTCTGGCGCAGACTTCCCCTTTGGACACCAGGACACACGCCCGTCCCCGGCCAAGCGTCGAAAGTCGGAGATGGAAGACGGCCCCGGCGTCGGGCTCGGCGTGGTCATGAGCTCGGACACGGAGGACAACAACTGGGACCGCCGTCGCCCGGCATCCGTGCCGGACGGCTCTGTGCTTGACCCGTCTATCCGCTCACGTTCGGCCACCCCTCCCCCGTTCCCAGACGACGTCAATGTTGCTGGCCAGGTTCGCCTCTCGCCCGAGGGCATCTACTTTGCCAACACGGTCGTCCAGGCGCTCACCACCTCGCACTGGGGCGCCGCTCTGAACAGCAAGCTGGGCATGACGCGCGACCACGTCGAGAGCATGGGCCAGGACATTGCGTCGACGTATGAGCGGTGGCGTCTCGCACACGGCATGAGCCAGGTCACCCTTGACCCGGACACTCGCGCACAGGTCATGGCACAGACGGCCACACAGTCTCCGCCCCCACCTTCATCGCCCCGCTCGTCGTCGTATGCCACCCCGGCAGGCCAGCGCGTCGGCGATGTGCCCATGGAATCGCCCTCCAATTCATCCACCACATCGTCCGTTCCCAACATGGCCCTGGGCCCGCGCTCGTCGTCTACCACCTCGCTGTCGACGGCCGCCGGTATGCGTTTCACGCAACCGGGCCAGGCGCCCGAGACTCCCCAGTCCAAGGCCACCACGTCGTCGTCCAACACGTCGCCCATCAACCCGACTCTGCAGACCCCGTCGTCGCAGAGGCATGGCGTGTTCCCTCCAGGCGACTACCAGCAGTGGCCCGTGGCTACGGCCCCGCAGCCCCCACGTCTCTACGACACCACCGACTGGCGCGGGCAGTATCCCAACCACTCGCTGTCGAGCCCGATCACAGGCCCTGCCAAGGACCAACCCATCCCCTCAGCGCCTTCACATATGCTCCAGTCGCCCATCACTGTGCAGCCCGGGTTCATGGCCCAGGAATACAACTCTGCGGCTGGTGGGCCACCCCGCGGCCACATTCCGTTCACACCCGCCACCCCGGTCCCGCAACGCGGCAGCAACTATTCCTCTGGTCCCGGCGCCGTGCCCATGTTCTACAACCCGCAGATGCAGCACCAGCAGCAGCACCCGCACCAGCAGCACCCGCACCCACTGGCTACGTCGACGGTGCAGAACAGCCCCCCTCAGCCGACCGGCCCTCCCCACGGCGTCGCCGGTGACGGCGACATGTTCCTCTCGCGCGGCTTTGCGCAGTAACTCGCCTCTGACGCGATGGACACTTTCTCTCTTTCAGCTTTTTTTCTTTTCTTTTCGCCAAGATCATCCACGGCATCGAAGACCGACGTATTCACGCTTTTTTCCCCCGTTTCTTGCCTACATACACGAACCACACGGACCGCACACGCACATGCGCGGCATACTATTCTCGTCGTACACCCCACACGGTGTCAATACCCCCGCGCTCCGCCCGCACCCAACGCATGAACCGACGCAAAGCCAACCCACCCCCCCTCTCACCTCCTCCTGCCCGCTCCTAATATATAATGCGCAATTGTAAGCGCTGCACCAGCACCCCCGGAGCGCCGGCCACGACCATACTTTTTTTTTTTAACGAGACCTACGACCTGACGACGACCACCACCACCCAAATTACCGTATCCTACCGTATCCTACCGTACCCTACCTTAAAATCCTTAATGAAATATATACACAAGACACGCCCCCGCACCTCTCTCCCTCCCTCCCTCCTCTTCTTTCCTCGTTAAAGACAAGCCAGCGAGCGAGATACCTCCGAGAGCGAGATACCTCCCCCCGGTTCCCTCCCTCCCCTCCCTCCCTCCCTCCCTCCCTCCCTCCCTCCTGCTGAGTGTAAAGACCCTCATGAGAATACATGTCAGCGGCCACCCGCGCCCCTTCGTGCAACCCCATGAGGAAGAAACACCTCCCCCCCCCCCCCCCCTACAGCCTATTGCAGCCCCTCCCTACGCCCATATACAGTGTATACATGCCCCGTCCACCTCCCCCCGGCTCTCTACCTGACGAGGTGCTCGGGCCCAAAGCTCATGGGCAGCAGCTCGTCCAGGGTCATGGTACACACCATGTCCTTATCCTGTGCCACCGCAAACGCTTCCCCGTCGTTCGCGACCAAGAACGCGGGCGCCGTGTCTTGCTGCCCATACTTTTCGTGATACCCCGCCGCGACCATGTACACTGGGGCGGAGAGGGGCGCGAATTCGCGAATCACCTGGCGACAGATGCCGCACGGCGAGATGGTGGGCGTGGGGAGGTCCGAGGTCACGATGACGGCTTGGACGCGGGAGTGGCCCTCGCTCTGGGATCGGGGGGTGAGCTGGCTGTTGCAGGGGGGGAGGGGGGGGGGGGGGGGGGGGGTTCTGCCGATGTGGCTGGGCGCTGGACGCCCGCTGGCTAGGATCTTATCCCAATGACAGCGGTAGCGGTAGCGGTACGGTATCGGCGCGCGGCGGAGGGGAGGGGAGGGGGGTGACTCACGATAGCCTTTGTGATGGCGGTGCGCTCGGCGCAGATGCCCGCGCCTGGGGTAGGTTAGCCACGGCCATGGTATCACGAGGCATATACCTACCGTAGCTGGCGTTCTCGACGTTGCACCCGCCCACGAGGGTGCCGTCCTCCATGAGGATGGAGGCGCCGACGCTGTTGGGAGTGGTTAGTGTGCGCTATGGTGCATGAGGCGGTGTTCGTGGAGGGAAGGAGGAAGGAGGGAAGGGGGGAAGGGGGAAGGAGGGAGGAGGGAGGAGGGAAGGTCGCCTGGTCGTGGTATTTGCCACACGCTGGATCACCGGCCCACTGGCCGGCCACTGGCCACTAGGCTGCGGATGTGGAACCACCGTTGCCGACGGAACAACTCTTGTAGCCAGCCTCGCGCTGGCGGTGGCCAGTGGAGCGTGACGGCTCCATGGCCAAACACAGGTCCATGGCCAAACCAGAGCCGCAAGGAAGGGGAGCATCGTGCGGCCTCGTCCAGCTTCAGACTTACCGGAACTTGGAGTACGGAGCGTACGCCCTGTCGCGCGCTGTACGATGTCAGCTTGTTCCGCAGAGCAGACTAGCTCACAGGTAAAGGCGAGCGTGATGGCCTTGTGGAGGGTGTTGGGGTCCATGGTGGTGGTGGTGGTGATGGAGCAAAGTTGAGGAGACTATCGGTGACTTGCAGTGACCCGCATGGTGTCTTGTGCCGGCGGGATCGGACTTGTCCGCCATGACACCCGCTCCCCCTGGGCGCAACTTGGGGGACCTGACGCTGAAATTGAATTCGCGTGGTGGGATAAATACAAAAATAACAAATAAATATTACCCACCTGCCATTTGGCTGGTGGCCCTTCTCCTCGCCCCTTCTCCGGCCGCCCCTGCGCACGCTCTCGCCCCCGTCGCGCTGCCACAAAAAGTCTTGTTCTTCCACTCTCCCCCATCTCTCCTCCTCTCTTCACTCCACAGCGGGTGTATGAGCTTCTCCCTCGTCCGCAACTCGGCCTTTACACTTGCGCTTCGTCCAGTAGTCCTTACTGCAGCCGTCGCCGCCGCCCCTCTCCCACCCTTGTACCACGCCCGACTCGCACCCGTTGCCCGTCGCCCCTTCCACGTCTCGTCTGTAGCCCCCGCCAAAAAGAAAGCCATGCCGCCCAAGAAGAAGAACGTCGAGGAGAAGAAGGTCATCCTTGGCCGTCCCGGTAACAACCTCAAGGTGAGTAGAAGACACTGGCAGGCGACCGTGCTCGTGCAACGACACGGCACAAGTCACCGTCGCTCGAAACTTTTTTTTAGTCATCGTCGTCCTTTTTTTTGCTGACGTGTTACCTCAGATCGGTATTGTCGGTCTTCCCAACGTCGGCAAGTCGTCGTTCTTCAACACCCTCTCGAAGACCGACCTCGGCAAGGCCGCCAACTTCCCCTATGCCACCATCGACCCCGAGGAGGCGCGTATCCCCGTCCCCGACGAGCGCTTTGACTGGCTCGCGTCCGTGTACAAGCCCAAGACCGAGATCCCCGCCTTCCTGACCTGCATCGACATTGCCGGTCTCACCGCCGGCGCCTCGACCGGTGCTGGTCTCGGCAACGCGTTCCTGTCGCACGTCCGTGCCGTCGACGGTATCTTCCAGGTCGTCCGTGCGTTCGACGACGCCGAGGTCATCCACGTCGAGGGCGACGTCGACCCCCTCCGTGACATGGAGATCATCTCGACCGAGCTCCGTCTCAAGGACATTGAGTGGGTCGAGAAGGAGATTGAGCGCCTCAAGAAGCAGGTCCGCTCGTGCGGCAGCGTCTCGCTCGCCGACAAGGCCAAGAAGGAGGAGCTCGCCACCGTCGAGCGTATCCTCGTCACCCTGACCGAGGAGAACAAGGACGTCCGCAAGGGTACTTGGACCAACAAGGAGGTGAGCATCAGATTCTGTTTCCACTTTTTTCTCCCCTTTCCTGTTTTCCTTTATCGGATGAGACGGGCTATACGCCCTCAAACCCAGCTCGTCGAAGTCGGGGTCACGCCTGAACAAACCTAATGAGAAGTTACCTATTCTGAATCCTACCCTCTCCCCCCACATTTTTCTCGTGACAGTCATAATATAGGGGCTTGGAGCTGACATTTGTGTTCCTTTTACAGGTCGAGATCATCAACGGTCTTACTCTCCTTACCGCCAAGCCCATCACCTACCTCGTCAACCTCTCAGAGCGCGACTTTGTGAGGAAAAAGAACAAGTGGCTGCCGAAGATCAAGGCCTGGATCGACGAGAACAACCCGGGAGACATGCTCATCCCCTTCTCGGTCGCGCTCGAGGAGCGTCTCGTCAACATGTCCGACGAGGAGCAGGCCGCCGAGGGCGAGACCCTCGGCCTCGGCAAGAAGTCGCCTTCGAACCTCGGCAAGATCACCACTTCGGGCTACGGGTCGCTCGAGCTCATCCGCTACTTTACCTGTGGTCCCCAGGAGGTCCGCGCCTGGACCATCCGCAAGGGCGTCAAGGCGCCCGCCGCCGCCGGTGTCATCCACTCGGACTTTGAGCAGAAGTTTGTCTGTGGTGAGATCATGTCCTTTGCCGACCTCAAGGAGTACGGCACCGAGGCCGGTGTCAAGGCTGCCGGCAAGCTCCGCCAGCAGGGCAAGCCCTACGAGGTGGTGGATGGCGACATCTGCTACTGGAAGTGCGGTGCTTAAACGCGCGCACTTTCTTGTTTGCCACATTATAATGGCGCGGGCCTCGGGGGGCAGGGTTCCTCTCCCCGCCTGCGCCTGTAGTAGATCCTCATCCAGCAGTAGACTGTTGTCCGTAGTAGCATGCAGCCACGCATCTTGTAGCCAGCATGAAAATGAGAGAAGACGTCTGAAGTTTCCACCAAACCAACGTTGCAGAGAGCGCAGAGAGCGGAACCAAAATTTCGCCACAGGACACACACCGTTGTTTTCATTTCGCGCCACTGTGTGTAACTAGTGTAACCGGCGCCGCTTCTCTGACATTCCCTCTGCACACCCCACCTCACAACACGTTTCGACAATGTTGACACCCATCACGGCCCCGCCCGTCTCCATCACGCTCGAGCGCCACGCCGAGCTCACGTCCTCGACGCCCGCGAGCTTTAGCGACATTCCGCCCGTGCTGCGCTGGGAAAACGACGCGACAGTCGAGCTCGCGACCCCCGGCGCGCCGCAGGGCTGGGCGAGCGGCGTCGCCGTGCCCGGACGGCTGTACGTGACTGAAGAGTGAGTACGGCAAGAAAGTTTCAGCAGGTCCAGAAGGTCCAGCGCAGACGTCTGGTGTGCCGAATCTCAGCTGACACAACCTCCCCCCCCCCCCTCCCCCCACCCAGAGCCGTCACGTTCGTCCCCGCCACCGCGCTCGCGGGCTTCACCCTCCCCTTCCCGGCGCTCACGCTGCACGCGCTCACGCCCGCCGGCGACCGCCCGGCACACATCTACTGCCAGCTGGACGAGACGGCCGCCACGGCGCCCGTGCCCGGCACCAACGGCGCTGTCGCGAACGGCGGCGCCGCGGGGTTCAACGGCGTCGACGAGGAGGAGTACGCCGAGCTCGGCGAGATGCGCCTCTTTGTGGCTGCTGACCAGCGTGAGTGGTGATGACGGGGGGCACAGGCACCAGGCAGCAGGTGTTCTCCATGGATATGCGCCAGCTGACACACTGACACACACACGCAGTTGAGCCGCTGTTCTCGGCGCTCTCGGCCTGTTCGGCACTGCACGACTCGCTGATGCCCAATGGCGAGCCGGCGTCGTTCTTCGGCGGCGGCGGCGGCGGGTTTGGCGATGACGACGACGACGACGAGTGGGACGACGACGACGACGAGCAGCAAGACGGCGCGTTTGACGACGCGGCAGACGGCGACGACGGCGGCGCGGCAGGAAGGGTGAGGTCCGATTTCCACAGTGGTGGTGGGCCCGAGGCGCGGTATCGCCCCTACTAGGGCGGGTGGTGGTGGTGCCGTGAGCTGGAGTGGAAGTGGAAGGGCAGAGAGAAAGAGGGAGCGAGCGCAGGTGTTCTCTTCTGTTCTCTGTATAGAAGCTGATGCATTTTTCTGTAGGACATGGGCGGCGGCCAGCAAGACTCGGACGCAGACGCACAGGTGGACGCCGTCGCCGACTTTCTCGCAAAGGTCGACTGGGGCAACGTGCCCGCCCCAGGCGGGTGGGTCGACGTGCCAGACGACGAGCGCGTCGTGTTCCCCACCGCCGTGTCGGCCACGGCAGACGCGACAGCAGACGCGACAGCAGACGCGCCTACCCCCAACCACGTCCCGATCCCCACTTCGACGTTTGACGCATTCAGCGCCGGCGCCAGCGCTGCGCAGGAGCAAGTCGCGGCGTTGCAGGGCCAGGTGGCACAGCTCGAGAGCCAGCTCGAGGCGACGCGGGCACGCATGGCGCAGCTTGAGGCACAGGTCGCGTCGGAGCGGACGAGGAGCGCGGCGTTGGAGAGGGAGGTCGCTGTGCTGAGGGGAGCGGTGGCGGGGCCATGAGAGAGGGAGACGCAGAGAGAGGGTCAGTAGGCATCGTCATCGTCTTGTGTACAGTTTGTGGTCTCAATGCAAGGTCTGCGTGCATGCTATCGTGCCTCTGCTCCCACTCGTACGCTCCTAGGTCGCAGCCTGTGGGCTCGCGACACCGCTCTGCTTCACCTCGGCCTTGCTCGCCGCCTCGGCCTCCGCCTCTGCGGCCTTCCTGGCCTGCTCCATGCGCGCCTTGCGCTTCTCAATCTCCCGCCTGTGCGCGCGCGTCTGCCGCGCCTGGCTCAGCTGCGTGCGCTTGGCCCCGGCCCACACGCGGAACCGGCTCCAGGACCACTTGGCCGCCTGCGCAGTGACCCGCGCGGCCAGGCGCGTCAAGTACGCCGTCGCCTCGGCGGTACCCTGCAGCACGGCGGCGGCGACGGGTTTGGGCCGCCACGACCGTGGGTCCCACGTGATGGGCGGGCCGCCGTCGTCGAGCGCCTTGATGGGGTCCAGGCGCGTGAGCTGCTTCTCCATCCATGTCGGGACGGGCGGGGCCGGCTCGGTCGGCAGCACAAACTGCGACCACGCAATGCCGGCCGTGTGCCCGTCGTTGGCGAGTTTGTGGCCCGACAGCCAGTTTTCCAGGCGGCGCAGCGCGCGCACGTCGTTGGGCTGGGGAAGGTCCGTGGTCTGGATGGAGAGCGTGGGCGGCGAAGGGGACGAGCCGAGGTACATGTCCAGGCGGCGGGCGAGGAGGGTGTCGGTGAACAGGCGGTCGCCGACGACGAGGATGCGCAGGGCGTCTGACGACGCCGCGGCGGGAGCCGGGGCTGGTGTAGACTCGGCGGGCGAGGTGGTCGACTCGGGAGGGGGAGCAAGAGCAGCCGCATCGGCTGCAGCTGCCATCCGGCTCTCCACACCGCCATCGCCCGACTTGTGGGTCTGTTGCAGAGGTCCACAGAGGGGACCGTCGACAACCTCGTCGCGCCACTTGGTCACCATCTCCTTTTCGGCCGCGTCCCCGACCTCCTCGACTTTTTCAAACCGCTCCAAGATCTTGTCCCGCTTCGTATGCGGCACAGTCAGGCCCTCGAAAAAGGCGAGAATGTCGGTCGAGCACGCAGGCTTGGGTTGTCTGTGTGCGAGGACGGGCGCGCGCAGCGAGAACGAGAGCGATTCGGCGCCAATGCCGCCACGGTCCTTGGCGCTGCCGGCCGAGTTGGAGACGACGAGCACTCGGTTGGGAAAGGTCTGCAGCAGCGTCTTCCATGCCATGGAGTAGGCTGGGTAGATGGCGTCCGAGTGGGGGAGGGTCTGGTTGTTAGCTGCCGCCGTACGCGTCCAGCAGACGGCTGATGGTGACGCCAGCCGTCGGACACGCTGCTCACCACGCAGTTATCCTTGTCGATAACGACGGCGTTGAATCCCTCGCGCTTGAGTCCGGCCCAATCCACCTGGGCAATACCTGAAGCGTTAGCTTACACGACAACAGAGCAGAGCTAGACCCACTCGGCACGCGCACATCTGGCCGCAAGAGACGCGGCCGCAGCACGCCAAGGAGATGGATGAGCGGCGCGGGGAGTCGCGCAGGCATGGTGTGCGACGGCGGCGACGGCTGGCGCGTTGGTTGTGCTGCGGCACAAGGTCTTGTTGGTTGAGGTTGTCGGCCGTGAGGTTAAGAGAAATGCAAAGGAAACGGTGGACCACCTCCATCCCGGTCGTCGCCCTGGCGGCGGGAAATTGCAAAACAACACAGCGTCATCGGCACAAGGTTGTAGACGCGTTTTCCGTCAGGTTTCGCGCCTCAAGAAGACGTATGCATGGGTTACGGGCTCCACTGCATACTCTATGCACTTTACACCCTCGTCGTCGTCATCCACACGCTCGTCGTCGTCATACATGACCTGCACGCTGCCACAGTCCCGACGCGGGGAAAGACGGAATTGCGACTGTGGCATCCCGTTTTCGCGGGTCCCCACAGACGCGTTGTCAACATTAGGATGGACGGCGGTGAGCCAGCATTTGTGGTCGTGTCGTCCGTGTTCTCGCCGTCTCCTCCACCCCGCGCTCGTCAACAGACACAGACACCAGCGCTCAAGCTACTACTCCCCAACTCCAACCCCAACCTTGACCGCACCCACCATGAGCGCCACCGCCGCCCTCGCGCCTGCCGGCACCCGGTCCCCAGACAAGAGCAAGGGCAAGGCCCTCCCGTCGGCGTCGGCCACGTCGTCCGACGACGCTGCGGCTCCCGCTGCTGCCGGTGCGGGCACGACGAACGCCAAGAACGTGGCTAGTCCCGGAGAGATGTGTGGTTTTGTGAGTATGGGCGCGCGTGCTTGATGGGAGGAGTAGGTGGGATTGGGTGCGCGTTGGTTGGGTGGCGGTGATGGTGGAGGAAGGCGAGGTGACCGATCTGCAGTTGGGGTGACCAACAGGTCCTCAACCGTGACTAGTCTTGGTCGTCTCAATGTCTCGCCAACTATTGAGCTGACAATCCAGGTGGACACGCTCCTCAACCAGCTCGAGTCGCGCTTTGACGACATGAGCGAACAGGTTCTGTGAGTCGTGTGCGCATGGATCCGGACTGTGCTGACGCCGTGTAGCAACAGGAGTGAGTGTGTTCACGGCGGTGTGAGCTGGGACGCTGTACAGAGGGCACTGGTACTGCTGAGACAAGCGCTCATCACCAGCGGGTGGCAGCCTTATCCTCGCCATCGTAACCAGCCTTATCCTCACACTTGACCCCTTGACCTTTTCCCTATTACTCACACGCTACAGTGACCGAGATGTCTGGCAGGATAGACAACCTCGAGACCGCGATTGCGGACCTGATGCACGACAACCACAGCTCGCCCACGACCCCGAGCAAGAAGTAGGCGCGAGGCGATGGCAGTCCGGTAGACCTGTAGACCGGCAGCAGCTGGCCGCTGCCATTGTCTGCGTCAGACCCAGGCGCAAGGCCGAGCGCATGTGCATGAGAGAGGGATGGAGGGAGAAGGGGCATAGTCTTGTGTTATCCACGTAGCTGGAGTGTATGTATTATGGGACCTAGGTGTCTCCCACATGACACCACGAGACAAGCGACCACACGACAGCGTGTCGCGCTGGACGTGCCACAAGGCCACGACACGGCTGTGTCCCAGGTCGACCTCACCAGCGTCACCACTGCCGTTATGACAGCAGCCTCGTAGCGACCTGGGAAGCGGCACGGCCCGTAGGAAAGTGTACGAAGCGTGTGCCTCTCCACTCCACGTTGGACTGGTGGCAGCGATGACGCACGGACGTGTGTGTTTGGTTGGGTCATGGAAGCGGCAGTCGTTGCGGGACGTGGCAAAAGACAACGCTGTCGCGTCCCGAAGTTTAGCTTGGTGTATGCAGTGATCACAGTCATAGTAGCACCCCAGTCGCATGATAAATCGATGCATGCATTGCAACGGGTGGCTGGTGGAGTCTACAAGGCTGGTGGATGGCTGCCACCGTACCGTTGCTGAGAATAGCGATCGCCGTGAAAACGCCGCGTCATGCCCTCTCGACGTCACAACCCCCGCTGCCCGCTGAATGCACCCCGCCCGCGCCCACACGGTGTGCCGCCCAGCGACTGCCATTTCCCTGTGCTGTGCGTATCCATCCATCCACTCCTTCCACCTTGTTCTCATCCATCCACCATCCACCACACATCCCACATCCGGCACCCATAAACACCTAGAACAAGTGGCAAGGACCCCATCCACCGCACACACCCTTCACAAAAAGCTCGGCATACGTCCACGCGTCGTCGGGGCCAACAACGAAACACCTCTCCCACCCACAGCCCCACAACCCAGCCTACTCCGGCCCACCATGCCATCCGTCATCGACCCCCACTATCTCTGGGCGGCCGGACACCTCACCGTCCTCTTCAACTCTGGTGCGTTGGCCATACACAGGCAGCAGTGGGGAGCCGGGGGACAGGTAGCGTCTGTCGCCAGCAAGTGGCCTGTTGCTGGATGGATGTCGAATGCGCAGGCCCATGGTCGAAAGGCGCAGTCCACCCATCTCTTGCCCGCAGCAGCTCACTCTACCCTCACCCCACTCCCCCAATGCCCCCATCAGACTCGCCCGCTGACTCCCTCGCGCAGCATATGTGATCCTCCAGACGCTGCTGTTCCGCGGTACCCCCGTCAAGTGCTATCGCCTGGTGTACATTGGTGCCCTCCTGTCGTACTCGATTGTCGTGTTCAAGAGCCTCGGCAAGCCGAGCGGCGCTGCCTGGCTCCGTCGCGCGTTTGTCGATGAGAACGCGCAGTACGGTCTCCTGGCATTCTACTGGTGAGTGGGACGAGCGAGCGTCGACGTCCGAGGGGGGGCGTGGGCGCTGGAGCCGGCGGCGGTGGCTTGGCTTGCAGCGGCGCGCGTAGGGTTGGTTGCACAGGACTGGAAGGCCGGCGGCGGCGCCGAGTCGTGCGCTGACAGGCTGTGTGCCCATGCGCCGCCCAGCTCCCCGCTCCCCGCCTCGGCTTGACCGCTGCGCGCGTGTGGATGCGTCTTGTGCGGCCCTGCTCGGCATGAAATGACAACAATGACATCGATGCTGACGTCGCAGGCTCATCTCCAAGCCCATCAATGGTACGCCCTAACCGCTGATGATAGACAGCGCCTGAGTTTTGAGAGCTGCAAGCTGACCCCGACCAGTCTCGATCCTGCCCTTTGCGACCTTTTCGCTCTTCCACTGCGCGACGTTCCTGCGCACCAACATCCTGCCCAAGTTCTACCCGTGAGTCTAACGCGTGTGGGCACCAGCACGAGCGCGTCCTCTTGAACGCGCTGGGCAATTGCCGGCACTCCAGCTGAGCTGGTCCTTGGTGCACACAGCTGACGCTCCTCCAGCAAGGTCGCTGCCGGCGCCGCGCGCCCTGCTCCCAACTGGGCCGAGAACCTCGGACGCCAGATCCAGCTGTGGGTCAAGGGCAACTACGACAAGGCCATGAACTTTGTCGCGTACGCCGAGCTCCTCATCCTCGCCCGCTCGCTCCTCGGTGCCATCACCTTCCGCTCGTCGTTTGTCACCCCCATCTTCCTCGCCCACTTCATCCGTCTCCGCTACCACGCGTCGCCCTTCACCCGCAGCGCCATGGACAGCATCACCGTCCGCCTCGACAAGCTCGCCGCCGGCCACCCCGGTGCCGTCCAGAACGGCTGGACCACCGCCAAGCGCCTCCTCGGCACTTGGGTCGGTGGCACCGCCGCCCCCCACCCGGCTGGCGCTGCCCCCGCTGCTCCGGCTGCTGCCCCCGCCGCGGCTGCGACGGGCGCCAACCCCGCCGCCGGCGCAGGTGGTGCCGGCACTGGCGCCCAGCAGCGCCGCTAAGGCGCTGTCGCCGCGCCGACGGTGGGTCTCCTGTCTCCGCCGTCGGCAGCGTGGCCAACCGGGGGAGGGGGCACCGTTCTCGAGTCTTGCTGCTGCAACTTGACCAGTTGCAGCACCAGGTCTTGGGCGACGATTGTCCCTGTTCCTATCCCCGGCTGCTAGACCGAGCTCTTGCCAATTCTCTGTTTCTTCTTGAGTGCTATCTCCCCTAGCCCCCGAGTCGACCTGGCAGGCATCTCGACACACACACACACACAAAACCCACAACAACAACAACAGCAACAACAGCAACAACAACCCCACCTCTATCACCCCCTTAACGCGCCCTTAACGTGGCCCACAGACACGAGAATCCCCGTAATGCAGTGATATTGCAGGCACACCCCAGCGTCCATACCCCAGCGCCTCTTCCCTCCCTCCCTTCCCTTCCCCCCTCTCTCTGCCGTCCCGTCCCCCCCGCGTCCCACCCAGCTAGCTATCGTTTCTGTCCTTGTTCGCTTCTGCTTACTCCATACACTTGCATTAAAGGTATGGCAGGGTTTACCTGATATGCCACGCTGCGAAACACCGAGGGTTGTGTGTCCTTGGGTTGCCAAGGGTTGTACGCTCTCGTGTCGTGCCATACACCGCAGCGTTTTGACTAACGACTATCACTAATCACCCGCACGCCATGCCGCATCCAAAAAAAACGTCCATGATCAATCAATCTCGTCGAGCACCTCCTCACCGCGCGCGGAGGTCGGGCCCGCGCGGTAACAAAAAAACAAACACACACACACCCGCCGACTCGCTCTCAGTACACCACCTGTCCCACTTCTGCCAGCGCTGCTGCGCGGCGTCTAGTGGTCGATGATGGAGAGGTTGCCGGTGATGAGCTTGTTCTCGAGGTTGGTGCCGTCGGGGATCATGATCTTGTTGCCCTCGGTGGCGACGAAGATGCAGGTGCCCGCAAGGCGGATGCCCTTGCCAAACCACACGTTGCCCGAGACGGTGAGGTGGTCGAGCTCCTTGATGTCCGGGATCGACTTGAAGCGCTTCTCAAAGTTCTGGGAAAAAGCGTCAGCCACAAAAACACGGTACTGATATGATAGCCTGTGATAGCCCGCAAAACGGGCACGGGCCATTCCTGGCCCGTGCACGCAGAGAAACCAGCACACTAGATACTCACGGCAACCTTCTTAAAGTCGTCGCCGAGCTTGACGACGGGGGTGCCGCCAAACTCGCGGGTCTTGTCCATGGTGAGGACACCGTGCTGGAGGTTATACAGGGACGACTTGATGAGGAGGAGGTCCGAGCACGACTTGACGGGCAGGAAACGGGAGCGGGGGACGTTGATGCCAATGGCCGAGTCAAAGTGCTTGATGGCAGCACCGATGGCGGTCTCGAGCTGGATGACGGCCTGGCCCTTGTCGGTGACCTTGTTGTTGACAATGATCTCGAGGTTGAGCTCGTCATTGTCCATGACGCGCTTGATGGCCTTGAGGTTGACCCAGATGTTGTTGGTGTTGAAGATCTTAAACTTGCGAGTCGAGCAGAACTCGTCAAGGTGGTCCTTGGGCACCTGGGCGACCTCGAGGAGACGGGGCTTGCCCTCGTAGTCGATAATGGTACCACCCTTAATGTCGGCCTTGGTCTTGTCGGTGACCTCCATGACGTACTCGGCCTGAGCGTCGATCATGGTCTGGAAAATGTTCAGGTCAACAACGGCGCCGAGGTTGTCGACGTTGGAGATGAAGATGTACTCCTTGCCGGCAGCAATGAGCTGGTCCAAGAGACCAGAGTTGGTGAGGGCATCGTAAATGTCACCGTGTCCGGGAGGGTACCAGTTGGCCTTGTCGGCGGCGGCGCTGTCGGGGCAAGGGAGGAGCGACTCCTTGTCAACACGGGGGTACTTGGACTGGTTGAAGGTGAGAATGTTGATGTTGTGGTTCTGGTACTTCTGGATGATGCGGGCAGTGTCGTCGTCGGTGTTGAACGAGTTCATGAGGATGAAGGGGACGTTGACGTTGTACTTTTCGTTCAGGTGCTCAATCTGACGGACCGAGAGGTCGAGGAAGGTCATGCCCTCGCGAACCTCAATGATCGACTTGGGACCAACACAGCCCATGGTGGTGCCGAGACCACCGTTGAGCTTGAGGACGGCAAGCTTGCTCAGGATCGAGGGGTTGACATCCGGCAGCACCTTGTAAGGGCGGACCTGCTCGGGCTTGGGGGGCTGGATCTTCTCCCAGTCGCTAGAGAGGCACTGTCAGCAAAACGATGCGTCGGAGCTTCGGGCGGAGTGTGCATGCTGTAAAACGATGACGCAAGGCAAAGCAGGAACGGTCTGAACATGTGACGACACAGGCAGCCCACCAAACACGTAGCACCCGGGCACCCGCGAGCCGTATCGTGGAGTCACGAGGTGTCATCGCGGGTTGCGCGGTTGCAAGAAGCACGCCGGTGAGACGAACGCCGTTCTTGATCGTGTTGCACGACCGCGCACGGACGACGGAGCGCCGAAGTGCGGGGGTAGCGCATGCGGGATGCGGGGTAAATGAAGTGACACCTGGCACCGCCTGTCCATCCGACGCGCCACGTCGGGTCGTGGATGGAACGTGCGGTGCGAGAGTCCTTGGCAGCGACGTGGGTAGTCTACCCGCCGTCAAGGAAGGTCGCTCTGGTCGTGCCAGCGCACCTTGGCTCGGCGGTGGTCACCATCGCCGCGATCGTTCCCCGGGCGTATACACAGCTCCACGCAGGACGGGAGACAAATTGGAGGCAAACAAACACTCACATCTTCTCGCCCTTGGCCTTCTCGGTGAGGTAGCGGTTGAACAGGAGGAAGAAGCTGTCCATCTCGGCGCTCACGATCTGTGACGAGCGTCAGCAAACGGCGAACGGCATGGACAACCTGTGACACGGCGGGGGGCAGTGCGTCGGTGACATGAGACCCTGTCGCAACCCGAACCCGCGAGCCGGGCCCGAGCTCGAGGGATCGCGTCCTGCCTCTAGCTCGAGGGAGATGGGGTAGGCTCAAGAGGGGTCGCGAGAGGGTACAGGACGAGGCAGTGCAACGTGTCGGCGCGCGGGGCGTCGAGTGACCTTTGTCGCGACCTGCCGGACGGCGGTTACACGTGTGTAACGTGTACGCGTTCTCGCGAGTGCGAGAGAGCGCAGCCGCTCGCGAGGGCGAGGAGGGAACTGGAGGGAACTGCTAACACTGCAGAGGCGAGAGGAAGGGAGGGGAGGGGAGCTAAAAACAAGACATACCTTGCGCTTGGCGGGGTCGGTGACGCCGCCGACCATGCGGTTGAGCTCGTTGCGCATGGTCTTGGCTGCGACGCCGGTGGTAGCCGACTTGAAGTCCTGTTGGTTGCAAGTAGAGGTGCAGCACGGAGAGGTTATGTAGGAGGAGACACAGTATACAGTGAGCACAGGAAAGGTGGGGAGCAACGGAGTGAGCCGAGGGAAAGGGGTGTCGCGTCAGCATCCTATTCAAACACGGTCTCGCGCTGGTCGCGACAGCTGCCGCAGCAGCGACCAGGGAGGCGGAGGGGGGCCACGCACGATGGAGGAGACGCCGCGCTGGCGGGCCTGCTGGGCGGCGGTGGGCTGGGCGGCGAGGGTAGCCATTGTGTGCGGGTGGAGAATGGGTAGGATGGGGAGGAGAGAGGAGGAGGGAGGATGAAAGGAGAGAAAGAGAACGAGGGGGGGGGGCACTTTGTATTATGGCCATTACACACATGCACACCTTCCCTCTCTCCCCCCCGCGCAGCACCCACCTCCCCAGACCTTTGCCCTGCACACCCGGCGCGTGGTACACGGCCCAGCCCAGCCCCTCCTCCCGATCCTGCCCCCCACCCGGCACGTTCAACCCCGCGCGTCAGCGGCGGCACACCCTCCGCTCGGGCCAGTAGCATTCTCTCCCCCCCCAAGACGCGCACGCCTACGGCATGTTGCCAGCTATAGGCCCCCCCAAATGCGTTCTCCACCTCTCGTCGGCTGACACGCCGCACAAACAGAAACAGACACAAACAGGTCGCGTCTGCACCAAAACAAGCATATGAGCATCCCGGACTGTTCGCCGTAACGCGCTACAAGCAAGCAAGCAGTGACTGCATGGCTGACTGGCATGAGGATTTTTTCACCAGTGGAGACAAACAAGCTTGGCAGCCGCGCGCCGTGTGAATGTGGCTGCGGTGGCCCACCCAGCCGAGAGCACGCCCAGCACACACCCAGCAGCGTCCCCCCAGCGTGCGCAGGGCCGGGTGATCGTCGGAGGCGCCATTGTGATCTTGGGGCAAAAAAACAGTCTACCAGAGAGCGCAAGAGCGGGGGGGAGTGGGAGGCGATCCGGCCCGACGTGTCCAATTTTGGTGCACGCTCCAGCCAGAATGACGGTAGAATGCGCGGGTAGAGCACGAGCACGACGCCTATCTATCAGCTCCAGCTCCAACGCACAGGAACGCTCCCCTGTCCCCTCCATGCCCACCTCCCTCTACTGCACACATGCAGCTGCCTGCTCCATTGCCGCTGGGGCAAGGGTGGAGCCATCGAGCAGCCGGAGCAGCACAAGAGGGCAGAGGAGCAACTGCCGCACCACCCACCTTGCTATGCCGCTTACTACCGCCCACCCGCGCGCCGCAGCCGCTTCCGCCCACCCCCAAGGCCCCGAGGCACGCGCGTACCGCAAAACAAAGCACGGCTGTGTGGTTTCCCGCTGGCCCGCTGGCTGGGTTGCTGGATCTCTGGGTGTGGTCCAGATGCGGCTGTGGCTGCTCATCCCCACTCTCGGCAGATAAAAAGCCACTGAAAAAAAAAATAACAACATGCAAAAAAATCAACCCAGCCCCATCACATCTGACGAGGCGTTGTAGGCTGTGCAATGTGTAGGGAATGATAACCCCCATGGCCCCCCCACATGCCGCTCGTGCCGTGCCGCGAGTCTGCGGCGTGTCCGCTCTCTCCGCTCGGCGCTGCCTCCTGCTGCCTCCTGCTGACCTCTGCTGACCTCTGCTGACCTATGCCGGCCGTTGCCGCCGGCAACGCCAACGCCAACGCGCTCCACCCACGACGTCATGGCTTCATTGTTCATGTTCATGGCATGGCATGGCGTGTTGATACAGTATGGAGGCGAACGGTCGGTGCGGTCGGTGGGTATACCGACCGCACCGACGAACAGGAAGGGAGCGTAAACAGGAGAGGAAGGCGGGGAGGAAGCTATAACGACGAGTGTAAAAAAAAGACCAAAGGTTCCCTGTAAAAGAAGAAGAAGAAGAAGAATATAAACAACGCGGCCATTCGATCAACATCTATAACAGAGTGAATCGCGGGCGGGGCAGGATGGCCACGCTCGGGTGTGTGGGCTTGTTGACGGCGTCAAACTCGGTGTGCAGGCGCGAGTGGAAGAAGACGCGTTTCCGCTTGCTCGACGACGACGTCGTGCTGCTGCTCGCGTCCGACAGGCGCTTGCGTTTCTTCTCCGTCGTGGGCGTGTGCACGGCGGCGGCGGCCTGCACGACCGAGAGCGGGCGGGGAAGCTCGGCAGGGTCGCTGCCGCTGTCCATGCCTGCGTCGAGCTCGGCAGACGTAAACGACTCGTGGCTGTCGTCCAGGTCACCCACGGACGGAGGCGAGGCCTCCTCGACGGACGGCACGGCAGATGACGACACGGCCGACGCAGACGAGGTGCGGAACGTCTCGTGCACGCGACGCGGCACAGCAGCACCAGCACCAGCACCACCAGCACCAGCCGAGCCCCTGTATGCGCGAAGTGGCGGCGCGACCGAGGTGGGCGACGCGCTGAGGTCGTGGTCGCGAGGTTCAAAGGAGAAGAACTCCCGTCGCGAAGCACCGTGCCACTTGCCCGTGGGCGGCCGGGGCGGGCTGTGGAGTGGCACAGCCTGGTGGTGCCCGTTGTTGAGCCTCGAGTCCGGGTCACGAGCCATACGGTCCGAGACGTGGGCCTCCTTCTCTGCGCGTTTGCGCTTGCTCGCTTCTTCCCGTTCAACCTGCTTGGCCATGCGCTTCTGGACGTGCCCCGTGCCGGGCGGACGGCCGCGCGGACGGCGGGGAGTGGCGGTGCTGTCGCTACCAGAGGGCGTGGATGCCGGTGCCCTAGTGACGGGAAGACGGGTGCCAATGGCCGCGCGCGACTTGATGGGTACAGGACGCTTGCGGGGCTGCTCATCTTCAGACGTGGCGTCGGCAGTGGCCTCGGTGACGGCCCGCCTGCCATGGCGAGCAGGTGTAGCTGGAAGCCGCTTGGATGGGGGAGGCCGATCGTCCGAGTCGGACACGACCATCACAGAGTCTTCCTCGTCGGTCGTGTCCATTGTCAAGTCGATCGGACATTCGTTGGCAACAGTCATGACGGGTAGCCAGCTGTGGTTCCTGCGCGGGGACACGGACGACTTGGCAGGCGGTGGTGCGGCCGCAGTAAGGCCTGCAGCGCCTCGGCCTCGTGACGGTCCGGCCTTGGGCGATGTAGTGGGAAGCAGCACAGCAGGCTTGGCCTTGCCCTTTGCCTTGTACGTCTGAAGCCGGTCCTTGTTCATGACGCGCCACGCCTTGCTCTTGATGTCGGCCAGCTTCTCGCGCTCGCGCTCGGCGTCAACACGCGCCTGAGCCTCGCGCAGAACCTCATCCTCGTCCACGTCTTGCGGCTTGGTCACAGTAAACTTGCGCCCACTGCGAGTACCGCTGACGACGGTGTCGCGTTCCTTCTTCTTGCGCTCAAACTCGTCGAGGTCGACCACCTCGTATCGCTGCCACAGTCCCGAACCGCGGATCTTGCCCTCGTTCTTCTTGCGCTTCTCCTCCTCGCGAGCCTGCTTGGCTGCGGCACGCGCCTCTTCTTGAGCAGCTTTGGCTTGGTCGCGAGCCTCTTGCCATTCAAACTCCATGGCCCGCAAATGGTCGATCCAGCCTTGCTCGCGCTCGATTTCCGCAAGCAACCGCCAGTGAGCGCGGTCTTCTCTCGTCGCTGTGGGGAGTGTGAGGTCAAGCTCCTGGAGTTCTTGCCGGACGGCCTCTGGATCAGGCTCGATCTTCTTCTTGGGTTTGGGACCCAAGGACGGAAGTGGAACGCAAGCGACAGGTCGGGGCTGATAGTTGAGAGGAGTGAGATGCGTGGGCGGGTACACCTTGACCTTGTCGGGGCTATGGGCCGGCCATGGGAGCTGGAACACCAGGGCATGGCGCGTGCATCTGATGGTTGGGTCAGCGCTGATAAAACGAATCTGTCCGATCACTCACCTGGGACAATGCGAGTCGTAGCTACTGGTCAAGTTGTCCCATAATCGCTCAGTAAGAGCATCAACACACGTGACACAGCGGTCAATGCCTTCGGGGTCGTCAAGGAGCTCGCGCGTGACCGAGGCCGAGTGTTCCTTCCTAGGCAGACGTTTGGTCCACTGAAACGGTTTTGACTGCTTGCGGACCGCGCGAAAGGGCCTTTCTTTTCGTGGGCTGTCGTCTGCGTTGGAATCAACCTCTGACACGACACTTTCTGGTGCAGGCGAGTTCAAGTGTCGAAGGTGGTTGTTCTTCTTGGGCGTAAGAACAGCAGCTGGCGTTTCTGGCCCACTGGCAATGGTCGTGTCCTCGACTTCGCTCTCGTCACCGGCAGACTCGTCGCCGGGAACCATGGAAGGGCGAACAGAACTCATCGCCCTGGCTCGTGATGAAGGCGCCGCCGAGGCGCTGCGCGAGCCGCCAGCACGCTCAGACTCGAGGCCGTTGACAACAGGCTTGCCTGCGTAGAAACCCCTGCCGTTCTTCTCGCACGTGAGGCACATGCTGCCTTGTCAGCCAACAAGGTAAAGGACAAGGTGAAGAGCACTACTCACCACTTCATGTTGCCCTTGTCAAAGTAGTTGTCGCCGCTGAGAGTTAGCATTCAACCATCTGTCTTAACTCACTAGCACGTAGTCAACTCTTCTCCAATGGCAATGTCGCGCAGACACTGGAACGTCACCCGTCCATTCTCCGCACGGTAGAGGGACACGTTTGGCTCGCAGTCGTGCTGTTTTGGTCAGCTGACGGACGACACTACCTCAACTCACGTTCAGGAAGCGAGCAGGGCCGAGGAAGAGTTGATAGTGCCGACGTCGCTCTGACCAGATGATACTAAAGTCGCGACGGCCTGTCCTTCCACTTCGGCGACGGCGAATCTCCTTTTCCTTTTCTCGGGCCTTGCGCTTTTCTGTCGCCTCGGGGCTCTCCCCGGCGTCCTCGTCGCCGTCTTCGTCATCTCCATCGTCTTCGCCCTCGCCACCAGACACCTCTCCCCAGTTTGCATGCTCCATGTCTTCACGCCATTCGTCGGGCAAGTTGGCGCAGCTTCCCTGGAGCTCGGTGAGGACGGCGTGCTTGGCGAGCGACGATGTGGCGTAGATGGCGAGCTCGGTATGTCCAGACACCTCGGTGTACCTGTTTGTGCGCCAAATCTCGACGCGCGACGTGGGGTGGTAGACTTGGAGGTAGAGCTGGACGTGGCTGCGAGGAAGAGGGTGGTCAGACGACAGCACGCGCTGCGGGAAACGTACAGAAGGGCATTCTTCCGGCGCTTTGCGTTGTGTTTGAGCGCGAGGTGGTCCTGGAAGACTGGCATTCTGGGCCAAACAGTCAGCTCCACGGGTAGTGATTCGACCATCGCATCACATACTCTTCAAGCTTCTTGACTGCATCGGCCATGTTGCCTCCCTGTATGACCTGTGTAGAAGCAGTGGTCAGCGCTCGAGCATGGCAAGGTGGTCGCCGCTGATGCCGGCACGCGCGCCTGGCTACGGCCCCCCGCGGCGCGGTACCTACCTCTTGAACAATGTTCAAAACATCCGCCGTCTTGATGGGCGGCCCAACAAACTTGACCTGCTGTGGATGAACACCAAGACGCTTGTCGGGCAGGCGCTCGCATCCCAGCTGGTCGACGAGCATGTAGGAGCATAGGTCGTCGTCGCGGGACAGGTCCTCGGCGTGGTGTGGAAAGCCGTCCGGCCCGAGGACAACATCCTCTGTTTGTTGTGCGCGCGGCATTGACGCCGCGGGTGGCCTGGCGGGGCGGGTGGGCGGCGCGCGGCAGGTCCGGTCCACGGGTCTGGGAGTGCTCGGCACGGGGACGACGATGGCGGGGTTGGTGGGAGGGTGAACGAGGGTGGTTGGATCGGTAGGAAAGAGTAAAGAGAGACGGAACGAGCGGGTGAGGTAAAGGCAAAACACATTGAAGTGAACCACCCATACGCCAACACCCACCGCCCGCCGCCCGCCGCACAGGCTGTGGGCACACCCCGACGCGTCGATTGCCTAGTTCGGCTGTAATCCTCCACTCACATATCCCAGCTTTCGTCCACACCACCCACCCACTCACCCACCCACTCGGCCCACACCATGCGTCTCCTCGTCGCTAACAAGATCCTCCTCGGCGCAGCGGCCGTCGTCGTCCCAGGCAAGTGTCTAATACATGCATCTTACCCGGCAGCTCCCCCCTGACAGTGTCCCTCAGCCTCCATCTACTACGGCCTCACGCTCAAGGAAAAGAGCCTCGTCAACCAGATCGAGCGTATCCCAGACGGCAGCCAGCTCAAGACGGACCGCGCTATGCGTGCGCGTATTGTCCAGTACGTCGAGCTGACGTGTGGTCTTTTTCGCTCTCGCTGACACAAGTAACAGGCTGTCACAAGAGAGGGCAGAGCTGCTTGCAGAAAGCGCTGAGGTCGACAGGAAGCTCGGCGACGTGCGGAAGCGTGCCGCCAATGCCCAGCCCGCACCCAGCGCTTAGATGCCTGTCTGCAGCGTCGGCGGCCGTGTTTGGGCTGCCTGACGACATGTCAAGCGGCTCCCTCCCGCGCGGCGTGTTGGTCGCGCGACAAAAACAATGCTCCCCCTGCCGCACGCTCCTCCAGCCCTCATTTGAGCGTCCATTCCCCGCTCGCCTTCCCCCCCATTCCATCATCACGACGCAAAACAATAGACACACCCAGCATCATTCACCAGCACGACATCGCCATTCCAGGACTAGCGTATGCATGTATCATTATCAGCACATGTGGGAGCCATACCTGGTGTTTCCATTCGGGGGTCAGCGTTCGCTGGATCACTGGGAGAGCGTGTCGGACGAGTTCGAGCATGCGAGTACGAACAGCTCGCACGTTTTGACGTCGCCTTTTGTCGTCCCCCCGTGTCGTGTCGGGCCTGGTTGGCCCTTGGCCGCCCTTTTGGCTGACCATACTCGCTCGCTAGATCGCTAGGCTCGTACCAACAGGCACACGTCAAAGCACGACAATCCCGCACGAGCACACCACACACAACCCTGCACACCATTGACTGATGCTGACGGTGGGGGTGGCGGGAGCTACGGTGGCGCTTCCTCGTCCTCCTCTTCGTCCTTTACGCCAAGTTACCGCCTTTCTCGCTTCCCAACCAAAAGGTACAACAAGACACCGAGCGCCAGCCTCTGCCTAGCCTCTAGCGTACACGTCCACAAGCGGATCGCGGAATATTTTGGCCAACAAGGCCGGTGTACGGTGTACCGGTGTACCGGTGTGCAATGGCCCAAAGGACGCTCGTGAGACTCATGACATGACTGGTATGACAAAAAGATACTATGGTACAGGCGCAGGTTGCTTCTAGCTTTTATTGGGGACACTGCGATCGATGAGGTCTGTTCCCATCTCGATTTCGAGCGTGTCGTGTTCGTGTTCGGCAGGCAAGGCGAAGCGGTACAGGTCCTCGAGGTCTTGGTCCGGGTCATTGTCTACCGGGAGTCGGGTGGTGGTGTCGTGCACGTCGTGGAGCTTGAGGCCAAGCCCGATCCCGTGTCCAGACTTTTCGTTTGTGTGGTGGGGGTGGTAGCCCTCATCGTCGGTCTCCTCCGTGTCCGTCTCGGTACCGACCGAGTCGTAGTCGTACTCGAACTCGTCTTCTTCGTCGTCTTCGTCGTCCACCACGTCCCCGTCCTCGTTCTGGGCGAGGAGGAAGCGCAGGATGTCGCGCTCGGTGGCCATGCTGCCTCCGCAGCGCGCGAGGGCGGCCGCGATGCTCTCCAGGCGACGCAGCTTGTCGCGGGCGCCAAAGCCAGCAGCGTCGTCGAGCGAGGGGCGCTTGCGTGGCGACCCGACGGGCGTTCCCAACGTGCCGAGCTCGACTAGGGCGTCAAGGTCGGGCTCGGGGTCGGTGGGGAGCGGCTCGAGCGGCGACTCGAGGTGGCGAGAGAGCTCGTGGTCGTGCGGACTGAGAAGGTGGGGAGAGAGTGGGTCCACCATGGTGGAAGCAGGGCTATAGGTGGCGGACATGGGGGGGCCTGTATGCGGGGGGTGCGCAGTTGCGCGGGCGGGCAGAGGAATGAGAATGCCGAAAGACGGAATCCGGGGTTGGTTGTGGAAAACGGGTTGGGGTGTGTCGACGTCGCCTATGGCAGCCGCACGACGATGTTATGGCATTGGATAGACGGGGAGGAGAACAAGAGGTGGGAGGGTGGCGATAACGGTCGGGAGAGAGAGAGAATGAGAGGAGAGGCGAACAGACGAGCAAGCGCGCTCTAATATATATGGCTGGAATCTGGGAATCTGGAGGGAGGGTGACGAAGAGTGATGGGGACTGATGTGCGTGTGCGATGCACAGACGTGTCCGTTGTGCGCCAGCTGCGCCGTATATAGGGACCGAGCGCTGGCGGCGCGCATTGGTGTACGAGCTACGCGTCTCACTTTGTTCGTCCGACCTGTCCTCCCAAATTGCTCTACAGCATCTGCACACACTTCACACATAACCCGAAATCACACGCCAGTGTCCGAAACGCCACACGACCGCCTGCGCAGGCGGAAAAAAACAAAGGGCGCTCTGCCCGCAGTAGTGCAAGAGGTACGCGCCAGAGTGGACGTCCGTCCGCTGGCCGCTGTTCCTCTGCGACGCCGAGGCGTGGGTGTAAAGGTTCAACAAGGTTCAAGGTTCACAAGGCGCACGGGGACTGTCTCTCGTCCCTCCTAGCGGACAAGCTAAGGAGGGAGGGGCCTTTGGGGGCACTCGTGAACGCGCGGCCAGTGGCCAGTGGGCGCTGGCTGTGTGGGGGCCACCATGCTGGGACACTGGACCTGTGGCGCCTGCCGGGTCCGAGACCACGCTTCGCCGCAAAACACGGACAGCAGACGACCAGAACGGCCAGATGGGCACAGCAGAGGTACTGTGTGCTGTGTGCTTTGCTGGCGTAGGTGCAGTACGACGTGGATGCTCGGTGAAACCAAACATCTCGTACTGCCTCACTCAGCAATTTGAGGCAATTAATCGTCAGTAGCTAGGCGATGCTCTGGGACACAACACGTCACTGCCAGATACACAAAACACTGCACGGTTACGTACAGGTTTCAAACCGGCTTGCCAGAGCGCTAGAGCACAGCTGCACAGTGATACAGTGAGCCGAATTGGGGACCGAAGTCGGCGTGTGTGATCGCAGCTGCCTCGAGGCATCGGATCCAAATGATCGTAAACGACTCGTATAAATAGCAATCCATGGTGATATGGTGAGACACGTCGATCCGCTCGATCTTGAACTACCAGTGGTGCGAGTCCTCAACTACAACACAACCTCCTTTTAGGGATCTGTGCCGCCAGTGTTGTGATCGACGTGCATGGTTGAGGCCGGGTAGATGCTGTCAGATCCGGTTTAGGTTCCCCACAAACGCGATGGATATGTATCGGGGCCCGTGGCAGCGGTGTCCGTTGGGGTCAAGACTCCGTATGCCTGTTCTCTCATCAACAGTTGATGGCCGCTCGCAGTCCATCAGCCCCTCGCAGCCTGACATGCGGATTTATCGATATTTTTCCGATATCGGCCTCCCGCTGATTGCTCGTGTGCACAGTGTCGTCAATGCCGTGAACGCTGCCCTCATGCGTAGACGTACCAGTCCACACGTTAGAACCCTCCCGCGGATGTGCCACATCGAAACTGCGGTACTCCATCGCTACAAGGAGACACCCTACAGGACACCTAGTTGGTAAGATACCTGAGGCTTTTGATTTGCCTTGAGAGGGACACAGAACACGTCATGCTCGGACGGCTTTCCTCGTCTTAGTCATGTAAGGACCTATGCATGTGTGGCGATACCTCAGCGCCCAAACTACAATCTCGTCTTTCTGTTATATGGTGTCATTAACACGGACAATGACCTGGCCGTGTGTGTGCGAGGCCGGCCGGCGCGGGGTAGCCTAGGCCTGTGGGCCGTTTGGAGGCGTGGGCTGCGGGGTGTGTGCGTCATGGTCTGCGTGTGCGTTGTCAGCTTTGGGTCTGGGTTCAAGAGCTGACGTAGACGTACTGTAGTACCCGGCCCAACCAGGCTGGTAGAAGCCACCAGCAGCGGCATTGTCCCAGGGAGCTCCCGAGCCGTTGGCCTCTGGGGGTGCGGGCTGGCCGCCAGGCTGGCCCGGAATGGCGCCGAAGCCTGGGTAGTACGAGTAGTTGGACGTGTACATCTGAGACTGTCAGCTGCGCAGCAACGGGAGTTAGCTCACCATGTAACCAGGGGCGTCAGCCTGGCGGTCCTTGCCCCACGAGCACTTGATCGGGCGGCCGTGGATGAGGTGGTTCTGAAGGGTGGCAATGGCGAGCGCGGCGTTGGCGTGCGAGTCGAGCTTGACAAACGCGAACCCACGGTCGGCCTGCATGCGAATCTCGGTGATGAAGCCGTAGTTTTGGAACAGGGGGATGAGGTCGGCCTGGGTGGTGTATGGGATGAGGTTGCCGACGTAGACGGTCGTGTTGTAGTCGGGAGTCTGGGCAGCGACCTGCTCAAACGTGAGCGGTGCGGAAGCACCAAACGCTCCTCCAGGGCCGGGAGGACCGCCGGGCAGACCACCACCCACGACACCGACGCCGCCGACGCCGCCGCCACCACCACCACCGCCGAGAGACCGCGAGCCGCCAGTCTGCGTCTTCTGGTTTGCCCAGTTGACGCGGATCGCGCGCGAGCCGAGCCACTCGCCGTTCATGGCCGCAATGGCCTGCTCAGCGTCGGTCTTATCCCTGGTACAGCGTCAGTGACCATCTCCATCGTAACACTCGGCTCTCTTGCGACCCTGCACACTCACCTGAACGACAAGAAGCCATAGCCCCTGCTCTTGCCCGAGTTCATGTCCCACATGACGCGCGCCTCGCTCAATGAGGGGAACTGGCAGAACGCCTTGCCGAGGAGCTCGTCGTTGACCTCGGGGCTGAGGTCGCCGACAAAGATGTGGAAGTGGTGCTGCGTGTCCTCACGGCTACCCTGGCCCTGGTAAGCCCAGTTGACACGGATCTCCGAGTCGAAGATCTTGCGCCCGTTGAGGGTCGCGAGCGCCTGCTCGGCTGAGCGCATGTCGTTGTACTCGACAAAGCCATAGTTGAAGCCGCCGTGCTGGAAATTGCGATCTTGGATGATCTTGGCCGACACCACCGCGCCAGCGACGGCAAAGATCTCGCCAAGCATCTGGTCGGTCACCCGAGCGGAGAGGTTGCCGATGTACAGATGGGGCTTCTTGGGAGCCTCAGCAGTCTGGCCGGGGGCCATGCCAAAGGTAGGGAAGGGGCTGGCCATGGTTCGTGATGCGTGCGTTTTTGTGTGTGTGCGTAGTTTTAAAGTAGTGTCGTTGATGTGGGATTGTTGTTGGCGATCGATCGTGGAGAGGGGGCGGAAAGTTGTTGGGGTGGGGAGGGGAGTTGACTATGGGGGGTGGGGGAGAGGGGGATGAGAGAGACCAGAAAAGCCCGAAACCGAGAGATGAGAGGAAGGAAAAAGAGAAAGAAAAGGAAACCAGACGAGACGCCGATGCTGAGAGTTGATGAGATGTGTCTAAAGTTGTAAACGACAAGAAGTGGACTCGCGACCACCCATTTCCTGGAAAGTCGCGGCCAGCCAGCACACACGCGACAGAGACCCCTGCGGCCAAGCTCAACGGATGCAATTATATCACCGAATGTCGTGGAGTTGGCTGCCCCTGGCTTGGAAGTGGCACCTTGGTCAAGGCATAGTCCGTGGTGGTCCATGCATATGGACTCCTGTATGCATGCAAGGGGGATGAGAGAGAACAGGGGGATTAGGAATTCAACTGGTCACTGGCAATGTGAGTGTACCAGTGCTCTTGACCGAAGGAAAGGGACCGCTACGAAGCGGGGAAAAAATAAAACCTGCCTTGGAGCATGAGACTGTCCTTCCATTCTTATGTTCTCTCCACAGGTTAGCAGGTTAGCAGGAGGCAACAGAACGTAGAGCAGTGCTCGGCTGTTGGTGAAAATGATGCCCATAAAATATACCATGCCGGGCGTCTTGCAGTGGAGCTTGTAGTGTAATAGTCGCGAACAGTCCTTCGATTGTTCACCTTTAGACTAGTAGCCGTCTCGCCGTTTATAAATCGAAGAACGCCAGTATGCAAGTACAGTGCAGGCTGGTGCAGCGAGATGCACCCAAGCATGCTCAGAGATTAACCGGTGCGAATTAAAGAAAGACTTAGATTAACCTGGCATGCAGATGAGATGATGCATACGTGCAGTGCACAGGGATGGCACGAGTCAACAGTGGTACAGTGATCCAGTGAGGAGCTGAGAACTCCCTGGCCATGGTATTCCACCCACCCAAAAAATATGAACGAGACCACCCATATAACCTAGGCCATATTTTCACCTTATAACCGCCGATTCTACCTATCGTCCAAGAGGTATCTAGTTAGCTTCGGGCGACGGTACGGCTCGCGGAAACGTTGGAGCGCTCTTGCCAACAAAAAGTGTTGGCCACTGCACCGAGCAGGTTCGGCTCGCCATAGTGCCAAGCAGTGGCCTGAATCTTTTTGTCGTCCTTTTGAGGCAGGCGGCTGTGGGCGGGGGACCCCTACCTCGGCTATCGACGGCGGCAACGACCATGGTGGTAGAACCAAGTATCGTTTCGAGAATTGCTCACCCTCACCCAGTAGTAGGTTTTGCAAGTGGCCGGAAAAGCCACTATGTCGCCATCATTCAAAATATAGGTGATAATGTGTTTCTCTTACCCAGATCAAACCTATTACGGACCAAACACCCGGCAGCGGGAACGACGATACTGCGTTCTCTCAAGCACCCACCACCGCCAGTCGCGCACATTGCACCCTTGTTCTCATCCATGGATCCATGGCCCCATGGTCTTCCCTCGCGATCAGCACGTCCACTGATCGACGCGCGACCAAGGAAATACACGCCACACAACTGCATACACACACACCCCTCTATTAATGGTCCACAAAACACTCTAGAAAGCACACTCCAGCAGCCATCCACCGTCAATGACAATGTGCGAACCGGTCTGGTACTGGTTGGTGACCACGCCAAAGATACACTGCGCATAGTCGACGGCGTTTCCTGGCCTGGCGAGGGGGATGCCCCATTGGCCGGGACCCGAGCCGCGGAAGGTGGCCGCGTTCTCGGCAGCGCTGACCTGGTCGTCGGGGAGGATGGTGGTCATGCCTGTGGGGAAGTAGCCGGGGCAGAGGGTGTTGACGCGGATACCGAGGTTGCGGCGCGCAAACTCGGTGGCGAGCTGGTCAGAGACGGAAAGGGTAGCGGCCCTGGGAGGAGTCCGGTCAGCACTGCGACGACCAATGGATAGCCAAAAGGGGGGGTTACACGCTCCAAACTCACTTGCTGGCGTTGTAGTTGATCTGTCCACGCTGCGAGGTGCGCGTGATGCCGCTCATGGAGCTAATGTTGAGGATGTTTCCGGGCTCGGGCGAGACCTTCTTGGCAGCGGCGAGGAGGGGGAGGAAGGCAAACGAGGTAAAGTAGTACGAGGTGGTGTTGATGCGGTAGGTCTCCGCCCAGCGCTCAAAGGTCTCGTCCTCGAACATGGTCTTGGAGATGCCCTCGGGGGTCTGCTCGCAGTCGTCAATCTTGGGCGCACCCTGCGAGACACCGTGGTTGTTGACGAGGAGGTTGATGTGGGTCTCCTCCTTGGCAATGGCGTCACGGAGCTCTGAGACGTTAGTGAGACGGTTCCTGTGTAGTCTGGGAACTACCTGTACGCACTCAGGATACCCTCCTTGGTCGCAACGTCGGCCTGGATGGCAATGACCTTGCCGTTGCCCGACTTTGGTGTAGCGTCAAGGGCCGCCTGTTCAAGAACGTCACCGCGGCGACCGGTGATGTACACCTTGGCACCGTTCTCAGCAAGGGCGGCAGCAGTGATGAGACCAAGGCCGGTACCACCGCCAGTGACTAACCCGTCAGCTAAAAAAAACAGCAATGGCCAACTGATCTACTCACCGACCGCGACCCAGCCGTCGACGTTGAAGAGACGGCTGACGTTCAGAGTGCCAGTGCCAATGGCCGAGTTGCCGAGGGTGTGCGAAGCAGCAGAGAGAGAAACCATCGTGAGCGAATGAGTGAGGAGTGAGGAGTGAGTGGTGAAGCAAATCGAGGACGATGGAAAGTTGCAGAGTGAAGAGCAGGTTGCACCATAACCTGTGGGGTCGTCAGCGCATCATATCCGGTGAACAGCCGCGGTGGAGGCTGAGAGGCGCCAGCGACTTCCGGCGGTAGATAGGGTCGGCGTATCAACCGTTCTGCCGAACACTGTGTACTGCTTCCACAGCCTGCGAGCGGCGGCCAGACAGACGCGTCACGCGTCGCATGCACAGTCCCGGTCTAACCTGTAATGCATGCAAGGCAGCCCAGTTGGCCAGTGGCCAGTGGGAAAGACCGTTGTCCGCGATTTGCCCAGAGCATTATCGGATTGCCGTCAACAACCGGCGATAATCGGTAGGACCGAGATAATTTCAGAAACTTCAATCGCAGAACGCCTAGGCGTGTTTCATTTATATTCTACATCAAATGCTCCCAGAGTGGTTCTTGTAATATTGTTGTCAACATGCAATGCTAATTCGCCTTTTACACCTCGCCGGCGTGGAACGCCTCGAAGACAATGCGCTTGTCATCGACACCCAGGTCCTCGAGACCCTTCCTGACGTCCTTCATGAACGAGTCAGGGCCGCAGACGTAGTAGTGGGTCTTGGGGTCCTGGAGGGCAAGGAGGCTGGGGTCGAGCTCCGCAACCTTGATGTGGCCGGCGTGGAGGCCCTCGGCACCCTCGGCGGGGGTCTCGCGCGAGTAGAAGGTGTTGGAGGTGATCTTGCCGTTGGAGCGGGCGACAAAGTCGGCGACGTGGTTCTTGAAAACGTGCTCTGCTGCGGTGCGAGTGCCCTGGATCCACGAAACGTTCGGGCCGGTGGCGGGGTCCTTGGCGGCGACAGTGTTGAGGATGGCGAGGTTGGGCGTGATACCGACACCAGCCGAGAGGAGAACCAGGTTCTCCGGGACGGGCTCGGGGAGGACGAACGAGCCAGTAGGGAACGAGGCCTGCACTGTGCTGCCGACAGGGAGGCCGTGGAGGCGGGTCGAAAGGAGACCCTCGGGGTTGACACCCGCAGCGTCCTCGCGCTTGACAGTGATGCGGTAGTGGTCGGGGCTGGGCGAGTCGGAGAGCGAGTAGTGACGGTTCTGGAAGCAGCCGAGCTCGTCGACCCAGACGCGGAGAGTGACGAACTGGCCGGGCTTGTAGGGCTTGAGAGGGAGCATCGACTTGTCCTTGGGAATGAGGCTGAACGAGGCAATGGTGCCAGACTCGTCGACGTGCTTGGTCACCTCAAAGTCCTTCCAGCCAACCCAGGCACCCTTGGCGTACATCTCGGCCTCGACGTCGATGAAGATCTTGGCGAGCTGCCAGTAGGCCTGAGGTTGTCAGTTGGTGGTCATCACGCATGTTGTGCAACCTACATGGTACCAAGCCTCCTGGAGCTCGGGCGTGAACGCGTCACCGAGGACTGTGGTGATGGCGGCCATGAGGTTCTCGGCAACCACACCGTAGTGCTCTGCCTTGACGCCCAAAACGGCGTGCTTCTCGGCAATACGAATGACCGTAGGGAGAAGCGGGGTCAGGTCGTTGATGTTGGCAGCGTAGGCGTAGACCGATCCGGCAAGAGCCTTGGGCTGGGCACCACTGGTCTGGGCCGTGTGCGAGAAGATGTTCTTGAGCTGGGGGTTGTTGGCGAGCATGGTCTGAAAGTTGGGTCAGCTGGTGGACGTCTGGATGTAGCCAACACGGTAGCTCACCTTGTACATCTCCGAGGTGATCTGGAGACCGTACTCGGCGAGCACAGGGGCCGTGGCCGCCACGGCGGCCTTGTGTGCGTCGGTGAGAGGCACAACGTCGGCGGGAATGAAAGAGGAAGAGACAGTAGCCATGTTGCTGTGAGGGTGGGTGAGTACAGAACCTTTCAACAACAACAAACTCACTTCTTAAATGCCAAAGCTCGGGAGGAGACGGCGATCCTGGAGACGGAGGGACGGGTGAGCGCACGGAGGGCGAAACGCATTATGATTCGAGGATGTTGACTTGCTGACAGTATGTACGTCGTCTCATGGGTTGACAGCACATGCTTTATAGAATTGGGGTCCCTGTCACCAAGGGCCTACCGGTTGTGGACCAGAATCGTCGGGATCTGCCGGAGAGACAGTCATTGTTGACGAAGTGGTCGCGACCACTCTAGCTAGCCCCTTTCCCTGTCACCTTGCGGCGTCTGCTCCGCGGGATCCTCTTGTCTTGCAACCGAAATGCACTGTGCGAGTGTGGCCTGTTGGTCTGTTGGGGTCCAAGCAACGTGCCAAGCCCTGTAAAAGCGACAAACTGCGTGTACAAAAGACGACTTTGTACCAGGGGCACCTGGGGCTCCAGCGGGAGATCACCATTGTGCGCCAATGGCCTGACAGACAATGCCAACCTGCGAGTTTTGGCGAACGCCATGGCGCACGCCGTGTTCTGCGGTGAGGGCCGCGTCGTAAGTGGCGCGACCATTCCCGATGAGAGCTTTCCGGACCGGAATTCAAACGCAGATTACAGACACCAGTACGGCCCGGAGACGATGGTGTGGACATGCGGGTGTGTTCGGAACGCGCTGGGCACTGTAATCAGGGGGAAACGTGGGATGATCCGGATCGTTTCGCGGCCCGGCTGGCCGTTGGAACACTGCTATGAGGTCTTCGTGTCGATGTGTTCAGTTTATGGAATTGGGGGCTGCCGACATGGGATGTGGCACTTGGGGGCGCACGAAGGTGCGGTATGTTCTGTCGGAGAACGGAAACACGGCAAGAAGATGACTTCTCGTTGGCCGGTTTTTTAATTTTTTGTCTATGCGGCACGCGTCGGAGGACTTGCCGCCGGCAACTTCGCTGCTGGCATTCCTTAGTACACATCGTGCTGAGGTGACCCGTGCGTGACCGTTGTGTGCATGGTGATGGAGGAGGATGCGGCGGACGCAGATTACAGTTACACTCAGAGCGTCTTAGAGTGATTGGCATGCGCCCCCTTCTTACACCTCACCAGTCATGACGGATCATGCCACATCTCTCGGAGAGCACCTAGCGCTCAAAAACACCCAGCTGTGCACTTGCAGAAGTGCAAAAGGGCAAAAATTGCGGGTGCGCTGAGTCGAACAGCGGTTGGCTCAGTTATGATCTAATCAGCCACAACGAACAGTGATAACCACCTACACTACACCCGCTTCATGTTTATAAAAAAACAGGAGCCGTTCCGAGACCACTGTCTCTTGCAGCCGTACTCGTGTGCGTTTCTTGTAGACTTTGGCCGGATAAAAGAGGACCTGGAGCGAGGATGCCAAGGATATCGCGGACCCGCGGGCTGAGGCGGGGAAGCGTATGGCAAGTATTTCATTGTAGCTGGGGATACATCACCGGTCAAAATGCCGGCAGGTAACTTGTGAGACAGCGCATTGAGTGTAGTGCTGGCCCTAGCCTACCAGCTGTGGCATGGTCACAAATTGGTGAACTCGCAGACAAGTGTCCTTGCTGATGGCCATGATGATGCTCGCATCTCTTTCTCGTTCGCGTCTCCTGTCAACAGGCTGTAATGCAGTTACAAGCTTGTTGTTCCTGACACATGCTGCGTCAGCAATGGTGACCGATGGACAATTCACTGATCACCGACGGCGCATCGAGGATGATGCGTGGAAGTCCATAGTGGGCACCATGTCGGCCGCATATGGCGCCATGAGTGGACTTCGGAGCGCTCGGCGCTCGGAGTGACACGACGGAGTGGTGCGATCCCGGGCATCAGATCTGCGTCCTCCGATGCGGACTGTCGACAGCCCCCTCTCCGCCCCCACGACCCTATTACCCTGCCTACCGTAGATGTATTCCATCTCGACTCGAAATACAGTTTCACCTGCCAAGGCCCGCTGGGATCGCTGGAAAGATCTCCCGGCGTGGTCAATGGGGCACAGCGGCCGTAATATGACTCGAAAATGCTATGTCCAAGTCGATCAGAAACGCACCGCAGTCAAGGATACCAAGGGGGGGAAGATCTGGGCTCGGGCTGACCAACCCAAGGTGGTTCATTCCGTCGTTCGGAATCGCCCCAGACCAGTGCGAGCACCGACGACACGTTGTGGTGTGGCAAATTCGGACAGCACGCGTGGGCAGTGGGCAGTGAGGCCGAGGCCGGGGACGTGGGTCTCGGTTGGGCTGACATTCAGACGGTCCACGAGGCCAGTAGCGACCCAAACACTGCCGCGTTGGGGCTGTGGACGAGCACGAGACGAGCAAGGTCAGAGCATTATGGCCGATTTTCTGGATGGCAAATTCAAGTATGGCCAACCTTGCTGCAGCTATGGCCAAACGGTGGCGGCCCTAGCATGCGGGATGGCCAAAACCGTGAGCGGATGGCCAACCTCAGTCTGGGCTTGCCGCCGTATCGAGGGGCTGGCTTAGCAAACGCAGGGCATCAGGCCAGAGAGGGCTCTCGCTCCCCACCTGGGCCAAGCTCCGGTCCCTGTTTATCTTTGACATGACGCGCTTCGGAGCAAGGCGACGGCACTCCCCAAAAGCCGAGCGTCGAGCGACTCAAGACGGCCACACCCCCCCGCCACCACCACGATGCTTGCCCGTTCAGCAACACCCATTACCTGTGCCACCCACTCCATCAAGCTCGCAAGGTCAACCGTCCGCTTGACCCATTCGACATCTTCCAACGCCTCAAGGCCGGCGGAGACAACACTTCAAAACCTCCTTCTCCCCTCCTTCGCGCCTCGTAACGGTGCACTCCCCCAGCGACGGCAGTTTGCAACCCCCACCACCATGCCCCCCACTGCCATGAAGACGGTCCCCCGCCGTGCGCCTGAGATTACCGAGGAGGTCGCTGGCAAGGCCAACGCCGATAAGCTGCACCGCACCGCAAGGGATTTCCGGAGTGAGTCATTGTGACACAATGCCAGCGCCACAAGAATCGCTTGGCGCAGCGCGTGTATGCTCACACGAGACACGCCACTAACAATTCGCAGGTGACACCTTCACCATGCCCACCGATGCGCAGATGATGGCTGCGCTGCAGGCATCGCGCGGTGACGATGTCTACCACGAGGACCCGAGCACTGCCGCTCTCGAGGCTCGTATCGCCAAGATGGCCGGCAAGGAGGCTGCCCTCTTCGGCACCTCTGGAACGATGACCAACCAACTGGCAATTCGCACCCACATGAAGCAGCCGCCTCATTCGGTCATCACCGATCACCGCGCCCACGTCCACATGATGGAGGCCGGCGGTATCGCCATGTTCTGCCAGGCAACTACGCACGGCCTGGTCCCCAGCAACGGTGTCCACCTCACCCTTGAAGACATCCAGCCCGCTCTGCAGCTCGGTACCAACATCCACATTGCCCCCACCAAGCTTATCTGTCTCGAGAACACTCTTTCGGGCATCATCTTCCCCCAGGAGGAGATTGTCCGTATCGCGGAGCTGGCCAAGAAGAACAACATTGGCATGCACCTGGACGGTGCCCGCGCATGGAACGTTGCTGCTGCCGAGCTCGAGAAGCGCGGCCTCGACCCCACCTCGGAGGCGGACCGTACCACTGTCCTCTCTGACATTCTCGCCCCCTTTGACTCGGCCTCGCTCTGTCTTTCCAAGGGCATCGGCGCTCCCGTCGGCAGCGCCATTGTCGGCTCCAAGGAGTTCATCGAGCGTGCTCGCTGGTTCCGCAAGGCCTTTGGTGGCGGTTGGCGCCAGTCGGGCATGCTCGCCAGCATGGCCGACTATGCGCTCACCAACTTCTTCCCCCGCCTGCAGGACACGCACACGCTTGCGCGCCGTCTTGCCGCCGGCCTCGAGGATGCGGGCTGCACCATCCTCGCCCCCGTCGACACCAGCATGGTCTTCTTTGACCCGTCGCCTATCGGCCTCTCGGTCAACGATGTCACCCAGGGCCTGGCCGCGCTTGACGACCCCATTGGCCTGAACGCCAACCGCTGTGTCATCCACCACCAGACCGACCCCCAGGCTGTGGAGGACTTTATCGCCACCGTCCAGCGTCTTGCTGCTGCCGTCCCCGAGAACTTGCGGCCTCCCCCCGCCACTGAGAAGCTCGGTGCCAAGGACGGCAAGTTCCGCGTCAACGCGCTCGGCTACTAGTCATGTGGCCCTGTAGAATCTGTTTGTTGTGTTGTGTTTTTGCCGTTTAACGCGCGGGAGGGGAGTGGCGGAGCGGTGGGAAGAACAGGAGATCACGAGTTCACGGGACCTGCCTTGAATGGACGATTGTAATAATACTAGTAGCTGCGTGAAGGTGATCAGACAATGCAAACAGAATAGAGATCTTAGCAAATGTGGTGGCTCGAGTCTTGTTGCCTCGAGGATGTAGCACATGAAAGGCACACCGACGGGAGGCTCGTTTGAGGCACACGCATGGCTCGGCCAGTCAGCACAAGTATCTCGGATGGGTGTTGACAGTCACTGCACTTCAGTTCGCTGAGTCCGTATTGAGACGGACCAGGCCGGCATAACGTGGCTGGAGTCCCCGGTGCCGCGATTAGGGATCGATGACGGACCTGAATTTTCGAAAGCACTTTGGCAACTTGGGTCGACTGCTTCTCGTGACTCGACATTACCACCCACACCATTGACCATGACGACCTCGCCGGCCGGCCCGACCTCGGCGAGCCCCTTGGGCGGAGCGGACCTCACATCCATTGTTCCACAGGTTGCTGGCGCGAGCTCTGGGAGCACCGCCGGAGCTGCACCTCTGCCCACCGCTGAGCTGCAACCGTCCACCGACTCTGACGGTCTCGAACCCGGCACTGAGACGTCGACAATCAACCCGTACCTTCTGCAGGTTCTGTCGCGTCCTGGCCGTGGAAGGGGCGTGTTCGCTTCTAGAGATCTCGCTGCAGGCACGTTGATTGAGGACGCGCCCGTGCTTGTGATCACCCAGAAGGAGTGGGATGAGGGGCGTATGAACGACTCGATCCTGGGCGAGTATGGGTTTTGCTGGTCGAACGGCGGCATGGCGATTGGACTTGGCATGGGTGAGTGTGTGTGATTGTGTGGAGCAAGAAGGAAGAAGGGGGATATTGTTTGCAGCGCTGACACTGTTTCCTCCACTCAACCCGCCCATCCATCTGCCGTTTGTTTCATCTCGATCCTTCATTCCTGCGTTGTTGCTACCCACTCTTGTCATTCATCCTCCAGCCTCCCTGTTCAACCACTCGGCCTCGCCCAACGTCAACTTCATCCGCAACTCTACAGCCGGCACCATCGCGTTCCGCACCTTCCGCTCCGTCAAGGCCGGCGACGAGTTGTGCATTTGCTACTCTGCCGACGAGTCCAAGCTGTGGTTTATGCCCACACAGGGCAAGAACGAGACTACCGCCAGCGACTCTGAAGAGGACATGACCGCTGGTCTTGGAGCCCTCGAGCTCAGCGATGACGAGGGAGCAGCGGCGGCCAAGGCTGTGAAGAAGGCCGAACGCGAGACCCGGAGACAGCAAGGTGGAAAGACCCACTCGGCACGCGACCAGAGGCGAGCGCGCTACCTGGAGAAGATGGCCGCCAAGGGCGACCAGGGAGTCAAGGAGGCCGAGGCCAAGAGCGCACAAGAGGTGGCTCCTGGTTCACAAGATGCCAAGGCTATTGTCGCCCCGACTCCCGTCCACGCGTCGTCGTCGTCCTCAACAGTGATCGCCTCCGAGGCCAAGCCCCGACACAACCGCCCAATTGTCAATGCTGATCTCCCCCCTCCCTTGCACTCGCAAGGTTCGTCACGCCATCGTCATGTCGGTCCCGTGGTCCTCACACCCGACCTCGAGTGGGAGCCCACCGCAGGAGCCACCCTTACTGAGGACCAGTACGCGCTGCTGCAGCGCGCGCGTGGACCTGTCGAGGTAGAGGAGGACGCCGACAATGACAACACGGCAATGAGTGAGTTGTTCTTTGCAGATTTACGGTGCTAACGCTGTCTCCAGTGTCTGTGTGGGCTGTTGAGGTGCACGAACCAAAGCTCACACGCTACATTTTGGACTTTTCCAAGCAAATCGTCGAGCCCCGCATGCGTCACCTGAAGCGTGTGCGTAAGCGTGTGGACGAGGCGGGCGAGCACAACTACATCGCCCTGGCTATGGTGGACACGATGAGCGGCGACGAGCTGCATAAGGCTCTCGCAGACTTCAATCCGGTGTTGGCCAACCTGGTCCCCATTGCGTTTGAGGTGCCGCGCTCCGCGGCGCGTACGCAGGAACAGCTGCGCGAGCGCAACCTCACCTGGCCCGTCTTGTTCTCTCCTGCCGCGCCGCGTCCCTCTGATGCGCGCGGCATGCCGCCCGCCAAGCTCGAGTGGGTGCGCGCAGGCATCAACCGTATCCTCCGCGACGCCCGCAAGGCCCAGGCCGCCGGCGACCTCCCCGTCGCCGTCTTTTGCACATCTCCGCCCGAATCCATCTGGCCAAACATCGACATTACAGGCTTCATCCCCCCGACCCCCGGTCTCCGCGCGGCCGCTCACGACACCCGCGTGTCCGAGAACCACCCGCTTCGCCACGCCGTACTCAACTGTATCGCCGAGATTGCGCGTCTGCGCACCGTGCCGCCCTTCTCCGAGCTCGTCCCGCTGAGGAACGGCGCTGACTACCTCCTCACCTCGCTGTCCTTGTTCGTCACCCACGAGCCCTGTGTCATGTGCACAATGGCCCTGCTGCACTCGCGCGTGCGTGAGGTCTTCTTCGTCTACCCGCGAAAGCGCGCCGGTGGGTTTGAGAGCAGCTACGGCGTCCACTCGCGCCGTGACCTCAACCACCGGTTTGACGCGTGGAGATGGTGTGGCGATCTCGTCGAGGAGGAGCTTCCCGTCGCGGACGAGATTGAGATCTAGACAGAAGAAGAGGGGAGAGGGGGTACATTGTTTTCTTGGAGAGGGAACCAGCATTGTCATAATTAGTGTCACAATCTGCATGCGCTGATGCAAGTCTTGGTGCCAATCAAAGCCAGCCGCATGTGTGTATGTGTGATAATATCCCTTCTGACATGCTTGTCTAACTGTGGTACTTCATGAGACTCTTGTTCTTGAAGCCTGTGTTGAACTGGAGTAGCGAACTGGTGGGGTGGGTTAGCAGACGTCCGGACACCATAACCTACTTGATATCTCTAACCCAGCTTCCACCGCCTGGCCGCTCGATACACGGGATGGGGTATGGCGACTTGCGAATCACAACCGACTCGTGCGCGCCCAGCTCGCAGACCTCGCGACCGTCAATGGACAGCTCCGCAGGGGACCGGGAACGAGGCGAGATCTGAGACGTCAGCTAGTGGTGCAAGGCTTGCAACAGTTAGCTTACCTCGAGACGAACGGTGCCCTTGCCAGGCAAGACGACGGTGCGGAAGGAGAGTGAACGTGGCGCGATGGGGGTGAGGAGCAGTGCGTCCGTCTCGGGGTGTGAGATCGGGCCGCCAGCGGAGAGCGAATACGCTGTCGATCCCGTTGGGGTGGAAAGGAGAAGGCCGTCGGCCTGGAGTGTTAGCGACGATATGAGCGGCCATAACATAACACTCACTGTCGCCTCTGTCAAGTGTTGCCCGTCAAAGTATGCGTCCACCACAGTCAAGTGTGGGTGCCGACCTCGATGCAGCGTCACCTCGTTCATGACTTGCCATCCTTCGTCTGCGACTCGGCCACATCGGTCCAGAACACCTCCCTCAGGATTGAGTGGGTGTACTGCCAGACGCAAGCGGTTGAGCAACGTCACGGGGCCAGTGAGGGCTCCTTCCAATGCGCGTGGCAAGGCGTCAATGTGGAAGGGCAGCAAGAAACCCAGGCTGCCCATTGAGAAGCATAGCACTGGGGGACATTCGCCGGACGAGAAGAGGTTGGAGACGTGCAGCACGGTACCGTCACCGCCGAGGGTGAGGACGAGGTGGGTATGAGCTGGAAGGAGGTGCGTGTCCTCTGGTTTGCTTATCAGCAACGTCACTCTTGACCCAGTCGCTCAACTAACGCGGCTCGACCACAATCAGGTCGTCAAACTCGGGATTCTCACGCGCCGTGTGGGGTTCGACGATGAGGTTGAGTTGGGGATATTTCTCAGATATGTGCCTAGTCGCGCGCGCATGTCAGCCACTGGGGACACTTCACCCACCCACACCCACAACGCGCCCCGACGCCACCCCCAACGTACTCACTTGAGCACCTCACTCATGGCCATGCGCGTGCGCTCGTCATTGACTTTCTGGATCAGCAGCACGTTTGTGGGCGGCGCACTCCAGAGCATCAGACGGTGACGGTGGATCATGTCATTGGGGCCTCCAAAGGAGGGCGGCGATGAAGGACCAGGCTCGGATAGGCTGGGGTGGGAGGATTGGAGCCGCGGCTTGCTGGACAATTGTGAGCGGCGAGACCTTAACGGGGGCAGCGGCTACGACATACTCGACGATTTCCTGGACGGTTGGTGGCTGCATGTCCCGCAGGAGATGGATCCCACGCAGTGAGCGGAGGCCATGCCCATGCACAGGACATATAACGCGTCTTGAGAGCCAGGTCGGTGGGCGCATTGCAGTGAAGGTGTGTGAGAGATGTAGCGATGGACGAAAGTTGGCCGTTCAAGTGGGCCGGAGCCCAACCAGGGGCGACCAACACGATGATATCAATATCCAGGCACGGCCGACTTTTGTGTCCCTCCTCGTCGCCTCCGCTTGACACTCGACTCGTCAACACAACCAAACCAACCCTCCTCACCCGTCAACGTCCTCCGCCACCATGTCCGACTCGCAGACAAAGAGGGGTCCCGGACCATCGGCCGCTTCATTCAAGCGCCACCCGGAGCGTGCATACACTGGACCCAAGCCAGAGTCGCTTCCTCCAAATGGGTTCAAGTACCGCCCCGATCCCCACCTGGAGGCATTGCCGCCGATGCCCCGTACCGCGCGCTGGATCGGATTGACTAGCTGGGTTGTTGGTACTGGTGAGTATCCTGTGGGCGGCGGCCGCGGCGTGCTGCGAGGAGGTCGCGGACAATGTCTTGGAGGGCCGCAGGCCGCTGAGCACAAGGGGCGTGCGGTGTGATTGTAGTCGGATGACTGACTTGGACAGGTACTGTTGCGTACATGCTCCTGTACGCCGACTTTGGAGAAAAGGAGCACGTGTTCTCGCCAGTGAGTCATCGTCTACAGTTGCAACTGCAGCTGGGAGCGCAGAGCTTGCCTTGCACATTCTCGTCCAGACGGCTAGCCTCGTGGCATTGGGCTGACATGCAGCTCCGCCGCGCATGGCACAAGCTCTCGGGCGAGCTCTTCACGCTGTCACAGACTGAGCGTGAAGCTATGGGCCTGCACAAGGCGCAGAGCAAGACGCAACAACAAATTCAGGAGATACAGGCGAGCGTCGACAAGGCCGCCACGGCTGCGGCTGCTGCCTCGCCCAATTCGAAGTCTTAGGTGGCAAATTCGGCACAAATTATTGGCATGGAACACGCGTACATGGGCCGGAACTGCACGCTGAACGTTGACGAGGGGTAAGACGTCTAGACCGCGTCACGAGAGCATAGAATATACTGGGAGTAGTTGTACGATGCTAGAAGGTGCTCTTAGCTCTTAGACGACGAGCGCGCACGAAGCGCCGTTGCAGGCGCACAGTGGTACAGTGGTACGGGGCGTGCGCTGGGGGCGTGCGCCGGGCGTCCCCGCTGGCCGACGGCGGAATAAAGTGCCACACCGGAGAATTCGGCGTTATGAGGCATCCGCCCGTCCAAAATGTCCACCCAGCCAAAATTGCCTCCGCCCTCTGCCAGCAGCAGCCCCCGCGCGTCCTGGGTGTGGGTCTGCGCGCCGGCCGGAGGTTCAGTTTTGGCGTTGAGAGACTCGAAGCTCGCTCTAGCCTTCAAGTCCCAAACCCCAAGCCGGTACGCATCACCTCCAGCTCCCTCTCGACATCTCCCCCACCAGCTCTACCCACTCGACAAGACAGACCGCTCACGCACGTCCACAGCAAAACCGCGAATTTCCGCGACACAAACCTCATAAAGCAATATGTGCGTCGTCCGATCGTGGTTTGCTCAAGGAGAGAACTTTTGGCTGACAGAATCTCGCAGGGCTCACTCCAACGTTTGGTTCTCCCGGTGAGTCGGCGTACGCGGCCGACGAGATCGCGCAGGAAGGACGAGAGACGGGCAGCTGGGAGGGAGAGGTGGAACGGGAGACGGCACATCGGTGCACGAGAAGGGACAGGCAGGGAGAGACCTGGGTTAGCGAGAGAGGGCCCGTCGGTGTGGGCGCGCAGGCCAAAGGACAGTGGCGAGGACGAGAACGGCAGCGGAGAGGGGCACGGCGTGGTTCTCTGCGTTGCGCTAGAGCCATGCGTGTGTTCGTGATCGCGCTGTCGTGGTTCCAACCACAGCCGTCCTTCGACCTCCAAGTCCTGGGCCAACGCTTCCCCGTCTCGAGTCCGCCTGCCTGTCTTCCAAGCCTGCCTGTGTGCTCCCCATGGCCCACTCTGGCAGGTTCTCCTCGTGGAGAACCTTCGTGCTGGCGGGTCCCCCGTCGCCTGCTCCCCCGTTGGCACCTCTCGGAGAAACTCAAATCCTCCTGCCCATTTTCCATCGCGCGACCTCGGACGACCAACCTTTGTTCCATGACCTATCGCTGACCTTACGCAGCCCCCGCAACTTCGGCAAGGGCTCGCGCCAGTGCCGCGTCTGCGCTCACCAGGCTGGTCTTATCCGGTAAGTAACGCGGAGAACCCCCCGGGGTGTGGCGACCGGAAGATTAGTTGCTGACAACCTTCCAGCAAGTGGGGCCTCGACATGGTAAGCTTAACATCCTCTTACTCCTACGCATCGTCAGCTAACGAAGGCAGTGCCGTCAGTGCTTCCGCGAAAAGGCTAAGGCCATGGGCTTCGTGAAGGTAAGCACAAGAAGCGGACGCAGTGTGCTAACGCCCAGAACAACTAAGTCGGTCACCTAGGCAGTCCCGGTCACCTTCACGTCTTCTGGCGTGATTCCTCGCCTGAGCCTCTGTAGATGCAGATGCGATGGCATTCGTCGTGTCCCCCCACCGTGCAGACTGACGCCACGCATTGAATGTGTCCTACTCTTGCTATTGCCTTGCTGATGCTGACCACCTTCTGTCTGCGCGCGGATGTGGTTCACGTTTGTGAGGTACATTACCTTGCTACATGACATGGGTATTACAAGTTACTAGCAGCTGTACATGCGTGTGAGCCTCCATTTAGTGAGGGGTGCCATTCGCCTCGTCGGCGTACGACTCGATCATCGCGCTTGGCCCGCGCGCGAGGGCGGGGGTGAGGCATGGCGAGAGCCTCGTCAGCATCGTCTACCATCATCGAGCTGCGTCGGCTGCACTCGGCATCCATGTCGTGAAGCTTGTTCTCGGCGCTTTTGCCAGCGGACGCAGAGACCTTGACGAGCGGGATATCTTCGTTGTCACTTGAGCCTGGGCTTGGGTGCCGACGCTTCTTCGCCTTGGACGATGTGGGCTTCTGTTCCTCGATGCGGGTTTCCGACTTGTCATCCTGGGAGGCGTCCTTGCTACGAGCCGTGAACTTCCCCTTGGCCTGGGCGTTCTTGGGGTCCTTGGGCTTGCGGCGCGGTTGATATCGCGGCCAACATCCTCGACTCGGGTTGTCTTCTCGAAACAGAAGTCCGGAAGTATGCCCTTCTGTGTTTCAGTCAACACAACACAAACGGTGATGGGATTTGGACACAAACATCGGCCAGATAGATCGCTTTCCGTAGGAGCGGCCTCGACATCCTTGGAGAACCCGTGCGTCTTGCATACCGCGGTGAGCGGCACAAGCTTCAGAGCGGCCATTTCGTCCGCGTCTTCTCCTTGCTCGTATACCAGACGGTCCTCCAACTCGAACAGGAGTAGTTCCGACGGATGCGCAGCTTGGTTGCGAGGAGCATCTGCAGAAGTTAGTCTGCAGACACACCAGTACCAAGATGTTTTAGCCTCACCGCCGTACCCGTCTTCCTGGTCTTCTCCACCTCTGCTTCCACCAAGAACTTGCGCATGTTCTGGTAGAGCGCGGGACGCTTCGACTGTGGACCTCGGTCTCGCTTTAACGTGGGCGAGTTGTACTGCTCAGGCAGCAGCTCGTCACGCTTAAATGGTCAGCTGACGTCCTTTTCCCTGCATTGAACGAGACGTGGTAACATACCACGTGCTTGTCGATGAGATCCATGAGGACGTCCTGGTCCTTCCACGAGTATGCGCTGGCGAAGACACCCTTGGCCTTGAGCATGTCAAGCAACTCCAGCCAGGTTGTCCAAGGCTCCACACTCAGTCCCTTGGCGATGGCCGCAGCCTTTATCTCGGCCTTGGAGTATGACAGGCGGATGTTGAAGGCGCGGGCCACCTCGACCACATGCTTGAGCTTAGGTCGGAATGGCACGGCGGCGGCAGGGAACATCTTGCGCAGTTCGATGGGGGAGAGACCGTTGAGCATGTACTCTTCCGCGCATTCTGGTGTCATCTCGAAAGCTGTGGGGAGCTTGAACTCTGGGATCAAGCCGGCCCTCGCGAGGCAATCGAGTAACTCTTGAGCTGCCTCGGTTGACCGTGACTGGTAGGCAACAATCGTTGGGTAGCGATACGACTGAACGCCTCGGTTCTGAGGCCATGCCTCGACCCGACACTTACGCTGTTCGGGCCGATACTGGGAGATTTTGGTAGGGAACTGGTTTTCCCAGCCATAGTCGAAGGGCGCGTTGTGCACCTGTTGAGCCGCGAACGAAGGGTTGAGGGTATGGTAAGGCGAATAACCGAAGAAGAGTGCCAGCCCCGACAACGGGTCACGGCCACCGTGATGGGCGAGGTTTAAGGCCCAAATGCAGATCAAGGACAGGAGACCGCAGTTGACAGAGTAGTTGCCCTTGCCACAGACAAACCTGAAAAATAAATCGGCACGAATGGCAATACGCCAAATGTCGTCTGTCGATGTGGTCGGAGACCAGAAGATAGTGTAAAGCCCCAGTGTGTTGCGGGGAATTGTGAAGTTGCACTTGAGCTCGATCTGTCGAATGAGGTGCTGTATATCTTACAGATGAGGTTGAAGACTGACGATAATCTCACCTCGTTCGGGACCCTCTTCTTCTCGATAGCAGGAAGCCAATGTCGCTGCCGAGTTATGTGTACTGTAGGGGCTGTTTCTAATAGTTTCGACGAGTGGCCTTGGCCATGTTGTGGTACATGGATACCGCCTGGACGTTGGTGTCAAGGTGGACAGGGAAGTCAGTCGACTTGCCATCAGGAAGCGGGGCAACTTGGTCTCGAAGATCAGGAGACTTGGCGAGCTTCACCACTCGGTCTTTGACGTTTAAGAAGTATTGATAGCAAGCGTGGACAAGGTTCGTGTTGCACACCCTGATAAAGTCGCTGGCCTGGGTGAGAGGGGCAAATCTGTGGTGCCCTGGAGAATGCTGGCCCAGGTTTCCTGTTTGCCTGGGAAGGGAGCGACGACAAATGTAGTAGGAATCAGGTTGTCATACTGCGGTCAGCTGTGGACGCTACCAGAAACTAAACGCACCTCTTGTTGGCTGAGGGGTTTCAAGTGACAGAGCGACGGGTCGGCGGACACCGGACTTTTGAACGTAGGGTCCAGTCCTTGAACGCGTTCTATTGCATCATGGCCGTTCATGGTTTGGTCGGGACCAGCAAACTCGTCCTCGTCGAACTGCTCTTTGTGCTGCCCCTTGGTTTGGTCGAGGTATCGCCAGGCGGGACGCCTGTCCGTCGCCTGGATGCCAAGTTGTCTCTTGATAACCTTTTGAGTGATGGCCATGTCGTCGCGGAACTCACCGATTGCGCAAACCAGAACCCTATTGTGCAGCATAATAATCGCCCAAGCAACCGCGGCGTCTACGTAAAAGAACTGTGGGACGTTGGTGTTTGCAATCAACGTCTGGTGGTCTTTTCCGTAACATGGATGGTGGCGTCCGCAATCGTCGTGGGGAGGTGACCCACCCAATTGGAGCAGGCCGCTGGGGGCTCAGTGGCAAAGGGCTCGGCAGTGGTGCAGTGGCTTCAGTGGTTGATGCTGGAGTACCAGGTATGGGGGGTTGCACGTGGTTGCCGTCAATACATGGTAACTGAGTGATGGCAGGTGAGGGAGCGCCAGATGGCAGCTGCGAGGCGTTACCAGGGAGAGGGAGGTCATGTTGCCCAGACGGAAGAGAGCTCAGGAGGGAATGTGGTGAGGACATCGACATGGCTTGACGCTCCAACACGTCTGCGCACGAGATGGTGGCCCGGAGGTATTGACACTGATCACTCATGGCGGCGTGAGGTGAGCGAGGGAGAGTGGTTTGTTAATGGTGGCGGGTGGATGCAGTGGAGGGGTGGTGGGAAAGATGGAGACATAAGACGGCGATGCATCCTGTTAGTATGGATGCCCGTCCGTTCCAAGGTTCATGGCGTGTTTTGCGAGGCATCAGAGAAACACATATGGCGGAGACTTTGCATATCCGCCACTTTTGCACTTGGTTATCGACTGCCACCAAGTCACCATTACACCCTGGGTGCCAGTTCTGGGCCCGATACTGTCTTTCCGCTCTTTCGCGATAACCCACACATGGTTACTGCACCTCGACCTGCTCCATTTCTATTTCTTGCTTTGCTAGTGTTTATGCATCAAGTATTGCTGCATGTACTAAGCTCGACCAGATCGCCGTCCGCAGCATTGGGACCACTGGGCACTGGCCACTGCAGAGCGGCCAGAGCGGGCGGACCTTTGCACTAAAAATCGCGGCGTTTTGTCGGATTTCTCCCAATGCCACGATCGAAAATATAGTCCCGAGGCCCCCGCAGCCCTGCCTGGGTGCACTGTGTGTGGTGGCCCCCTCCCCACCCAGCGCGTGCGCAGACGATGCCGCCGCGCGGGACGGCCAGAGTGTCCCACCAAGGCGCACCAGTCAGAGTTCTTTTCTTCGGACTTCAAATTTCACCTGCTGCTCACCGCATCAACCCCAAACCCCCCCACCACCTATCCATCGGCCGTCGCCAACTGCGAGCGTCTCTCACCAGCGCTCTCATCGCCGTCCGGATCGATAACGTACCCCGCTCTGTTGTAGCTTTATCAAAAGGCGCCCGCCCGCGGACACGTTTTTCTCCAGCATCCAACTCGCACCCAACCCCCACTTTCCGAGTCTTGGTTTCGTGAGTTCCGCCGTGGTCCAATTGCACCCACAGGGACACCTCTGTCCCTCTCCTATGCCTTGTGGCTCGACCTCTTTGCACAAGAGAACACTCGGGTCCTGCCACAGACCAATTCCAACAGGCGACGCCCGCTGACGCATCGCTCCTCCTCGCCGACACACTCCCCTTGCCGTTGTGCTCGCTTTCGCCCGTTCGTTCGACCATTTCCTTCATTCACCCTCGCCGTTGGGTCTCTTTTCCTTTGCTTGTTTCCTTTCCTACAACAACAGTATACCCCGCTCGTCCTTATCTGCCAGCATCAAAAGCGACAACACCTGGATCCCCAGAGTCATACTAGTGGGTGTCCACTCCTTTCTTCAATCCGACTTGGTGGCGACCTGCTGCTGACACTTTTGAAAGCTCCAGGATCCCTGTCAACGTCTTTCAGACACATAGAGCATGACCGCTTCGCCTACCAAGCCCTTTGGCACCGACTCTGATGTCCTCAAGACGGCTACCGCGCCGGAACTGAACGGCCACGACGAGGTGCGTTACACTTTACTTTCTCAATACCACCTACACCTGTCGGACCTGCTGCCTCCTATCCGCGCACCACATTGTCCCTTTGTCTTTTCAGTGCTGATAATGGCAGAGCGGCAACCGTTCCGAGGTCACGACTCCCGAGGCTGCTGCCGACAAGCAGCGTCTTGAGCAGAAGCGCCTTCTCCGTGCCGAGCAGCGTGCAAAGCTTGAGGCTCAGATGGCCCAGCTCGAGGCTGACCAGCGCGCCGACGACCTCCTCAACACGCACGCTGAGCCCGCTTCGGCCCCCACTTCGCCTCTCGGTGCTCGTCTCGCTCAGAGCGGTGCCGCTGACCGTGCTCCCGGTGCTGGTGCCCCCGCACCGATCGGCCAGGGTCGCGATGCCAATGGCGCCAAGTCGATGCCCGCCTCCAGGCGGACTAGCGGCTACGGCGGTGGCAGCTTTGGCATGGAGAAGCTGAGCCTCAGCGTTCTTGACGGCAAGAAGGAGTGGACCGACGAGGACGATGTTGCCGCCGACAACGCGCAGAGTGGGTGGCGGAAAAACAAAAGTTAAATGTCATGCCTACTAACTTGCGCCACAGAGTCCGTCTCGTACCTCGCGATCAACGACGACGACTTCCCTGGCCCCGCAAAGGACAAGCACCTCTCGGCGGCTTCGGCGGCGCTCGACCTCGCCCCTCTTCCTCAGGCAGCGTCGCGCGCGTTTGGCTCGCGTCCGTTTGACACTGCCATGAAGACTTCGGAGTGGACTCAGTACCCTTCGGCCCGTGGTGGTCTCACCTCGCCCTCGCCTGGTATGGGCCTCATGCCCTCGCCTGGTGACGAGGCCCCTCGTGACCCCATGCTCAACAGCCGCAAGACTTCGCCTACCGGTCTCGCCGACAGCATTGCCAGCCTGCCTGCCATGCCGTCCAAGTCGGTGCCTGGCACTCCTTTCGGTCTTGGTCCTGCCACTGCCGGCATCCCTCCCAAGCGTACTGGCACCAGCCCCGGCCTGAACGACGGCTTCACCCAGGCTCAGCGTGGTTTCTCCAACCCCGACCTCGCCCGTGCTTTCAGCTCCAAGGCTGGTGGCGCCGAGGGTGCCAACCCCGGCGGCCGTCAGGGTGGCCCCAACGGCAACGGCGGTGGCTTTGGCCTCAACGATGCTCCCCGTCCTTACGGCGCCGACCCTCTGTACTCGAACATGGGTCTCCAGGGTGGCAACGGTGGCCCCGGTGGTTCGCAGTTCATGCCCCAGGGCGGCTACGACTCGTACGGCTTTGACGACGACAGCTTTGGCTCGGGCTCCCTTTACCCTGCTGGTATGATGGGCCTCAAGAACAAGCGTGCCGAGGCCGACCGCGAGTTCAACCGCTTCTCAGGCATGCGCCTCGAGGACCTTCAGGGCGAGATTCTCAGCCTCTGCAAGGACCAGCACGGCTGCCGCTACCTGCAGAAGAAGCTCGAGGAGGGTGACCCTTCGCACCGCGACATGATCTTCCGCGAGACCTACGGCCACTTCCCCGAGCTCATGATCGACCCCTTCGGCAACTACCTCTGCCAGAAGCTGCTCGAGCATGCTACTGAGGAGCAGCGCTCTGCCATCATCGACTCGGTCTCGAACGACCTTGTCGGCATCTCGCTCAACATGCACGGTACCCGTGCTGTTCAGAAGATGGTCGACTTCCTCGCTCAGCCTCGTCAGCCCAAGCAGATCCGCACTCTCATCTATGCGCTGTCGGTCAACGTTGTCGCCCTCATCAAGGACCTCAATGGGAACCACGTCATCCAGAAGTGCTTGAACAAGCTCATTCCCGAGGACAACCAGTTCATTTACAACGCCATTGCTACCAACCTGATCGAGGTCGCTACCCACCGCCACGGGTGCTGCGTCCTGCAGCGCTCGATCGACCACGCGTCGCCCGCGCAGCGCCTCCAGCTCGTGACCGAGATCATCTTCAACTCGCTGTACCTCGTTCAGGATCCGTTTGGCAACTACGTTATTCAGTACATACTCGACCTCAACGACGCTCGCTTCTCCGAGCCCCTCATCCGCACCTTTGTTGGCAACGTCTGCAGCTTGTCTGTGCAAAAGTGAGTTATACATTATCTGTGCTCGTGCTAACTCGGCAGGTTCTCTTCCAATGTTGTAGAAAAGTGTATCCGCGTCGCCGACCCCGAGATCCGCAAGGTCCTCGTCGGCGAGGTGCTCAACCGCTCGCGCCTCGAGAAGCTGCTCCGTGACAGCTACGGCAACTATGTCATTCAGACGATACTCGACTACTGCGAGATCAACCAGCGCATGATCCTCGTCGAGTGCATCCGCCCCATCCTCCCGTCGATACGTAACACGCCTTACGGCAAGCGTATCCAGTCCAAGCTCCAGCGTGAGGACGCCTCGATCGGCTACGGCGGCGGTGGCGGCAGCGGTGGCGGTTACCCTCGTGGAGGTGGTGGTGGCGGCTACAACCGCTCGGCAGGTGGCTACCACCCCCGCCACCTTGGTCGCCCCCAGCTCCAGCACATCAACGCCCTCACCGACGTCTACAGTGCTGCTGGCGCGCCCTTCATGGGTCCTGGCGGCTACAGCCGCGGCGGTGGCCAGGGCGGTCACGCCCACCACGGCTCGACTGGCGGTGGTGGCGGCGGCTTCCACGGTCGTGAGATCCACAACCACGGCGGCATGAGCTACCACGCTCCCGGTCCCGACGGCCAGCCCTGGCTCCACCTCCGTGGCCCTGCCGGCCAGCCTGCTCCCAACTGGAACTCTGGTGCCGGTGCCGGCGGCCTCGACGCCCTGCCCGCCACTGCGCCTACCGATGCCGACTCTGGCCTGAGCGAGCGCAACGGCGGCCAGGCGGCTCTCCCTCTGTGGCAGGACCCCTCGGCTGCGTTCATGTACCCCAACGGCGGCCACCTGCCGCTGATGTAAAGCAAGTCAACACCCCTCCCCACTCCCGAACGCGACTAAGCGGAAACGCGACACCGACGCGGCTGTACAATGCGACCCGTTAATCTCTTCGCCCGTGTGTGTACACACATTGTTCCCCGGAAATCCCAAATACAAAGACTGCAAGCAAATCAAAACCCCACAAAAATCCCACGTTATCAAAGAACCCCCTTCCACCCTTCACACCCATACCCCGCGCGCCAGCCCGACCTCTCCCCTTCCTTTGGATGGGGGGGCATGTATCGGCGGGCGGAACCATGCGCGTGTACTGTAAACTCAGCATACGGCCGGGAAAAGGCAAAATGTGCGTGTGTGCGTGTAAAAACTACTTTTCTCGTAACAAAAAAGCAAGCACCGCATTCTCTTCCTTTCTTCCCCTTTACCTATCCCCCTCTCCCCCCCTTTTCCCGGTCACATCTCCCGTGTAGAGACAGAGACGACTTTTCGGTGTGTCCCGCTGGTACAGCAGCATATTCTGTGTAGCGGGCGCGTCTTGTTGAGCAGAGATTTGAAAAGTGTATGCATCTGTTGCCGCGATCGTGAACTGGGGGCAGGCCCGAAAATTGGAACATGTGACGCCAAGAGACGAAATCGAAGAGAGGCCACAACACACGGACGGCGCGCCCCATTCCCCAACATGTGCATTCTTCCAAGGCACAACCACTGCCAATCGCTGAACTCATTTGTTACATTGTTTTCGTGTATCGTAAGAGGAGGGAGTGAATGTGGGTATGACGAAACAACAGATACTCGACGGGTTTGTCTAATAAGAGCTCAGGGAACAGTACAAGCACCGCCAGCACTTGAGGTTGACAATGTATACGACGGCGCACTTGTCTGAGCACCATCAGCATCCGGAATCGGGTACGAATCTCGCGCCCTAGTCTTAACTCACCACCGCGGTTCAGCCCGTCGTGTGCGCCTTCGCATACCCGCACACTGATGGGTGATTTGGAGGGGACATAGGAGACGTAGGCAAAGTCGGGCGTGGGGGTTGCGGATAGAGGGTTGATGGTTGATGTGGGCGACGAGGTCGTTGTGGTGGCGGCGGTGCGAGGGTTGGTGAACCCACCAAAGGTCATGATGCCTGCCGAGGGGAGACTGGCCATGTTGATGGGTGCGTCAAGAGTCGGGATGGGGAGAGGCGCTGGTGGATCTTGGCCCCACTTCTTAGCTGCATATATACGCCACACACATCAGTAGCACAATTCAAGGCTGCGAAAAAAAAAAAAAAACGCAGAGATGATAATGGCACAAAATACACAACGTTTGGAAAGGGTCGGGTCGAGTCGACGTCCGCGAACAAGCACAATTTGGGATGCGGTGAGAAGTCACGAAGCAAAGTGACAGGGTGCGAGAGGGGTGTGCCTCTTTGAATGCTCGCCCCGCGGGTGTTCTCTGTGGCGTTCCTCTCTCATACCCCGACCCAAGAGGAAGAAACGAGTGGAGAGAGGGTTCCTGGTGCGCTGCGCTGTTTAATGCAGTCGCGTCCTAGCTTCGTATCAAGGTACCTCACACCGGCTTGCTGTCCGTGCGCGGTACGCCAGACGGGACGTGACCTCTCTCAAAAGGCCACTCTTGAAAAGCGAGAAGAAGTGCGGCATGTTTCACCAGTCGGAATCCACAAAATGTGGACGCCGCCGACAAGAGGTGCTTCGGACGGAAACGCCACGCTCCACCCACCACCGTCACCCCGCACCATTTAGGAGATACGCGGACGATCAACCCGGCGTCTTACACTCTTACCCCGCAATACGCCACCCTCGGCACGCCGTGGATGGCACGGACATGGGGCTCCCTATCACCTTCATGCTTCTGGGTTAGTCTTGGGTCTCCTCGTGATTGTTGGCTCTTGGTGTAGTGAGGAGGTAGGTAACTAGGACAACGCAAGCGTGCTCTCAATACATGGAGCGCTACAAAGGAGCTCAAACCGAACTAGTTGACCTATTCCGTACCTCCGGAAGACGAGGTACCCCGCCTCAGTTACCGTTTTGGGGTCAGGATTAAGTTCATTTTTGGCGAATTAATTGTGGCAGGGCGCATCGGTGATCGCTGCTTGCGGGTCACTACTCCCGATTTGCGGCCTCTTCTTCGCCACTCCCACCTCGCATCGAGATGTACATGTATACAAGCTACCCCTCAACCTCACGCGTGCACGCTCGCACTCACTGCATGTGATGATGCACTGCAGGGGTCTCAGCATCGGTGACTCCACTGAGGCCTCAGGTTACGTAACATTGTGTGCCGAATCCCACGGCCGCCGCCATCATTGTGTGTTTCTCAAGGGCGAGGTTGTCCACTCGCATCATTCACTCTCCTCTCAACCCGACATGTTAACACTCTCCTCTCCTTCTCACAGTCGGTCACCTCACCTCTCCTCACTCCCAATACCGCCAACATGCTCGATCATCTGAGCTACCCCCACATCTTCGACCTCATCCTCTCGTTCGCGGACGACACGACGCTGATGCGGCTTCGAACGACCAGCTCGGACGTGCGCGTCAAGGCCGACTCGCTTCTCTTCGAACACGTTGTCATCAGTGGGGCCATCCTTAATGAGGATACCCCCATGTGGCTTCTCAGCCCCTCCGGGTCGAGACTCCCAATGGACCCTTCAGCATCCGACGGGCTTGGGGCCAACGCAGTTGCCGCACTGTCACACACCGCAGTGATGGACTGTTACAGACTAGACAGCGCGCGCACAATTGCCGATGGAATTGTCAAGTCAATTTGTCCTGCTGCCTGGCGCTTCTACAGCATTGGCTGCGATCGCCTTAATGCGGTCCGAGCCCCCACTGCCGTTTACTTTCGAGCATTCAAACCCAAACACCCCACGGGATATTGCCTCCCACAGCCCAGTTGGCTCCGGCACCAGGGCATTGGCTATCAACTTCACGACGCCAGAACGCATGTGATTCATCTTTCATACGATCCTCATGACCCTAGACTTAGACAAGCGCAAGTCGAGGCGTTCCACGTCAAGCCCGACAGCGAGAACGTGATCCTCATCCTCGACCGGAGTGGCTCAACAACTGGTGTCGACTTCAACCCACCCCTGCTGGAGTAACCCAAAGCTGAAGGTAGCTACCCAGGAGTGGGAATTTTGAGAGCATTAGCTCAAGCCGTCGCATTGCAACCTTCCATCAAATTCGCCGTGGTGGGGCTTGACGAAATGCCGCGAACCGTTCTCGAACTCGACCCGACCTCCAACTGGGACGAGTGCAAAGAAGTCCTCGTTGAGCGAATGTTCACTATCGGCGAGGAGGCACAAGGAATGATGACCTTCTTCAGGCCTAATCTGCCTCCCCCGTCCCCGCTGACTTTCTTCACTCGTTCTGAGTATCGGTGTTTGGTTGGTGAACGACGCTGGCAAATTCAAACTGTCAAACCCGATGTTGCAACTCCTCTCACCAAAAGAATGGGGTGATCATAACATCATCCTATCTACGTACATAGATATTGAAGCTTTCACATTTGTTTATATTACTGAGATTGATGGGTGAATCTTCACGTGCGGAGAGATTCCCGGATTTCGCAGAGGATGTCGTTCATTGTACCAACATCCACCATGACAATAGACCAGTCCAGTTCCTTCATAAGCTGGAGGTATTCGGAAGGAGAAACCGCTGAGTGGAATGCGCCTTCGGGCATCTGATGATGCCTAGTAGCACTCTGTGTGAGACCCATCGACTCCAGGATCTGCGCGACAGTCCCCACTTGGGAAGGCTCATCCTTTGTAACTTCAGCATCAACAGTGGATGCCCCGCTGGCAGCCGAAAATGACGGGGCGGTACCTGGTTCAGCTTGCAGTGACGAACTATCGTCATCTTCCCACTCGTCCTCGTTGTCCTCTTCCATTTCGAGGTGCTCGGTAAGAGGTTCCAAACCAATAAGCTCCTCAGTAGGGCTGGGCTCGCTCTCGATGGTTGATGGCACATCTGACTGATGGGACGGCTCACTCTCTGTAAGGGAGTATCGGTGGGTCCTGGTATCGGTGGCGGTCGGGTGAGAGTGGCTGAGGTAGCTCGGGCCCTGCCAATCCTGGGTGAATGGTGGAGGGACCTTGCCGAGAAGAGACTGCGAAAGACGCTCGGACTGTTGAGTGTGTTGTCGAGGTTTCTTACTGCTACCCGAGCCACTCCCGCCACTGCGATCGCCGTGGGCACCTTTCCTTCCCTGTGTCCCAGTGACAGGATAAGTCTTGGGTCCGCTGTTGCCTGAACCTCCGCCGCCACCTTGCCCGCGTCCAGGTCCGCTTGAACCATCAGCACCAGGATCACCTCCTGGACCACCACTGGGCTGTTTGCTGGTTGAAGGGTCCGAGGTTGAACCACCATGGCTGGTAGGAATTGCCCGAGCTTCGCAAATCGCTTTGTCCATGACACTCTTCGTCATCGGTCCGTGTCGGGACCTGTCTGAGACGAAGTCCTCTACTTCGACAATAGTGGGACAGCGTTGACGATCCGGACGTGAAATGGGCCCAAAGGGATGGGCGGTCTCGGTGCTGCTCAAAACTTCGAATGCCAGTGCGGTGATCTCAAGTAATGAGCTGAGCGCGATGGGATCAAACTGCCCCTCAGTCGCACCGCGCAGGTCGAAAGGCATTGTCTTCACATTGCTCTTGTCGTCGAAGAACTGTGAAATGTCTGTGATTGGAACAATACCGGTCTCATTCCATTCCAATACAAGCGTAGGAACGCTATCCGTGCCGGGGAGCACCACTGCCCGCTGGAGGTTCGTGTGGATGATGGAGAAGCCAAGGAAGGAGCCACAGTACTCGTACGCGGTCTTCATGTAGACGATGAGCTTTGACAGGCCAGCTTGCCACTTGTGGAACATGTCGGTTCTGACGAGCTCATCCTGGTCGGTGCTCGCAAGGGGAGAGTACTTCCGGTTGTTGTCGACAATTGCTGAGTGGGTGTCGACATCCACGTCACCGTCGACGTCATCGTCGATACTGGATCGGACCTTCCACTGCTTGTTGGTATAGCCAACGGACGTAATCTTCAACTCGCCAACGAGGGAGATACGGTGGAACCACCGTGGCTTCTTTTCCGCTCCTACAACCTCTGGCTCGGCTGCTACCGCTGAGACGACCCAGTCTGGAATGTAGCAACCGAGAGCGGAACGAGGCAACGTCGTGTCGGTGCCACGGTGCAGGCGGACAAGCTTCTCGACTTGAAGCTGCGTGGGAGTGTTGCCAAAGGAGACGTTGTAGGGAGGAGAGGTGTCGGAGTCGGGGTTCACCACAAGCGGCGTGAGGATGTCCCTGAAGAGGGAAATGTCACTGTCGAGACGAATATGAAAGCCGTGGGGGCGCTCCTTTCCCTCGTGCCAAATGTGGCGGTCGAATCCAACATAGTAGCGCTGAATGGCGAGCAGGTCGTTGTTGAACTGGCGTTCTGTGACGCCCTCGTGACGACGACCAAGAGCTACCAGGCTGCGAGAAGGATATTCGAAAACTGGATCCTTTTGATTGACCGCAGCAAGGTCGTATTCGAAGAGAGTCTTGAGGTCTGCTGGCAGAGGTTCGATGTTGTTGCTCGTCATGGTGATGCGTTGCACTGTCGTCCGCAGAGGGAGGATGTGGTGAACTTTTGAAGAGGGGAGCTGTACTTTATCCACTGCCATCCTCTACTCTGCTCAAGTCAGACCCCCGTCCACCCATCACCTGTTTGACCCATCCCAAAACATTGATGGCTGGTGATGACAGTGATGGCGAAGGGGCAGCCTGGATGGCGAAGGGGCAGCCTGGCGACCCGCGTTGGGTCTCATTCACACTGTCGACACGCACGAACCATTTGGTAAGCTCAACGCGATATATGATGCTAGGCCCTTTTTAGGAGCACCCTCCGTGCAAGGGAAGCGTCGCGGCGTGGAAGATAAATGCCCAAAATCCCCGAAAAACAACTTGATGCACTTATTGCTAGTGTCACTCAGGCTGTTTGCAAGAAATCAAACACGTCAGAACCCCTTAAGTCAGACATGCAGACACCTGATCTTAACTCGTTCAAGACAGCTCAGTCCAGGGAGCGTGTTTCTCCACAAGACCTCCAGAACATGGCCTTAGCCCGTGATTGTGTAGGTTCGCTTGAGAATCAGAGAAGTGGGCGGTTTTGGTGCCGCCAACACAACACATCGAAACACATCGAGAAATGAAACCGGGCACACATCATTTGTGTTCAAGACGGTGCTGGCGGTATTGAGTTAGAACGGAGGAAGCTGGTGATTGTGCGGGAAGGTTCAATCAGACTTGGTGGGGTGTGTAAAACTATACCGAAAGTGTGGGACTTGATGTCGACTTTCCATATTGCTGATGGTGGGCATCACCGATGAGCGCTCGATTCACAAGACCGCCGGATGGGATGAACAGACCGGGTTACACGGACAGCGGGATGCCGGTCCGAATAACTAACCTGGCTTGGCAGGTGGGCACAGCAGGCGTCCATAGACCACCTGTAGCCTCCCTTATGGGTTCGCCGGTCCGAAGGACAACATAGCTTCACATGTGAGTGCTGCGCAGCAGGCAACAGGTCAGCAGGCAGCCATCGACCACCTGCAGCCTCCCTTATCCGTCTGCAACCGCCATGGTTCTCTGCCGGGATCAGCGATCTGCGCGATTGTACCCCTATCCCGCACTTCCAATCTAAAGGGCCATTTATGTGTCCCACGCCCACATGACCAAAGTGCCATGGCGACATGGATGGCCCACACCAAGACACCAAGACCATCGGACATTTATTCGGCTAGTTCTTGAGATGGGCATCGAAATGGCCGACCGGAGCGGCCCGGCAAACAGCGGTCTTCCCATACTACTCCCCCACTCCCCCCACCCGCACAATAACGGCAAACGCTCACAAGCTCACGAGCTATGATCGCTATGAGGCCACATTGCTCAGCATTCAAGCCCGGAGCCCAAACACCGTCGACAGCACGTCGAAGAGTGACGACGTCGGTGCATTGTTCAAGCGCCACCTCCTCCGTCGGCCATTTCTCCACAGCCTCCTTCCTCAAATACACCCTCCTCGTCTCCACACCATACGACACTTACTCTCTCCCACTGTTCATCATCAACCACCCCGCTTCACACCATGACCAAGCCCCAGTTCCTTGTTGACCTCGAGCGTGACGGTTTTGTCGTCGTCCCCAATGTCATTCCTGAGGACGCCTGCAAGGAGTTTCAAGAGGAGGCCCTCACCTGGCTCGAGAAGTTCCCCAATGGGTTCAAGCGCGACGACCGCTCCACATGGACTTCTGAACATCTGCCCTATGGTGTGACGTGAGTGTTGCTTTCATCGGACGGGAGGCATTGAAGGTCTCCTCGCATCCGGCTCGTCTCGCGTACATGAACCGGCGCGCAGTGCGGGGCAACATACTTTCCCCGCTCTCCCCGCCGGATCGGCGGCCCAATTGGCACCACCTGAATAACAACTGACACTTCCAGTGGTGGTCTCTACAACCGCTACTCCGTCAACCACGAGGACTTTGTTTGGAAGATCCGCGCACAGCCAAAGATCCTCGAAGTCTTTGAGCAGATCTGGAACACGGACGACCTCATCGCCTCGTTCGATGGCATGAACACTTCGCTGCCGATCAACAAGGAGACTGGAAGGACAGACATTGAGCCGACCCAGGCATGGCCTCGTGAGTGCAACATTATTGGAGGATCTGTATGGAAGCTGGTCGTCGAGCTAGTTACTGCTCGAGTGCAGAGCGTAGCGCTGGACCGCTGGGACGAAGAATGCAGGACGGACAGCAATAGCCAAGGAGTGACTTCCTTCTGAGTGGGGCTAACAGACACAGACATGGACCAGAACCCCCGCCAGGTCGACCACTTCCAGCTGTACCAGGGCATTGCCAACATGGCCCCCAACGGACCGCAAGACGGCGGCCTCTGCGTCCTCAAGGGGTCGCACTTGTTGCACCAGGAGCAATTCGACTCTATTGGCGGCTTCAGGCCTGAGCAGGACGCCGGTGTCAATGAGAACAGCTACAAGTACAAGCCGGAGGACTTTGACTGGTTTGTCAAGAAGGGCTGCGAGTCGGTCAAGGTTTGCGCCAACGAGGGTGATCTTATCTGTGAGTTGTCATGAGTCTCAGCATGAGGTCAACGACTGACACCGTCAGTGTGGGACTCGCGCACGATCCATTGGAACGCCTCGCCTGTCGGTACCCAGACTCGCTTTGCTGTGAGTATCTGTACACCACTGGGCAATGGGCTGCAGCTGACCACCAGTCCTACGTCTGCTACTGCCCTCGCTCTCTCATGAGCGAGAAGGACCTGCAAACCAAGGTCGACGTCTTCAACAAGCGCAAGGGAACGACCCACTGGCCGCAGCAGAACCGCATCCCCGTCGAAAGGCAGAACTACCCTGAAGCCAAGGCCAGGCGTCCCGACGGTTCTCTTGACCCCAATGACCGCGACCGTCCGTTCGTGGAGCCCAAGGAGACTCCAGAGGTTCTCCGCCTTGTTGGTATTAGGGCGTAACTGTGTGTAATGAAAGAAGTCTGGAAGCTTGGGATCTACAGACAACGGGAAGAATATGTGTGTACCCGAGCAGATGTGTACAGGTTGTGCCTATGTATGCTGTTGGCAGATGAAAAACGTGCGGCAATTGTCGGCAGACGAGGGTGTGTGCATGTGTGTGCTTGCTGTTGCACCCATTTATGCGCCGCTTACTTGCAGAATTAGATTAGGCAGAAAGGTCAATTCAAACAGACCGAATGATGTGTCAATTTGCCATGCGATATACCTAAAAGCCCACCCCTGCGATTTCGGTGAGCCCCGTCCAGTCAAACGAGTCGACGGTGCAGAGACATCGGGTTCGCGCGAAGTCCGAGGAGCGGCCGCAATACAATTTCCAAGTTTAAAGACAGGCAGCAATCCTCCTTCTTTCTTCTCCATCATCCCCAAAATGTCGGCCGCTCCCAAGTCTCACCCCTCCATCGTTGGTGCGTACGGCAACATCAACATAGCAAAGTTCGGCGACTAACCCATGCATAGACGGCTGGTTCCGCGAGATCTCGCCCCAGTGGCCTGGTGAGTTTTCCAACTAAACATGACGCTTTCACAAGAGCTCCACTGACTATCTTACAGGTCAGGCTATGACCCTCAAGTGAGCATAAACAGCAGGCCCCTTGGTCTTGCAAGCGCCGTAGACAAGCAGTAGTAGCTAACCAAAACCTAGGGTCAAGCAGATCCTCCACCACGAGAAGTCGCTCTTCCAGGTAGGTGTTGTCCTCTAGCTAGCCCCGATAAGAACCCACGTTCGCAGCCTCGATAGCGAGCATTCGCATTCGAGTGAACGGCTGCAGTGGTGCAGAGAATACTGCTGACAACATTATAGGATGTCCTCGTCTTCGAGTCGGAGACTTACGGCAACGTCCTCGTCCTCGACGGTGCCATCCAGGTCACCGAGCGTGACGAGTTCTCGTACCAGGAGATGATCACTCACCTCCCCATGTGCTCGCACCCCAACCCCGAGAACGTTCTTGTTATCGGCGGTGGTGACGGTGGTGTCATTCGTGAGGCCCTCAAGCACGACACTGTCAAGAAGGTCACCCTTTGCGACATTGACGAGGCTGTCATCCGTGTCTCCAAGCTCTACCTCCCCACCCTCTCGGCCTGTTACGAGGACCCCCGTGTTGAGGTCTTCATCGGTGACGGCTTCAAGTTCCTTCCCCAGCACGAGAACGAGTACGACGTCATTGTCACCGACTCGTCGGACCCCGTTGGCCCTGCCGCCGCTCTCTTCGAGGCTCCTTACTTCACCCTCCTCCACCGTGCGCTCAAGGAGGGCGGCCACATGTCGACCCAGGGCGAGTCGATCTGGCTCCACCTTCCCCTCATCCAGGAGCTCCGTGCGACCACCAAGAAGATCTTCTCCGTTGCCGAGTACGCCACCTCGACCATCCCCACCTACCCCTCGGGCTCGATGGGCTTCCTCGTCTGCTCCAAGGAGCCTACTCGCCAGATGAACGTCCCCCTCCGTGAGATCCCCGGCTGCAAGTACTACAACGCCGAGGTCCACAAGGCCGCCTTCGTCCTCCCCGAGTTCGGCCGTGCCATGATCCAGGACGGCAAGAACATCCTCCCCGTCTTCGGTGGTGTCCGCCCCGGCCAGGCTTCGGGCCAGGGCTCGGACAAGAAGGTCCTCCTCCTCGGCTCGGGTCTTGTTGCTGCTCCCGCCGCCAAGTACATCACCGACCGCGGCCACGGTCTCACCGTTGCTTGCCGTACCCTCGAGACCGCTGAGTCGCTCGCCACAGGTCTCCCCAACGCCACTGCCATCTCGGTCGACGTCTCGTCGCCTGACGCTCTTCGTGCCGCCATCAAGGGCCACGACGTTGTTGTCTCGCTCGTCCCCTACACCCACCACCGTGCCGTCATGGAGGCTGCCCTCGCTGAGAAGGCCCACGTCGTCACCACCTCGTACATCAACCCCCAGATGCGCGAGCTTGACCAGGCCTTCAAGGACGCCGGCCTCGTCTGCTTCAACGAGATCGGTCTTGACCCCGGAGTTGACCACCTCTACGCCGTCAAGATCATCAACGACATTCACCAGGCCGGTGGCAAGGTCAAGTCGTTCTACTCGTACTGCGGTGGCCTTACCGAGCCCTCGGCTTCGGACAACGCCCTTGGCTACAAGTTCTCGTGGTCGCCCGTTGGTGTCCTTATGGCCCTCAACAACACTGGTGTCTACCTCGAGAACGGCAAGCAGGCTACCGTCGGCGGCGGCAACGAGCTCATGAAGTTCGCCAAGCCCTACTACTTCACCCCTGCCTACAACCTCGTTGCTTACCCCAACCGCGACTCGTCGGTCTTCCGCGAGTTCTACGGCATCCCCGAGGTTGAGAACCTTGTCCGCGGCACCATGCGCTACGGTGGCTTCTGTGAGGTCGTCATGGGCTGGACCGACATGGGTCTCCTTGACGACTCGCAGAAGGACTTCCTCCAGAAGGGCGCTGCTCCCCTCTCGTGGCTCCAGCTCTCGGCCCAGGTCTTCGGTGTCGAGGCCAACGCCGCCGCCGTCTCGGACAAGATCCTTGCGCTCCCCTCGGTCCCCGCTGGCCAGCACAAGATCATCCTCCAGAAGTTTGCCTCGCTCGGCATGCTCTCGGCCGAGGAGCCCGTTGCCCAGGCCGGCTCGCTCATGCGCTCGCTCTCGGCTCTCCTCGAGACCAAGTGCCAGTTCCAGGACGGCGAGGTCGACCTTGTCCTCCTCCAGCACACCTTCGAGGTCATCCGCGCCGACGGCCGCGAGGAGACCATCGTCGCCATGCTCGAGGAGTACGGTGACCGCCACGGCGGCCCCTCGGCCATGGCCAAGCTTGTCGGTGTCCCCTGTGGTCTTGCCGTCCAGCTCGTCCTCGAGGGCAAGCTCAACAAGGCCGGTGTCCACGCTCCTTACGACGAGCCCACCGCCAAGCTCTTCCGCGACCGTCTCGAGGCCGAGGAGGGCGTCACCATGGTTGAGAAGGTCTTCTAAGTGCACTGCGCAAGATCCTTTCCGCAACAAAATGGGATGTCGAGTGGTAGCAGTATTTCCTAGAAATAAATATGCATAGGCGTATCTGTTGGGAACAGAGTTACAGGAGATGGACTGGATGTCATTGAGGCATGGCTAATCCGTACGAGAGATCGTGGAAGAGATTGTACTTGACCACGGATCGCACATTCTCACTCCATCCTAAACCATTTGTGTCACTCAGAAAGACATGGAGCATCACTAGCGGGTTATTTCACGGACTATACCCCCTACATTCTAGAACGTCGTGTCCCCGGCCGTCCTCTTGAATTATCGTGCTCGCTGTCCTAGTAGACGGAACACCGGGCCCGACCATCGGGCACTGCATACTACGTACGCCACGGCACCCGGTTCACAGACGTCCACAAGGGTACGCGGTCCGGCGGTTCGCCCCAACTGCCACACAGAGAGCCGTGCCATGGCCCCTCCAATCCAGTGACAGTGCGTGGAGTCATGTTCTCAACTACGGGACTGCGATACACATGCCCGGTGCTGATCTTGCCGGGCCGTAGGGCCGCGGACCGAGCAACAGTCTCGATCGAGCCTTTGGAACGACCGCTAAGCACCTGTCATATGGGCATTGTGACGACAACGCACCGTATGGGCTCGCCAAACCAATTCTGGAACCTGCCCCCTTAGTGCTACCCCTCAACAAGTTGACCACAGCCCGCTCTGACCATCTCGTGATCCCATGAATAATGTTGGAGCCGGGGGGGGGGGATCGAAGGCTGAAGGATACACTGGACGTTGACCATGGACTGAGCCTACCCAAAATCTACATCTAAATCACCATATTGTGTCTTCCCTCAACTTCTGCCCGTTGCCTGTCCCTACCGCCGTCTCCTGCCGACAGCTGTAAAGCATATGAACTGTATGTTGGGTTTATTTTCTCGGGACCGAATACATGTCTCGTGATGGAGCATGTGGAGCAGCGAGTCAGGCTGCAGCGGTTCTCCTTCAACCAAAAGTCAAAGTTTGTTCCCACAGAAGACAGGCCGACATGAGCCAGTGTCGGAGCCTGTTGGGTCATCCTGCCTTACCGACGATGGCAGCCGGGGGACCTACATCTCAGGGACACCAACCCTTGCAAGCTTGCCCCATGAAGGCTCGTCTACTTCGCTACCGAAGTGGTCGGAAGCCAGTGAGTGAGTGCCGAACTGTAGGCTCCCTGCCGTTGCTTTCAGCCCCCTTTGCGTGCGAGCCTCAACAGCCCCAACCATTCGCCCATTGATCTCCGAGGTCTTCCTATTTGTCAATCGGTGTCGGCTTCGCAGCCAAACTGGAGACCATGCAAAGGTTCCAAAGTGTACGTCGCGCTGTGCTCGAGCCGTCTCCTCATCACCGTCGGAACACCGGGCAGTTGGGGACGGTGTTGCGAATGACAGGCATCACATTCGCCTGGGGCTGGCGAGGGGGCGAGTTTGTCGATCCAGGGCATGTGCTCATAACTTGGTGTGAAGCGGGCGGAGCCTCCATCAGACACAGACAATGGTATCGAATCACAGCCTTCGGGTGAGACGGTAATCGGCCGACTTGCGGGTCCCGGAGAGAGGGATGCCGAATTTCCATTATCAGATTACCAGGGCGCCACGGGGTACCATGGAACGAGGAGCTGGAGAATGCCGACAATGACTAAAAAAGTCTGTGTGAGTAGAACAGAAAGAAAGGTCAGCCGCCTTTCTGCTGCGGTCCATTTCATTCTGCTGTACTGCCATTGTGGCTAGAACGTCTCATCCGTTCCTTCGGCCGCCCAGGGAGAGTGTGGACAGTCATTTGCACCTCAAACAGCTTGCTGAAACTTGCTTTTGCGCGGCTATGGATTCGCCGACGGTGCTCAGGTGGCTTCGGGAGGATCTGGACTCTGGCGCGGAGATGGCGCTATCGTTATGAGGAAACCCTCGGCCGACTGCGCATGAGTGGACGCAAAGGACACTGTTGCGCTGTTGCAAGACTTGGCATTGGCAGCATTCCGGTCGGGATCCTGACACATTCCTGACCGTTGACCTTTTTAGCATACGTGGATCCCTTGGCAATAATAGTGCAATGTGGTACTGGCGTCCAGATGGTAAAGTGACAGCACTTATAATTGCCTGACAACAGGTGGTGACAAGAAACGAATACAAGTTTCGGAGACGTTTCGGGCACGCATTAGTCATTTGTCGGCCGACCTGAAAGTGGGCACAACTCACAGGATCACAGTGTGATCTAAGGGAGTTCCGGCCAGTCTAGTGGGTCTGGATCATCGAGGCGTCGATGTTGGACCTTTGGTGTTGCTTTCTTAGGCGCCGCGAGGGTCGCACATCAAGAAATTTCGTAGGAGATGTAGGGCTTCATCTTCCAAGCTGATTCGGCCGATGGTGCCTGGGTGCGTTGCGAACCGCATTGCACATCAAAGGTGGCACCGTGGGTATTAGCCACTCCGCCGATGTCCACTCTTCTTTAAAGCAGGGCCCCAGCGAGAGTGGGAATACCTGACCCGTCCCCACTGGACCCCACCAGATCACCCCGCCCGCAGCACTCCAACATAAAAATGCCTTCAACTATGCTCAGAGTGGTTGCGGTATCCCTGGCGTTCGCCAGCACCGTCGCTGCTGGGAATGTCGCCACACTCAAAGACTCGGACGGCCTCTGCTGGTCGGCGTGCAGCGATGCTATCGGTTCGGTCACCTTTGGCGACAGCGACCCCACTCTGGACTACTACCCCGGTCTCGTCGCGTCAAAGGACTACATGACCTCGACTGTGCTCTGCATGGACACCTACTGCCCAGCCACCAAGTTCTCAGTCGATGGAGGATGGGAGCTCTTTGCTTCGTATGCCAAACAATATGGTGACGTCCCTAGCATACCAACGGTGGAATCTGTGCGCGCCGAGATCAACAAATCTGCTGTCGTCAACGTCGACGTTCGTGACACCGCCAACCTCCTACCCATGTACAATTCTACTGTCCTTATCGCCCAAAACAACTTCGATGCTGGTCTCAGGACCGAGGTTTGTGTCCTTTGTCAAGTCTCGTGTTTGCTGTCAAAAACGCTGACAGATTTCTAGCTCGTCTGGGCCCTTGAGATGAGACAAGTGAGTGGCATTTTTGCACCTTTTAAACAGGCACAATATCATTGTTTATGAATTCACCACCTTGACGTCTCCCATCTGACACCTCACAGCACCACGCCTACGGCTGGACCATGTACCTGCTCCTCGGAATTATGCTCGTCATCGGCACCGGCAACCGTCTCTTCGCAGCCTTGTCAAAGCATGTCAACCGAGGCGACCCCGAGGACATGCATCTTGGCGCTCCCGTTCGCGACACCCTCATCTCCAAAGTCTACACCTGGTACCTTCGCCGCATCGCGGTACCTGCCACATTCGGTTACAGGCACATGCAGCCTTGGGGCTGGCTTTCCATTCCGACGCGTATCCAGGCCATTCTGGTGAGCAGGACTGAGTCCCCCCACCTTCACCCTCCCCCTCTCACCACAACCAACAACAATGTTCAGACGCTGACGAAATAGGTCTTCATTTATGTTGCCCTCAACCTCATTTTCACCTGCACAGGCTACGAGCTCTTTGTCGAAAACATGTAGTGGGTACTGAGATGTGGAACTGAGAGAAGCTGGCACTGACCAAACAGCTGGTCGTCAAAGAGCATCCAGCTCTGGCGGTACGTGGCCGACCGCACGGGAATCATGGCGTTCTACAACATGCCGCTTCTCTGGATCCTTGCCGGCCGTAACGACGTTCTCATTTGGCTGACTGGATGGTCTTACCGTGAGTTTGCCACTGCTGTGGCCAACCACTCAATCCAGTCATTGGGACTGACGGGTTTCAGAGTCGACCAATGTCTTCCACCGTTGGGCAGCTCGCGTCGCTACTGTTCAGGCTATTGTGCACTCTGCGTGTGTATATCTGAACTTCGTTTATCCCTCAAACTGACCATAACCAGTGCTTACACCTGGCTCGAGCTGGACTATCTTCCCTCAATGTTCGCATACGAGTACTGGGCGATGGGCGTGTTCGCCACTGTGGTCATGTGCATGATGCTCCCCTTGGCCATCCGCCCTTTCCGCGAGAGGATGTACGAGACCTTCCTCATGCTTCACATTATGATGGCACTTGCCACCCTAATCCTCCTCTTCTACCACGTCAAGATCTTTGACGGCGAGTACGATGGCTGGCTCTGGGCCTGTGTCGCTATCTGGGTACGTAAACACTGCCTACGGCCCATGTTTTGCACGTTGAAATTGACACACGCCAGCTCTTCGACCGCGTGCTCCGCATCGTCCGCGTCCTCGTTCTGTCTTACAAGACCTTCCGCTCGGGTGGTAGAAACACTGTTGCGCGCATGACCAACACGTCCGACTCGGGACTCATCCGTCTCTCGGTCGAGTCGTCGATCCCGATCAGCCCCAAGCCTGGCAGCTACTATTTCTTGTACACGCCTCGTTCTTTTGCGCCGTGGGAGAACCACCCGTTCACACTCGCATCTTGGACCAAGAGCGCGGACGGCAAGAGCACAACTCTCCATTTCCTCATGGCGGCACAGAACGGCGCCACGGGTCGTCTCGCTCGCCGTATCAAGCGGGTCCAAGGGGGAGACCTCAACATGCGCGTCCTCCTCGAGGGCCCATACGGTTGCAAGCACCCAGTTGGCAACTACGACCATGTCCTCCTCATTGCCGGTGGAAGTGGAGTCACCGCTGTGCTTCCTTACCTGTACGCTCTTTGCAAGGAGGGCCACCGCAATGTCTCGGTCGTGTGGGTCGTCAAGAACTCGCAGTACGCCGCAGACGTTGTTGCCAACGAGCTCTCGCCTCGCCACACCGGTACCGCCAATGTCCGTCTCTACATTTCGCAGGAGGAGGGCGCCACGCCCGATGCCGTGGTGGAGGCCATCCCGCAGATGGAAGCCCAGCCCTCGCATGACGCCGTGACCGGAGCAGAGGGGGCGGAGAAGAACTCGGACGGCGCCAGCAACTCTGACAATGGCAAGGACCTCAGTATCCTCCGTGGTAGGCCCGCGATGAAGGACCTGGTGGCGGAGAGCATCCGCCACCTCGTTGGTGGTGAACGCCTCGCCGTCCTGGGCTGCGGTCCATGGTCCATGATGGACGACCTCCGCCTTGCCATCGCCCAGTCGTACGGTACTGGCGACAACCAGGTTCCCGGCAGCCAGCTCGAGTACTTTGAGGATGCGTTTGAGTGGTAAAGGAGTACAGTGCAGTGAGGAGATAGTGGGAGACTGTGTAAGGAAGGCGAGGTGGCACTGCCAATGGCGGCAGAAAATAAAATTAAAAAAATATCATCAACACAGAACAAAATAAACACGCCTGTAGTCCTTTCGTAATAGCTAAGCTGTGGTCAGTTGGGTCGGGCGTGGCAAGCGTAGACATCGGTAGTATGTAGACGAGCATGTATGTCTTGTCAACCCACCTCAATCATAATACCACGCTAGGTTTCGCTCTTTGTCAGCAAGCATGGCGTGCATGAGAGAGATTTCACGCAGATGGTGTAGTTTTTGCAAGCGGCGGGAAATACCACACCGGGCTGGTGAGTCGCACCCGTGCGCCGTCTTTGGCGGATCATCATTTGTCTTCAGCTTCTTCCCGCTAGCGTTTGTTACCTATTTATCGTCACATGTGCAATGCACTTTAACTAATTATCGTGAGCAGCACCTCGCAGACCAACGCAGGTGGCGGGGTGCTGCGCCCCCGCCACCCCCGGGTAAACTGGGACAACGTGGTCAAGCCAACAACAGACGCGTCGAGGGGCCTGTCCTGTCCTTGCACTGTTGTAGTAGTCGCTGCAAACAACGAGTTCGATGGGGGTTGCGGTGGCCCGATTTTTGCAAGTCTCCATCTGTGTATGGCTCATGCGCGCATCGATCTTGAGAACGGCCGGTCCATGTAGATTATGGATGTGCGGTGATGTCCTTGAGCGTCTTTTTGGCGTCCACCGGAACGTTGAGGGACACCTTGCCAATAATCAGGCATGTACCATTAATACCTCCTTGGCCGGAATTAAAACTGGTTTGGAGTCATTAAATAGCGTGACAGATACGGGTTCCTATTCACATATCAAGTCATACCTCCTCAGATTTCTATTTAACTTCCTTAACTCTTAGAACAGCTTCATGCATGCATACTTTTTTGATCGGAAAGCACTGATAGATGCAGGATACTTCCTTGTACCATTCATAGAGGCAGAACACCACTGAACGCAATATGCACAGAGTAACAGGCTGGAAGTGAACTGGTAATAGTTTGTAATACTTCATAATTGATTAGAAACAAAAAGCTAACAACGTTTTCGTCATTAGCAACGGAATCAAATAGAGTGGGAGGCGGAATTAAATGTTCTTGCGCCAATCAGTCGCTAAACCCGCCGTTCGCTGATAGCCGCACGTTTCACCCTATAAACGAACACAGTCCGTAGGGCAATAGGGCCATAAATTATTGAGCACTGCCTGAAGGAGTCTGGGGGGTTGAGGTTCGATTCCTCGGGATATACCGACTAAATATTCCGGAATGAAGAACCAACACTGGTAGGAAGGGGGTCGAAGGCCGCAATGGGCAAAGCCTCAACCTTTTGCCTCCACATAGCACATATCGAGACCAGTAGTGCTAAATCAAAGCACCACTGTCACCGTTGCTAATAAAAGTAGGGACATTGGTTTGAGATTCGGCCACAAGTACTATCTCCACTGCCCACTGCCCCAACCTCCTACTAGGTCCCGCCCTGCAGTATGGCACATCCAGTGGACGTGGAGGAAGGTGGTGACAAACCTGAAGGTGAGCTGGTTTGCACCCTCTAGGTACATAGACATGCCACTAGCCGGACCGGACGACATGGCGGTGGTGGCCAGGCGCAAGCCTTGGCGGCGCCAGCAGCTTCCCGGTCTTGACAGTTCGGTGTTCCGGGTGTTCCAGCCTCGCAACAACCGAAGTGTAGGAACCGAGACCCGTGCCAACTGTACAGTACAGTACAGTAGTAGAAATTGCTGTTGCTGTTGAATATTGCTTTACCGTATAGGTGGCTTGGCCGGCGCTCGGTGGGGCGGCGGCGGCGGCGGCGGCGTAGAGAAACAGAACACGCCGACCAAGACGCCGTGTGCCGGACGCCGCCATGCGTACACGCTGACATGCTGGCATGCCAACGCCGCGGCGGGATGCGCAGGCCCGCAGGCCCACCACGAAACCCGAGACGCGAGACGCGAACAGTGAACAGCGAACAGCGAGCACGCGCTACGGCTGTGGCGCAGACGGGCTTGAGATCGGGAGGCGGTCCGTGCGTTTCCGTGCCACAGGGCTTTCCGCACGCCCATTTTCTTGATCATTTTTTGGTGATTATTTTATTTTTATTTTTCCGCGTAGTCCGCAGTGGGTCCGGGATGGCTGGAGGAGGATGGATAGATGGATGGATGGATAGATGGCGGTGTATAGGATGTATATAGTCAACTCACCGTTCGCCCCTTTCGGGTCGGGTCGTCGTTCGGTTCGTGTGGCGACGCGTTTGGCGGGGATCTGAGCGTCCACCCTTGCAGCCGTAGATGTCTTGTACACGTCGGCTGCCCCGTTTGCGGGCGTACATGGCGGCGGCGGGGCGAGCTGGCGTGCACCATGGCTTGAGGGTATGGGTGGTATGGTGGTTCAGACGGGCAAGTTGGTGGGAGGACCAGGAAGACCAGGACGACCAGGCGGCCGCCTCATCACTGCTTGGTCGCCTGGGATGGATCACCAGGAAACGACCCGTCGGTTTCCCTGGTCCCAATCGCCCTATCATCAACCTTCCTGTGTACTCGCACAGCCGACCGATGTCGTCCCCATTTGGGATATAGACCATATCTGATTCAACTGGTCGCTGGAAACTCGGGATCAACTTGGACTTTAAATCTCCTTGTAATCCCTGCCGATTTCCCTTTCAGCCGTCCTTATCCCTTCTGCATTGATCGCCAGTTTTGGTTGGGTCATTAAGGTTCAGGAGCATACCCGTACCCAGCACGCGACTGTCACGCTATACGCGCTATGCGCCACCGTTCATCTAGTGAAACGACTGGAACAAGGCCGTGCTCTTGGCAGGCCATGTCGCAAAGCAGAGGGTGGCACTAAGGTTGCGAGGAATGTGCCCTTTGTGATCGTACCCAGTTCCACTGCTCAGCAGACTATTGCAGCTCATCAGTGATCAGTGGCACACGTGGCACCTGCAACACACTCTGCTTTTGAGATAGATAGATACACGGTCGCTTGATTTAACATTATAGCTCAGAATATGCAAGTTGTTGGTTGATTGTTGGGTTGTTGTGGTCGCGATTGAGGTGGTTGATATTTAAACTAATTGTATGGTGCTTCTCCGAGGACGTATTCGATCCACCCCTCCTCTTCGTCCGCGAGGGGCGGTCCTGCCCTCCTTCTTCTTCTCCTCTTCCGGTTTCCTTCATCATTATCATCGTCGTCGTCATCATCGTCGTCGGTCATCATCGCGTCACGCGTCCGGACCATGGGACCCAGTACGCCGAGCTCAGCCAGTGTCATGCGGTAGCTGGGCTCGGCAGCCATCATGTGCTTGACGGTGCCCACCAGGATTGCCGAGACGGCGGGTGGGAGTGGGTCACCGGGAGCAGTGGCCACAATGGCGGCCAGGTCGGGGTCGTGTCCGCGTTCAACGTAGTGTTCGTCAATATCGGAAAAATCATCGTTACGGAGCTTGATCCAAGATTCGCCATCTGGGAACGGTAAGTTGAGGGCCATATCTGAGGGCAGACCGACTTACTCGATGGAAGGGCAATGTTGAGAGCGGCCTCGAGGACCAGAATGCCTAGGCTGTAGACATCTGCCTCGGGGCCAGGTGCGGCGTCGTGGAGGACCTCGGGACAGAGATACTCCCTGTCACCCTCGAGCTCGCGGTCGAGAAGAGGGCTGGGGAACAGCGGCACCTCCTGCGGGTCGTCATAGGTTGGGGTGGGGCAGCGGCTTGCCGAAGTGCCGTGCGGGTGGAGGAAGATGCTCATGCCAAAGTCGGCGACCTTGAGGGAACCTTCACGCGTGAGGAGTACGTTGGACGGCTTAAAGTCCAGGTGGAGGATGCCATTGTTGTGGATAAACTCAAGAGCCGAGCTGAGCTCCACGAGCATCTTCCACACGCGGCCTTCATCCAGGCCACTGGTGTCGCCAAGAGAACCGAGGTAGCGCGCGAGGTCGCCACATTCAGCGAGTTCGGTGCGGATGTACAGTCGGCCACCTTGCTCCCACGAGTCGGAATACTTGACAATGCCCGGGTGGGGGTTGTGCGAGAGCTGCTTGAGAATGGAGACCTCTTCAAGCTGTCGGAGGCGATTCTTATGGCCAGTGTACGTGCGGCCAGTTTTGATTGCCCAAAGGTCACCGTCATTCTTGTGTCGCACCTTCCAGACGCTGCTGAACTCGCCACTGCCCAGAGCTTGAACCAGGGTGAAATCGCGCTCAAAGCGACCGGCGCCAGCGGCGCGTGCGGCGTCGGTCATGAACGTCTCGGCAAAGGCGGAGTCCACCGCTGGCGTGCTGGGCACAGGACCGGCCGGCCCGGGGCCACCACTGCTGTGCGCGCGGAATGTGGAAGCAAGCATAGGGTTAGACGCACGGACGATCGGCCCGCGTGACAAGACTCGCATACGACCACCAGTGCTCGCCATGGGGGTACCAGTCGGCGATGAGGTAGAGTCGATGGACATGCGGCGGTCAAAGGGGTAGCAGGTACGCGACACCGTCGGGGACGGAGTCGAGATGCCAAACTTGGGTTGCACAGGGATAAAGGGCAGGGCCTTGGTGGGCGTTGCTGGGGATCCGTTGTCGCTGACCATGTCGGCAGCGCTGCCAATGCTGCCCGAAGAGTTGAACATCGAACTACCCTTACGGCGCAGTCCACGCGTGCCACCGATACTACTTGCGGTGGAGGACATGCGTGCATGACCAGCCCCAACGGGTCGACGGAAGGGGGAAGTCGCGGTGATGTCACTGGCCGTAGAGTTTACGCGCGTGTGGCCCGTGCGTCGGAATGGCGCCGACCGGAAGGGTCGGATAGGAGACAGCTGGTCCGGCTCGTCCGAGTCATCCAGCTGGATTTCTTCAGTGTCGGTGCTGAACCCATGGAGCGTGCCAGCGGCGGCTTCGGGCTCAGTCTTGGCAGGGGTCCAGCTTCGAGTCTTGACCATCTGCTGGAACCGGGGCAGACTCATCATCCGGCCGCCCTTCTTCTTCATAAGTCCGGTGGAGGCAAATGCCGCAGGAGAAGGCTTGTCGTCGCCAAAGAGCTGCGAGACTGGAGTGCCAAAAGTCGGGACGGAAGAATCGGTCACACCGCGGTGAATCTTGGGACGAGGTGGGATTCGAGCAGATTGCGAGCGTGTAGGAGTGGCTTTAACCGCCTTTGGCGTCACGCCGTTGCGCTTGTCGAGACGAGACCTCAGTCCGAGTGTAGGAGCAGAGGGCGACGACGGAAGGCCGGCTGGCAATGGCCTGTTGGGTAAGGACGGCACGGTCGAGCGGGCAAGCGAACGCAGGGGCGACAGGTCCAGGTCAAGGTCGTTGGGTTCGCTCGAGAGGTCGGGTGGTTGTGGGCTTCCCCGCCGGTGGTTGGTGGAGCACAGCTCGCTCTGGGTCGCGCGCTCTCCGCCACACCTAGCAAGGAAGGCAGCAAATGCGTCGCCGGTGCTGTGCGAGTTGGGCTCCGAGGTCCTCCTTTGGCCCAGGAGAGGAGCGTCCGAGACGCTAAGGAAGCCATCATAGGTGACGCCGCGAGTGGTTCCGCGTTGGCGACTATCGACGGCGCGTCGGGCAGAGTTGACGCGACGTGGCAGGAAACTGCCAGCCGAAGGGGAGCGCATGGGGATGGGGTCGGCGGAGGTGCTTGCTCCCAAGTTTGGTGACGGCATGCGGGCAAGCCTAAATGGCTGCACGGGCGAGTCTTCCTCGCTACTGGAGCCAGGGAGAATCCGGGTTGGGAAAGGAGGAGTGAGGACGGGGCTAAGAACGCGGGCGGAAAAAGCCGACCCTTTGCCCTTGGGAGCAAACAATTGCCTGTTTGGTGTTGCCGGGTTGTGGTGGTCGGCGTCGCCAAAGAGATTGGGCTCATCGTCCCAGATGCCTACCGTCTGTCGCATAGACTGCTTGGCAGCGTAACGCTCAGAGGAAAGGAAGGAAGACGCACTGGCGCAACCTTCACTTCCTTCGTCCGAGCTCGAGCTTGGGCGGGCGCGAAGTTGGCCAGGCGACAGTGTTGTGTTTTCATTGTCCTCCATCCACTCTGCCGTGTCTTGCCACTGCACAACGAGCCCCTGGGGCTCCTTTGGTCCACGTGCGGCCCAAGAAGGAGAGCGCGAGTCGTAAGGGTAACGCGACTTGGTGTTGAACGGGCTTCCCAACAACGAGTGAATGACGGGCATGGGTGCCGTGTTGGGATATGTCAGCTCACGAGCGAGAGGAGCGGGAGTGTTCATCCTGCGCATGTGAGGAAGGCGGCGGGGAGTGTCGGTGACAGTCGAAGGCGTCGGCAGGGGCGGTGTGCTCGAGCTCGCGAGAGTCATGGCCTCGGGCCACAAGTCATTTCCCAGTGGCGGGGTGGAGTGAGAAAGAGAAAAGTGGCTCAGTGATTGCGACAGCTGTACACCATGTCAGCCTTAGTCAACAACCAGATATCAAGCTTACCAAAGGCACCGACAATTCACGACGACGCTGAGACTTGTCTCGAGCTGGACTGCGGCAGGGGCTGGTGGCGGGATGCGCACAAGGCGCTTCGTCTCCCCACTCGCCAGGCGCCGGTGCAGCAAGAGCAGACGCCAGAGCCATGCTTGCTCCTCCTGCAGACCTTGTCGACGCTCGCGACGGTAGCGGGAGGGGCGTAGCAATTGGGGTGCGCACAGAGTCAACTACGCGGTCGCCCACCTTGTCAAAGTCGAGTGAGCGGGGGGACGGCGACGAACGAGCTCGTTTGGGCGAACGACATGCACAACTGCCATCGTCCTCGGAGAACGTTGGGCGGCGCGCAGATGCGCCGGGAGTAACTGCCGGGGAGGCAGGCATGGCGAGTGCGGTGGAGACGGAGGCAGACGCGTCGAGCGATGAGAGTGGTGGCCCGTAGTGGGTTTGTTTGTGGTTCCAGCGAGAGAGAGAGTTGTGGAATGTGCCGGGGTGTGGGAGACTAGGCCAAGGCCTCCAGGGCCGATTGATGATAGTGTGCGTGTATGTTTTGTAGATGTGCGTAGATGGAGGATTATATGGGGGGAGAAGAACGAGTCCGTTGTTGTCGTTGGTGTTTTTTGTTTTTGAGATTGAGAAGAAGGGAATGAAAGCGGGTGTGTGTGAGAGAGAAGCAGAGAAGACTCTCAGCAGCGGTTGACCGGAGTTGACGGTGTGTGTGTGTGTTTCTGTGTGGGCAGCAGCCGCGCAGCCGCGGCGGGGGGCGACGCGTGGGCTGTGTGGTGGGGGGAGAGGGGGGGCCAGGGAAGACCGCGCGCGCAAAGGGACGACGCCACCAGCTGGCCAGGCACACAATCCTGGGCAGCCGGACGGGGGGCGGCCGGGACCAAATATTGCCTCGCGTCGCATTTCCAGGCACGGGCGCACTCCCTCACCGCGTTGACGCGTTTCCCCTTTTCACAGTCTTTTATTGCACACGTCACGGAAAAGGTGGCAACAATTTACGTAATGATGTTTTCCACGTGTGCACGCCGTGCCCACTAGCGCCCACTGTACGTGCACCGTGAGAGACTTGGAGAGCTAGCCCGTATTTGTTCTTCCTGCTGCATTGTGCATGGGCCAACAGTTCCAAATGGTTCGTCAAAGGCTGCAGCGAGACCATGCTCTTCATACAAGATGCAATGCAAACATGCAAGGCAGCACATGCAATGCTGACTCGCAAAACATAACAATTGGGTCGCGGATCTGATCCAAACGCCATACAAACAAAGAAAACCGCTCTGGGGGCACTGATCGCTCAACGACGTCATTTGCATTGTGATTATTGTTGTCTGGTCCACCCCCTTTGGGTTTTGTTCAACTCACTCGCCGACCCATTCCAAGTAAACACAGCGCTCCCCCCCCCCCCCCCCCCCCCCCCCCCCACCTCCCCATCCCAAATCATCTCTGTGTCGTGGCAAACCCTTTGGTATATCGTCGTCTAGTCCCTTGCAGAGCTCTCCCACTGTAAGCATCTATTCTGTGCTCGATACACAGCTTGAAGTCTGACACGCCCATCACAGCCACTCTCCTTCAAAACTCTGCCCCACGATGGCTCCCAAGAGTGCGTCCCCCCCGCCACAAAATATTATTTACTCTTGCTAACCCATCTCCCAGCCACATCCAAGCCCGCGACCAAGGCCAACCAGAAGGCCGCCTCCAAGCCGGGAGCCAAGTCGGCCAAGGCATCTGCATCTGCGGCCAAGGCCAAGCCCGCCGGCAAGGCTGCTCCCAAGGCTGCTGCGGCAAAGGCTGCCGCAAAGCCGAAGCCCAAGGCCAAGGCTGCCGACAAGAAGGACAAGGCCGCCGCTGACAAGCCCAAGGCCAAGGCCACCAAGGCTGCTGCCGCAAAGCCCAAGGCCACCAAGGCCGCCGCTGCTAAGCCCAAGGCCGCGAAGAAGGAGAAGAAGGAGAAGACGCCCGTTTCCGAGCCCGAGAGCGAGGCCGAGAGCGAGGCCGCCCCCGCCGCCGAGGACAAGCCCAAGGCCAACGGCTCGTCGCCCGAGCCCAAGCGCAAGGCCGAGCGTGCTCCTGCTCCCCCCAAGGCTCCTGCCCCCATCAAGCGCCGCAAGATCACCAACCGTCTCAACGAGCTGCCCTTGCCTGGTGAGTCTTGAGCGCGCCAAATTCTGCAATCCACCTGGTGGCTCCGGCTGATCGATTTCTTAGCGTCCGAAGGCAAGCAGGTCTTTGTTTGGGGTACCGGTGACATGGGCCAGTTTGGTCTGGGCCCCGACGAGCTCGACGAGAAGCCCCGCCCCCAGTTGCACAAGTGGTGAGTTGGACGCAAAGCGTATAACTCCCAGAATAGACGCTGATGTTTGTGCTAGGTTCCAGGAGCAGGCCGAGGAGGGCGAGCTCGGCTCGCCTGGCGGCATCGAGACCATCGCCGCCGGTGGTATGCACACCCTCGCCATTGACCAGAAGGGCCAGGTGCGCTCGTGGGGTATCAACGACAACGCCGCTCTCGGTCGCAACACGGCCAAGATCCCCGACCCGGAGAACGCCGGTGGCTTCCTCCCTGCCGACGAGTACGAGACTTGGCCCTTTGTCATCGAGGCTCTGGTCAAGGAGAACTTCCGCGCCGTCAAGGTCGCTGCTGGTGACAGTGTCTCGGTCGCCGTCTCGGACAAGGGTGACGTTCGCGCATGGGGCTCGTTCCGCTCCAACGAGGGTCTTCTTGGGTTTGACGGTGTCCCCGGCAACTCCCCCTTCCAGTTCACTCCCATCGAGCTCCCAGCACTTGCCCGCGTCGAGGTTGTCGACGTTGCCTGCGGTGCCGACCACGTCCTTGCCCTTACCTCCGAGGGCCACGTCTACGTCTGGGGTAACGGCCAGCAGAACCAGCTCGGCCGCCGTGTCATGGCTCGTCGTCAGTTGAACGGTCTCGAGCCCGAGCGCCTGGGTCTGCGTAACATTGTCCACGTCGCTGCCGGTATGTTCCACTCGTTTGCCGTCGACAAGGACGGTATCGTCTACGCCTGGGGTCTGAACACTTTCCGCCAGACCGGTATCGCCGACGAGGACGACGACATGGTCATCCGCCCCACCATCGTCGACGCTCTGTCGCCTGCTCTCCACAACGGCTCCAAGGTCACCCAGGTCGCTGCCGGTGAGCACTACTCGCTCTTCCTCTTCGACAACGGCGAGGTCTACGGCTGTGGCCGCTGCGACGCCAACGAGCTTGGCCTTGCCTCGGACAACCCCGCCCAGGAGGGCATCAAGGAGCGCCGCGCCGAGGAGAAGGCCCGCAAGGAGAAGAAGGTTGTCGACGCCCAGGCCGCTCTTGACAAGATCAAGGCCGCCGACAACGCCGACGAGGAGGACATCGAGGAGGCCCAGGCCAGCCTCGCCGAGGCTCAGGCTGGCGTCAACATTCCCGGCGACGACATGGTCCCCGAGCCCGTCCGCATTGCCTTCCCTCCCATCCCCGAGTCGTACGAGGTCGTCCCCGAGCTCGGCGCCTGGTCCGACGAACCCACCGTCAACCCCATCGCCCAGCTCGCCGCGGGAACCCGTCACAACCTCGCCGTCTCCCGCTCCGGCCACCTGTACTCTTGGGGTCTGGGTAACGGTGCCCAGCTCGGCCTCGGCTCCGAGGAGGAGGCCGAGACCCCCACCCTCGTGCGGTCCAAGCAGCTCAGGCCGTACGACTCGGTCGCTCCCAGTGCTGGTGGCCAGCACTGTGTCCTCCTTGCCAGGATCCGTGCCGACTAAGAGACAAGAGAGAAGAGCAGATTCGATCAAACGTTTCCAAAATCCAACCGACAACGACGAGAAACATCCCCTACCCAACCCAACCAACCACCTTTATTTCCTATTTTTCCAGCTTCGTAGTTTTAGCTTCTGTCAAAGTAGAATGGATACCCAACCTTACAGCAATGCATGGACCAATGGAACCGTGTTGGGCGAGCAAGTGCGCGCAAGCTGGGTACACTGACGCTGACTGCGTGCGGTGTCTGTCATTTTGGGATGACCGTCAAGAAGCCAGTCAGTCTCATGTGAGTTTTGCTCAGATCCACGAGGTCTACCGAGACCTGTTTACATGACGGATGCCCCGGTACCCTCGGGGTCTCAACTCCCCGCTATCCTCCTCAATCCAACGGGCCATGGTGTCGAAGCCGCGAGCAAATGGTTCAGTGGCGAGACCGTCCCAAACCAGACCAACGAGACAGCGCGACAAGCTCGCCCAGGTGTTCGAGGGGACCATCGACAACCAGAAAAAGAGCCTAGCCAATAGCCAGGGCATAGGTGAAGGCCTTCTCCTGGATGAAGGTGATGGCAGGTGCCGCCATCAACCCGAACACGGTAAGCAGGAGACCGCCATAGACCAGGCTGGTGTGTCAGGGAACCGCAGACGCTTTGCCACGGCAAAACTCACTCGAGCTGGAGCTTGAGGATGACACCGATAAAGATAACCGAGGTGACCGCCGACGCCGTGGCTCGCACTTCCATCAGCCTTCAGAACCGAAAGACTGGACATACCTTGCTCTCGACGACGAAAGTCGGCAAGAAGAGTGGCCTCTACACGCGCCAAAAGGTCGTCAATGTCAACAGGGGGCGCGGCCACACCGCCCTCCTCGGAGGGGCCACGGGGGTGATGGCGACGGAACTGGGTGCGTCAGCTTTTAAACTCGACTTTGGCCTAACTCACCTGGTGCTGGGTGGCCATCGTGAGAGCGCTCGAGTGAAGAAGTGTAGAGTGAAGAAGGAACAGACGGGGGCAGGATTCAAGGCAACGTGTGCGTAGCAGAGCATTCCCTTTTGAACGCCCCGTTTGCGGGCGGTCAGACTCCTTGCCGCTACCACACATTTCACATAACGCACACGGTATGATCAGCAGGAGAGAAGGGACAGCAGCCTGTCCGTGGATCCGTGGTGAGGGCGGGTGTCGGGGAGAGTGACAAAACACCAGCACTCCATGCCTGTTATTTCGGCCGACGTTTGGGTACAAGTAACATCTATATATAGAGTCTACCAGAGATATCGTTGCGGTCAGTGGGCCAACTTGCTCAAGGAGCAGGTGGTGCAGGTGCCGCACCGAATGTGGCACTTATAGACAACCCGTCGCTCGCGTTTCACTGGCCCACTGGGGTCGCACCATGGACACCGTGTACCCGGGGCGTGCAACGATTTCCAACATCGGGACGCGGGAAACGTGCGGTGTAACGTGGGCTGTAAATGCATCCCACTGCAGTAACCGTGCATCAACCGTGCAAGGCCGGCTCGCAGACCAGACGCAGCACGTTGACGGAAGCGGAAGCACTTCCTGCTCCGGCAGGGCTCACCGACATCATTGCCTGGTAGCATCCATACTCCATACTCCATCTCTGTCAAGATGCCCGTACTGCAAGGCTTCAAAACCATATGGAATCGACACCCGGAGTGGCACGAGCGTTACGACTTTGCTGTCACCGAGCCCCCAGTCTATTCAACGACCTACGATACCAAGACCCTGACGTATCTTGACCCCACATTGTGGGGTCTGCTTGGGACCCACGCGCCATTCTTCTTCTCTTGCTTTCACTGGATAGACGACGACGGGGAGCAGCACACGGTACGTGCGGTGGTTTGAGACCCGATCAACATGTCTTAACTCTGCTGCAGTTTTGAACGTGCGGATCTAGTCACGGCCTTCGAGACGCTTCTTGGGCACTGGGAGCAAGGGTACTATCTGTATCAAGACATCTGGTTCTGCCTTGAGGAGACGCGCACGTTGGTACCGGACGGAGACGCTCTGTGGGCACATGTCCTTGAGTTGGAAAACCAGGTATTCGAACATGGCCGGCTCTACCACAAGCTTGCAAGTGAGAGAATCCCCACCCACCATCATGGTATGTTTTGAGGTTAACGCGGCAGCTGGTTTCGCCACGTTTCTCGACTTTTTGGCTGACGACGAAAGGGCACGCGTTATCCCACCCCCGTTCTATCGCTACACTGAGCCACTTGACGCCGACACTATTCGCGCCAGCCCCGTCGAGTTTGCTGAAAGGCGTAACGGTGCCGTGTCCGACTATCTCTTCCGGGTGACACTCTTGCTTCAGCGTGGTGACTGGCCCGTCGATTCCCAGAAGGATATCGAGTGGCAGCACCTCATGCCTGAGGCGGTCCGCAACTGTGACTTGCTTGCAGAAAAGACCGGAAAGAGGAGTATGCACGACATTTGTCTTGGGCGAGGCGGTGCCCGCGTTCGGTACGCCCAATGCTGCGTACTGTAGCTGACAGTCACAGCCGATTCGCCTTCCGAAGTCAGCAACCTACCACTCAAACCTGAGCTCCCATACCCCTCTTGAGCGAGCGATGCCATGGGAATCAAACGTTTCTCTTGCCGTCTTGTGGTGGCTCTCCCATATCAGCCTCCCACCACCTTTGCCAAACCCGATACACCACGCCGGTATTTCGTTCTTCAGGGCCTTCAAAAGGCCACCTCCCTTGTTCCTTCACGGTTGCCTGGCTCCCCCAGTCCGAGCCCGGCACTCACCAAACGTGCATTGGCTTGTATCTATGTACCTTGTACTTTCATCTGTATCCACCACTGCCCGTATCCTGCTCCTGCCGGTCACCATCATCGTGACGTCTTAGGTGGTCGCGGGACACCATCTTGACGCTGTCTCGCGCAGTGTCTCCCGGCGCAGTACGACTGATGTGCGAAACGCTGTCACCGCCTTTTCCATGCTATCAGCGCGGTCAAGCGGCTCGTACGTTGCGACGCATCGGCCAAGCTGAAGACTGACAGGCTGAACAAGACTGCATGCATGCATAAAGCGCCTCCTTTGTCTCTTGTCAATTTCTGTTCGGGGCTCATACGATCCTCCTCCTCGTCTCACGTCGGTCTGACAACGAGCACACGGCGCCCCCAGGCGTCACTGGCTGTGCCCCGGTTAACACGCCGTCTCAGTCTGGTGGAATGGTGGACGCTCACCTTGGGCCTTGGCCTGCTAATCGCGGCAATGGAAGCGGCACCAGTAGCGGTCATGATCGACATATGATAGGGTTGGTATGGCCAAATGTGCAGCAGGAGCAGGAATGGTTCCAAGCGGTCGGTGGAGATTGAGTTTCAGTTGGGTACGGAGGGTGTTGGGGCGAGGTCCAAGTGCGAGGCCGACGTGGGAAGGTACACAGCTGATGTGAGTCGACTCGAGTGGCGATAAGGCTGTTGGGGAGATAGCGACCAGATCTGGCCATCAGCCGTTGGTAGTGAGGCATGAGGAAAGCCTTGTAGGGAATAGGCGGGCCATCGTCTTCGACGTGTGCGCCTGCAGGTCACAGTCCCGTCACAGTCAATTGTCCATCTCGCTTGAGCGTGCCACAGAGACCAAAAGCCACGACCAAATGCATGGGGAAAATGAGGCCCACCGGGGGGACACAATGATACAAATTGAGAGGAGAACACCATGCAGAGGTACGCTGAACGCGGGGAGGGTTGGGAGAAGGGGTTTGGCTGGCGGGGGATCATCCACTATTGTATCTCGTCACTTCCGTGTGTCCGTTTCGTGTCGCGTGCTTGTCGTAAAATAACAACCGTTCAAACAGAGAACTGGACCTTGCTTCTACTCGTCCGCTTCATCACTGACGCGACGCACAATCTCGCTCATGGGGCGGGACACGATCCTGTCGCGGTCCATCTCGCTCACTGGGCGTCCAGCGCCGACGGGAGAGTTGCGGCTGGACCCCTGGCTGCTCGCGTGGGATGCGCCAGACGTGCGCGTCCTGTTCCGGAACATGGCGTTGAGAGCCGCCAGCTTGTCATCGACGGGCACCGAGTCGGTGACCATGCTTGCTGGGCGCTGCTGGAGAGTTGGACGGGGTGGGGCCGGAGCGCTGGTGTACCCGCCAAACGACTGGCGGTTCGTGCTCGAGCTCAGTGGGGGCGAGTGCATCTCGCGCATAGGGGATCGGGCAGGCGAGGAAGGCGCGGGGGAGCCGGGGGTAGCTCCGTCATCGGAACGACGGTCGAGGGCACGCCAGACAAATGTCTGCGCTGCAGGGTTGAGAATGGACGAAATGGCTGCGCGGACCTCCACCTCGTTCTCGGGGCTGATCTTCATGAAAGCGTGCAGCTCGTTGAGACGTTGTTCCGAATCGCGCGTGTCCGTCAAACGGCGCACGAGACGCTCAGAATCGCTCACGTCCCTAGGCGGCGACTTGATGGCCGCGGCGTCGGGGAGGACGACGCTGCTGCGGGTGCCGGCAGACGAGGTCATGCTGATGGGACGCTCAAACGTGCGCTCAAGACGTTCGCTGATGGGCCTCTCGCGCTCACCGTTGGCTCTCCGTGGGATCGGCTCGACAATGGGCGAGGGCTGTGCGGGAGCAGCCGGTGCAGCAGCCACGGGTGTGGGAGCGGCCTCGTCGGTCGCAGATGAGATGCGGAAGATGTACGAGTACACAGTCGTCATGTCGGCCTCGGCGCCAAACTGCTCTTGCAAGAGGTCGTAGATGCCCACGTTGATCTCCTTGGTGAACACGATGATGCGTTGGAGGAGCGTCTTGACCACACGGAGTGGCAAGTCGCCGTGCGGGAGGCCGTACTTGGGTCGACGACGCCACTGGACAGGCGGGATGACCTGGAGGAGGTTCTCGATAATGGCAAGGAGTGCGCCTGCCTCAATGCGGTGGTTCCTCAAGTCGGCATCGATGGACCGCACGCGCTTGTATGTGCACTGGAGAACCACGCCAATCTCGCTGGCGACGCTAGCGTCTTGGTTGGGGGTCATGTCCTTGCACAGCTCGGCCAACGCATCGAACAGCATGGTGTACACGACCTCGCGCGAAGGCGAAGCAATAATGGCACTCAGCACTAAGCTCATGTAATCGCGCAAATCGTTGGTGGGCTGGTTGTCCTCGCCCTCAGCCGTGCACCAGACCTCGAGCGTAGCGTAGTGTATCCGGATACCTGCGAACAGTCGCTCGAGACCCTCAAGGCCGAAGCGTTTGACCAGGTGTGGGCGGCTGAACGCAACGTGGATTGTGCGCATGAGGTGCTTGACGCGTCGCATGGTTGCTGGTTCAAGCAGGGCCTCTGGTTGAGGCGAGAGGAGATCCAGTTGGAAGCAGAGAGCGTCCAGCAGCGCGGCTGCCTCGGGCTTGAACGCCTCCTCATCCTCCTCGAGGAACATGGCGGTTGTCTTGAGGGCCTCTGCGGCGTCGTCGACGTCCCGCGTTCGGATAGCCTCAATCGCAATGGCTGCGTCGCTGAGCGGCGCAGGAGGAGGTGGGGGCAAGGATGGGGCGCGGCCAAGCGGCTGCATGGACGGCCGGGGAGCAGGGATAGCAGCCGGAGGAAGCATGGGAAGTGGGGCAGTGGGCGGACCGCTCAGTGCGTCAGGCTGCTGCAGGCGGGATGTGGTGCGCTTGGGAGGCAGAAGAGCGCTTGTTGAAGCACCAGACGTAACGGACAGAGGGCGGGCCATGCCAGAAGGACCAGGAATGGACCGGGCAGGCGTCATGGCACCCTGCAAGCGCGAGGTGCTGGGCGCCTGTAAACCGCGCGATACCGGACGCGAGTGCCCAGGCGTAGACAAACCAGAAGGCATCTCGCGAGAGAGACGATTTGCACTGGGGGTCGCGATCTGGGATGCGGGGACCTTGGCCCGGGGAGACTGCGCGCGCGGCGACATGTTATCTTCCGAGGCAGCCGTTCGGGCGATGCCTGCACCGGCAGCCCCACCAGCCTTGGAAGCCGCAAGCGTTGCCTTGCGATTGGCGAGCATGTCCTTTGACGACTGGGGCATGGCGCCAATGACGGCCTGGAGGGCGCGTGACTCGCCCTGGAGCTGCAGGAGGGCCATCAACGTGAGCGCTGACTGGCGCGTGCCCTGGTCGGCGATACACTTGGCCACGGCTTCGAAGAAGGCGCGGTCATCCTTGCGGAGCACCGAGCCGCGCTTGCGGTACGCCTTCTCAATAAGCTGCAGGCTTTCGTTTTTGCACGTCTTGCCAGCACCCTTGTCCTCGAGACCATGTTGAACGAGCAGTTGCACAACCTGCGATGCCGGGATGAGCTTGTCGAGACCCTCAAAGATGGGGGCCAGCTTGGGACCAAACTTGGCGTCGCCAAGCTTGATGACCAGGGCAGGCACGAAGAGCTTGACCTCAACCTCGTTCAGGCGTTCGCCACTACGCGCCAGCGTGTCGAGCACATTCGTAATGACCTCGAGGCAACGGTTGGCGAGCTGGGTGTTGTTCATGAGCAACCGCACAGCAGCGTACTTGAGCGCGAGGTCGACATTGGCTAGCTGGATGGCCTGTGTCTCGTCCTCTGCGAGACCAAACGAGCCCGAGGCATCCACGTCGTAAAAGTCGGCCACGACGGTGAGAGCGGCCATGAAGTCCTCCTCAGACCTGTGGTCCTTGCTGAACAGCTGGCTCAGCACTTCGGGGCTCGCGTGTCCTTCCATCTGCTGATGCAGGTATTCGAGGGCGTCTGCGCGTGCAGCGGTGTCGAGCGACCAGCGGGCAGCGTCGCGTTTCAGGCGTTGGGTACGTGCCTCGGGAGAAGCGTGCACGAATGGGAGGGTGCGGCCTGATGACGAAGCGACAGGGAGGGAAGCAGTGGTCGAGGAAGACGTCGTGCGCGACGACGCCCCAGGTCCCGCAATTCGCGACTTTGCGATACCAGTAGGACGGTCCTCGCTGAGACTCGAAGTTGGGCGGGTGCTCGGTGCCGAGCCGAGAGCCTTCATCGCGATCGAGCGACCGACTCCGCCTGGTTTGGGAAGGGCGCCGGTGGCCGTGGCGCGAGAAGCCGGGGTGCCCGGAACTCGAGCTGGTGCTTTGACAGACGGCGCGCGAGAGGGCGGCGCGGAAGCCCTGGGAGTGGGAGCAGCAGCGGCGACGGGCTCGGCAGCGGTGGCGGCACCACGAGCGTTCTGAATCAGCGGAAGAATGGTGGCCTTTGACGCCGGCTTGAGGCTCGAAGTCTGGTCCATGACGTGGTCGAAACCGGCGTTCTGGACGACAAAGGGCAGTACAGCCTGGGCTGACTTGCGGACGTCGCCGTTACGGTCTTCGAGGCACGAGATGACTGGTGCAGCAAGTGGCCCGAGATCGGCAGAGGCTGTAGGCGGGTCGATGGCCAGACGCTCGGCAACCCAGCCAAGAACACTGGAACGGAGTGCGGGGTTGGTGCTCTCGAGGCTGGCTGCGAGACCGGTGTACATATGGTCAAGCGAGCCACATGCCTCGGCAATGGCCGTGAGCGTGCTGAGGGCAGTGTTGCGAGTCGTCGCCTTTTGGTCGGCACACACGCTCGCCACGGCAGCGACGAGGATGCGAGTAAACTTTTCGAAAGGCGAGCCCATGCCCGCAGCAATCTTTGAGATGATACCAAGAGCGAGCATCTTGACGGACAGGTTGGTGTCGGCCATGGCCTTTTTGAGGACGGTGGCAATCTCGCCCATGTTGGGCTTCAAGCGCGAGTTTGACTTGACCTCCAACAAAGCTGCGAGGGCCTCGAACGCCTCCTTGCGAACCTTCCAAGCGTCGCTCTTCGAGTCGTTGAGCACACTAGTCTGCGAAACGAGCTTGTCGAGGTCGACGCGGGGGATGATGTCATCCAGAGGGTCACCGCCACCCCCACCCTTGCCGCCCTTGCCAGCAGGTGCAGCATCACGGAGATCGGCCTGCTCGCGTGTTGGTTCAGGAGCGGGTTGACCGTCGACCTTGTCAAACTCCTTGTTGATTGTCGTCAGGAGCTGCGGGTTGAGGTCCTCGATGAAGCCGGAAATGTCGGCACCAACACCAATCTTGATCTGTACCAACAGCGCCGTCGCGCTGGAACGCACCATGGCGTTGGGTGAGCCGAGGGCGGCTTTGACGAAGGTGATGAGTTCGCGGAGGGGAATGCCAGAAATGCCAAAGTCAATGACCTGTTGTTTGATCCAAGTAAGGGCATCGGCCTGGGCCTTGGGCGCCTTTTGTTTGGTCATGGGCTCGTACGCTGGTAGGTCAGCCAGGAGACAACTCCAGCTACCTACATTGTGCCAACACAAAGGCCAAAGACGTCTTCTCGGCAACAGTAGTAAGAGCGTCACCTGATGGCTTCTTGAGCTTCATGTCGCCAAGTTTGTCTGTCAACGGGCCAACAATGAGGGAGGCCGCAGGCTTGCCGAACGACGGACTCCTCTCCGCCATCAACTGCATCACTTGGTAGAGCTTGCCAGAGACCTGAACGGATAAGCGTGACAACAACTTCTAAACGCACCTGGAAGTTCTTCTCGCCCCAGCCCGGCGTCTTGCACAGGAACCGCATCATGACCTCGGAATCGACCTGCTCAGCGCCACCATTTTCTCCAACCCAAGTGACCATTTCGTCAGCCGCTTCCAGGCGCACCTTCCACGCGGCGTCGGCGAGAGCAGTGTGGTAGTTGGCCGGGATGGACTCCTCGGCGCGCGCGGTGGCTTCTTCTGGTGAGAACCGGTACTTGATCGGGTCTGTTGGAGAGGAGGCGAGAGTCTTGGCACCGCCAGACTTGCCAGCCGGCTTGGATGGTCCGGCGGCTGCTGGTTTGGCTGCAGGCGCTCTTGATGGGGCAGCCTTGGCCGGCGAGGATGGAGGAGGAGTGGCATCGGGGGATGAGCTGGGAGGCTTACGCGCCATCAGCCGAGCTGGTGGACCACGTTTAGGAGGTGCGACTTCGTCGAGGAGCTCGTCGGCAGGGGGTGCAGCCTTGGCAGCAAACCTCGCTGGCGGTGCACGTTTGGGAGGGGCCACTTCGTCCAAGAGGTCATCGCCAGGAGATGCAGGTGCAGCCTTGGCAGCAAATCGGGCTGGTGGCGCACGTTTGGGGGGAGCAACCTCGTCGAGCAGTTCGTCGGCAGCTGCAGGCGCTTGTTTCATCGCGAACCTGCCTGGGGGAGCACGTTTAGGAGGGGCGTCGAAAGTGTCCAGCAGGTCGTCACCACCAGATGCCTTCACCGGGGACGCCGGTTTCTTGACAGGAGCGCGACTGGCGGGGGCAGCCTTTGTTGGAGGTGCCTTTGCTGGTGCCTTCTTGGGTCCGCCGACCTTGTAGCGAATCTCAGCGCGACCGAAAGCATCCTTGACCTTGGCAAGCTGGATCTCGGGCACGCTCTCGACGTAAGGATTGAAGGCGCGTTCGCCAAGAATCTTCATCATGGTACCGAGACACTCGGCGGCGGCTGTACGCACTGGCTCGGCACTGTCAGTCAAGAGGGAAACGAGGGCCTCGGCCATAGGCTTGACCTGGTCCTTGCCAGGCGCGTCGACAGTCGCCTTCAAACTACGGTGGAGGTAGTTGAGGGTGCCCTCCTTGACCTGCGGGTTTTTGGACTTGAGGGCGGTGAGGACCTCCTCGACAATGTCCTGCAATGTGGTGGTCAGGAACACTGCGTCCAGAGCCTTGCCGAGGGCCTCGACCACGGTAGCCTTGCGCTCCTTCAATCGTTCCAGCATGCCCATCTGCGTGACGCCGCGGTACCGTCCAAACGCTTTGCCGAGACCACGCGCCAAACCCTCAATGAGCTTGGCAGCCTCCATGACGACGTTGACGTTGGCGTCCTTGTGGCACTTGGTGCCCAAAGTCTGGACGAGCGGGCCGTATGCATCGGCGTTGGTGTCGAGAACTCGCGCGTTCTTGGGGTCGGCGAGCACCTTGTTGCACTCTTCGCATGCCTCCAGTCGCTCCTTCCATTTGGACGAGGCGAGGAGCTCCAGGACGTTGTCGGGGAAGAGCTTGTACACATCCACAGGGTCGAGTAGGGACATTGGGTCGATTTCTTCTGCCGCCTCCTCTCCTGCACCGTCCCCATCCTCTCCAGCGTCTGCAGCCTCCTCACGCTCGCGCTGAGCCTTGCGTGTCCATCGTGTCGGCTTGCCGCTTCCCTTGCCCTTGCCGTCGGCATCCAGAGCGTCAAACGACTTTTGCAGGTCGGTCATTTGCACGGGCTTGAGGTCGGCCAGTGCGGGCATAAGGGCAGGGCCGAGGAACGAGTAAAGCACCAGCGTAAGGGCAGTTCCCTCGGCGCGCACATTCTTGTCGGAATGTCCAAAGATCTTGGGCAGAGCTTTGAGAAGCGGCTTGACGTTGCCTAGACCCGGGACGCCGTACAATCTTGACGTCAGCGACTTCTTGTAGCTTTCAAGCAAGTGTTAATATGCTCACTGAGTGGCCTCTTTCAAGCAGGCTACTGCTCCGGCGATGGTCTTGGGTGCCTTGGCGTCAAGGCCTACCAGCACGTCGGTCTGACGCGTCAGCGATGCCTCGGTACGCCACAGCTGAACTCACAACTACGCCCTCGCCAGTGTTCTCGACCTCGATAAACATGAGACACAGGTCAACGGCCTTCTTCTTTGTCCCTGCACGCGAGTTGCCGAGCGCCTTCTCAACAAGAGATGGAACGACTTCGGTCCGTAGCCTATGACGGAGTCAGTATCAATGTCGGTTATGCACCTGTGTGCGACCAGCAGTGCGGCGGCGCAACACAATCCCACGCACCGTGCGCTAGTCTCGCCGCTGTTTGTGACGATAGCAAGCACTGCTTCGATACCCTTCTCCTGAGCAACGGCGTTGGCATCGAGACACCATTTCTTCCTAGATGAGGCGTCAGCGATAGCAGTTCCTACGGTGGTTTGGACGAGACGAAAACACACAATAACGAGCCATCCGACACGAAGGGTCGGAAGAAGGGATCCGTGTCGCTTGCAGTCTTGGCCGACCCGGCGATGACATCGTTGTACGCACTCAAGCGGGCTTTCCAATTCTGCATGGAGGTCAGTAGAGCTCTGCGCTTCATCTTCACCTTGTGGGTACTGCGTTCAACGAGGGGGATCTGGGAAAAGTCCTCCTCCTGCGGTGGCTCGCCGTCCATGATGGCGGCGCGGCCAGATGGGCCGGGGGCGGCGAAGGGTGTGTCAAGGGAGGATGCGGCGCGGATGGGTTATCCGAGTCGCAATGTCAAACGGGGAGGGGGGGTAGTGGTGACGGCCCGGTGGGTTGGTAATGTGTGATTGCTGCAAGTGAACGTTCGTACAGAAAGGGGTTTGAATGGATTCCTACAAACAGTTCGCGCGTGCACTCGTCTTGTTGACACGCTGCCGTCGCGGGGAGAGAGAAGGACGCGCACTGAATGGAATGCGCTGATAATACACACGTCATTTAATGCCACGTGACTTACTCGTGTGCCCCTTATCCTTCTTAAGATGGCGCTCGCCCCCAGGCACCGATGAGCGCACTCTTCATATTGCATTGCATCTCCGGTTCACTCGGCCATCTCCATCATTCAATCGAGCGAGCACTGCGTTTCTCATCCGCCCACCTCCTCTCCCTCTCCCTCATCACACACACACACCATGCCGTCGACGGTGCCCACCCCAGTGCAGTCTGCGGCTCCTCAGCTCCCCGAGGTCCCGGCCCAACGTGCCACCAACGTCGTCATGGCGTCCCATGGCCGTGGCCCATGGTATACCCCGGACGGCAAGAACATTCCCGCCTACGTGATCGGTATCGCTGGTGGAAGCTCCAGTGGCAAGGTTAGCTCTGGACTTTTACTCCGACATAGCTGACTGTCAAGACCTCTGTTGCTCGCGCGATCCTCAAGGCCCTCGACTACATCCCCTCAGTCCTTATCCTCAGCCAGGACGCGTTCTACAACTGGCACACCCAGGAGGAGATTGACACTGCGTTCAGGAATGACCTTGACTTTGGTGAGCTCGAGTCTTTGTGACTGCCGCTGACGCTAGACCACCCGGACGCGATTGACATGAAGCTCTTTGCAAAGGTGCGAGCAGCCACGATCAAGCTGACGTCCAGTGCCTCGATGACCTGAAGCACGGCCGCTCGACGGAGGTGAGCTCCAGAAGCCAAGTTGCGAGCTGATCCCAGATCCCTGTTTACTCTTTCGTCCACCACCGTGTGTATTCACATATATATCCCTCATGCTGACCGGCAGAGCGCATGCCCGAGAAGAAGTACCTCTATGGCGCGAGCGTCATCATTGTGTAAGGCTTCCCGTTGCCATGTCCCGTGACTGACCTTGCAGGGAAGGTATCATGGCCCTTCAGGCTCCTGAGATGCGTGAACTGTACGACCTCAAGGTGTTCGTTGTACGTCCTGCAACCGCGCCGACAGTTTAGCTGACAAGCAGAACTGTGACTCGGACCTCATGCTTGCCCGTCGTATTCGCCGCGACACGGTTGAGCGTGGGCGCGACGTGAATGGCATTTTGGATCAGGTGGGTTCTTCAATCGTGGGGGCTTTCTAACCCTCCCAGTACCTTCGCTTTGTCAAGAGCAGCTACGACAACTTTGTGCAGCCCTCGTCCAAGTATGCCGACATTGTGAGTTGGGCGTCCACCATGGCGCAGTTCACTGACGACTCCAGATTGTGCCGGGTTACAACAACGACACAGCCGTTGACCTCATCGTCACACACGCCAAGCGCCAGCTTGAAGCTCGCACTCTGAGTTTCCGTGGCAGGCTTGCCAGCCTCGAGGATCTCGCCCCCGCGTGCAACGGCGATGAGGAGAAGCACATCACTCTGCTTCCTCAGACCAACCAGTTGACCGTGAGTCCTCTCTGACGTTTCTCGCGTGACCTAACCCATCCCACAGGGTATCATGACAATTCTGCGCGATGCCACTACCACTCGTCCCGACTTCATCTTCTACGCAGACCGCCTGTCCACTTTGATTGTGGAGCACGCCCTCACCTTCCTACCTCACTCTCAGCGGGACATTGTCACTGGCAATGGTGTCCCATTCACTGGCATCGCCAATTGCGACGACGTAAGTTGGTCCCAAGAGGAGCAGCGTGGTCCATGTTGTGGGACGCATGGGTACATGTCTGCGGCCCACCCTTGTGCTGGTCTTGGGAGATACCATGCTCGGTCATAGGCAGCGGTACCATCCCATGCCGTTGGACCTCCTTCCACCGCCTGAGCTGGCCATCTCCTCCTTCCCTTCTCCAGCACCCGCACCTTCACTGACTCTCTGCAGTCCATCGTTGGCGTCTCCATCCTCCGCTCCGGCGGCCCCTTCTCGCACGGTCTTCGCCGCGTGATCCGAGACGTGCCCCTCGGAGCCATGCTGATTCAGTCGGACCCGCACACAGGCGAGCCACTGCTCCTCAACACCACTCTGCCGATTGCCTTGCGCAGTGCCGAGACCGCGGCGGGCACTCACGTCTTCTTGCTCGACTCACAGATGGGTACCGGCGCTGCTGCGTGTGAGTACACTGCTGCCTTGGAAGGGTGTCCGTGAAGATCGGAGAGGTGTGTGGGGAAGAGATCGTGACGGACCCTAGGAATCCGGGTTGGAAGAAGAGGATCCAGTGACCCTGCATTACAGCAGCCGCACTTCTTCTCATTCCTCCTCATTGCCGTCATTACACTCACACACACACACACCTATTCTCTGTGCCTTGCTTCTCTTGTCTTCACACACACACACACACACGCCCTTCCCGCCACATACACACACGCATGCTGACAGTTACCCTCAGTGATGGCCGTCCGCGTCCTGCTCGACCATGGCGTCCCAGGTGAGTCTAGTGTTACCCGGTCGAGGAAGGGCATGTTGGCATGTTGTGGTGGAAAGCCAAGCTTGGCAAGCTTGGCGAGCGATCTGCGACCCGGTTCGTCTATTGTTCTCGTCTTGTCGCTCCTGCATGCCCAGGAGGATCCGAAGGCTTTGAGAGCTGCGAGACGGCCTTCGGTGGCGTCCGGAGGCGGATTATGGGGAATGTTGCACGTGGGCAATAACCCAATCTGGCTGTGTGCCCAGAATGTCGTGGGCATGCACGGCGTGCGCGGCACCGTGCCGTGGTGGCCCAAACTGCAAAACTGGTTCATGGCTGGCGGGCTCCGCGGTGTGTGCGGAGTGTGAGTGCCAGAGACAGAAATGAGATCTGGACGCCGAAACGGCCCGCTGTTGCGCGTCATTTCGTTGCGTTTCGTTTCGTTTCGCTCTGCTGCCGCCGCCTCCGCCGCCGCCTCCGTTTCCAAGATCTGTGTGCTGTTTGATTGCGAAGATGGGTGGCACAGGGGCAAGCCATGGAACGTGCACCTCGTCGTGCCTCTGATAAGGAATGTCTTGCAATGTCAGACTGCGGGGTGTCACGAACCCCCAAAGTGAAGTGGGGTCTTGTCGTGTGTTGTCATGAACGGGTAACGCAGCAACCGGGGAGGGCGGGGTTGTCCGCTGTGTTGCCCAGCCTTCACTGCATGCCAGTTACGGGGTTGAAATGGGGAGGACGATGGTTGGGAGGATGGACGCGAACGAGAACGAGAACGAGAACGAGACCGATGCCACAGCGCGCGACGTCCAGAACCACGAGACACAGACCTCTGACCCCCCTCGCAGAGAACCAAATCACCTTCCTGGCCTTCCTCGTCTCCCGGCCGGCCGTGCACACCCTGCGCCGCGCCTTCCCACAAGTGCGCATCGTCACGGCCGCGCTCGACAGCGAGCTCAAAGAGGTCCACCTGCCGCTCCTGGCCGGCGTGAGCGGCGAGGCGGTCGGCGACGCAGACTACGGCTCGCGGCTGGTGGCGCGCGCAGACAGCGCCGAGGACGTGGACCCCGCGGGCGCGAGCGCGCGCATGCGCCGGTCGGGCAGCGGCGATGGCGGTGTGCCCAAGGAGAAGATTGCGTGGGTCGTCAGGCCCGGTATGGGCCACATTGGGTGAGTACCGTGCACAAGATCGGGATATGGGCCGGTGTGCTGACGGTGTAGTGACCGGTACTACCTCAACTAAGTTGGGAACATGATATCTTGCGCCACGAATCTCTCTTCTCTCTCATGTCTGCAGCCCCGCACAAGCCGGGCGTAGTGACCAGACCATTCTCCCAATACTGCACTCCATAGCCATTTCACATAGTCTTCCTTCTGCACCACATGCTTCTCCAGAGTCACTCCCCATTGACCCCCTCCCCTTGGCGACAACGTGAACCTGCCTGCTGCGGCTTGCAGCTCTCGTGGTTTGGCAAAACTTTGTAGATTCATCCATTTTATATGTCTCTGTTATGGGGATGGTATCTTATATATATCTGTCTCTGCACACTTTGGTGGAGCTCGTCGTCGCTATGGTTTTAGGTCGTTAAGGGGTAGGGAAGAAAAACTATGGGAACAACCTCTCAGCCGAGATATCAACAAGTTGGGGGTGCAGGGTGGGATGTGGTGGGTTGGGGGAATGGGCGAGAAGCGGGTATAGCTGGCCAGGCCGGGTAACATTCTTGGGGCTTGGATGGTGGTGGGTGGGTGGGTGGTGGTGTAATTGGCATTGGCGTGGTGGACCGGATGATCGCGATGGGGTGACCGGTCAACGACGCCGGGGCACAAGATGATTGTGGTCGATGAGCATATGGACAGATGGCGAAGACGACAGGACAGAGATGGGGGTGGGGGGAAAGTATATATATTAATCGTTTCAAGGGGCGTTACGTTGGAGGGGTGTATGAGAGAGGTGTTGGTTGGCCCGGGGCGGTCTTAGGCAAGAACACGGCGCTTGGGCATGCCACGTGTTGGTGCACGACCGCTCATGGTGCCGCGAGAGCGCTTGCCGGTGCTCGACTTGCGCTTGGGCTTGGCGCCGAGGACAAAGTCGTCGTCCGAGTCGTCATCGTTGGCCTCGTCGTCAGACTCGAGCTCGTCCTCGCCGAGCGAGCCCGACTCGGAGGGGGTCCAGCCCTTGCTCTCATCCTCGATGGAGCCCTCGCGGTCGACAAAGGTGACGTTGGCAATGCCGAGACCGACGACGGAAACGCCACTGGCCTGGCGGTCGCGAGGCATGGGGACCTTGGGGGGACTTGACAAGGTAATCTGGTGCTCATTGTCGTCGTCGGCCTGGTGGTGCTGGATGAAGACGGGGCGGCCAAGCATGTGTGGTGTGACAAGGGTCTGCTCCTTCATACCGGGCTGGTTCCAGCCGGGAGGAGGAGGAGTCTGGTAGGGGTAGCCAGGGTGGTGCTGCATGCCGTTGGCCTGAGGGAAGACGGCGATGGGTGGCAGAGACTGAGGGGTGGCGGTGACGTTCATGAGCGACGAAGCGGTAGAGGTGGTCGACGCCGAGGAAGGGAACCGAAGCGGGCCGGGGCGCACGGGCATGGTGTAGCCACCGGTAGGGGTAGCCCACCCCTCGACCTTGACTTGGGGGTTGGTGTTGTTGACCTCCTTTGCAGACGCCGAGTCGCCCTCGCCGTCAGAGGCATCACGGCTGAGCATGTTATCCTCGAGAGTCCACTCCTCCCCCTGGACGCCGGCACTAGCGCGACGAAGAGGGTTGCGGTTCTCGAAACCCGGCTGGGGCATGGACTTGAGGGTCTCGGTCTGGTTCCAGCCACCGTTGAGGGTGGGGACACCAGGAGCAGAGTGGAAGCGCTGCATGTGTGGAGGCGCGCTGTGGAGCTGGGCCTGTCCCGAAGACAAGGTCGACATGGCCATTGGCGACTGCAGGTGACCGTGGGGGTCGACAGCCGAGAATGGCATGGGGAAGGTGTGGCCGTGGGGCTGCTGGTACTTGATCGCAGGGACGGTGTTGATGTCAACAAGGTCGGGGCTGGCGGCACGCTCAGAAAGAGGCGAGGCGCACAGAGGACGCTGGCCAAGCTTTTGCTGGCCGCCACTGTGCATCTGGAGGTTGTAGTTGTGGTACGAGGGCTGGAGAGGCATGGCTGGGAGCGCAAGCTGGCCGGGAGCAAAGCCGCCACCAACGCCACCCCACGACGCGGCAGCCTGAGCAGCGAGGACGTGGTTGGGGTCGGGCTGGAACTGGCGAACACCGGGCTCGTTCTTAAAGTAGAAGCCGCCGGGTCCGTTCATCACTGCACCGTTCGGGAGGCGCGGGATCGAGTTGTCCTGGTAGGCAAAGACCGACTGCTCGCCATAGTCCGGGACGGGCCCGCCGTTGGAACCGTCGCCGGGGTAGGGAACGCCGTTGACCTGCTGCTGCTGCTGGAACTCGGCGCGGTCACCTTGGGGCGCTTGGCCTTGGTGAGCCGACTCGGGCCCGGCTCCGGGGTGCGAGAGGGAGGGGGGGCCACCATGGGGTTGCGCTTCGGGGTGGCCGGGGTGGTAGTAGCGGATGCCTGCGGGGGCGGGGGCGAGCTGGGCGTTGTGGAACTGCTGGTTGTTGACAAACCCGCCGGCGAAGGCAAACGCCGCTCCCTCTGGCGGGTGAGAGGCGGCGAAAGAGTGGGGGGGACCGGTGACAGAAGGAGAAACGCTGTACTCGGGAGCCTCGGAACCAGAGACGCTGCCTGGGCCACCTCCGGAGACGAGAAATGGGTGTTGCGAGCTGGCACGAGGGGGGACGTGGAGGGCGCGCACCGAGCTCGAGGTAGGGGGAGGGAGGTCTGGGTGCTGGCGCTTAAAGTGCTTGAGGTACGTGTTGCGACGAGCAAACTGGCGGCCACAACCAGGGACCTTGCAGCCATAGGGGCGCTTGCCAGTGCTAAGTGAAATGTATCAGTAATGTGGCACAGTAATGAATTAAAAAAGCGACTCACTGGATACGACGGTGGCGCGCCAGGGAAGATGAGTCTGCAAACGCCTTGTTGCAAATCTCGCAGTGGTGTGGGCGCTCACCAGTGCTGTGATGCATGTCAGCGGTGGAGACCATGGCATGATGTGGCGTAGCAAGAAACTCACTGGACACGGGTGTGAACTGTCAAGGCGGAACGCTGGATGAAGGCCTTGCCGCAGCCGCGGTGGACACAGAGGAAGGGGCGCTCGTTGGTGTGGATGCGCATGTGGCGGGCGAGGTCACTCTTGCGAGCAAACGCGCGGTCGCAGACATCGTACTGGCAGATGAAAGGACGAGCGTTGGGGTCGTGGCCAGGGCCAACTTGGTTGTTGTCGTTGACAAGCTGTACGTTGCGATTGTGCAGGATGGAGGGAGGTTGGTTGACATTGTAACGGAATGGATGGTAGGACGGAGGTGACAGTGGCGGCCGGTGAGCGGAGCCAGGAGGTGGAGGGTGCACAGGGGGTGGACGGTGGAAGGAGATTGGGTCCGTACGCGGGTGAGGAGATGGAGGAGGGAGACGCATAGGCGATCCAGGGACGGACCGAGGAGGAGAGCCAGGACGACGAGGAGACATGGTGTTGAGAAAGACAAAGGAAAGGTGGGTGTCAGTGTGACTGTGCTAAGGAGGGCAGTGGGGTGGGTGTGCTCTAGAGCTGTGCGTGCGGTAGATGTAGTGGGAGCAGGATGCTGAGGGAGGGGGGGGGGGAAGGGAAGTGAGAGAAAGGAAAAGTGGATGAAAGCGTGTTTTGGATGGAAAAGCGGAAGGAAGGAGGGAAGACGCGGTTGGGGGGGGAGGGGAAGGCGCAGTTGACTCACGTCGAGTACGTCCATAATGACTGTGGGGGCTTGCTGTTGCCGTTTTGAGATGGGGGGGCCAGCTAGGCGGGGCGCAGGGGCTGGACGCGACGGACGCGACGACAGACGAGCTGTGGGTGATGAAGGAGGGGAGGGGACAGAAGGATGGGCCACCAAAGGGAGGTCCGAGTGTGGCTTCTGGCTGGGTAACGACGCGCAGGCTAGAGGGCGCGGGCGTCGAGAAGGTTGAGGACGAGAGAGTGTTGATCACTGTGCAAAGTGGATGGGGTGGCGAGAACACACAGTCACGCGTCGACGGGGGTGATGGCGATCATTGTTTGGGTGGTGATGGCGGGGTGTGGGGGGATGGATGGTGGTGTGGGTGGGTGACGCGGCGGGCCGAGCGGATCGGTGGAAGGATCGGAAAGAGGGGACAGGCCACACAAATGACCAAGATGACACAGATCGGAGCACACACGGACGGGCAGACGCGGACAGGCGAGAGAGATAGAAGGGGAGAGAGCGCGGTCAGCTACATCGCCCCCATCCAAACACGCACACGAGTGCGGCAGAACAAAACACTCACCTAGTGGTCTCGTAGCTCGTAGATTCCTTGGCGAGTGGAGTCGCAAAGGATGGATCGATGGCAGCACTGAAGCAGGACGTTCGTTGAAGAGTTGTCTAGCCTGTACGGTGCGTGTGAGTAAAGCTGGCACTGTGCAAGACACAACAAAAGGAGAACGGATGGACTAGGCTAGGGGAGCGGCGGGGGTGGGAGGCCAGTGCGGCGGGGGCGTGGGGGGGCATCCATGGAAGGGGTGGAACATTGAGCATCCTATGTCGCCGAAATCGACAGAAGGCCCGGCCGTGATGAACCAGTGCACTGGTATGCCCCCCGTGCTATTGAGTCTCTGTCCTGCAGTGCAGCAGGTCCGAGACAGCAGGCGACAGACGAAGCACTGGCGAACAAGCAGAGAGGAGATAGACGCGCGCTGGAGGAACCACGCCATGGACTCGCCACACCGTCGCCATGTGCCTGGCAGCGACTGCTGTGTGTGTACACTTGCCAAGCGCTGAACGCGAAAGGCTGCGCACGGCCAAGGAAGGTGCATGGACCTCGGAAATCGAGGGGCTCACTCCACCGCGTCCACATCGCATCTTCACCACTGTCGTGGTCATGACGCGACGTAGGTGTGGAGGCGAGTACATGCAGACGCGGACGACCTCCTTGGGGGAAGATGTGTAACGGGATGGAGTAGACTAGGAATAGGACGAGTGAAACATTACTCACCTGTGTGGTTGCCACAACGTATTAAGGTTACGCCGAGATTCGTCCGCGGACAAGGCTGGCAAGGGTTCTCTGAAACGAGAATGGGAGCTTGACCAAGAGGCGTGCTGGCGGAGGCGGCGGGCGGCACGGACTTGACTAACAGTGCGTTCTGTAAAGTCAAAGTCAGCTACAGTACAGAGAAACACCCAGACAGAGACCACAGAGGGTGGTTGGCACTTACAACTCAAGATGCGTGTTAGATGCAGCTCTGGTGACGAGCGTGCTGCGTGGGTGGCGAGATGGCGGGGGGTGGACACGAAAGTTCAGGGCGGCGTAGGGTGGGTTGGGAGATTTCGAGACGTGTAGGCTTTCTTTACGACCCGACGTTGGATTTAAGCAACTGTGTGGTAGAGAGAAGGGGGCAGGGGACGTGTGTGTGTGTGTGTGTATGATGAGGGCGCCGTTCGTGTATGTCGTGCGTGCGTATCGTACGTGTGTCGTGACGCGGTAGGATGGGCGCGAGTGGAAAGGAGCGACGGCCGTCAGTGGCGAGGAGGGGGGAAAGGGAGTGACCGTGTCGACCAGTGGATGGTGACCGGTGGTGGTGATTAGGAGTAGATGGGGTGTGGGGTGTGGGTGTGTTGTGTTGTGGGTGGTGATGTTGGAGGATCAAGTTGGGAAGGAGAAGCTGTCCAGCAGTGGGAGAGCCGGCTACTCTTAAAGTTGGGCACAAGCGATGAGGAGAGCCAGAGCCAGCCAGAGCCAGCCAGAGCCAGCGAGATCCAGAGCCGAGGCAGAGCGATATCTCAGAGAGACAGAGACCGCCGCCGCCGCCGCCGCCGCCGTCTGCTGGCCGCTGCCCGCTCTGGCGGCCGCCTGCAACCTGCAACGATGGCGCACCATGGCCCTATGCTGCTCTCGCGTGGGTGCTCGTGCAGTGGGTGCACTGGCAGTGGCCCTGCTGGTACCTAGCTCCTCCCCCACCCCAGTTCCCCTCCTCTCCCCTCCCCTCCCCCCCCCCCCCTCTCTCCCCCCGTTACACGCCAGATCGAACATGCAAACGCCTCTCGACTGCCTGCTTTGGGAAGATGGCAGCCGGCGTGCACTGCCAGACGCCCCCGAGACGCCAATCAACCCCCCCGCGCGCCCCCGTCTCTCCCTTCTGCTCTCCGAGCGTTGTGCCCGCACGGCCAGACGCCAGACGCCGAGAACGGTAGCAGCGGCGGCGACACACCCAGAACGCCACTTTGCCATGGACCCCGCCCTGGCCCACGACCCACACCACTGGAGCGCCCAGTTTTCGGGCCCTGGCCGAGCCACCCTCGTTCTGCCCCTCTGACCCTTCCCCCAACTGTGGGCACAGGCATGTGATCTGGGTCCCTGCACCCCCTGCCGTCGTAGCCAGTGGCTTGCGGCGCAGCACACACACACACACACATCCATCCACACACACACACGGCCACCACCACCGGCGCCGGCCCACCCACCGAGACCCATACCCAGAGAGCCCAGGTGGTATGCGCCAGAGAGAAACAGGGCCGCCGTACCGCCGTGTGTGGGGGGGGAGAGCACTACTGGTGCACTGGTGCAGTTGGCAGGCAGGCATGTTTGCCCTAGACAATGGCGCTTCCCTGCGGGCGTGCCACCACAGGCCACAGGCGTACAGCGCCCAGCATAGGGAAGACACCGCCAGCCCAGTCAGCCAGCGCGCCGTGGGGCTCTCTCTCTTTCGCTGTCGGGAGCGCTGGCCTGGATGGCGTACTGGCGTGTACTGGCCGTGCCGGTGGGCTTGTGGGCATGTCGTGTGGGTGTGTGGGAGTGTACTGCATGGGCTGCAGCGCAGACGACGTGGCTGGAGAACAGTGGCTGGGGAACGGCCCGACGCGGGCGGCGGACGGCGAGACAGCTGCCGATGGTCGGTGAGTTCTGGCTGCTCTCTCGCTCGCCGGATACATGTGGGTCACTCCGCCCGTCTGCCGGGCCTGCTGCTGCTCTTCTTCCGCTTCGGACAGAGTTGGAAACGAACGGACGTCGGACGAGTGCCGTGGCGCATATAGGGGAGGGGAGGACGAGGGGGGGGCACAATGAACTAGGCTGACGTGGACGACGTGCGCGGCCGGTCTCATAGAACCAAATGGCCAGGCACGATCCACACAAGAATGAGTTGTAACCTTCCTCTCGACCACCCACATACAATTAACATTACATTGTCCCCCAACCTTCGCACCCAGATCTCACATCTGACATGCGTTGTCCGGGGGGCGAGAGGCTGGGGGGAGGCGTACCCCAGAGCCCTGCACACTGTGTGGGTATGTAGCATGTTCTATTGGAAGTTGGGCGGCGGCGACATGGAATGGAAACGCTTGTTCATTAACAATGACACAATGTACAATGTGCCGCCTGCCGGCATGTGTCGCGTGTGTGTGGGTGTGTGGGTGTGTGTGGGTGTGCCACCCACGCAGCAGCAAGAAACCGACAAAGCCGGAACATGGAGATCCGACATCCATGGGCCAGCAGAATGTCACATCTGGCAGGGTTATTTGGCGCTGTATGGCTGGCACCGCCATGAGCGATTATCACACAGCGGTACGTCCGTCCACCTCTCGATCTCGATCTTAATCTCGATCTCGCCGTCCTGCCCACGCACTACGCACTCTGTTGCCGAGTGCTAAGAAATCAAAAGCAGGCTAGGCAAACGGCGGATGCTAATTAGGCTAACCGGGTGGTATAAGGGGGAGGAGAGCCCACTTTTTTTACCCTCATTCACAACACAAGACCTGCAGGGGTGAGCGGAGTGTGGGCGGGCCTAAACAAGAACGGTCGGATATTGTGAGAACAGAGAGCGGCTACAAGCATATTCAGACATTGCGACAGCAGGGGGGGCGGGGGAGGGACCCCATGTCCACGGCACACGCCGACAACGAGATGAGGGAACATGTTTGAAATCTAACAGGCACGCACTCTGACCCAGGGCAACACACACCACTCCAAGTTGTTTTGTAGGCACTGTTCCGTGGCGGCGGTCTTTTCTTTTTTTCTACCGTTTTTGTGTAGGTTGTGTGGTCTTGACAACGTGGTCGATGGCAGCCGAGCTTTAGCTTGCCACCGGTCTGGAGCAGCGTTCGTTGGCTTCGGATTCGCCAGCCCCGGCTGACCCGACAACCTTTGCATTCTGTCCTCGCTTGGCCACTTCTCCCTAACTCGTTGTCGCCTGGGGCCTGGAGAAGGGGGGCGAGCAAAAAGTCAGCCGCCAAAGAATGGACCAAACGCCCGAACGAACGTGACCAGGAACCCAGGACCACAGGCCACAGGGCCGCGCTCCATCGGTGGATCGGTCGCCCGCCAAGCGTCAGTTTTGTTCCATGATTCATAACGGTAGCAGTTCCTTGTTTTCCTTTTGCAAGGTCAAAGGTGCCAGGTGCGAAACCCACCCTCTCTCCGGACCGCATCGCATAGCCATAGCCACACAGCTCTCTGGGTCGGCGACAGTGCCAGCGCCAGCTGTGCTC